CGTGTGCCTGAGAGTGGTTCTAATTTATGTGCACCTGTTTAAACACAACCTTCTTTTGTTTTCCAGCGCATTTCAACCGGAAGCGTCGGGTGAAGTGGGGATCGAAAGTCGATATCGAAGTCGAGCGATACGAGTGAAGGATTGCGTGCCTTCTGTCATTCCTTTCTCCTCTGCTGTCTTGCTCTTATCCTTCTTTTGTGTGAGGAAGGTTTTTTACTGTTTGTTGGGCAATTTGAGAGAACAATTAGCAGCTGTTCACCGAGACACGGCATCTCGGGATTATCCATCCCTAATGTCCTTTTGAGTAGTGTGTCTTGGTGGGTCAATTAGCCTGTTCATACTTTTTCTCAGACATTCCTGATCGTGGTAATCCTCTCCACCCACAGGGGCAAAGAGAAAGAAGAAAGGTGAGAAAACAACAGCCCTCATTTCTTATTTGTTTCTCGCCCCTTCTCTCTCTGTCTCTCTCCTCTCTCTCTCTCTCTCTCTCCTTACCGTCAATTGCAGAGTGTAAATGATGACGCAGGGGGGAGGAACAAGCGCAGGATCAGGCAATGGATCAAGGGCAGGTAGGACGAAGAAGCGCAGGGGACACGTCAATCAAGGAGAAGGAAGATGGCAAGGATTTCCGAACTCCCCTGAACCATCATCGACTTTTGTTTTGTCCTTTGCCCTTCATCTTTTCTTACATTTCGCACATCACACATACTTGGATCGCTTGGATCTCTTGATGGAAACACGCGCGCGTCTCAACCCCTGCCGTCCGTGGATGAAGCAAGGCAAGGCAAGGCAAGGCAAGCACGTAACGTAAAAAAAGGGCCAAAAATAAAAAAAAATAGAGAGCACCGAGACGGAAAAAATAATAGCGCATTTTGTTGTATGTGTATCGGGCATCGTGCATAACTCACAGGCGGAAAATAGCCATGACATGACAAAGATAATATATTTGAGCATACAAATTGACAATGGTCATTGCTCACGCTTTCGAAAGCATCAGTACATGTACAAGGACATCTCAACTCTCCCTCTTCCCTCACCCAAGCCCCTCCGCAAGTATCTATTTTTTTTTACGGTTTCGATGGAATTTTTACGTGCCGTTGGCTCACGTTGCTTCATCTCTGGAGCAGTGAGGAATGAGGAATGAAGAAGGCCCTTTCGCCAACCAACAGAATGTTGAGAAAACGAATAGATCGAAATAGGTACAAGTACAAAGATAGGGTCGGTCGACCTCCTCGTTTTCTTTTTGCAAGGGTCACTCGACACTATGATGTTCACATACCATTGTAAACTACCCATTGTGCATAATCTTTTCAAAGAGCATACATGCCTTGATGATGCTCTTGCTCTTGAGAAAAGATCCGGGCCCATGGACATGGGCTCGATGGGAAGAGAGCGAGAGGCGATTATGTTGTTTTGTAGATGTAGTTTATGCGATTGGTGTGTGTTTGTCGACGAGAATTTATTTACTTTTCCCTGATGATCTTTACAGTCTTTTTGTTTTTCGATCATTCCTCGGGTTTGAAAATGTTGCTTTCATTCCATTTACACAAGTGAGATAAGGAGAGAGAGAGAAAAGATGTGGAGATGAGGTATCGGGAAAGAGGCACAGGCGGGACTTCGCTTAAACTACCTTCTTCACCTCCTACCTCAGCCATCTGTTTGGCCTCTTGATGCAGAAGCATCACAAAACAGTGGTTTCAGAGTTGGGGATGAAAGGGACGAAGCGAGGATGCATGCTTTCTGCAGGTTCATTTTCAAACTGGCACAGGCGCCCTCCATAGAAAAAAAAAACTCTAGGAAGACACCCTCCTTCGCTCAAAAGAAAAATGAACGAAAAGAAGAAACTGCAGAGTAGTTTCTCTTATCGCTTCTCTGTCAAGATGAATAATCCATTGCCCATATGGTTTTCCTCTTACAATTTCTCAGCAGGCAAGGCGCAATAACGCTGCGCGGTTTGCGGTTTAGTTCTGCGCAAACAACAAAAAAAAAAAAAAAAAGACAGAAAGAAAATGTTGACTTTGTTTGGCTGGCTAATCTGATAGCAAACAACATCTCCCTCACACTCCAATCCCTCCAACGCGGACTTTTCTTTTCTCTCTTTGCATTGCTACCGCTAGCGCTTCCCTCTCACCCACCTTCGTTCAGCGCGATTGGACCCCCTGTGCTTCTTCTCCTCCTGACGAATTGTGAATGAGCACTTCCCACTTCACACACAGCACTTCGCTTGCGTGCGAGGGGTTCATCCCTTTCTTCGCGGACATTCAAAGGCACTCCTCCTTTTTTCTCCGGAGGCGAGACAAAAGGGCCACTAAAACTTGTACAGTACAGTACTGTAGTTCCTATGTCTAGGATCTTCCATCGTCCTTTGTCATTGGTCCGAATAGAAAGAGAACCACCAAGAACGAACGATCTCTTTATTCTTTGATATGATGACAATCGCCATTTTATTGTGAAAGGGAGGTTTTTTTTTGTACATATTGTGAAAGGGAGGGGAACTGAATGGAGTTGAATGGATCAGGTTGGGGGGGAGTCGATAGTTGAAGATGGTAAGTAGAACGAAAGTGTAGGAAAGGGTAGGATCGGGTGTAGTTGTGAGGCCTTTTTCTTCTCTGTCTCCCTCTTTTTGCCGTTTGACCAGATGCAAGGTAGACTACAATTCCGGAGGGAGGGCGAGAAGGAAGGGCGGGTAAAGGCCAACGAGCGATCTGGTTTCATTTTTTTGTTCTCTGTCATCGAACTCCTGACCCTGGACCTTGAAGTGACACTCGGGGGGGAGGGGGAGGGGGAAGGAAAAGGATCATTAGGCAATTGAGAAAAGGGCGAGTGGATGACAGGAGGGAAGACTGACGCAAGTGAACAGGCATTGCATGGGCATGCGATAAGAATATCCTTTCTTGGGCAACGTCATGGCCCTGTGTTGTTCTTCCTGATCTAACGACCAGTGAGATCAAAGACATGGCAAGACATGTACTGTACACAAAGCAAAACATAAAAAAAATTGAGGGTGCTTGACGGCCGAGCGGTCGACTCCCACGCGAAAACAAAAGAAACAACTAGATTGTTCAGTGTCGCACAAGTACAAACGACACAAAAGATGTGGTATATTGTCTAGGGTCGGTTGACAAATAACAACAAGAGAATAAACTAGACTTTCATGAACGTTCATATGCCGTAGCTTGCCACATTAGTCGAATAATGTTATTTTGTTTGTTTATTCAGGTACACACGACACAACCAGGCACTCAGACACACAGGTACACAGTTACCCAGTTCTTTGATCCCATGACGAGGTAAAAGAAGGAAGTTAAGGAACGTTAAAGTAAGATGAAACTGGAGGGAAAGAAGGGTAAAAGAAAATAGGATAAAAAACAAGCGCCCATACCGAGGGATTTACTGTCCATCAAGCAAGCAATAAAGTGGAGAAAGAGAATGTGTAATGAATGAGCGAGGGGAGTGTGTCCTGCAATGGTGTCAATGTTCAATGGCTATTGATTGATAACGAATGATCAGTGGATAAATCGAAAAACGCTATTGAGACAGATAGAATGACGTTGTGGTGGTGATGGTTCCTGGACCAAGGACAAGGATAAAAAAAACGTGGTAAGTGTAATAACTGTTGAGCGATTTAATTTTCTCTGTGCGCTGATAGGCTGTGTTTCTTTGCAGCTGATAAACCGCGCGGCCAAACTGTGTAAGACCCTTTCGTCATCTATTTTGTGGAGGGTACATTTGCACATAATTGAACAGAGAGCAAATAGCAGAGGTGCAGTCTGACCACATCATGGCACATACACCCTGATCAGGTTTGCTTGCATGCCCCCCGCAACTGTCTTTGCCTCTGGCAATTGTCCACTTGCATTCGCTGAGTTATGGGGAGCATGTCATTGAGATGTATGAGCTCACGTCCCTCTCTTCTTTAATTCTCGCAAGTAAGAAGGAAGCAGAGGTGAATGAAGTCAGGCAATTGCAAAGGAGGAGATGTATTTACCCTGAAAGTGAGGGCAATCGATAATGTCTGCCCTCTCCAAATGGATGAACCTTTAAGTTCTAACGTAAGTATGGTTTTTGAAAAGTGAGATGGTTGGTTGCTACATACATTTTTCCGTGGGAGGACAGAGAGATCAGGCACCCGAACAAGTGGTAAGTGGTCGAATCGAAGGAGGAGAAAAAAAAGTGTTCGTGGTGGTTGAGACATGACCAAACATAGTGAGGTTTGAAAGTTCGCTTCCTCCATCACCCCCGGCCTGTGGTTCTTTGGCTGTCCTGTCCCCTTGTCTTGATCTGCAAGAGTCCCTTGCCTACTCTCTTTTACAAAGGTGGGAATGAATGGAGAATCAAATGCCCGCAATCCCTTTTGTATTCAGTCGGGGTATCTCAATACATTCAATTCAATAGGAAGAGGAAGAAATGACGAATGGCACCAGAGGGAAAGAAGAGATTCATTTTTCCGTGGACGGTTGATCGTCGTTGAGAGCTGAGCACTTTTTTTTTTCTTGTTCTGTTCTCGTCCACTCACACGTCAAGGCCTAGATAACACGATTCTATTGTTATCCTGCAACGATTGAATTGATTACCCTTTTTCCTTCTTCTTGAACGCTGTCTCATTCACACACCACACACCATACCTCATTTTTTCTTATTTTTTTTTTTTTCTCGATCCCTTTAAAAGGAGTTCCATCCCCACCTTTTTTTCCTTTTTTCATCATCATCATCTTCTCTTATCCTCCTCTCGTCTCTCCCTCTGAACTGTTCATTATTTATTTGGTGTTCAAGTCTCTCTCTCCTCTCTCTTTCCTTAATCTCTCTCTTCCTCTCCTTTCCTCTCTCTCCTTCACCAAAACAACAACAACCACTCAACCTTAACACCCTACAGTTTTTGCCTATCCTGACTCGCTCAATCCCTTCGTTATCACAACACTCTTTGTGAACACAATCCCCCTCCTCCCCCTCCTCTCTCCACTCTCCACCCCACCTCCCCACTCTCTCAGCAACCACTAATAATGGCTGACACTACCATCAAGGCCCAAACTGAGGGTCAGAACCTCAACGGCGCCAATATGAACACCATCGCGATTGAGGACTTGTACGACAAGGACAAGTTCGACATGTCGACCATGGAGACTGACAACATTTTCCAGCTCCTCAAGACCAGCGAATCTGGTCTTACCACCGCCGAGGCTGAATCCCGTGTTGAGAAGGTAAATATGAACAGATGATGTGTTTGTTGTTTGTTTGCATGGTACATCATGGCACGGACAGCAACGACAATGCTGATCTGCGAGTAGCCTAGTGAAAAGATTTTTTCCTTTTATCTCCGCGATGACACAGTGAATTAACCCTCATTCTCTGAAACACAAAAAATAATAGTTCGGCTACAACCGTCTGGAGCAAAAGACTGTGAACCCGATCATGCAGTTCTTGGCCTTCATGTGGAACCCTCTTTCTTGGGTCATGGAGGCTGCTGCCATCGTCGCCATCGTCCTTTCCAACGGAGGTGGTGAAGCTCCTGACTGGCCCGATTTCGTCGGTATCGTCCTCCTCTTGCTCGCCAACGCCACCATCGGTTACATCGAGGAGCGTCAGGCCGGAAACGCCGTCAAGGCCCTCATGGCCTCCCTCGCTCCCCAGGCCAAGATCAAGCGTGATGGCCAGTGGGCTACCCTCGAGGCCTCTTCCTTGGTTCCCGGTGATGTCATTGCTATCAAGCTCGGAGATATTGTCCCCGCTGATGCCCGTCTTATTGATGCCGTCAACATCTCGATCGATCAGGCTGCTTTGACCGGAGAGTCCCTCCCCTCGAACAAGCACAACGGTGATGAGATCTTCTCTGGTTCGACTGTCAAGCAGGGAGAGGGTGAGGCTGTTGTCATCGGTACCGGTTCCAACACCTTCTTCGGTCGTGCTGCCAAGCTTGTCCAGATGGCCGGCGATGATGTCGGACATTTGCAGATCGTTCTCGGTCGCATTGGTCGCTTCTGTATTGTCTCGATTGCCTTCTTCATCATTCTTGAGATCCTTGTCATGTATGCCGGTTTCCGCTTCACCTACCGCCGTGGTATCAACAACATCCTTGTCTTGCTCATTGGTGGTATCCCCATTGCCATGCCCACTGTCCTCTCCGTCACCCTCGCTATTGGTGCCCGCCAGCTCGCTGAGCACAAGGCCATTGTTACCCGCATGTCTGCCATCGAGGAATTGGCTGGTGTTACCATTCTCTGCTCTGACAAGACCGGAACTCTTACCCTTAACGAATTGACCATCGATCTCGCCAACGTCAAGGCCTACTCCTCTGTCTCCCCTGAGGACATTATCCTCTTCTCTGCCTACGCCTCCCGTGTCGAGAACCAGGATGCCATCGATACCTGTGTTGTCAAATCCCTTCCCGACCCCGCTTTGGCCCGCCAGGGAATTGAGCAGCTCGACTTTATCCCCTTCAACCCTACCGACAAGCGTACCCAGATGACCTACCGCCGCCTCTCCGACAACACTGTCCACCGTATCTCCAAGGGAATGTCGTCCATCATTCTCGATCTCTGCACCCGCGACAAGACCGACGCCCAGATTGCTCAGATGCACGCTGATGTCGATGAGTTTGCCCGCCGTGGTCTTCGTGCCCTTGCTGTTGCTATGGAGGAGGTCCCCGAGGGCCTCAAGGACTCTCCCGGAACTGGTTTCACTCTCATCGGTCTTTTGCCCATCTACGATCCCCCCCGTCACGATACCAAGGAGACCATTGACCGTGCTCAGGCTTTGGGTGTCAAGGTTAAGATGATTACCGGAGACCAGCTTGCTATTGCCAAGGAGACCGGTCGTCGCCTCAAGCTCGGTGACCACATGTTCAACGCTTCTGTCCTCCGCGATGGTCCCCCCGCCGATGAGAACGTCAAGGCCAACACTATTGATGAGCTCGTCCTCGAGGCCGATGGTTTCGCTGGTGTCTATCCCGAGCACAAGTACGATATTGTTGCCCGTCTCCAGAACCTCGGTCATTTCACTGCCATGACTGGTGATGGTGTCAACGATGCCCCCGCTCTTGCCAAGGCCAACGTCGGTATTGCTGTCGCTGATGCTTCCGATGCTGCCCGCTCTGCTGCCGACATTGTCTTGACCGAGCCCGGTCTGTCTGTTATTATCGATGCCATCCTCGGATCCCGCCAGATTTTCCAGCGCATGCGCAACTACTCTGCCTACACCTGCTCGATCACCATCCGTGTCGTTCTTTGCTTCTCGATCATGGTCTTTGCCTGGAAGTTTGATTTCCCTCCCTTCATGATTCTTATCCTCGCCATCCTCAACGACGGAACCATCTTGACCATCTCCAAGGATCGCGTCGTCCCTTCGCAGTTCCCCAACCACTGGGACCTCAAGGAGATTTTCGGCTCTGCTATCGTCTACGGTATCTACCTCACCCTCTCGACCCTCGTTTTCTTTGCCGTCGCCGTCCACACCCAATTCTTCCAGAACATGGGTCTCAGCCAATGGGACCGTGATTACGGTGATGAGGGTAGATACAACGATTACCGTCTCCACTCGATTGTCTACCTCCAGGTTTCTACTCTCTCCCAGGCTTTGATCTTTGTCACCCGCTCCCAGGGCTTCTCCTTCATTGAGCGTCCCTCTGCCATCTTGGCCTTGGCCTTTGTCTTTGCCCAGGTCATTGCCACCTTGATCGCCGTCTACGCTAACTGGGGCTTCACCCAGATCGAGGGATGCGGATGGGGTTGGGCTGCCGCCGTCTGGGTCTGGAACCTCGTCTGGTACTTCCCTCTCGATCTCATCAAGTTTGGTCTCGCCCGTGTCTTCAAGCCCAAGTCGCACGCCGAGATTGTCCAGAGAGAGAACGACCTCCAGTTGGCCCGTACCCGCTCGACCCGCTCCTTCTACTCCTCCCACTTCGACCAGTACACCAACCAGCCCCGCAACTTCTCCCGCAAGAACTCTGTCGGTGGTCCCGTCACTACCGATGGCAAGTCCCTTGGCGTTTCTTCGCACGAGATGCGTCGCTTCAGCACCATCCAGGCTTCTCAAGTCTCTGCTGCCTTGGCCGGTCCTTCGCACTAAACCTTTAATACTTCGTTTTTAGTCTTTTGTTCAATTGGGTTATCTTTTTCATTACTGTCTATATCCGACTTCATAATCTTCTTCTTCCACCCTTTTTTTTCATTTACAACTCATTGTACAATACTTTCCCCACTAAAATAAACCATCTTTCTCAACATGATCTTACGTTTGTTCTTTTCTTCATCGTGTCAACGCCTTTGCATAACGACACCTTTTCGCTACTTTTTTCTTTTTTTCATGCATGACTTGAATAAAGGGGTGTTACAAAAAACACCCCTCAAACATCGTCTCGAATCGGGACAATTATCCACCAAACACAAAAAAAAATAAACTTGATGAGACAAACACAGTTTCCCCAAATGCAAAGTCAATCTTGGACGGTATGGCCCTCACGAGACGGCTAGATATATGTGAAAAGAACATACAGGGTAGGGGTAGCGGGGGTGCTGGGTGTTGGGTGTAAACTCTCAATAGAAAATGAATACAATGTGAGAATTGTGCTTTAATACGAACTTTAGTCTGGGGGGTTTGTAGTTTGTACACGCACGGCATCGTTGACATTATAGGAACTCGGTGTCATCGCACCCATGAAACCAGATCGGTAACCATGAATGACAGAGAGAGAGAGAGAGTGATATTCATAACTGAAAGATGGCATCCATGAACGACAGGACCCCGCATCCATGGATGACGGAAGGTGGGCATTTCATGAATTGACAACGGATATTCATAAATTAACAGATGATCGATTACTAAAATAATCACCATGATCTCCCCATTTCTCTTGCCTCTAGATCTCATAACATATCGGGGCACCTTTGTATTTACACTGAAACTGAACCCCCCAAAAATCGTAGTGTCCAAGATGATTCTCTCGCCTTTTTTTTTATTTTTTTTATTTTTTTTTCTCTCTTGAGGGGGGTCATCTCCACCTTGGACTGAAGCTGAGGCTCCGATCTTAGTTGACGATGCCATGAGGTGCCAATATCATATATTGCCCTCTCTCACATAAATAGTCAGTACCCGCCTTCGTTCAATAAACCTTGCCATTGTCAGCAAACTTTTGCTCTTGCTCATATCCACACTTGCCTTCTCCTAAGCCTTGTCCTCTCGTCCTCTTGCCCTGCTATCCCTCCTTTTCTTTCTGTTAAAGACAAAGCAAACTTACACATTCGGGTAAACCACAGTGAAAGAGTATATGAGGGAGAAGAAATAATGTCTATTTTACACTTGATTTCCAAACAGTCAAATCCTTTCTCTTTCCTACCCATGCAGGCAAAGCTAAAAAGATATGAAAAACTTGAAAATGATAATGAAGAATAATAATAAAAAAACGACTGCTGACTAGGGACTAAAACGAAGAAAGAAATAAAGAAAAAGAAAAAGAAAAAGAAGACAAACTCCTGAATGAAACTACTTGCTGCTCGAAGGGCGACGGTTGTTGCCGTTGCCATTACCATTACCACCGCCATTGTGGTTGCTGTTATTGTTGCCCATGGCTCCAAAGTTGGGTGTCGATTTGGGGAGTGAGACTTGACTCCTGAACTTGAACTCAGCCAGGATGGGGACATGGTCCGACGGGAAGTGAGCGTTAGGGAAGCCGACACACCGACTCATGTACTCCTTCTCCACGCCTCCCAACAATCCCAGGACGTTCAGGAAGTTGGACGAGTAATAAATATAGTCAATCACCGCCACAAACGATGGTGTAAAGTTGGTGAACGGCAACTCGTTAACCTGGCTGTACGACGATCGAAGCGTCATCTTGTGAGAGAGTCCGTCCGTCGTGTAGCTTCCGTAGGCATGGTCTCCAAAATCGTCGTGGCCCTGTGCGACCGCTCCCTTGGTCAAGAACTCGTACACACCCGAGTCTGGCTCAGAGTTGAAATCTCCGCAGATCAAGGTCGGCAACTTGCCACCCACACTGTTGACAGTGGGGGTGGCTCCAGAGGAAGTTGGCAGATGGGCCCACTGGTTCGAAAGCTTGTCCAGCTCGTCCATCAACATGGCGACCTGAACCAGCTTGACATCCTTGAAGATAGGGTCCCAGTGGATGTGGGCATTGGCGACCACCACCCGATTGTGTGTATCCTTGTGCTCCAGGAGGGTGATGACAGAGATGTTGTCCTTGGTCATGACGCGGTTGAAGATGTCCTCTGTCTTCCTGAAGTCAGGTCTCTGGAGTGCAATATGGTTGAACTCTACAAGATGCTTATCAATCAAAGTGAACCTATCAATGTGGTAGAAAAGAGAATTGTTACAACTTCGCTACAACGACACGCTACGATTGAGTCCTCGTTTCAGTATAATGCTGCAGACTTACTTAGAGGCCTTGAAGAAGGTGGCGCAGCCATCCACGTTCCTGCGATCCTTCTCCGGCATGGTCTTGGCACGAGACTTGGGCCAGAAGACACTGTCATAATCGCCCTGCTGCTTCATCTGATCCTTGAAGTAATCGTCGTACTGACCAGACTCCACCTCCTATAATTTGAATACACGAGAAAAAGAGACATCGTTAACATACATTTTCATTTTCTCTCCGTTTCACTAGCAAACATCATATAATTGAAAGCCCAATGTACCTGGAGACAGATAATGTCGGCACTGTAGGCCAGAACCTCCTGGAGAATCAATTCTTTGCGGTATTCCCAAGCAAGGGCCCAAGACGGAGTGTAGCCATACATCTGAGCCGTGGCGTACTTTTCAGCCAAAATGTTGTAGCAGAACATGGTGAAAGTATCCGTTCCTGTCGTTGCAGCGGCGACGCTGTCCTCCAGAGTAATCCACTCTCTCTCAGGTGGGGGCAATGGCACTATGTTCCAATTGATAATACGTTCGGTGGCGTTAGAACGAGTAGAAGTCGGCCATCATTGATTCAACGCACCCCTAGTCCAACCGCAGACGCAAAAAAAAGTGCGCATTACCTTGACAGTTCTCGCGCAAGTAGGTGATGACAGTGCTGGTTCCGTCTTGCTGCAGGAGGTTCTTGAGACTCTCATTCAGCGGGTTGCCCTCCAGAGCCAAGATCTCCAGCTGAAACAGGGTGCCCAGTTCGGGAGGAAGGGTCACCAAGCCATTGTCGACCAAGAGAAGCTCCTTGAGGTTTGTCAGCAGACCAATCTCGGGAGGAATGGATGTGAGCTTGTTTCCAGAGGCATCCAAGATGGTCAATCCTGTCAGTCGACTGATTTCGGGAGAGAGATGGTGCAGGTTGTTGTGGTTGACATAGAGAGCGGTCAAGAACGAGTAGCCAAAGAGCTCCCTGCTGATGTTCTTGAGTCCCATGCCTCCAAGATCCAGAATCTTCCAGGGCTGAATGCTCTCCTTGTCCTTGTTCCCTGATCCAGCCCCGCTGTCGCCATTGGTCGTACCGGCAGCCGCCGTGGCACCATTCTTGGGGGGGCTATTGGGGTCTGTAATGGTGACGGCTGAGCTCAAGTTGGTGCTCCTGGCCACTGCCGCTGCCGCCCTAGCTCTGTAGTGAGGGGTGGACGACTGTCGAGAGACGTTGGCGTAGTGCATCTGCTGTTGATAGTGAGTGGCTGCGGCCCCAAGCTGAGGGGTGAGCGAAGCTGGGAGACTGGCAGGAGAGGAGACGCCCGACTGTTGATGGATCTGCACTTGATGGTTGAGCTGCTGCTGTTGCTGCTGGAGGTGATGGTTCAATGCCTGTTGCTGCTGTTGCTGCTGCTGTTGTTGCTGCTGTTGATGCTGATGTTGTTGGTGTTGTTGTTGTTGCTGCTGCTGAAACTTTTGGGCGAGGTTCATCTGAACGGGGTACCGGCCCATTCCGGCGTTGTACATTCCTGGTCCCATATGATATCCTGAGGAGGTAGGGGGTCCCACCAAGGACGAGGCTGAGGGTTGGGCGGGAGAATACATATTGTTGTCCGAGTTGGGACCATTGGTCTGATAGAGGATCGGATTGTAGTGGTTGGCCATTGTTCCGTTATTTGGCCTTTGAGGAGGAGGAAGGATCTGTTGAAGGAATGCTGTGGAGACGGACTAAGGGTTCAATTGATCATGCAAGGCAGATATCCTGAGTGATACAAGGAATCAGGCAATGGCTTTGCCGGTGCGGTGAGGGGTTGAGGTTGGTAGTGGTCGTATTCTAAGAGAGGTAAGAGAGAGCAGACAGTCAGATGTGAGTTTTCTTTGTAGCATCAAGTCAACAACCCTTGCAACAAGATGCAGACGAAGGTTTGTTGTTCTTGCTTGTGTAATTGTGCATTCTCTCTGGGAAGTGAATAAACTGTTGAGCCATTCGATGACCAAAACAAACAGAAGGTGCGGGGTGTGTGGACGCGCTAACAAGATAGTGTTCTTACACAGGGCGGGCAAGGTGGGCATTAAACGATGTGCTGGCTGGCGAAAGAGGAAAGAGTGAAGGGGGAGATGACCAGCAGACGATGAAGGATGGGATAGGTGAGTGAGTGTGTGTTGAATAATGTCGAATAGAAAAGGCAGAAGAAAAGAGAGAAAAGGGAAAGGGTGACTGATGAAGAAAAAAAGGAGGCGATGAGGACGTGGACACGAAGGGAGGACAAAAATGGCATCAATGGTCTGTCCATCACTGCAGGCAAGTCAGTAGAGAAGGGGGAAAGAAGAGTGTAATGACGCAAGGAAATAAATGTCAAATTTACGTCACCATTTTATTGGTGCAAGGAAGTAAGAGATAACCATTTCGCACTCGTGGGAAGTTGACGAGTGAAAGTGGGCTTGGTTGGAAAGAGGTGTGGGAGAGTTGGTGGGGGTGAAAAAACCCCGAACAACCTTCGTCCAGGTTTACATCCTTTTTTTTTGTGATCCTCGTGCGATTGCTCGGATGTTGTCCATCGGCTGTTTAAACACGCGCTCAGGTCATGTCCGCACACACACCAAGGTAAGAGATACGCCCCTCTCAACCATGCCTAGGTGAACGATTCCATGACAGACACGCGTTTGGCTTATCATGACGGGAGACACCATCATCTTTTCTTTGTGGAGGAGTGACAACGCATGTATAAACAAGACACAAAAAGGGTTCACGTTCATTAATCCCAAGCTGGATAACGTTCTGCCATTGCCATCATTGTTTACTTTGCACAAGCAAGGAGAACAAAAAAAACGAACCCCTATCTCCCCACGAATGAGCTCTTATAGCATCCTATTGCATTCATATGATCTCTATCCTTTACGTCGTGTGCGTGTACGCGTGTGTGTTTACCCAGCTGTTTCTAGAAATCGAACCACGGAACACTTGGTTGGTTGATCTTACCCCCAATGGTATCTTGAACCGGAAGGTGTGATGGACCTTTCTGCCTTCTATTCACATGAATAGGCTCAGGCACAGGTACAAACCAACATCAACATCAAAAAGAAACATGTCGGCGTAGTTTGTTATGTGGGGAGGACTGAAAAGAGAGAACGAGAAACAAAAGGCGAGAAAGGAAGGGAGGTAAAGTGGTGCTTTTGTCAATCCCGTCGACTGACCCCGCATTCTATCGTTCAGAGAAAAAGTACAATACTACTGACTCTCCGGTGTTTGTTTCTCTATCTGTCCATGCGGTAGCTCGGCGCAATATGCTTGCTTACATTTTTTTTTCTTTCATCGGCCTCACATGTTGGAGTGTTTATTTCGGAAGGCACAAAACTGGTGTAACCGACTGAAATGTACTACTACAACAATACATCTCCACAATAACGCGCATCGGCATCGAATGGCTCGACTAGGAAAGAGTTCCACGGTCGGTCTATTGCCTTTTTTCCCTTTCTCTTTTTTTTTTTCTCAGGAACACAACAAAACTAGGCTATGCTGGCTATCAAACATTATTGCACCAGTCATGTTTATTCTTTTCGATCGTTTTGCTTTCGACAAGATCGTCATTTTACTCACCTAAAGCGACATTGTCATGTCCCTTCCTGTTTAACCCGAAGAATTCAACTTATTTGCAGGCTCACCGCCAATGGCCCATGGTTCCTCCCCCTCTTCCCCTGCTGTTCAATAATTGATGCGAAAAAGGGGAATTGTTGACCGAAGAAAAATAATTGGGGATTGATCAATCAATTTTGGAACTCAGCCTCCTTTTGACAATGGAAAAGGTGGGGAACTTGCAAGAACAGAACAAGGTTATGCAGAGCCAAAAAAAAAAAAAAAAAAAGAAAAAAAAGGGAGCTGGGTTTCCAAAAAGCGACTGACCGAAAACGAAACGGCCTCAATGGAAACTGACATGCAAGATAGGGTATGAAAGAAAAAAAAAAGGGCAAGTATATTTTTCACTTTTTGAGTGTATCCATGGGCGCAATGAGGATAGAGAGGAGGTGGGAAATGAGCAAAGAGAGCACACCCCCATTGCCTCACATTGCATTTTCGTTAATGAACAATTCCAAGTTCGGAAATTGATGATATTGGCTGATGAGGTTGATGTTGATGTGGTCCACATCCGTGGCAGCTATCTCTCAAACATTGCCCAGCACATTTTATAAATCCATTAACTGCTCACCATGGCATTGCCCTGACCCATCGTTATAATTGAAGAAAGACTTCCGGGGCTTACTCGATCTCGGGATTGAGATTTGATGGTCGCACAATTACACATTCCTCAATTGACACCCGAGAAACCGAGACGAGAGAGAGATGGGGGAGAGAGAAGTGTAGGTTGACCAAAAGAGTAATAAGGAGGCAGCTCTCTCGATTGTTTTGTATCGTGTTCTCGAGTCTCACTTTTTTTCTGAGAGGGAAGGTGGGATGTTGCAGATTTCGTGTTGTCAAAAAAGAGCAGAGAGAGGGTCAAGCCTAAAAGCGGCATTTCCATTATCCAAGACAATTCACCCCGTGCACGACACGCAATACCATTTGCGGGTTTGGATGGGTTCCTCCCTCTTGCCCCTTGTTTGTTAGTCATGTCATGGTCAGGTCAGGTCAGGTCGGGCGATCTATCTCTCTCTCTGCTGTCTGTGTCAGCCAAATTGACCGAGTTTCAGTCGCCCAAAAAAATGCTTAGCGCCAATATCATTTTTTCTCTGGGCCCAGTCATTCGGCTCCTTTACATCCCACAGAGAGATGGGTGCGCTGCGGTGCCTAACTGTCAAAAATAACAGGCAATCGAACCCATTACTCAAGTATCAGTTCACCTGCTAAGTGACTCCACTTTTTTCTTTGCTGTCGTCGCTGTTATTAATAAACAATTTTTTTATCAACAGTCAAGAAGAAGGGACAGCAAAGTTCCTTCCTTCTTTTCTTCGATAATTCTATCGCCCACTCTTCCATTCCGTAATCGTTTGTCAAGAAAAAGGAAGAAAAAGGAAAAAAAAAAAAAGAAGGGTTCTATGACAAATGAATTGAAGGTCCTTCATTTTTTTTTCTCTCCGCTTTGGTCAAGGTGCGTTTACAACGTCCAAGCATCTTATCCTCTCATCTTCCCCCCAAGCAAAAAATAATAATAACAAAAAATACACTAGAAGCTGATTCGGGAGAGGAAGGGGGGTACCTGGAGAACTTCGGAACGTGCGGCCGGCGCTCATTTGCTGAGGGTTCTTCAACTGTGTCTTGCGGACCGTGGGATGATTTGAATCTCAGTCTCTCTGGGCTTGGAAACAAAAAAAATTCGCGGGGATGAAGAGGATTCTTCTTGCTATCTCCAGCCAAAGAAAACCGCCAAAGGGGTAAGAGAGAGGGAAGAATAAAGGTGGGGTCCATGCTTATCCGTCCGTCAGTACCCAGTACAGTGCTATCTATGACCCCTCTATGGGTGATGTTATTGTTATTGTATTTCAATGACTAGCTCACTCTTCACTGCATCTCCAAATGTACATGCCGTTTCACGGCTTCGTCTATTGTTACATTTCTTGTCGGGGAAGGGAGCAAGAAGACCTGAACCCTGAGCCCTGCTGGTTGAATCTACATCAACGGTATCGAACTGGATCACGTCTTTTTTGTTCGTCTTTTGCTCTATTTCTCCTCATTTTCCAACCCCCGGTAGCCAAAGGGGTGGTGTCCGTCGTTATCTTCTAAATTTGTCGTTTTCCCTTTCAGATCAGGTCATGTAGACCTTCAACACCCAAGCCTCATGCCGGTCGAAGCGGAGTCTATTTGCCACGCTATCGTGGATTTGTGATGACGACAACAAATAGGCCAGTCAAATAAAAATAATAGAGGTGCTTATTGTCTAGGACTATGAGTTGTTAGATAGCGATTAATCCACAGTTACCTTGACTTCTTTTATACTATATTGTCTTTTGCCAACGACTCGGGTTCTGTCTGGTTCGTCCTCGAACATAAGGGCACACTTAAAGTTAAAGTACTGTAGGAACAATATACAAAAAATATAGTCAGCACTAACAGTAGTATGTTATTCTTTTTCTTGGTCGAGAATGGAATGCAAAAGCAAATGTTCACCGTTCCTTTTGCTGCTCGAAAAGGGTCGTAAAACGATCAGCATAAACGAATCTTTTCTTGAATCGCACAATGCATCGAGAAACTGACACATGTACAATCGTGTGGAGGAGTAGATAGTAACGAGAAGACGATGAGGAAGGAAAGGATAGAGAGGAGGTGAGAAAAAAACAAAAGACGAAGACGCTAATCGCGATAATTAGCAGGGTCAGTCCAAGTGAGAATTTTTTGATTCCTGTGCCCGTCGAAACTCACTTCACCTCCTTGGAAAAATAGAAGTCATCAGTCATCTTTTAAAGCTGACGGGGGGGTCAGAAAATGATGAGAGAGAGAAGAGAGAAAAGAGGAGATATTAGATAGAGGAAAATAAAGGGTCATTGACACGAGGTTAACGAGAAACAAAGAGAGTCATTGAAAGGGAAAGGGAAGGTAGGAAAGGGAATGGTGATGAAGAAGAAAAAAAAAGGAGAGAGCACCCAGTTCGAGAGGAAAGTCGATTCCGATTTATGGCTACATGAGCATTTTTCGTGTCAAATTTGCGCTTGACTGGGTGCCCACTCCTGCTCTTTCCCCTCCCTGTAGGGTTGTAGCCACTTTATTCTCACGGATCGATAGGCCTGAGCGAAAGGATGCGTTTGTAAGTGGGCGAGAGATCGCGAGGTTTATCATGCAACGTTTCAATTGATTCACACATGAGCAAGGAAATGAACACGAAGGCATATCATATGGTGGCAACGATCCTCAATGGGATGGAATGTAGTCAACAATAGTTAAAATGAGTCCTACAAACACAACCACGCCGTGTAGATCGTAATCATGCATTTTCACATTTTGCCTCGGCAAATGGGTCTCGATAGAAGCAGCCATTGTTCATGGGACTTAAACAAATATGGCGACGTTCTCCTCGGCTACGAAATAAGGGAGGATGGTGACGGAGCCAGAGACTCCTCGAAGTGTTTCAATGCTTTTTTCGCGTTAGAAAGACGGAACGAAAAGGGACGTCAATGGTGATCGTTTCTTAGTTTGGATGGTAGGATGAGATCGTCCCTTATTTTTGAGTTGACCCCACGCTTGGACCAAATGTCAACAAAGACGTAATTTGAGACGGAGAAAGAGGAGAAGGGGAAGCGAGAAAAAGAAGAGAAGGAAAGAAGGGAATATAACGAAAGATATTCAGCAACAAACGTGAAAACACAAAAGGGTTAACGAGAGGATCGGCCTATTTCCTGTGGCATGGACTGGAATTGTTTATTACTTGGCTGTCTGATTCATTCGACCCTGCCTATGCCTATCGGTTGTTCTTGTGTGCTCTCTGTCTATATCAATCCGTACTCAAGACAGTAGAGGCCGGCTCCTTTGTACTTTTGTCGTTCATGTGTCAGTAGACTGTGGCCATAGTTCACATTGTTTGCCTTTTCTTCTCTGTTGCACGACAAATAACATGCTGGCTATGGGTATTGTAAAAAAGTAACGATTGAATTGAGCAATCCCACTTCTCGATTAGCACAGACATCACTATATCAATTTATTTAATCCCCATTCAGTCGCGAATCCGACCGCACATACAAAAAAGATACACACGGACAAACAACCCAAAAGGCCAACCAGACAGCCAGACCGAAAGGCCAAAGATAAGGATTTCGTCCTCAGACAAAACAGCAATGATGTCCTTCTCCCTTCCACCTCACCCGCTCCACGAGCAACTATAAAGACAGGCCGCAGCTTGCCCGTGGCCACTCTTCTTTTTTTTCTCTTCTTTTCCTTCTTCATCATTCATTCTTATTTCTTTTTATTCCCCTTTACCTTATCGCTCGCACAATCTCGTTCCCTCACTTCCTCGCTTCTCACTCCTACTACTACATACCTCTCCTCACACACAATGTCATCAACATCCATCCACACAGCAGCCGACTCACTCCTCTACCTCAGCAACCCCTCAACATCCCCCTCCCACACATACCACCCTCACTCCTCTTCAGCTGCACCAGCAATGGCCATCCCCAAACAAAAACGATTCACAACCTCAACCTCCACCAGGAGTGGAGAGGATGCCCCCCGCCCCTACAAATGTCACCTCTGCCCCAAATCCTTCCACCGTCTCGAGCACCAGACCCGCCACATCCGCACCCACACCGGCGAACGCCCTCATCAGTGCACCTTTGCCGCTTGCCAAAAGCGCTTCTCTCGGTCCGACGAACTGACCCGCCACATGCGCATCCATACCAACTCAAAGGCCAAGAAGGAGCGCACCGCTATCTTCCCTGCTCTCCCTTCAGCACAACAGCAACAGCAGGCTCAGGCACAGTCAATGAAAGTCGGCGGTAGCGGTTTCGAGATTGAGACCCCTACCCCTTCCCCTTCGCCTTCACCAAGAATGGACACCGCCGTGCGAAACACAAGGGTCGCTCACCCTTATCATATCTCACCGAGACAGTCGCCTTATCCCATGCTCGAGCGGTACCATCGCCAGCAGTACAGCCAGCAGTACAACCAAGAACCCTCCCCTCCAGCCTCGGCCAACTCCTCGCCCGTCTCGATGGTCATGTCCGATTACGAGTCCGAGTCAACGTCGTCGCCCCTCTTCACCCCCGAGTCCTCCCCCGTGCCCATATCCATGTCCATGGTTTCCTTGGGCTACACCACACCCCAGCTCTATAGCTGCAACAACACCTACCAAAAGTACCAGCAAGATTCCTCCTCTTTCAACGCCTCGGTCCAGTTGCCCCCTGTCCTGCTGGATCATTCTTACCAGCACCAACAGAACGTCTTGCCACCGATCTCGTCCCTCATGAAGTCCCTCCGCCTTTAAACTCTCTCACCATTGTGTTTTTATATATCGCGTTTGCTTTTTATTTTTCTTCATGGTTTGCCTGAAAGGGGACCTTTGTAAATCTTTGCTGTACATATCCATTCCTTCCTCTTTCCCTTTTCCCCTTGTCACCAACATCCCACATCTTTTGCTTATCTAGCTTCTTGTATAACAATCCAATATAATATACTTTTTTTTGTTCGCATCTATATCCTCTTACTTTGCATGCTCCAATGGTTGCTCTATCTGCTTGTCTATTTCTGTAATTGCATGTCGGGCTTGCCTTCATTGTCAACGTTTGTCTTAGCAAAAATGTCTATCTGCCCGCCTCTACATTTGGACACTTTGACCTTGAAGTATTACTAAGTGACATTCCCTTATCAGACCACCCTTTCCCTTTTTTTTTTTGTTTTCCCTCGTGTTGTTGTTGTTGTTTCGTTTTGTTGTGTTCACCCCCGCTTTGACTACAAAAAAAAAAGGTTCCCAAGACTATTTTCCCCTGTATATTTTTTTTCCATTTGCTCATTCCATGTGGGGTTGTGTGGACAAGGGAAAAAAAGGGACACCAAGGTTGTGAGAAAATAAAATGAAATCGGAAGCGGAAGGAAACGTAAACTAGGACGAAATGAAGGGAAAAAAAAACTTCGACTTATATGAGTCCTATGTGAGTCTTCCTTCAGCAGCGCGAGGCTCATCGCTTCAAACACCCAGGTGAACGAGTTCTGGGGTGAGTGAGAGTGAGTGAGCGAGTGAAAGAAAATAGAGAAGTGGCGACTTTCCCCTTCTTCTCCCGATGGGATGAAGAAAAGGGCGAAAACAAAAAAAAAAGTGAGGGGGGGGAAGAGGAGTTCAAAAAGGAGATGAGCACGCTCATCATCCATCATCACAAGTCAGCTCATTTTCTTCCACATAACAGTAGAGCTTCCATCCTAGTTCCTTTACTCCTATCTCGGCACCCACAGTGTATCATATCCAGGTGGTAGTAGGAGCACTATATATATTTTCAGACTTCTTATCTTTATCAAACACAATGTTGCCACCAAAGTTTGAACAACGACGAAATCCAATTGTGATAAGCTCTTTGAGCCTCATTCACAAGCTTCTCTACAAAAAAAAAAAGTTACCGCTGCGCGAACAGCATAAACATAGCGAAATGACGGAAACATGAGGCATACCCTTAATATTTTTTTCTAGCTTTTTTTTAATCGAGAACAATGTCAAAAAAGACTACAAAAAAAAGGGTTTCCTCTCTCCTAAGGAGGAGGGCCAAGGCCAAGTGCAGTGCAGGGGGGGCGATGGAGACATAAAAGACCAAAAAGTCAAAGAATACGATGAAACTCGATGTTTTTTAATCTCCAAACACTACAACGACAAGAGGAAAGGAGGGACGCAAACGGAGAGGGGGCTCGCAGAGAGCATTTACTCCTTCTTGAGGGCAGCAGCGGAACCCTTCTTGGCGAAACGCTGGTTGCGGACGAACTTGGGGCAGACTCCCTTGAGCGAAGGGTGACGCTGGCTCTTCACCTTCTTGATACCGTTACGGTGAGCCTTCTTGTCTATTTGGTGGCAAGAGAAAGAGAGAGCGCATTGGTCAGGATATGTTGCTCTGGCAAAGCCGAATGAAGGGTGCAGGTTTTGTTGGTCATATTGGCGGCGTTCAATTGGAAGATGATATTGGTGATCCGTAACGAATAATGTGTCCATTGTCCAAGTCGCCAAAGCTAGAAAGCTAGTCGTCGTACACTCTGAACGAATGTTGCAATGCTGGTGATAAAGTGCTGGTTCCTTGCTTTGGTGGGTGCCGAAGGTGATGCATTCACGCGACTTTGCAGCCAGTATAGTTGAAAAAGGCGCTGCTGGCGGAAGGTAGACCACGTCCAGGGAGCGAGCAAGCCTTCGTCTTCATCGTTGATCGATTGGTCGTTTGGTCCATCGCAAAGACTGACGATCGTTTTAACCAGCTTTGTGGTGGTGTCGATCCCGTCTCGTTTCATTGTGCACGGGAGTAAAGTTCCGACACTCTCAGTACAGAGCTCTTCCTGAATTGTTGGAGCACTAATGAGATCCTGAAGCTGATTCCTGCAAAAGACAAATCGCTCCCTGGAAAAACGACTTGAACTGAGGAGAGTGAATCTGCTACATACTCTGGTTGTGGTTGGTGTGGTTCTTGGACTTGGCCATTTTACTTTAAGCTAGAGGAGCGAGTTAAGCAAATGAACAGACAGAAAGATGTTTAGTTTCCGAGTTCCTTTATCCTGCTCGAAGTAATGATGATTTGTGTCAGGATCGTTTCCTGTAATAGCTGATAGCGAGCGAACACCTCTGCCGTTGTTGTCCCCCTCCCGCGTGAAGTTGTCGCTGGTACTCTTCCTCCAATCCATGGTCATGGCTCACTTCCAGACCCATCACTTTTTCCTCCAAAAGCCGATGAGTCCAATTGCTCCTGAAGGTGTCGATTATGGATAGAACGATGCGGTAGAGGATGCCGATGGCAATGACAATGTCGATGGGATGTTTCTGATAGATAGATAGGTCGCAATGCTGATCGATGGATGGTTGTTGCATTGCTTGCTTGCTCGCTGCTTTGAATACATCGATAGACTTCCAAGTCCGATGTAGTACCTCGACAGAGAAGAGTAATTTAGAGGGGGATCACACTTCCGCGAGCCTCGCACGCCCTTTTGGAGGAAAATCAGACTGGAGAATTGTGGGTGGCTTGTTTATTTGTCACGTGCAAAGGATCTCAAGGTGTCGCTGCAGAGAGGCAAGCTTCCAGGGCATTGGACAAGTTCACCGTGAGCCCAAGGGACGTGAGAGCATAGAGCACCGTCTCGTCATGCTCATAGTCATCGTCATTCCCAGGCTCTATGTTCACAGTCTCCAACAGCGCGACCATAAACTGGTCAAGGATCTTGCCAGCAAAGAACGGTCGTCCTGTCAATGCGAACCCTGTCGCTAAGTTGACACCATCGCTACTGTCGTCGTTGATGTTGTCGGACAAGGGGCTCAGATTCGATGCGAGGGAATACTTTTGCATCCACCTCAAGGTATCCAGAGACCCCTGCGCCAGTCGCCTCAGATCCTCTGACGATCCTTCTGGCAGGCGTCCTGTTGTCACTGGGTTGTGAGCAATCGCGTCCGTTACCACCTGTTGATAGTTTTTGGCGATCCATGCACAATGACCTACGGACAGAGGTGAGTCGATAGCACCTTGTTGTTGTTCCTGCTCTTCCCGCTGCTTCACCTGCTTCTGTGCCTCATAGCCAACCGCTGTTGCTGCTGTTGTTGTTTCTACCATCGCCTCCTCCGGTTGCTCAAGCCGATTGAGATGATACCCCTTGCCCGCAAAACAACCAATGGTACTCAAAATCGTTGTCTGAACCGTCGAAAGGATATCAATAACGGGCGTCAAAATCGGCTTCAAGAACTTGATCAAGGCCAACAACGAGAGCGCACCCTTGAGCGTCCCAAACGACAGGTTGATCGCCACCCCCGTCAACGACGTCCCGATCAACTTGCCCGGTCCGTCCAAGGCCGTCAGGAGGACCTTGAAAGCTGCGGTGATGATATATTGGACGACGGAACCAAAGGGGAGCGACCCTAAGATGGTGGCGAGTTGAGTCTCGACGGCGTTGATCCCGTCCACCAAGACTTGGGGTGCATCTGTGCAGTCGTCTGCGGCTGTTGCTGTTGCTATTGCGTGTTGTTCTTGCTGTTGATGCTGTTGCTGGTGGTGCTGTTGCTGAGTGTCTAATTCCAGGGCAAGGTCATGATAATATCCAAGGATCTCCTTGCGGTAAAACTCTGGACTTCCTGTCAGCAAGAGAGGGCTCAATTCTTCCTGATCCACTGTGTCCCCCAGTCCTAAGGAAGGTATAACATCCTCGTGTTAAGTAAGTATTCTTATTCGTGCCTTCTTTGCGCAAAAAAGAAAAAGGGAAAGAAGGAAAGACGGACCTTCATCTGCAGCAGAAGCACACATGACCATGCTGACAAGCGCGAGTGCAGCAGTGGCGGCGACGAGGCACAGATATGTGGGTGGGGAGCGCATCTTGGAGTTAGTGTGTCTTGTTTGGCTACAAAAGAAAAGAAATTAGGGAGGTAAATCAGAATAATAAAAAAAAGAACAGGAAGAAAAAGAAAAGGAAAAAATGTGTGAGAGTAGGAATAAGAGAAGGGGTTGCATTGGAGTCATTAGCAGAAACGAGGAAAGGAGGATGCAAAGGGGGTAGAATGAAGCAATGCCTGATGGTCGGAGGCTTGTATCAAACAAACCACAGTTTGGCGCGAAAAAAACAAGGGGGTTTTCTCACGCATCCCTTGTGGTCGTGTCTTGATTTCGCGTAAGAGATGCTCGCGTCTTTAATAATAAAGTGATCTAACTTGTTATGATAGGAATGGACTAGCACTGAAAAGGGGAGGATAGAAAAATGAAGGAGGTCGAAAGCAGAATGGACCATGGCGCAGAAAAAGCTTGGGGGTCGACCAATGTTTACTCCTCGTCATCATATTCGTCGTCCTCAGTTAAGGCCTCGTACTCCTCAACCAACTCATCAGCAGCAGCCTCGGGGTCAGCCGCGACATGGAGACAGGCCTCAAGGGCATTGGAGATGCTGATGAGGACGGCAAGGTCGGCCTGGACGAATTGCTTGAGGGCATCAGAGTCGGCCTTTTGGACAATCTCCTGGCGGTACTGGTCCAAGAGGCTAGCTGAGAAGATGGGGCGGGTCGTCAGGAGGGCATCGTTCGAGCTGGCGATCGAGGACTGGTCCATGAGACCAATGATGGAAACTGCGGCAGAGATCAGGTTCTTGAGCTCCTCGTTGTTGGCATCGCTGGCGGCAGGGAAGCTCTGGGTAGCAGACTTGACGCCAGCGCGGTAGATGTCGGCAAGGTCGCCGCACATGGCAGGCTCGATCGCAATCTTGGACTTGTCACATCCTTTGACGGACTCAAAGATCTGAAGGATAGGGGTGATGTAGTCCACGACATTTGCGATCAAGGGCCCGACAACGGGAATGACGATGGCCATCTTGAGAGCTGAAACGACAGCATTGAGGGCTGTATTCACGGCGCCAAAAGCCGCATCGGAAATGTCTCCAAGTCCAATCTTCTCAAGGGCAACCTTGACAGCGCCGATGGCCGCCTTAATGATCGTCTTGATGGTATCGGGAATGGCAAGAGGACCCAAGGTACCATTAACGAAAGTGTCCACGCCCGGGAGAATTTTTTTAACAAAGTTGGGAACATCCTTGCAAAGATCTCCTGTTTCTTTGTGCTCTGTCGATGGTGGCGATGCGACTACTTGTGCTTCAAATCCACCGATGTTGAATTGGGCAAGGATATCACCACGGTACTCGAACTCGCTGACGGTATCTTGGGGGTCTTCGCGCTGCAGGGCAAGGGCAAAGTAGGATTGTTGGGCTCCTAATGAATTTATAGATATCGCGTGTGTGAGTATCTTCGAGTGCAAATTGTTGGCAGGAACAAGACATAAAAAGAAAATCTCTATACTTGAAAACTTACCTTGCTCGGGGGCGGACTGAGCTGAGACGCAGACAGCAGCAGCAAGGCACAGGGTTGCGGAAAAGATCTTCATCGTTGTTGTTGTAAGCCGTAGTACTGGATGAGATATGGAGCGAGTGGGAAGGAAGGGAGAGAAGGACAGCAAGAAGTATAAGGAACAAGAAAAGAAAAAGTCTAAAAAACGAAGTGGAATATTACTTTATGTAGTGAAATGTATTTTCTTGCCCTTGACGAATGATCAGGCAAGCGAACGAACGTGAGAACAATCATTGCCTTTGCTTTAGCGTTGGTTAAGAAGTGTGTGAGAGATGCACGAATTGGGGCATGAGAATAATCCGATGAGGAAGTAAAAAGGGAGGAGACATTCATTTTTCCTTTGTCCCCACAGGGGGCAAAAAGTGATAAGTTTAAAGGGGAGAAAGAATGAGCAAGAATGAAAACAACACGATAGGGAAGAGGAATAATACGTCGCTCCTTTCTTCTCCTTTCTTCTCTCCTTCTCGTAACAGAGGAAGAAAAGGAGAAGGGAGTAGTATTCTCTACCAGGCACAGGACATCGTCGTCTTAACAATGGTGGGAGGTATTGTGTTTTTATTTAGTTGCTAACAAAAGACCTATCCTCATATATGACAATAGGGGGTGGGGAACAGACCTGATCATCTTTCAGCTTGAGGGAAAAGGAGGAAAAAGAGCATTCATTTGACTATTGGTCTTCCTCGCCCACTTCATCCTCATCATTCTCATCATTGTCATCCTCAAAGCGAGCCTGGGCATTCAATTCCTGCTGCAGTTCCTCAGCTGCAACAGCGGGATCTGCAGCAACACGCAGACATGCCTCAAGAGCATTCGATGCACCAACAATGGCACCCAAATAGGTCTGTGCGTAGATCTTGGCATCATCGTTCTCAGCAACGCGGAGATATTCGTCGCGGTATTGGTTTAGAAGGTCGGCGGCAAAGATCGGGCGGGTGTTCAGCAATGCCTCGTTCGACTGTGCAATGGCGTTCTTGCTCAATTGCAACACAGATGACACTCCGGCGGCGATTCTCTTCCATTCGTCAGAGGCGGTATCGGGTACGGTTGGTGCGTTGGTGGTGGCATCCGTGACAAAGAGGCGGTACATATCGGCGGTTGGGGCGCAGTGACCTTGAGTGATGGCCAACTTGGAGCCGCCCAAGACACACTGGACAGCGGTGCGGATGATGGGCTTGGCAGACTCAATGACCTTGACGATAGGAGAAATGTCGAATGGGAGTGGGATGTATTCGATGGTCGCGAGGATGGTCTTCAGTGTGGAGAATGTAAAGTCAAGACCAGCAACGATGCCGCTCGAGTCGGTGGTGACTTTACCGACCAGGTCCTTCAGTCTCTCGAGCTGTTGGACGAGGAACTGGAAGGCAGTTCCGACGAATGGGATGTTTGTAACAGATTTCGCTGCTTGGATGGTTCCAGTCAACACAGCGTCGATAGCGAGCTTGTAAGCAATACAATCCAAGCCCTCGGCTTGAAAATCGCGGTTGAGAGAGTCGAGGAGTTCAGCCCGGAAAGAGATCTCGGCGGCAAGCTCGGCTAACTCGTCGGCTTTCAAGGCGAGTTCCTCGGGGGTGGCGGCGACAGCCCATGCGTAGTTATCCTGGATGCCGACGACATCGAATTCAGCTGTTGATACGATAGAGTTAGATGTAGGTGAAGATGGCCCATGAGAGTGGATTAATACAAACGCGGTCTCTGTCGATTTCATGCAAATGTTGACGATTTTCAGTCAAGGCGGTCAGAAAACGAGACAGAGAGAGAGAGCATCTAATTTACCTTGCTGTTGCTGTTGTTCAGGAGCAACTTGGGCGGCGACACAGGCGATGGCAGCAGCGCAGAGGGCGAGGGACAAAATTCTCATGATAAAAAAGTAGCTGGATGGAGAGGTAAGAATGTACTGACTGAGGACGGATTGGGTTGTTCAAGAGTGAAAGAAATAGAAAGAGGGGATTGGGCTAAAGAGACGCAAAAGAGTTGAGTAAGTTGGGAGAGATTACAAGGTCAGCCAACCAAGCAAGGATACCAAGAGAAAAGGGGTATCAAGAATGGCCTTTTCTTTTAGCTTATCTTCTTTTTTCCCAAGTCAAAAGGGGAAAGAAACATACGGATTGAGTAACGATGGACGGTGTAATAGGATACGGTGAGGGTTAGGGATTTTAAATGCCTAGGAACACGCCATCCATAAGCTATACACGCGATAAAGTACTCGATCTTGTATTGGAGATGAAGAAAGAACAGGACGCATCAAAGCCACAGCATTTTTTTTTTTTTTTTTTTTACTTTGCCTTTTTTTGACTTTGCCTTGTCCAAAGAGAAGACTCACACCATTACCTCACCCACGACAGACCCGACATTCGCAGCAACAACAACAAGACCATGAGCAGCAACAAGACCTTCGACACACTCACCGAGGACTTGATCGAGATCCTCGCATCATACCTGGAGCCACTGGACTTGGTTCACCTCGGCGCAACATGCAAGCACCTCCAAAAGTCCATCAACCGTTCTGAAATCTGGGAGCAGTAAGTTTTCGAAAACAGCAAGAGGACACCCGCAGTAGGGTTATCATAGGAGTAGCAATGAGAAGGAGGAAGAGGAGTCAAGGAAAAAGAATTTGTATGTCCATGCTTGGAGTTGAAAAACATGCTGTTGCTAACCACCTTTGAACACGTCTCTTTTGTACCATCATCATTCAACGAAACACAATAGCAAGGCAGTGGACGATTTTGGCGACAGATTCACAATTACTTCGATTCTGGACTCTGCAGGATTGGATCTTGGCGACCAGCTCAAGCCCGAGCCTTTAGACTGGCGTCAGTACTACCAGGAGAGACATGTGGCTATGACTAAGATGAACGCCAGCGCAGACGATCAGATCTCACAGTCAGAAAAGGATTACGACGAGGCCCAAGAGCTCTTGAGAGGTTTCCAGTCAACGGGCGATGTTGACTCTTTAAGCAATGCCGCGCAGTTGATGGTCGGCGTTTTGGGTATGTGGAAACCTCATGAACCGCAGTGAAAGACGATCAAATTTTAGCCTTTTCTTGTTTCTCATCAATTGGTAATGTTGTAATGCTTCTATTGAATAGATAACTTTCCTGGACACGCTGGATGCTACCATTTGCTCGGATTCACCCTCTATGTCATCAACGAGCTTGAGGATGCTCTTTCTTTGCTCGAGATCGGAAGCATGGTTGACCCTAACTACGAGCCAATCAGCGGTATGTGCCTTCCACATTTCACACAGGACACGAGGAGTATTTTGGCTGCCAGCTTGCCATCTTGCGTGAAGGACAGGTAGTCGTTGATCTGCAAGAAGAAAACATACTCACGAGCGACAACTTCTCGACTTTTGCGATAATAGAGCTGACAAGAGAGATTCAAGGATTGTTGGAGGGATACGGATCAACCATGACGGATGGAGCACCATTGCTGGACAATGCCAAGGAGCTCTCAGCACCCTTGAAGGCAGCCTTGACGGCCATTTTCAACTCATTCGACAAGGACAAGGACGGCAGCCTTAAGCCCTCGGAGCTTTCCGAGTTTGTCTACAAGACCAACGGCAGCCGACCTCCCCAGGCCTTCTTGACCCAAATGGGTATTCAGTTTGGAAAAGATGCACAGGGATACTTGACCTTGGAGGGATTCTTCAACTTTTTCTTGGAGCAGACGTTAGAGGATCCCATTGAGACGCGTCGTGATTTGGAGAAGCATGGATGGGACGGCGACCGTCTCGTTCGTTGCGACATTGCCAGGAACGCATAAGGAATGGAAAAAAAACAACTCATACTCATATCATGCATTCAATACAATCCTCTCATCCTGCACTGGAATGTTGTTTTTGCTTTTATTCCGATGCTGATACCAATACTACTTGCCATTAAGGATCGCGAAAGCCAAAGCCAAAAGCCAAAAAAAAAAAAAAAAAAAAAAAAAAAAAAGGGGTTGACAGTCAAGCGTTTTGGATGCTACTTTGATGCCAGTTCCGCCTCAAGTCGTTTGCACTTTTCCCGATATCGTACAATCTCCTGTGCTGTGGTCTTGAGGGCCTTGTCCAACCGTTCGACTTCTTCCTGTTCTGCCTGCAGACTGAATTGATGATGTGGCGTCTTCTTGAGCGGGACATTTGACGTTGTGTTTTCCTGCAGTATGGTGTAAAAGCTGTCGATCGGCTCGTTGAACACCTATTAGCCCAAAAAGCGAAAATGCTCACGTTAGTTATGTTTCCTCTCTTCGTTCTAACGAGGCAATGATCCTTACAGTTGTGAAGTAAAACTGCAACTTTACAATCTCATCGTATTGGTAGCTTGTAACGGGTTTCTGCTTGGGCCATGGGTTGCCGAGCCCATCCTCCTCGTACGGATGCAGCTTCAGATGGTGGTAGAGTGTGAGTGGTTTCTCGCCGCTGATAGGATTGAAGTGGATCTTGATGATGATGTCGAACTCTCCCCATCCTGTCTCTGTTACTTCGAATGGAGGCTTTTCAATAACTAATATGATGTGTGAAGATAAAAAGAGAGAATACCATATGTCAGTGAGCGAGAAAGAGAAGACGGTAGTATCACCGTCCGTTGCCTTCGTTTTTCCTATGAGGATTAATTACTTCTGTTGGGGTTGTCGTAGGTGTCGTGCAGCTTGAAGGCGACCTTGCGAATGAAATATGAAATGTCTTCGTTGTTGACGCCCCGCACTGAGATTGTCCAGCGATGTGTATGGTCGGCGTCGCCGCCCTTCTTCCCGTTCAGTGGCGTTGCCGAGTTTCCGTAGATAATTGGCCTTGCCAGTGAGAGACCCTACGACATATAAATGAGTGAGGTTGACGAATTGTTAATTGGAAGTGTCGGCGGTTTAGTTTTCCTTTGCGATGGCATTGTTAATGTCAAGAGTTGCGTTTCCTTTGTCCTTGGTACCTTCATTCTCTTGATCGATGTCATGCTACTGTGGTTGTCGTTTGTTGATGTACGTTGAGTTGTTGCTGTGTGTGGAGGAGTAATAGTGGAGCAAAGCGCGAAGGGCGCCTTTGAGGTGCAGCAGGAAAAGGGGAGGAAAAAGCAGTATCAAATTACATTTGCGACTAAAGATCCTTCTGGCGTGGCTTTGCTCCTTCGTTCAGGGACCAGTCTACATGTGGGCTGGTTATTTCACGTGCTTGCTGCTGGCTCTTGTCCGTGGGCATCGAAAAAAGATGAAAAAGTGATACGTTAGCCTCATCTCGCGCTTTTATCTCTTTTCTCTTCTCAACTCTCTCGTTCCCCTTCTTCTCTCTACTCCACCCCTCTCCCCTCACCTTCACCTTCCACACACATACACATTTACGACAATGCTCCGCTCTGCCACCTCTACCCTTCGCCGCGTTGCTGCCGTCAAGGCCGCTCCCGTTCAGCAGGTCGCCGTCCGCTCCTTCTCGACCACCATGGCCTCCCAGAACGTTTCCTTCGGCCTCAGCGAGGATCAGCTCGCCATCCAGGAACTCGCCCGCAAGTTCACCGAGGACGAGATCATCCCCATCGCTGCCCACCACGACCGCACCGGTGAATACCCCACAGAGTTGATCCGCAAGGCCTGGGAGCTCGGATTGGTCAACACCCACGTCCCTCAGAAGTATGGCGGTCTTGGTCTCGGTGTCTTTGATGCCTCGCTCGTCTCGGAGGAGTTGGCTTACGGATGCTCTGGTATCCAGACTGCCATTGAGGCTAACGGATTGGCTGAGGCCCCCCTCATTGTTGCCGCCAACGATTTCCAGTTGAAGAAGTACCTCGGCAGAATGACTGAGGAGCCTCTGATGGCTGCCTACTGTGTGACTGAGCCCGGTGCAGGATCTGATGTTGCTGGTCTCCAGACCAGGGCTGTCAAGAAGGGCAACAAGTGGGTCATCAACGGACAGAAGATGTGGATCACCAACGGAGGCAAGGCCAACTGGTTCTTTGTCCTCGCCAAGGTAACTTGTTCTTTCACTTTTTTTTTTTTATTGTTCAACAACACATGCTAATGCGGTTGCTATTGCGGCAAAGTACAATTGAAAAGAGTGGTGTGACTATTTTCCCCCATGGGTGAATGGGGTGAGTTGATCCAGTCATAAGCGAGAGCGACATTTTTGTATCTCCATCTCGTTTCTGTCCTGTCCCTTGTTCCTGGTACATTCATCGAACACACGCTCTTTATTCTTTGTGCCGGACAATTTATTATCACTTTGCCGCTACTGAGGGAGGGAGACCAACTTTATTGTTCGTTATCCTTCTGCTCAGCAGGTTGGGCGATATCGACACTCCTTACTCCTCACTTGATCTAATTGACGCTGTGGATTAAATAACTAATCACTTCCTACTATTACTACCCAACTGATATAACTAGACCGATGCCAATGCTAAGACTGGCCAGGCTTTCACTGGTTTCATTGTCGATGGCGACTCCAAGGGAATCACAGTTGGTCGCAAGGAGCAGAACATGGGCCAGCGTGCCAGTGATACCCGTGGAATCACATTCGAGGATGTCGAGGTCCCCGAGGAGAACGTGTACGTGTACCATCTTTTTTTTTTGTTTTTCTTTGCGTCTTTGTTGTTGTTGCATGTGATCCCTTTGTTTTGTTTGTATCTGTCATTCCCTTTCCCTCTTGCAGGGTGGTACCTTGATGTGGGAGAGAAGAAACAACAACAGAGAAAGAGAGCAAAATGCGGGGTAACTTTAAAAACGATCATATCACGACACACGGAACTTTTTTTTAATTGACTAACCCCTATCTCCTCTCTTCCATCTCTCCTTCTCATCATAGTCTCGGCAAGGTCGGACAGGGATTCAAGATCGCCATGGGCGCTTTCGACATCACCCGCCCCCTCGTCGCCGCCGGAGCTGTCGGTTTGGCCCGCCGCGCCATGGTCGAGGCAACCAAGTACGCCGTCGACCGCAAGACGATGGGTAAGCCCATCATCGAGCACCAGGCCGTCAGCTTTATGATTGCCGACATGGCCATCGGTATCGAGGCTGCTCGTCAGATGGTCTGGAAGGCTGGTTGGTTGAAGGATAACGGCCACCGCAACACCTGGGAGGCCTCCATTGCCAAGGCCCTCGCTTCCGATGTTGCCGTCAAGTCTGCCTGTGATGCCGTCCAGGTCTTTGGTGGTGCTGGATTCAACACCGAATACCCCGTCGAGAAGTTGTACAGAGATTCAAAGATCTTCCAGATCTATGAGGGTACCTCCCAGGTCCAGAGACTTATCATCGGAAAGGGTGTTGTTGACCGCGTCCTGGCCTAAAATTGTATACTGTACCTGTACATTGTTTGAAAAAAATCATTGCCAAATAGAATAAAAAAAAATGAGAGGGTCTTTATGATTCATTGTAACATAAACTACACCGCGCCTGCGCGTTCTAAAGCTAAAGGGTGTCTAAGAGGGAGATGATCATGTCTAAGTTTTCGCGATACTCCAGGTGTCGCGTTCTAGAGGGTACCCAAGAGGGAGATGATCATGTTCAAGTTCTCGCGATATTCCAAGTGTCCACTAACAATATCGGTCAGATCGACGTTCTCGATGCGCGACGCTGCCTCAACAGGCTGCAGACCTGCAACATCCAGTCCCATGGCGTGGAGGCGGTAGATGGATGCCAGCACCACATCTTTCTTGGAATACCCATTGATAAATCGATGAGAGACCACAGAAGAAGCCGCCTTCCACTTGTCGGTCATGTCAGTCTTGATAGGAGCACCCAGCAGCACCACTAATATTTTTTTTCGTAGCATTTTGTGTGACAGAGGGAAAGAGAAAGAGCAGGCAGCTTATTATTAGTAAGGCGAATTTCTATCTTGTCCAAAAGGGGATCGTGAAACAAAAAACATGGCATCGGAATGTGAGCATTAAAAAACATACCGGAATTGATGAGGCCGTGTTCTTTACGCTTGGCCAGTTCGAGAAGACACTCCCAGATCACAACAGCGCCCGTCGAGTATCCGATCAACGTGGTGGGCCGGTTGCCCTGCACGCGCTCTGTCAAGATATCCGCCAGAACATAGCCCGCCTTGCGCGCTCTATCCATAGCAACCACCCTAATTCATTATCAAGAGAGAGCACAAGACATATACATTTAGTTGGAACATTGCGGCAAGACAACATCACGAGGACACTGCAGTTCATAGTAATATCATCCCCTTACCATGGGTTGTCGATCAAGTCGCCGGCGCGCATAAGTCCAAAAGGCAAGACGAGAGCACTCGCCAATGCAGCAAAGACCGTCTGCGAAATGACCTGTGTCGAGACCATCCGGACAGCCTCTGTCGCAAGAAACACCTTGAAGGCGTTTCCGAGAGTGACCAGCTCAGCGGGCTCAAATGTCAGGTGGAAGACATCATTCCCATTCAGCGCGCTCTCTGTAGTCCCTTGCCATGCATCAATGACTTCCGATTCGTCAAACAGGTAGCCCGAGATGACAATGTCCAGCTATGTTACAAAACGGAGTTGTTTGGGCGTTAATAATTTGCACTAAAAAAGGGCGCTTTACTTTGACATGAATAGTTATCATTTCGTTGCTTACATGAAGGGAGGGGATCTGTGGCAGAGTCGGGTCCTTGACGATGGGTGTGAATGAAAGCACCTTCAAATCTGTGAGTCGTGAAGAGAACGGTTAGTGTCAACACAAACAGGCCTTTACATCCGCGCATCATATTTTTACAATATGGCAAAAAAGGTAATACCTTTTGTCCTTCGGTGCATCTTGTATCCGGCCAAGCCGCCTCCGGCCAATCCAAAGAGTGACGCCATGACTGCAATTCCGGCGGTGGTTCCCAGGACAGCCGCGCCGGATCCCAGCAATACTCCAGCTCCAACAGCCACCAAAGGTGCAGCTAAACCTCCTGTCAGTCCGATCACGGTGGCGCCTGCTGCAATCGAAAGTCCTGTAGCAACATACTTCCACGTCTTTTTCTTCTTTTCCAGCTCCTGCATCGATGTTTTAGCCTGTGTTTGCATCGCTACACCGTGTGGGTTCACGGGGACGGGCTGACTGACACTAGCTCGGTTGCCACGAAAGTTGTTGAAGAATGCGCCGAATCTGGCTCCAGCTCCTTGTCCTTGATTCTGGAATCGCTGTTGTTGCTCGAGTTCTTCCTGAAGCCGCCTTTCTTCTTCCAACTCCTCCCTCTCTGCTTCAATAAGTTCCTGCTGATGAAAGTAGAGATGCTGCGCAATCTGCTTCTCAATGTGTACAAAGGATTCGTAGGAGAGGTGGAGGTAGTTGCACATCTCGAAAATGATAGCTCTTGCACGGGCATCATACTCTAGAGGTTCTACTCGTCCCGATAACTTGCTGCTGGATGATGACGATGACGACGAAGAGGACAGAGAGGATATGGTGGTGGAGATGCTGGGTGCCCTAGGTGGTAGCTCCGGTGGTCGCTCTCCCTGATATTGATTCAACGGCTGGCGTGGCGGGAGCTGTGGAGGAGACGAGATTTCAATAGGCGGGACTAATGCTCCAGCAGTCGATTTCTCGTCATCCTTCCAAATGTCTGTGGCCTCGAATGGGTACATGTCGTCGTGCTCAGTGTATCCTGGCGGTATGTCCGTGTTGAAGCCCACGAGATCCTGGCTTAACGATGATGAGAGCGACTGTTGAGATGAGGACTGCGGGATAGGGCTAGGGAGAGGAGGGGTTGGCGTTTTCGTTCGGCTTCTGGTCGAAGGGTCGAAACCAAGACCAATGTAGAGCAGATCGTTAATGACCTCTAGTCGGATATCTATTTCAGGGGAATCTTCCTCTGCAACGGACTGTAGTTGGTCCATGACCTTCTGATGCGGCGAAGACCATGCAGAGGACTTTGGTTGTCCATATTGGTGTTGATGGTGAACGCTCCTCCTGCGGCGTGTGGGTGAGAGGGGCGGTGAAGAGACTGGCGATGAGACTGTAGAGTTCTGGCGAGGGGAGGCAGGGGATTGAGAGCGGGAGCGGGAAGGCTGACGACGATACATGGCTGGCAGGAGGGGCTCTGCCAAGACTTGTAGGTTGCAGTCCTGATACGAAAGGGTTTCCTGAAGCGACAGGAACATCTCTTGCTCGGCACGAGAGGTGATTCCAAGCTGCTTAAAGAGGGAGCGGAGGAAAGGGTGTTTCCAGGGTAAAGTTTCGACACCCTGGGAGGACTCGAGGGCGCTGATAGCGCATGCGGTCAGGGTGGCGACGGAGAAAGATTGCTCTTCGGTCCAGTGTTCGGCGTAGGTTTCGATTGAAAAGACGGTTGCCTCTTCGTCCTGGGGCTCTTGTTCCTGGAAAGTGTCGTCGTTTAGGTAGTGGGGTGGCATGGGGGAACCGTTCAACGGTGATGAGGGTGCGGAGTTCATGTGAGGTGAATGAGAATGACGTGCAAGTGTCGGTGTTAGGAGTGAAAAAAAGGAGAGTGATAGGGAGGAGAAAGTGGAGAAGGAAGGAGAAGAAAGGAGAAGAAAGGAAAGGAAAAGAAAGAAGGAAAAATGGAAATACCAGGACAACAGCCTAGGCACACATGAATTGGCACGGACTTGTTGTCTCTCCTATTTTTGCATGAGCGAAGCAATAGGCAACAAAAATACATACATCATCGACACTGGACTGTACTAAGACTGGGCTAGTTCGTGTCCAGGTGGATTCTGGCTGTGGTCATTGACAAACAGTGGTACGATCAATACAGAGTAGAGACCCTCTTTAGTCTCAGAACCGTAGATGCTATGCTATGCTATGCTGGTGGATCGGGGCGTCGGGGGCGTCAGGGGCGTCATCCAAGCCAAGCCTGGACAAGGTACGACCACCTTATCCTATCATCACCAAGTCACGTGCAGAATGCCTGCCCTTTCGCTCCTTCAATTGGCCTGGCCTTGGTGCTCCTGTTCACCATCACACCTCTTCCAGGCCATCTCGCCACCAACAGAAATACATCTACACCCCCTCGACAAAGGAACATGGACGTCTTCAGCAAGCCAAAGTTCTTTGCCAACAACGCCAAGGGTACTTTCTCGCGCACACGCACAGGGACAGGACGCAACGCCCTTTCTATTGTCTAGATTCCATCAGCATCCATACCCCTGGAACCCGACATGGCTAACACTCGTTGAAACACTTCTCATTCAAAATAGGCGAGAATGCAGAGCTGGTTGTAGAGCTGAACAGTGAATACCGCGACCGCCGCAAGGATGCAGTCAAGCGTGTTATTGCCAACATGACTGTCGGCAAGGACGTCAGTGGACTCTTCCCTCAGGTCGTCAAGAATATGCAGACGGAGGATTTGGAGATGGTAAGGACGTCCTTTGTTCTTCTTCAGTTGAACTCGATCAGGATTGTCCACACATCGATCTGTCAACACCAGCTAACCACACTTATCTTGGTTATAGAAAAAACTTGTGTACCTCTACTTGATGAACTATGCAAAGTCCAACCCAGATCTTGTCATCTTGGCCGTTAACACATTCGTGAAGGTAAAAGCCTGATTAGTCTCACCTTGTTTCATTGTTGTATACATCCGACCGCAATTCCAATTCAAAGTATCTCACAACAGTCTCTCTCTTATATGCGAAATACTGACACTTCGTTCATTAGGATACGGATCACGTCAACCCTTTGATCCGCGCATTGGCGATCCGCACAATGGGATGTATCCGCGTGGACAAGATTCTGGATCATTTGTGTGAGCCATTGAGAAAGTGCCTTCAGGACGATAACCCATACGTGCGCAAGACCGCCGCTCTGTGTGTCGCCAAGTTGTGGGATCTGGATCAGGAACGCGCTATCGACAATGGATTCATCAACACCCTTCAGGATCTGATCTCGGACTCGACCCCCATGGTTGTTGCTAACGCGGTGATCGCGTTGGCAGAGATGCAGGAGTCGTCTGTCAACAAGGACGTGTTTGTGGTCAATGTGGCCGTCATGAACAAGATGTTGGCTGCCTTGAACGAGTGCAACGAGTGGGGTCAGATCGCCATTTTGACATCGCTTGCAGAGTACCGACCACTGGATTCCAAGGAGGCTGAAAGCGTCTGTGAGAGGGTTGTTCCTCGTCTGCAGCACGCCAACGGATCTGTCGTCCTGTCCGCTATCCGCGTCCTTATGATCTTTTTGAGATACATCCGCAACGATGAATTCACCAAGGGACTGATTAAGAAGATGTCGCCACCACTTGGTAAGTCAGTGGAGAAGATGCGCTTGTTTTCTACAGGATCGAAGAACTACCAATGTGAACGCTCTTGACTAATAACGAATGGCATTTCATTTTTCAAATCAATGTAGTTTCATTGTTGGCCTCAGCTCCAGAGGTCCAGTATGTGTCTCTCAGGAACATCAACTTGATCTTGCAAAAGCGCCCCGATATTCTTCAGAACGACGTCCGCGTCTTTTTCTGCAAGTACAACGACCCTCCATATGTCAAACGGGAAAAGCTGGAGATCATCATCCGTCTCTGCAACGACAAGAACGTCGACCAGATTCTTTCTGAGCTTAAAGAGTATGTTGCACATGTGAGACGATTTTATTTTCATTAGATGAGCTATATAATACGCCAGGACGTAGCTAACTGAATTGCGTTGCTTTAATGATATTAGGTATGCTTCGGAGGTTGATGTCGAATTCGTCCGCAAGGCTATCCGGGCAATTGGAAGATGTGCCATTATCATTGACGAGGCGTCAGAGAGATGTATCAACGTTCTTTTGGACCTCATCAACACCAAGGTCAACTATGTTGTCCAGGAGGCTATTATCGTCATCAAGGTACTCCTCTTTATACTACTAGCGAAAGCAACTAATGCGTCGATTCGAAAGCGAATACTAATGCTACTGAAACCATTCGTGAAATGAATAGGACATTTTCCGCAAGTACCCACAACGCTACGAAGCAATCATCCCCACCCTCTGCCAAAATCTAGACTCGCTGGATGAGCCAGAGGCCAAGGGATCATTGATCTGGATCGTCGGAGAGTACGCCGAGAGGATCGAGAACGCCGACGAATTGATCGAGAACTTTTTGGAGACTTTCCTGGAAGAGAACTCCCAGGTCCAACTGCAGCTGCTGACTGCCACAGTCAAGTTGTTCTTGAAGAAGCCATCACAGTCGCAGGAGATTGTCCACAGAGTCCTCCAGACTGCTACACAGGAGATCGACAATCCAGATACCAGAGATCGCGCATACGTTTACTGGAGACTGTTGTCGACGGACCCCCAGGCAGCAAAGGCGGTCGTTTTGTCAGAGAAGCCACCCATCTCTGTCGACTCGAGTGCCGACAAGCTTTCGCCTGCTCTGATGGATGAGCTTATCAACAACATTTCGACTCTGGCTTCTGTCTACCATAAGCCTGCAAGCGCATTCATGGGCAACAAAGCCTTCAGCGCTGATGCCGTGCGCAAGGCTGCCGTCGCAGAGTAAGTGAAACGCTCTCATGACAGCTGTGGAATTACTGTCATCGCAGCAGGAATCGCTTTGGACCTTTGACTCACCATATCGTACTGTATGTTTTCACTTTGATAGCGCAAGGGACGAGGAGCAGATCATGGGCGAGGACACTGTCACATCGCCTACAGCACCAGCAGCAAACGCACCCAAGAACGTCATGGCCGACCTTTTGGATCTGGACTTTGGATCCTCCGAGTCCGTCGCTACCCCTGTCATGTCGCCACCCACAAGCAACAAGAGTGGACCAAATTACAGTGCCGATCTGTTTGATATGTCGTCGGATATGTCATCAGGAGGCGGAAGCGGCGTGTTCGGTGGCATGGGCGGCATGGGTAGTATGAGTGATATGGGAGGATTGAACAGTGGGTTCCAGCAGAACCAGAGCCAGAACACAGCAACGTCGCCTACCGCTTCGAGAAACGACGCGTTTGGCGACTTGGCTGGCTTAGGAGGCTTTGGACAGCCAGTACTAGCGGTATCACAGCCAAAGCCGACCAGCAGCACGCAATCATCCACAGTGAATGACCTGCTCGACTTGTTTTAATGTCGCGGAGAAGGTAGCCATAGAAAAATAAAGATAATATAATTTTGTTTACACCTCTCCTTTCCCCTTTTTCTTTCGGCCATGATCATGGTTTTTTGCCTATTGACAAATCAATAGCCCCTTTGATTAGGCCAAGGAAGAGCTTTCAGCGAGAAATGGAATGCAAGAAAGGTGGTTGTTTCTCACTCCCCCCCCCCTTTTTTCGCGCAAGTCCATCTGCCCTTTCATAAGTGTCTGGCAGAACTATTCACCTTTTTTCGTTTCGTTTTCCAACTCTTGCAGCATCTCCCCTCTTCGTTTTCCTATCTTTCCTCATCCCCTTCTCTTCCGCCTAACGCCCGCTGACGAAGAACACTCACGCACAGATTTTTCTTATTTCCAACACCTTGACACCATACTCGAACACCGGCAAAACCCCCCCCCCAGAAAAAAATATGACACGACCGAACAGCACAATGTCAGCATCGGCAAGGCGGATCCTCCTTCTCGGAGCGACTGTGATATTAATCGGCTCCAGCTCGTCTTCTAGCTTTCTCTATCGGTCTAATACCGGGAGCGTCGCGTATGCCCAGGGTGTTATTGTCCAACAAGCACCCAGTTCAGGTACGACATAAAGACAAGGGCGATGGGTAATGCGAGCAAAAGAAAGTACGACATCTGTATCTTTGTCTTTGCTTACCATGATACCTATGATATTTTATTTGTTCGAGAATAGACCTAGCAAGCGAACCGGCAGCGCAGGCAGCAATCAATATCGGACACGGCAACATAGGACGCCAAGGGGAGGATGGAGAGGTAGTGTCGGCAGAGGTCAAGACTGAACGACGACCTTTGATCGCGGTCCCGATCATAGTCCAGGTCGGTCCGCAGGGGAAGATTGTAGGATCGGCGGCAGCGAGTGAAGGGGTTCGATTTGAGCTTGATCATCAAGTTCCTCCACCGCCATTTGAGCAAGAGGGCACAGGGAGCAGCAGCGGCAGCAATAAAGTTCGACGTGCGGATCCGATGGCTGACCAGCCAGTGGCGCCAGCAGAGGCGGTAGCGGCGGAGATTCCGACTTTGGTACCGGAAGAGGCTAATGCTTTGAAGAATGGCGCCGAGCTCCCAGTAGCGGCTGCACCTCCAACCCAAGACGAGGCAAAATTGGCAGAACCAGCAAATGTAGTTTCATCAGACTCGAAACTAAAGGCGGAGACGAACCCAGCCACGACCTTAGAAACGACTCCAAGCACACAACCAATCGCCCAGACAGAGGTTCACGCCGAACCAAACCAAGAGAACAAGGAGGCAGCACAGGCAGCGTTCAAGGAACCGGAGCTACAAACAAATCAACCAGAGAAGATCACGAGAGAATCCCCTATCAGTGCGCCTGCTGCAGACGCATCCGAGAAAGCCGACCAACAACTATCCACCCCATCGGCACCAGTGATCGATTTCACACTCCTGGACATGGACCCCAATATCCACGCGATCCTGGATGCTAGCGCCGAAGAATTTGGATCCCCACAGAATTCTCCCCCCACGTACGCCGCTGTTATTAGCCTCAAGGACACGGAAGCGAATGGACCAGCTAAGGCTAAGGTTGATGCTGAGGAGCAAAAGAAGAAGGAAGAAGCCACTGCCACCGCCGCACAAGCAGCAACAGAGTCGGAGGTTGTTGACGGGAAGGCCAAGGTCCTCTTCGAACAATACCGAGCCAAGGTCGAGGCCGAGTTAGAGTCGTACAAGTCCAAGGTGTCGCCGAGCGACGGCGAGGATGTGTCTGAGATCGGAGACTTGTCGTCTCCCGGGGAATCGATCGTTCCGCCGCCTGCAGTGGATTCCACGCTCGTGCAACCACTATCACCTGTGACGGCCGATAAGAGTCAAGAGAAGGAGAGAGTGGAGGAGAAGGTGATTGTGTCGACGGAAGGAAAGCTGGTCAAGGTGAACAAGCTGAACAAGAACCACGATGACTTTGAAGGGTCGCAGGAGACCAACTCGGGTGACGATGTCGACTCCCGACCTCAGGTTTTGATGCATCATCACCACCTCCATGTCAGCGGAGGGTCTCGCAAGCAACAGCAGATGCAGCAGCAACAGCAGCAAAAGCAGGAATATAGCGATAGCAACAACAACGTCATTGTTGCAAACGACGATGGTCCACTAGTGTTTGGCTCTCCCGTCCTGGAAACCACCCCAGCCATCCACCAAGTGCTGAGCCAAATCGATAACGACGACGGCGACGACGATGAAGATGAGGACGACATTGACGTCGAAACGGTAACCCACCCACCTCCCCCTTCCTTCCCACCAACGGCCGTCCCTCCAGAGGAACTCCGTAACCGAGGCTTGGTCCCATCAGTCAAGGGCGGCTACCACTGCACCCCTCAGCTCTGTGTCAACGTCTCTCTCACGGACGACGGCCAATTTGCAACATTCCACATTGAGCGATCGATGGACGAAACAGGATGGATCTCCCTCGGAATCGGATACGCCATGACCACGGCCGATCTTCTTATCATGTGGCCCAACAAGGACCCGGCAAGCGGCGGCGGTCCTCGCGGTGCAACCCTATCGCGTCGAATAAGTCACGCCTATGTCGAGCCCCAACTGGTCAGCCGTGAAGAGTCCGAGATCAAGGCCTCGGGCAAGGGCGAAAGCCTCTACCCCGAGAATGAATACATCCTCCACAACCCTTATAAGAGCCACAACAGTGGAGATGTCGCCACCGCCATGATAGCAGCAACCCAGGTCTTCCCTGCAGAAGGCAATAGATTCATTGTCCAGTTCACCCGCCCCGTCCGGACCCAGAACCGCGCCTACAAGTTGACCCCAGGCAAGGAACAAGACTTTTGTTGGGCCTACTCTCCCAACCCAATCTCTGCCGATTCAATCGCGGACCCGGGGGCGCATATCACACAGCACATGTCAGTGGGATCGTTTGCGATGGATGTCGGTGCAAACCAACCGCAGCTGAAGGATGCAATCTTGAAGCAGCAGGAGATGGATGCGAAGGAGGCTGTGATTGAGAAGGAGCGCAAGAAGTGGGCGTTGGAGGAGAGTAACAGGAGACTGAAGGAGGATGAGAGGGAGAGAACCAAGGACGAGAAGCACAGGGTTTCGGCAAAGCATAAGGCTGGTAGTGGTAGTGGTTCGAAGACAAAGACGTCGGATGCGTCGTCGCGGTCTTGGTTGCGGGTTGTTGGTTACGGTGGAGGATCGTCGTCGTCGGTGATTGCTCTGCAGGGGTTCTCATGTCTGGTCGCCTTGGCATTTATGTGGTTTTTTCGTTAGGAACTGGAAAAATACTCAAAGTACCAGCCATCAAATGTTGGTGAACGAAGTTGATGATGAAGGAGAAGTCGATGGCAGCAGTGATGCCCTTGAACTCCAGAACCGTTAGGCCAAATTTCGTACATAAATTCTTTTTGCTTCATTATCGAAATAAGCGCCAGGCGCCGCAAACACATGGGCCATTTGAACCCTTGTCATGGTCAAAGCAGACACATGTGCCCGAAGAGTTCAAGATAAAATTCGAGCACGTTGGCGTCCTGTCCTCGTTGGCCACTAAACACCCCTCTGTGAGTCCGATCACCTCGTGTACAGCACGTCCATCAACTTCATGGCACGAAGAAGTAAAAGCCATTTACTGTCTAAAGTGGTGGGAAAGAGGCTAATAGGTTGCCAGGATGGACAAATTGGGGGACAAACAATTGTTCCCTGGGAAGGAGGGCAGTGCCATTGTATTTCGAGCCTGGCACAAAATGCCACGAAAAAAAAGCCGCCCTGCCCTGCCCTGTTCAGCAACCATGTTTTATTTTTGAGTTCAGACCCCACGAGAGGGAAGAAAAATCTCAGCCAGGCAGAGGTGCGTCCGTCGGGTTTCATTCGCACTTTTGACCCTTTCAGGAGCGAGGCCGAGAAAATGCTTTCGGAGATGAGGCCAGAGACCGATGAAGAAGAAGCCTGATACAAGATAAGGATTGCTACCGTGGGCTTCTTGACCCTTGTCTTCCAAGGAAAAATAGTCAAAAACAAATAAATATAAAGATACTCCAAGTCCCCAGCCTTTTTTTGTCGATGCAGCACCAGCCAACGACATACTGGGCCGGTGTGCCCTTCATTTGTTTTTTGTGTTCATGGAGAAACTCTAGGAGAAATTGTGCATGGGATCTGCACAAGGCCCGAGTCCTTTTGCCGCGTCAATGCCCTCTCGATTTAGTTGTTTTGTGCCCCATCATTTTTTTGATACCTCGCAAAGTTGTGTCTAGGTGGATTGCAGCTTTAAGACAAAGCGGTGAGATGTTGTTGGATATGAAAGGGAGGGAATACACGGAGCCTTTGGGTGTGAAAACTTGATGGCGGAAGAGGATCCAGAATGATTTGAGTGAGCCTCAGGGACATGAATGAGAGTCGCTCCCCACACGAGTGGGTCTCAGTCAGTCGTCCGACAAGATGTATGTAAGACCTCCCTGCAACGGTCAGTCCGTCGGTCAGGTTCAGGTCAGTTTCTTGAACTATGGGGCAGGACAGGACAAGAAGAAAAAGTCACACATCAACACCTCCACCCACTTTCGGCAAAGTACAAAAGAAGACCGAAGCCTTCTCATTCCTTTCCTTTCTTCTCCTCATTCCTCATTCCTCATTCCCTCATTCCTCCCCCTACTTCGGCCATGGCTTCCCTTCTCAAGGAACTGGGTACAAAGTACCTCAACCTCAACTTTGACGACGCCCGCCACATCTTCCACAACACCGAGCACTGGGCCATCGCCCCAAAGCCCGAGGGAATCCTCTACCCCGAGTACTTTGATGTTCTCGTCAATTGGCGCACCCCCGTCACCGTCGCCGCCCTTTATGTCCTTATGGTCCTCCTCCTCAACCCCAAACAGGGCAAAGTCTCCCGTGTCGTCGCTGCCGACAGCGCCGCCAAGGGTGACAAGAAGAAGCAGCAGGAGCTTTCTTCGTCAAGCTCGGCTATGACCGCCCTTGTCTTTGTCCATAACGCTATTCTCTGTGTCTACTCCGCCTGGACCTTTTATGGCATGTTCTTTGCCTGGAAGAAGGCTTTCGCTACTCACACCTTCATGGAAGCCGTAAGTGTAACTTTGTTGGGGAATGAACTGCACAATGGTTCATTTTATTTTCGTTCTAGATCGTATCCATTGAAATGAAAAAAAAAAAAGTGCCTCCGCGCCTCTTTCATTTGTTTTTTTTGGTTACTTCCCCAACGGAATTTTCTTGAGTCGTAATGTTCTAACCTCACCCCGATCCATTTTTTTTCCACGTTGTAGGTCTGCGATTCTGACAACACATTCTGGGACAGCCTCGGCTACTACTCGTACTACTTTTACCTCTCCAAGTATTGTAAGTCAAACCAGCAAGGAAGAAAGGAACCAAAAAACCAGCTCAGGATACTCGGCTGACCGGCTTGCTGTTGAAACGTTGGGGGATACAGAAATGAACGACGAACTTCTCTCGGGAACTAAAATGATGCAAAAGTATGAACGGTCTCTAAACATATTTCGTCTTGTCCCCTCCTCGCAATAGACGAGATCATTGATACCATCATCATCTTGTTGAAGGGTCGTCGCTCTTCCCTTCTCCAGACCTACCACCATGCCGGAGCCATCTTCACCATGTACATGGTAAGTAAATCAAGAGATAACAGTAATCCAAATCGCAGCATCCTAAGCAGTTTTTGCGTAAAGACGTGGGAAACACAATGCATGAACACAAACCACAGAAGAACTTTGCCCTTTGCCGTACACCCCCCCCTCCCCCAAAGAAAACTTTCCCACAATCTAACTCGGTTTTCGACTTTTCCATTGATAAAAAATAGGGTTTTAACTACCGCGCCCACCCCATCTGGATCTTCACGACCTTCAACTCGTTCATCCACACCATGATGTACGCTTACTACGCCGCCACTTCCGTCGGTTTGAAGCCTCCCGGCAAGAAGTACCTCACCTCCATGCAGATCACCCAGTTCTGGACCGGAACTGCTCTGGCCTTCTGGTACGAGGTTGGCTCCCCCAAGGGTTGCTTCGCCAACCCCGGATCGCGTTTCGCCATCTGGACCGTCTTGTCCTATGTCTTCCCCTTGATCTACCTCTTTACGTCTTTTGCCAGTAAGATGTACGGAAACCGTATCAAGGCTGCTGCTGCCGCCAAGGCCGCTTCCCAGCAGAAGAAGGAGTTGTAAAAATAACTCGAATCAAGACCATTTCGACCCCCCTCTCCCTCCCCCAACTCCTTTCCCCTTCCACCACCACCGACATTTAGCATTTTTCTCCCCTCAGCATAATAAAAATATGTAAAAACATAATGCGACCAAACGACAATGTATCGATATATGAAAAAAGTTCGCTTTCGCGATTCGAAGTCATTCGACCTTGTTGGGTCACACTACCGCTATCGTTGCCGATTGGCTTGGGCCAACTCGGACCATTGAACAATTGGACGTCAATTGGTCATGTGTCCGTCCAATGGGTCAACAACAATAAAGGTGGCTGTGGGGGACACAGAGAACGATAGATAGCGATGGAGGAGTCTTAAATGGCCTCATGTATAGAACGAATGGTCGAAGAGAAGTTTGGAGATGCAGAGAAATGTTTAATGGTGGAACATGTGATGTATAAAAAAGAAAAAGTGAAAAGGCGCTACAAAACAAATAATACAAGGAAGGTTGGATGTGATGAGAGGGATAGGGACAGAGGATTAGCAAATAAAGACAGGTGAATGGTTGTATTTAGTTGTAGGTGATAGCCTCATCCTATGAAAACGTGAATCGAAGGTGAGAAGGTAACGAGGTGGTGGGTCAGTTAACAGATCGAGAACAAAAGGTACATTAGAATGACGGAGAGCTTCGAATAAAATGGACATACCATCTCCTTGACCTTGGCAAAGCACTCATCGTAGAGCTCCTTGTACTCCTTGGCACCTTCCATGTCCTTCTTCTTTCCGCCCAAGACGACCATGACGCAAGAGGTGGGACGCTTGGTCGATCCTGCAGTGCCGAGGTCCTCCTTGGAGGGCAAGAAGACATAGGGGACATCGTTCTCCTCGCAGAGGACGGGGACGTGGGTGATGACATCGATGGGTGAAATATCGCCAGCAATCAAGACAAGACCCTTCTCGCCCTTGCGGAGTCCCTTGACGACCTCCTTGACACCACGCTTCACATGCTTGGCCTTGGCAGCTGTTGGTCAGTAATGAAATGTAGACAGAGAGATACGTCGAGGTGAAGTTGGTGACAGAGAGTGTGTTTCCAATGATAATTGAGGATAGTGGTTGTCGGGTTGAAAGGAAGAGGAGGACAGAAGAAGTATGAATGACAGTGGTTAGTATAAGTTGCTTCAATTGGTATCACTATTTGGGTTTTAGTGTGTGTGTGCCAGTTGTTTGCTGTGTTTGTTGTTATTGCGGATCTCTTTTTTCTTCATGCACAAGAGTTGATTGCCCGTTGGCTTGTGTTGATCGCATTTCCAGTTTTCCTAATGTGCGTCGACTTAATCACCCAAACAGGTCGTCGTTGTGTGTGCGCAAGTAGCCGGGCGGATTCCTTACCCTTCTTGACGGTCTTCAAGAGCTTCTTGGTCAACTTGTCGGCAGCCATGGGAGCAGCGATGGGCGAGACATCGACAATACGGACAGGAGCATCGACCTCCATATCAGAGTCGTGCTCAACCTTCTTCTCGACCTTCTCGGCCTTCTTCTCCTTCTTTTCCTTGCGTTCCTTGGCCATGGTTATAGATATGAAGAGTGTGGTGGTGGGGAAAAGGGAGAAAAGGAAAAAGGGTGGTGTGATGGAGGAGGAGGTAGGTGTGAGAGTGAGAGAATGCAAAAGGCAGGCTTGCTGTGAGAGTAGTACCAACACTTCATAGGACTGGACTTTTTTTTTTTTTTTTTTTCTCATTGTTTTCACGACTCATAAGCCACTGTGTGTGACTGCCGAACGCGGTTGCGATTGTTGGTTTGATCAGTTTGTCGTAGTTCGCGACCCAGTTTACGCATCGAAAGCTATTACGATCAAGAGTCCGCCGGGCTCTTCAAATGCACTGTAAAGAAATATTGGGCATTTTAATAGTCAAAAGAAAGAATAGAGAATGAGAGAATGCTGGAGGTTTTTTGTCGTCTACATGCCAGCACCAGCGCTAGCGCCAACACCGTCATCCTGGGCCATGTTGGACATTGGCTGGTACCATCCAGTGATACCATTCGTCAAGCCCAACTTGATCCGCTTCTCCCTCTCAAATTCACACCATTTCTTCATCACAATCTTACTCGAGTCAAACTCTCCTTCCTTGCCACCATGGACATCGTCTTTGGGGTCCCCTTCTCCCTGGACCTTACGCGTCTCACCCCACGTGAAATCGTCAAAGTGCCAGAACGCGTACGCGGGCAGGACAAAGTTCCAGATGGGCAGCGAGAGCAAGTACATGCCCATCCATCCAACGTACACAATTTTGCGGGAGGTCATCAAGATCAGGATGGCGGGGAGACCCAGAATGGCGGCTAGAAGCAACAGAGGTATGATCGGGACTGGGGTCATGATAAACGAGATAGCGATCAAGTAGAGCGTGAACGTGATGGCAGCGGGCAAGACGACTGTTCCGACCAACTCCATGAAGATGACAAACTGCATCGAGAAGCAGAAGGTGCCGCAGAGATCGCGAATCAGAACCAGTTCCATCAGGTTGTGGATAGTTGAGTTGATCCAGCGACGGCGTTGGGAGAGCAGGATTCTGAATTCGTTGGGGACCTGGGTCTTGCAGACAGCCTGGGGCACAAACATCATTTTGCGCTTGGGGAAGGTTCGGAGCATCAGAGTGGTCAGGTAGCGATCCTCACCGAGGAGGAGCAGGTTTTTCTTGTGGAGTGTATCGACGACATTCTCGGAGTAGTGCTCGACAATGTCAGGGTTGGCCAGGACGGGAACCCAGTAGCGGTTTGGACCCTTGGGGGCTTTGATACGGTACATGCAAAAGCAGCCGGGCAGACAAGTCACACCACCAAAAATGGACTCGAAGGCCTTGGACAAGTGATGAGAGATGTAGTACTCGAAAACTATTATAGCAAAACAGAGAGACGGAGCAAGGTTAGTAGTGAGTCTTCATCTCATTACATAGCTCGCGAGGACAAAAAATGTAAGTAGTTTTACCTTGGATCATGGTCACCCAAGACTCTTTCTTGTTGGCAATCTTGGTCTCGCCGCAAAGACCCATGACAGTGGGATCCTGAGCCATGCAAGCAACCATGCGGGTGAGCGAATCGGGGTAGACCTTGGTATCGGCATCAACCATGAGAACCAACTCGTAAAAGTCGGGAGTCACCTTGGTCACGTTCCAGAAGGCATTGAAGAACTCGTACTCGAGAGGGGTCATACGCTCGTCAAACATCACCTTCTGCAAGAACGACATGAGAATGATCTGGGAGTCGCGCTTTCCACGGTTTCCTGGCTTCTTCTCGCGAGCCTCAGCAGGAGTTCCGCACTTGACGATCGTAATCACGGGTACTTTCTGACGGTCCTCCATCGGCAACTCGCAATCATCGGCGTAGCGGTAGTATCCAGCGTAAATCTTGGCCATGTTGTGGCGTTTGGATCCGTCAGCGATGGCAACGTAAGATTGCGCCTCAACCTCTTCGCGGGGGACAACAAAGTCGGTCATCATGTCCAAGCAGATTTCGGGGGTGGTCTTGTCCTCGTTCTCACCGCGGATGATACCGTCGGCAATGATCAGTAGCAGCTTGTGGGTTGCAGGATAGCTGGTGTTGGCGAGCGAGTCGCAGGTGGCACGGAGTCCGTCAACACCCTCAGAGTAGCATGTGACAAGCATTAACGTGTGTAAGAGAGGGCACTGGTGCTCGCCTTTTATCTTGGAGATGGAGGCGTTGATACCGGCGCGGCTGAGGCGAGAAGCGTTGGTTCCTGTGATAGTCATTGAGTCAGCACGCTTTTGACCAGGACGAGGCATGGATGAGCCAACAAGGGAGGCACTCGATGAACCACCAGCACGAGGGCTAGGAGGTGAACTGCCCCAGCGACGAGTTGGAGGGGGGAGACCGAGAGGGAAAGGGATCTCGGTGGCGGCCGAGACATGGGATCCGTTGGGAGTAGCAGCACCAGACTCGAAGTTGAAGCGAGAACCCTCCATGACATTGGCGCGAATGCGCTCCGCACGACTATTACCATTGCAGATTAAGAGGTACCGGTTAGCGCTAATCCACATAATGACCGTCAGATCCGCAAACAAAATGGATGAATTGCTTACCGGTTAGTCTCAGAGTTGGGACTGTCGACGTAGGGCGATGTGTTGTCGTCGACCCAGGCCTCAATGATCTCCTGACGCTTCAACTTCTCAGCAAAGGTCTTCTCGTCAAAGGAACCCAACCTCCAGCTCAGTACCCAGCCAAAGATGACGGCCAAGAAAAATCTCAACAGGACGACGCTCAGGATGACAATCAGGGAGACATAGAGCACAATATCGGCAACGACACACCCAAGTGACATTTGGTCAATCACGCCGACCTTGACAATCTCGACCAAGCACTGGGTGATCTTTGTGCGCTCCTTAGTGAAGGACATGCTCAGACTGATATCCTGGCCAGCAAAAGTGCCGTTGAGGAAGGGAGCCAATCCAGGGGGGACAATAATGTTGTCGTCCAGCCAGTTCAGACGGTTCAGATCGAGGACATTTCCGTTGTAAACGGCATAGTTGGTGCCTGGTTCCTTGAGGTCCTCCCAACTAAAGTACACCTCACCCATGAACCGAAGCTGCTTGATAACCTGACGAGCCTTGATCGAGGTGGGCCCGACGTGGCATCCCTGCTTGTCCATACCCGGCATGGGCTTGGTATCCGATCGGATGCTGGTGACAACGCAAGGGAAGTAGTTCCAGACATTGCCGTTCTGGTCGTGCTGCTTGCCGCTCAGGACGCCCTTACAGGCGCGGTTGATGTTCTGGAACATAAAGCTCATATCCTTGCCACCAGCATCAGGGAAAGGCTTTGCGAGCAAGTTGCTTGTAGATTGAGCAATGCCAGGGACAACTGGATGGCTAAAGTCCTTGAGAAGATAGGTACGGCCCATGAGGACAGCAGACTGGGTATCGACGTGACCGTGACGGATGCGGTTTGGTCCCTTTCCACAGAGGACGACGTTGAAACCAAAGGTCAAGAAACCAACAGTAAAACATAGCATAAAGATAATGCTCACCAACGCAACCTTCTCGCGCCATGCTTGTTGAATCTCCTTTGTGCTTTTGCCTATTTGACAATAAAAAGTATAGAGTGGTTTAGTTTGCGTATGGTAATGCTATTGTTCTCGCTCAAGTTGAAAAGGAGATCCAATACAATACTTACCCATGAAGGCTAAGAGAGGCGAAGGGAAGCAGCACGTCACCATCCTTGAAAAGATACCCCAGCAGGAGGGGAACTTGGACTCTTCCTCCTTGTCCTCCTTGGGATGCTTTTTGGATTTCTGACGCTTGAGCATCCTCTCAGCCTTGCCCTGATCCAAATCCCGCTGCTGAAGTTGATCAGGTCGTCGATTCCGCAAGGACTGGCCATCGTGGTTGTCGTCATAGTGCTTCTCGTCATAGTGCTTCTCGTCATATACTCCCTGTCCGCGATGAACTGAGCTGTTGTTGCTGTGACTGTGGCCTCCAGGTGGGTTGTTAGACGGGTTGCTTTGATGGCCGTAGATGGAGCTGTTGTTGCTGTGACTGTGGCCTCCAGGCGGATTGTTAGACGGGTTGCTTTGATGGCCGTAGATGGAGCTGTTATTGCTGTGACTGTGGCCTCCAGGTGGGTTGTTGGACGGGTTGCTTTGATGGCCGTAGATGGACTCTCCAGGAGGGTGGTAGCCATGTCCGTGTGAGTTGCGGTGGCTCTGGCCATATCCATACTGGTGATTATTGGCGCCTCTGTTAATAGCTGGAGACGTGTGAGTAATAATGGAGAGCCCGCCACCATGGCGATGACTGTGAGAGTAGTGTGAGGGCTCAGGTTGATTTGGGTGGCCACCGTTTTGAGGAAGCGGAACGCCTAGTTGCCTGGAAAGCTCAAAGAACAAGTCATCGCTGTTGCCGTTCTCCAAGTCGTACTCCCTTTCTTTCATCTTTGTTTTTTGGTCCAGTGGTTGTATAGAGTGAGATAAGGAGAGAATGTACCGTGTCAGATCGTCGTTACATGTTTGTTTTGGTCAATAGACGCGCAGATTTTGGTTATAGTTGATTACAAGTGTTTGTCGCGAAATAGACAACGGTGCATAAAGGAAAAAGTGGCGAAGGTCAATGGTGGTCAGGATGATGGGTTGAAATGGTGGCCTTACCGTGGATTATAAGGTGACCAAGTTCGGAGAGAAAACAGACAAAAAAGGGGAGGGGGGTGATCCAGGTATCAAAAGGAGGAGAGGATGGAAGTAGAGGAAAGGAAAGGAAAGGAATGGAAAAGAGTGATTGAAAGAAAAGAGTAGGCGGGAGGCGATGGCGAGAGGCGAGAGGGAAGAGAGAGTGAGAAAAGAGAACAAGAGAAGGAAGGAAGGGGAAGAATAGGGAGAAGAAAAAAGGTGTCCGTTGATCGGCCGGAATGGACGGTGTGATGCTCTTACGACAATATCTAATCGGACCAAGGTCGGCTTCAGAGAAGAGTACTGTCCTGCACCAGTGTCAGTCAGAGGGAGGCAATCAAGGAACGATACGCTTGAACAAACAAAAAACAATGATATCAAGTCAAAGGCGACAAAGAAACGCATGGACAATTAATAGCGCGAGAGGGGAGGAACAATCGACTGCATTTTGCCCACTACGCTAGTTCATGCACAAAACCACGTATTCCAATCCCTACGCGGTTCGTTTTTCTTTGTGCATAGAACTGAACAATGGAATGGGTCACTTTCATGATAATTCTCACGTGATCTAGTTTGAGTCGAGTTTTTTTTAATACTTCGTTACGGGCTCAAGCCATCAAGATATCCTCGTCAGGGCGGTGAGGAGGGTGCACAAAGGACCGAGCAAGATTCCTGGTCAGAGACAGCCGCAAAACGTCCAGCTGAGCCTCCTCTACCGTTGATGTGGAACCAGAGCTTGATTGTGGTAACAGCTGAAGATATTCCGATTTGTACTGGGACCCGACAAGCTCCTCAAGGGACTGCATCAGGACAAACGTGTCACTCGAGTCAAAGATCACCTGCTGCTTGTTTTCCAGAAGAGGGAGGGCATCCAGAAGCAAAACAATCCAGTATTTCTTCGGCGCCGTTCCATTTGAGAGCAGCTTGACCAACGTTTCTCCAGCTTTGGCAAGCTTGCAATTCTATGACAGCGAACAGACAACAAAAGCTCTTGTGAGTATGGAGCCTGCTTGCAATGGTCTCAGGATATCTGACCTACATTCGGATGGTTACCTTGTAGTCACGGTGGAACCCGGCGTAAGATCTCAGGAATTGAACATGGGTACTGGTTGTGTCCAAGGCTTCAATCGACGCAAGTGTATCGTCTAGATCAAATTGTCCATGTTCAAGGTAGCCGAGAACAAGGTTGTCGACTACTTTTGCCACTCGATCGAGATCTTTTGAGACGATAAAGTGTTGAATAGCCTGTGCATATTCTCCTCGCTTCTCCTCTTCCACAGCCATAACCTACACAGAAAAGAAAGGACACAGGAGAGTTAGCGAGCAGCCGGCGGACAGTCATTGCAAAGACCAAAGCAAAAGTTAAACTATGCTCTTACCCTGTTGATGGATCGCAGCGAGTCTTTAAGGTCATTCTCCTCACAGAACTTGAGAACTTTATGAGCCTTTTCTGACGAGTTCAAAGGAACATGGCAGATCCACTGCATGTAGTCAATAATATATGAAAGATGGAGAGCGCAGACGAGTATGTTAGTATCAACTCATGTAATACTTGACGCGTCTCAAAATGTGGTATAGCTTCGATGAGATGTTACCTCTGAGAGCGTCGAACGACCCGTGTGGCCACACCTGATCAAATATCCTGCAACAATCTCCCAAAGAGAGAGATTTGACATGAGACTTTGAGCATAGCTGATGACGAAGAAGTCGTGAATGTTAGAGTCCCAGCCCTGAGTGGCGATATCCTGTAGATCAATCGCACTCATGTCGAGATAGCCATACTGTTGCAGCACAGTCGACAAATGAGCAACAAGCCAGGGGTGAAATTCTCCACAAAGGCGAACTGTCTATGTGACAAATATGGAAACAGTTCGACAGCTTTAGCATGGTTTGTGCGGACTGGTATGAAGCGATAGAAGCTCGATTGAATACTACCGCATCTCCTGTACCTTGACATCGTCCATTTGCAAGATGGCAATCTTGATTCTGTCCAGCAATGTCACGTCAGTGCTTTCCAAGAAAGGAGGCAAGCATGTCTCCAAAATCTGCCTACTCGAAATAAAAGACACGATATATATTAGCGCTCCATGTTGTCAAGTCGTATAGTCATGTCGTTTTGAATGCGCTAAGTTCATTGACGACAACTGACGTACCCAATGTTTTCCCGCTCACAATCAGGGTGCACGAAGAGGAATGTGCCTGAAACTGCTTCCTCCCAACAATCGGATACATCGATGATTTCCTCAGCTTCGCATGACAGCACCTTCATCACATCCTTTGCTCCCTTTCCAAGATGCTTGACATGTTTAGACTGTGTGAATTTCCTATGGTACAAAAAAAATCAAAGCGTGATTTGGTGAGATATCAACATTAAAACGGTCAAACTCCCATTAAGTCCTGTTGTTCATAAGATTGCTTACTTGCACTCTTCCTTCCAATTCATGTGTCGAGAGTGAAATTCTCCAGGTGGGAAAGTCTTCTCAGAAGAAGGAATATCCTTGAGTACTCTCACTAGATCTTCCAGTGCTCTAGCCACTTGCTCATCCTCTTCATCGTTCAATGTCTGTTCCAGAATGAAAATAACTGACTCGATCATGCCTCTGAGCAAGCATCTATGAAGTGGAACCATGGCAGATGTTAGCGTGGAAGCAATTATTTACCGTGTCATTACATCCTAGTCACAAAGTGCACGAGTCTTACCGACGAATGTATGACCAAAAGTCTGGGTGGGTTAATTTCGAAGAATCTGCGAGCAAGGTCTTTCCGAGTTCTTGGTCCTGACCTATTCCAAGTATTCGCCGTAGAGAGTAAAAGAAAGAGCGGCAAAATGAGTAGAGTTACTCATTTTGTCCTGTCCATCGAACGGTCAGGATGTCCAAGTCAGTGCGGTTCAAATTTCTTACTGGTGTCGTGAGTGGCCAGCCATTCGTTGAACATGAAGGCGATCGGCTGGTTCCTGTCAGATTTCAAGAACACTGCTTCAGCCAATTGCCATACAGCACTGAAGGACTCCATGAGGGTCGTCTCCTGTTCGATCTCCAACGTATCATTCGTTTTTGACTCCACCTATTACAAAAGTGAACTTCGTTAGTTGTCAACGTCCTGCCTCAATTCCGAAGAATTCAGATCCACTTCAAAATCCAACGCCTCTTACATAGAGATGTGCGAGATGCTCCTCGATCGCCTTGTTGTATCGTTCCAGGTGGTGTTTGTAGTCCGAGGTGCCTCCTGCTTTGTAGGGATTCTTGGATGCGATGTCAAGAAAGACTTTAAAGGTTTGCTCGATGAACTAATAATATAATGGAAGAGAAGGTAGAGCGATCTTGTAAGCAAAGGGGTATATTTTTGCATATGTTCAATTCGATCCTCTTCGCACGCGGTTCTGGTTCTTACTGGAATGCGGCTCTTTGGGATTGCGGCCTGGCAAAGAAATATGGTGTTGTCCTCAACTGAGCTCTTCTGCTTGGTAGGGAACTAGTTGAAATCAAGCAGAGGAGTTATTGACGCGTTAAGCTGCTGCTCTTGTCGCGATAGTGCGAATGAGTCGGTCTTGTGTCGCCATATATAACAGCTATCGATTCATGTAAGACAGAAGCCTTATTGTACCTCCTCTGCGGCCTTTCTTCCTGCAACATAAACAGCGATCTCGTTTGTTGTGGGTCTAAAAGTAGAGCGCAGCGTCCTATTGGTCTTGGCCCAAGAGTCGGCAGAGACATCCTTTTTGATGGGACTGGGATCCAGATGCAGCACGGCGACATATTCTTCGTCGTTCTGATCCCTGTCCATGTCGTGAACCATTCCATGGGTTAGGTTCAGATCCACTGTTGGGGCACTGAAAATAGACCGCTTTGCTGCAGTGGCATTGAAAGTCAATGCGGTGTTGGAAGGCTGGATCAGAGGGATTCCGGTCGACATGCTTGTTGCTAGATGGGAGTGGTTGCCTCTTGTCGCAATTGTCACCATTCTTTGTCGCGCCTTGCAAGATCAAACATCGACTCCAAGGCTTCGCCGTCACACCTCTGTCGGGACCCTTAACAATTTCCCGCAGCACCCTTGCCTTTGCCTTCTAGGTTCATCGTTCGTTCCAGACAGTTCCAGCAGCAGCGATAAGCACCACGGACGCTGCTTTTGTGTTTGCTTGCATTTGTTTGTGTGTTGTTTATGGTGTGTGTTGATGTCCTTCTTCCCGTATCCTGCCCTTTTGTTTGTCTTTTGCCCCCTCCCACGCCCCTTGTCGACGAGGGGTGGCAAAAGGGACGGCGGGAGAACTGTACCAGGAGTATGTCCCAGAATCACGTCACAAAGCTGATTAACTGGCACAAAGCCAGCTGACCACGGGCCAATTATCAGTGACTATGCGTTTACACCTTCTGGCTTGGCGGGGGCGTCGACTGCGGGACAACATTACCAATGGCAAGACACATAAAAAGGCCGCCTCCGCCAAGCTCCTTCTTTCTTTTTTTCTTTTTCTTCTTCTCTCCTTCAAACGCACTCCCCTTTCCACTCCACTCCTTTCCACTACATTCCCACTCTCCCCAACACACATCCACTCACACTCCCACCCGAAGTAGCTTCATCATGCAAATCTTCGTCAAGACCCTCACCGGCAAGACCATCACCCTCGAGGTCGAGTCTTCTGACACCATCGACAACGTCAAGCAGAAGATCCAAGACAAGGAGGGTATTCCCCCAGACCAGCAGCGCCTTATCTTCGCCGGCAAGCAGCTCGAGGACGGCCGTACCTTGTCTGACTACAACATCCAGAAGGAGTCCACTCTTCACTTGGTCCTCCGTCTCCGCGGTGGTATGCAGATTTTCGTCAAGACCCTCACCGGCAAGACCATCACCTTGGAGGTCGAGTCCTCTGACACCATTGACAACGTCAAGCAGAAGATCCAAGACAAGGAGGGTATTCCCCCAGACCAGCAGCGCCTTATCTTCGCCGGCAAGCAGCTCGAGGATGGCCGTACCTTGTCTGACTACAACATCCAGAAGGAGTCCACCCTTCACTTGGTCCTTCGTCTCCGCGGTGGTATGCAGATTTTCGTCAAGACCCTCACCGGCAAGACCATCACCTTGGAGGTCGAGTCCTCTGACACCATCGACAACGTCAAGCAGAAGATCCAAGACAAGGAGGGTATTCCCCCAGACCAGCAGCGCCTTATCTTCGCCGGCAAGCAGCTCGAGGATGGCCGCACCTTGTCTGACTACAACATCCAGAAGGAGTCCACTCTTCACTTGGTCCTCCGTCTCCGTGGTGGTATGCAGATTTTCGTCAAGACCCTCACCGGCAAGACCATCACCTTGGAGGTCGAGTCCTCTGATACCATTGACAACGTCAAGCAGAAGATCCAAGACAAGGAGGGTATTCCCCCAGACCAGCAGCGCCTTATCTTCGCCGGCAAGCAGCTCGAGGATGGCCGTACCTTGTCTGACTACAACATCCAGAAGGAGTCGACCCTCCACTTGGTCCTCCGTCTCCGTGGTGGCCAGTAAGGCCCTGCGTCGGTGCCCGCCCCCGGTGGTCCTCCCCTCACCGCCCCCCCAATGATTGATTTGCTTCCCTTCGCGTAACAAGAACATTGCACCTTGCCTTGGATTTGACACAAAAAAAAGAAAGACAATCGTTGTTTGAAATAAAAAAAACCAACTAGGCTTCGGCCGGGACCCCTCGTGGGTCCTTTGCAAAAAAAACCCTTGCTTTAATAATGTGTACGCTTGTGAATGGATGCATGAATGCTTTGATAGATAGGAATGACAGGCGCCCATGACTAATACACGGGCTGTTGTTTCGCTCAGAGGGCTGTTGTAGTGTCCTGTTCTCTGCCAACACCTTCGCTATTGTTCACGATGACCGTTGGGCAGCTTTTGTCACTTTGCCATTCGTCTACTGTCGACTTCTTTTCTTCTTTATTTCAGCTCTGCAATTTTGCGCCTCCGACTCGCCACCTTTTCCTCTTCCTTTTCTCATTCATTCCGCTATATAACCCACACGAGTCACTGACGATGGCGACGATCGGATACCCATACACCCTGCCGACGACTGCGAATGTCTCGTTTCAAGAGTACTTTGCACCGAATGCCAATGCCCAGTACCAACGACCTCTTTCAGACGCGACCGCCTTTCGTGGGCGGCTCCGGACAGCGCTCAAGGAGCACAAGCATTCTGACAGACACGACTTTTTGAATATCCAGAAGGTATGCAACACACCTGTGCGTGTCGTGTGTATGTGTGTCCAGTCCTCTAGCCCATCATTCACTGCATTACTTCACTGCATTACTTCACTGTATTACTTCACCGCATTACTTCACTGCGTGTTGAATGCAGTGGCAGTGGTTTGCGAATGGGAGCGGGTTATGGCTCGGTGCAATACGAGTTGAGTGTGGTGTGTGACCTGGTGTCCTTGCTGTTCACAGGTTGTATTGTTTTGTCAGCTGCCAATAACACCTACGTCTTCTATTGTGACCAACGGACTCATTAAAAATTAGGCAGTTGAGGATTATCTTCCTCTGGTCTTTGGTTTGGTGGCGGGCATCGAGAGCACTGAACTCCAGCTGACAAGTGATGTTGGTACGTGGACCCCGCTGTTGCCACCATGTCTTTTGATGATGTGTCGTTACTATCGATAGCTACGTACAAAAAAAAGCTCACCCCAATACGTTCCTTCCGTGTACATATTTTAGAGACGACTTGGCGCTGCACCATGTCCAATGTAGCGCTCTCTATAAAGATGCCACGTATCAAGAACAAGTCTATCCACTACGAGGCTATCTTCACCCTCTTGACGCTAGGCTATGTACTCATGGACCGCGCCAACGAACTGTCCTTCACCGTCCAACACAAGATCCTTATCGCCATCGGAGATTTGTCGACCTATGTGGGTGGATATGGCGACGGCACCTCCATGAAGGGCGCAGGATTGGCGTCAAGTCTTGGCAACAGCACCATCGGCGACGGCGGCGGACACGATCACGGTCTGAACAGCACCAGCATTGGATCGGGAGGAGCTACTAAACAGGGCGGCGTCGCCAATGCGACATCTCGTTTGTTTAAGAAGAGCTCTAACACGTCTTCCAAGGCTGCCAAGAACTCTAACACGATTGGCGAGTTCACGGACTATTTGAACGATGAGAATCTGGCAGGGATGGATCAGCAGCTAACGGCCGCCGCGGATCTGTATTGCAGGGCAGCCGGAGTCTTTGAGTATGTTGTTCAGGAGATGATCCCAAGGTGGAACGAGTTTAAACCAGTTGTCGCTGTTCCTGTTAAAGACTCATCGGCTTCTAACAAGAAGGCAGGCTCAGAAACGTCACGACCCGTCGATGTTCAAACCAGCGTCGTCTCTGCTCATATCAGGTAATTAATTGGTGGTCAATGTATATTTGTTCCTATGGCTTTTCTCATGACTGGACCCATACGGAACCATCAGGAAAACTTAGCAGAAATTATTTACGCACAACTATTATAGATTGGCTCTTGCAGAGGCACATGCATGCACGGTCAGGAAGGCGTCTATCAAGGCAGCAAGAGCATCTGCTATCAAGTTATCGACATCGGGATCAGGAACCACAGCTCACTATGGTGGAGCAATATCCAAGACATCTTACGGCCTCCTTGCCAAACTCACTGTCGGTGTTAAGGAAGAGTATGAGCGTGCCTATGGATTGCTCAAGGCGGTCAAGGATCAGAATGAAATCTCGACCGAGTTCAGGACACACGTCAAGGATGGAAAGTTTTACTACGAGGCACTGGCTCAAGTTCTCCTCGGAATGGACGCCTATGAAGCACAGTAAGTCACCTTCTGGAAAACACCTGTCTCTGTCTGCATACTTGCGGATCGAATTATCTACATGAGAATTTAAGTATTGACCAGCCATTTTTCTTGGTATGTAGACAATACGGAAAGGCGATCGGATTTCTCACAGTCGCGCGAGCAACATTCCAGGCACTCGCTAAATCGAGTAAGTCTCACACGATCGCACAATCCGCCGCATTCGAGTACCGCCGCACCAATGAAAGAGTCATTGCCTTCCAAAAGATCAACGACTCTGTGACGTTCGAAAAGGTGCCCTCTGCAGCAGAACTCCTAGGTTTGATGCCTAGTGGACGCGAACTGCTGTTGGTCAAGAGATACCAAGCGCCCAAGCCCAGTTTTGGAGCTGCGGCTGCTGCGAGGGAAGGAAGCGCTGATGGAGGAGACGATGGCGTTAATAAGATCACGTATGCTTTGGAGGGTGCTTATTTTTAGAGAGGAAGGGGCTCGACCATTATCTTGACCAGAGAGAAAATAAACGCGATCATTGAATATTCGTTTCGTGGACATTCGAGATAGCACCGCTTTTCTTTGACGATATGTTTGCCAGCGAAATAGGTGACAAGATGTGCGCCCAACGACCTCCTGTCTTGCCAATGGAATTTACGACCAAGGTATGCGATTAACGCCCCTCACGGAATAGATGACAAGGGGAGGTGGCCAACTATCCTGTCTCAAAAGTTGGGCACGGTGGCAAGGAAATTGGGCGGCGATCTCCACTGCTGGATACATGCCGATCTCCGCTTTCATTTGGGTTAAAAAGACAGTTAAAAAACACCACCTTTCATCCACTCTCTCTTCTCTTCCTCTTCACCACAACCAACGCCAACACCACCTTACTCATCTACTCTCTCCTCTCATCTCCACCAAAGCTACGACAATGCGTATCCAACTCTTAGCCTCCGCACTTTCCGCCTCTCTCACGCTCACCAATGCCTAAGCCCCTCCAACCCCAACCCCGGATCCGAACTTCGACCCCTCTTAGTACATCAAGAACGTCCCAGCCCACCAACGCGCCTGTGAATGTGCTATGGCCCAACCAGAGTTCTTATATCCTTGTAGTTCGTAGGATTGCAATGGAGCACTCCAGATTATATTCGGAAGAATTTGGAGGATGTTCGAGAAATTTGTGAGATCCTTGGGCAGGACCCTGGTAGTGGTAGGTCGTCGACGAGGTCATCTACAACCACGACTACGACCATGACTAAAACTAAGACGGACAACAACTTTAGGAGCGCCTATTACTGCGACTGGTACGACTGGTGGTTCTACGGCTTCGGCCGGCGTTGTTGGTCCCACTTTGACTGGTGCCTTGATCGCGCCTGTGGCTACCAGTGTTGGTGCTGATGTTGGGACTGAAGTCGAAGAAGGTAAGAGTAGTGGATCAAAGACTGTTGTCTCTGCTGACCTTACTGTAGCTGTCGTGACCGCTGCGGCCGCCGCTGCTGCTGCTGCACTCTGAGATCGAATAGATACAATGATACCCAATCACTACTTTCTCTTCCTTTCCTGCGATGACGTTACGTGGAGAGCGAAAAAAACAAAAACAAAATGGAGGACATTTAGGTCAGATAAAGTTTTGGCAATTCTTGCTTTACTCTCCTGCTCTGTATGTCTTCTCTTGTGGCTGTTGTCTGTTGTTGAGAGTCATGGTAAAAGGTCATCCATCCTTTTCTAGCCACGAGTAAAGAAGAAGATAAAAAATTATCATTGTCCTATGGTCGATCAAGTATCATCGTTCTCGCGATTTTCAGCAATGTCACGACACGCTGAGAACCACTTCAGATGTTCGACAGACTTCTAAACGAGTTTATTTTTATGATCAACGAGTAGGAAAAAAAAAAGAGATAGGATACACAAATAATTACAGAGCAAATCGGAACGATAATAAGGATATGATAATTTTTTTTTGTCGTGGGCTATTATGTGGGTATTTACAGCATTCCACTATCGTCAGAGATTCCGTTGGATGCCATGAGGGTCATTTGGGTACATTCACGTCGGAAGTTGGTGATGTTCTGCGTGAAGCGGTCCCTGTTCAAAGTCGTTGTGTTGCATTCGATACCCTCCATGAGCTAAAAAATAAATAAATAAATAGAAACAATGCGTCAAGTTAGCATTAATATCTTATAACAATCAAGCCTGAAATAAACAAGACCTCAAAGTAAGAGCACTTACCGCATTGACGGCTTTCTGGACATGTTCCTGTCGGTCGGGCAGCTGGCTCTGGATGAACCCATTGGTGTACTCGTTATAAAAGTCGCGGTTCAGCAGAATCAATCCCAAAAGAGGCCGGCTCAAGCTCCAGTAGTTGCTTCGGTTCTCAAACGCCACTGCATGGAAGAGAGCCAAGAACAGATAGCTCAGGATATCCTTATTCGCCATCAGGTACTCGACCAACCAATGTGTCTCCTGCTGCTTTTGCTGCTGTTGCTGACGATGCTTCGACACCGGCCGTCCGTTTGAATTAAGGGCTCCCCGCGTGAGCTCGACACTGCTTCGTTGGCTGTTGTTACCACTGCCAGCAGTGGTCAACAAGGTGCGGCCGGTAAGGTCAGGTGATCCACCAGCGGCTTGCAGGGCCTCGAGTCCCTCTTCCTTGCGCACCTTGTCCTTGAGAATCCAGTTCAGCACGAATGTGCAGATCTTGTCCATTGCAGAGCAGGCCATGGTACTGCAGATCGTGTCTGGGTTCTGAGGGGGGATGATCTCGCCCAAAGCCTGGAAGATGTACGCCAACACTGGGTGAGGCATCATCGGCAGGCCAGTCATATGGTCACTTGCAAACACATCAATCACGCTAAAGTACGCGTTCGCCAGCTTGGGAAAAGCCTAAGAGTTGTCAAGATAAAAAGAGAAATTAGCTTTCAGAAAGTACGTTCTAAGCTGGAGAAAACTAAGATTAGAGATCATTGACGTTTCTTACAATGATGTCCTCGACAGGGATGGCAAGCATGAGAGAGAAAAAGACATCCAAGACTTGTTCCAACGCCTTGTCACCGTAAAGCTTGAATACTCCAAAGTTGACATATTTTCCTGATAATGACGCCGACAGGACGTTGAAGTAAAGCATGATGCCCTTGTACCTATTGTGCAAAGAAAAGGCATGGTCAGAAATTGACCCAAACGACTAATAGTATCATACAATCATTTTGATGGCGCAATGCCTACTTTTCGGTCCATCGGGCGCTTGAATTGGACAAAGGGCGATTGAGGAGGTTCTGGCCGTAGGTATAGAGGATATTGCTAAGAGAGAGGAATATACAGACAGTGTTAGTCGTCCATCATGTCTGCTGATGAATACATTTGTCTAAAAGGAGCCACATCAACGCAAAATCTCACCTTGTCTCGCGGAACAAGAGAATGCCGTTAGGGCTGCTGCTGTCAAAGGTGACACGGCTGCTCTTGTTGCTCACAAACTCATGCCAGAAGCGAAGGATGGCAATTCCGAGCTCATCATGCGGCCAGATCTCGATGGCACGCACCACGATAGGGATATAGGCAGGGTAAAACCAATCAAAGAAGAGAGTGTACTGCTTGCGATTGGTGATGCTTGAAACGAAACCTCTCAGGTCCTTGAAAATGCCTAGCAAAATCAACTAAATCGTTCAACATAAAAATGTGATTAGAGGCCATTAAAGATCAACTAGTAAAAATGTCTTCGCCCACAGTAAACAGTGCCTTCGCTTACGCGGATTTGTTCCTCGGTGAGGTCGGTGCTTCCTTCGAACACCAGCGTGACTTGGTCCAGCGTGAGTTCCCAGGGCCTGACAAACCGCCAAAAGTCGGCATCCACATTATCCTCAGCAAAGAGTACGCGTGACAACATGGTATAATAGTTCACGCGACAGCGCGCGACCGATGTATCCGAGCTCTTCTTGGAGGGATCCAGGAACCTAAAGTCGCTTGGGTTATGGTTTTTCAGGAGCGCCTTGGTCGTATCCAATTTACGGATGTGCTTCACGGAACTGTACCTAATGGAGTGAATCAACACGACCGTTGTTTAACTTGTTAGGGTATGGTCCTTGTGTAACACTGTTATGTACGCACGGACAAATGGACCATTATAACCTACCCTGATGACAGCTGAGTGTACAGGCGAAGCGTGCGGACGACTAGTTGATCCTCCTGCTTTCTCCACTCGGGATCGCCGCTTGAGCGCAAGTTGCCGAGGGACGAGTTCATGATGACATCCAACACCTGGTTGGGTCCCGTCAAACCCCATCGCTCAGTCAACAATGTGTAGACCTTGACAGACTTTGACGACTCTTCGCCGATATAAGAGCTCCGGAACTGAGTGTAGAAGAAGAGGATGGCTGACTGTACATAGAGATGGGCGTCAGGAGAGGCGAGGTAGAGTGGCCTCTGAGTTGTCCATATCTGCGCCTGCTGGATAAAGCCAAGGACCTCGCTTGACAACTCTGCGTCCATTTGGTCCTGCTCTCCTGTGCTTTGGTACGACTAGTGCGATCGAATTTCGAGCCAATGAAAACGTTAAAACCTAAGATTAGCAAAGGAACTTTTTTTGTTCACAGCACGCGCTCAGACGCTCACATTTTTTCGAATGATGCATGACATGCATGTGCATGATACGATCGTCAAGATCTTTGTGCGATAACCTTACAATTCTTCCGCCAATGAGTGCCGAAATCATGTACACCATCCATGTCAACTGCATCTCCACAACCGTGAGTTGCTCCTTGATATTGTTGCCACTCAGCGAGGGGGAGCCAAGGGACGCTCTCTGAATCACCTCGCGATATTTCTTGAAGATATCCTTGAACTCGGCCAAAACGAACCGTCCAGAATCAACATACTTGGACCGGGACAAGGTAGCATACATCTCTAAAGTTGTGACCAGTTCCTCTTCTGACTCCAAGGGGTCTATTCATGAAGTAGCATAGAGTTCAAACCACGGTTGTTAGTAACTAGCCACAAAATAAAGAAATAGAGAATGTAAATAAATTTCAGCGATGCACACATGTCGTGCGGTTAGCATACCATCGACTTCGCCATCAAGTGCCGCTTGAGCACATTCCAGTCGACTCTTGAGATACGCACGAGAGAGATCGACGGTGATGCCTTGAATGTAATCCTGTGTTGCCTGCTTTGCGGAACTAATGGACGATACCATCTTGCTCCAGAAGATCAACAGGTAGGGAATACTGTTGGGTGACCACTATTGTTGCCGGAACAGCCCATGGTCAAATGAAGCCAACAAGTCAGTTAGTAGCGCGATCTAGTAGTTCCTAACCAACAGAGTCCTAATTCAATATAACTACAACATAGTAGAAGAGTCATACCTTCCAAGAATGAAGCCCTCTAGAAGAAAACTCTCCGATCAAGGAGATCCACTGCTCGAATTCCTTGTACTCACAAATCTCGCTCAGCTGGAAGGTGCTCCTGAACTTGGAGAGCATCCTACAGAATTCGTGAAAGTTGCCGACATCTTGAAGCTTGGCCTGTCCAGCCTGTGACTTGATCGTCAAGGCAGTCTCCCGCATGATGTGGTGAATGTAGGTGTTCCTTGTCTCATCGCTCGAGAACAATGATCGGCGGATCGAAGCAGCCTGTGAGAGAGATTCCATGGCGAGAACAGAAGTCGCTCCTGAAAATTTTTTCCAGCACTCCCAGAGGACATCCAGGTATTCAGGTTCCTCAAGGACAATCCTCCATGTAGTCATAGCCTGGATACTACCCACATCGTCCGACGACTCATCCGGTAGCGTTCCAATGAAATCGAATCCAAGACAAATCTTCATCAATTGCAAAATCGACTCTCTCAGCTTCTCTGACTCGGCATCTATATACCCAAGTAGGAAGGGGCAAGTTAGGCTCTCTTCCTCTTTTTCAAGCATATCTCGCACAGCTGTATCAAACACACTCCTTACCTGATGCTTGGAGCAATGACTTCAATGTTGATAATGCAAACTGGAAAACGGGAAGAAGCTGCGCATCTCTGAAGCTAACAGCAATTTTGCGATACTTTGTGGCATGTCGAGCGCTGGGCAAGTTCATTTCGGTGGCAACGGCAGTCAAAATTCGTGTTCCAATGATACGATAGGCAATGGGATTTCCAGGCTAATGTAAGGGCGCCAAAGTAAAAAAAAATAACATGTTAGAGATTGCTCCTTTTTGTCCTTTCAATGACTGTCGTGTCTGTGTCCTTTGCGCCTTCCTCGAAAAACCTTGACTTGTTGTTGTACCTGGAAAAACACCTGGATTTGGTCGAGCAAGGCGCGAAACTCTTCATTCTCGAGCCAGCCGAGTTTTGTGATGATTGCAAAGAGTTGCGCCTGTGCTGTGATGATGAATGGCTGAGAATCCGGGTTTTGGTAGATGTATCGGAGAACAAATGTACCTAACATATATTTTGAAAGGAAAAGTGCATGGTTAGATCTCATTTTTAGTCATGCGTCTGTCTGTGTTCGAGGTTGGGTTGTGAACACATAAATAAGCATATGTCAATAGATAGCCTGTGCCCTCTCCCAAGTAACTCTACGGGTTCCAATGATTTCCCTCTTTGAAGTCCTGTTGTCGTGAGAAAGACAGAATGCCACTTTCTGATACCCTCTAATCGATTGCCGATAACGACCTTGATGTCCCCCGTGCCTGAGTAGACTCCTGTCTGCCGTGAGTGGTTCCTTGTTTCTGTCCATTCCGTCCACCCCAAAGGGAGAAAAGGGGGTATCGACCAATCCCCTGTTCCTGTCTCTATTGTTCGCCTGTCGATTTTCCTCCCCCGAAAATATATCGCTCTTTTTCCCAGATGAAAAGGCTCTGCAGGTGAATCCTATGGCACTGCCAACTCGCTTTCTTTTCCTTCCTCGGGTAGTTCGAAAATAGACTGGTAGAAAACTAATCCCTCTTCAAAAAACATGTAATGAAAAACAGAGCGAGTGAAAAGAGAATAGCATGGTAAAGCCTGACACCAGTTCCACCAAAGGCAGTGAAGATAAACTTACGAAGACCAAGTTGCTCAGGAGTAGTGAACGTAGTGAAGTGGTCCTCGACGAGATTCTTTAGCCGTGAAGTCGCAAACCTACAAGAGATCAAAAGCGAATCGAAGAAATAGCATGTTAGTGAGAGCACGTAAATCACTTATGAGTGTGGTTCTTTGGAGATAACCATGCCTTTCTTTCACAACCATGTCACCCTTCTTTTCACCCCAACTCTCCTTCTCTCCCTCACTCCCTTGTCTTTTTCCTATCTCAACACGATGACGACGATGTGATAACTAGCTAGCAACAATTGCTTGGCGGGGGTTGCCGGTGCAGACAGAATCGCATTCCAATTGGGAGATTTTTTTCATGCTGACATGTCAAATGACCTTGTCCTGTTTTGCTCACTTTTTTGTTTTGTTTGTGCTGCTGCTGTCCTCCCCATTCCATGTGTCGTTATCATTCGTCAGCCTTAGCAACTTTTCTCATTGTCTCCCTGTTCAGCCAGGCCCCCAAAACGAAAACGCCTAGACAATCCCTCGTTTACCCATCTGCACCCTTCTCCCCCCGAACTTTTGTCTCCCGCGCCATGCTCCGGGAGCATTCACGATTTTAGTTTTCCCAGTTTCTGGTTCAGTAAAACTGCCACCAGAGACATCTTCTCAAGACATGTCTTTCTATCCCGTCTTCACTTTCTTGCCCAAGTTCCAACCAACCAGTCTCGCTTCCTCAAAGGAGAGGGACAAACACAATAAGAATCAGAGTTGTCCCTATGAGAATCGAAGAAAAAGGCGAACAGGGACGAAAGGAGGAAGGAAGGGAAGAAGGGCTCTCTGGTTCCTAGTTCCAATAAAAAAAAACTGCTCTTGACCAGCTGGTCACCCACTGGTATGGCCTGGCCGGAGCATGATTTGTTCTCCAATATTTCGTTCACAACGCAAAAAAAACTTTAAAAATGGCCCTTTTATCTTTTTTTTTTTTGCTTTATGCCACTTTTGAAAGAAGATCGCAGAAAACGTCAATGGTGTAGCCAGAACAAATGAGTAACGGAAGGCATGGAAATGGGCGAGCGATTGAGGGAAGAAAGGGGTTAAAAACATGGAAATAAAAAGAAGTATGAACCATTGCGATCATTCGACTCCTCTTTTCAGAAAGAAAAGAAACAAAGTACAGATGCAAATCCTCCACCACCACCGTCCATCTCACAAAACTAATGAATCACCCCTTCCCCCCCAAAGACTATCTACCTTCACGCACCACCACCACCACCACCACCACTACTCTCTACCCCATTAAGACCTCATTGATGACCATCAAGTTACAACTGACCCCCTCCTCTTCTTCCGTAACAAACAAAAAAATGTGAAAATGTGAAAACTACTTGCATGAGGGCGTATGGGTTTTGGGTGTTCTCGAGCAAGCTCCGACAGAACAAGGCAGACTCGATAGGGGTATTGATAGAGGGACTGTGTCCCTTGAGGTCTTCAGTCTGTGCCTGTGCAGCCGTTGCTGCTGAAGATGTAGTCGAAGAGGCGGTGGCGAGGGAGAAGGTGGGAAAGTGATAATTGAGGAGCGACTCGACTTGGATGCGACTGGCCTGGCTCGAAGGGTTGTAGAGCGTTTCGCAGTATTGCTCCAGCGAGTGGAGGTCAAGCGAAGCAGCCATCATTGTGAATATGTGAATGTGTGAGGTTTGAATAAAGGGAAGGAGGGGGGGGGGGGGGGGGAATAAGGCTATGCTGGTTTTTGCAAGGAGAAGAGTAGGAAGAATTGTGAGTCAAAAGTAAAGAAGGAGAAAAAGAAAAAAGGAGAAAAGAAGAAAAGAGATGAGAAAAAGAAAGAAAGGAAAAGAACGAATGAGCAGCAACGTGCCTTTTTATGTCCTCCCCATGGGTCTCTTTCAACCGTAAAAGAGATGACTCTCTTCTCTTCTCTTCTTTTGCTGTTACTGGGTTTCCCCCCCTTTTTCTTCCCTTCGTCTTTTCTTGCTCTCCCAGGCCTGCACACACACCGTCAGTGCCATTCAAATGGCGGACCATTTTTTTTGTGCGACCATAACAAGGTTTCTTCAAGATGGTTTTCCTATTCTCCTTCTACCCTGACTCGTGTCCGCCCTGTCCTCTCTCCCCCACCACACACCGCCATGCCATGCCCATGCCCGCACCCGCATCCTCACTTGCCCCCCTGCGTCCTTGACCATGCCATCCTACACTGGCTCTTTCTCTTTTCTCCCAGGAACAAGGAACAATGACATATCCGTGAGATCATCACCCCAATTCTTACTCTCAATCAACCCCAACTGCCACTTGCAACACATTTGAGTGCCCTGCTGACCCTTACCCAATCCCACCTCTTTTTCATTTTTCTTCGTTACTACGTCTCTCCTGGACTCATACTATATATATTGTTGAAACCACAGTATCCTTCGCGTTGTTGTTCCACTTTAAGTTGAACCATGTTCACCTGCGTTCTCGTGACGTCACGCGCCAATGGGCGCCGTTGTCGTTTTTATTCTACTCCAGAAGGGAAACTCATGTCCGGAGAGGATCATCATCCTGGAGTGCTCCTCCTCCGCCTCCCGTCGCAGTACTTGCGCTACTACCACCACCTCCCAAAATACCCACTCCTCGACTTACACTCCCAGCCAAGGGATCAATTTTCATCCGACTCGATCCCGGAGAGAAGAGGTCCATCGACGTACGAGCAGCTCCTCCTCCTCCTCCTCCCGTTCCTGTTCCTGCTCCTGCCCCTCCAGTTTTCGCTGCCGACGGTTGTGACAACCCATCATCGCCCGAATCATTCAACATCCAGCTGAACTGAGAATTGGCCAACGAAGACCGGGGCGACTTGACTTTGTTCGCCAACCCTGATCCTGCCAATCCTGTTCCTGTCTTACTGCGAGAACTAGGCGGGGACCCCTTTCTTGATGCAGAAGAAGAGGACGAAGAAGTAGGTGTATCGCTTGCCGAGTCTCCAAGAAGATCATCAAACGAGAATGGCTTCGGCGCAGGTGGAGGCGGCACGGGGGCTGGCATATACGTCTCGGCCATGGATGCTACCGGAAGAGGTGTCGATCCAGTGCCACCAGTATTGAACCGGTACTCCTGTGGATCGCCACTACTACTGAGCCCGCTGAGATCGCTCGCCTGGCTAGAGTTCCGTGAAATACCTTGTCGCTCAATAATCGAACTGTCGCTTGTAGATCGCGATGGGCTGTTCCTGGTATTGTTGGGCTGGAGGGTATCCTGTCTTGCTGCATTGATCGGAGTTCGTTCCACTGGTGCCTGGGCTGATGTGTTTGGTGAACTGTGGGCCTTGGGCGCAGGAGCAGGAGCAGGAGAGGCCACAACGGCAGGTTTGTCCAGCATGCCAGTCTCGATCACGAGGGGGTCCAGGTCCTTGGTAAAGCCCAAAAGGATATCACGCACATGCTCGAGACCAGAAATCGCTGCAAGGGCCGCCTTGGATGGCGATTTACCGGATCCAACATCCGGGCTCTCCTTTGATGAAGAATTGGCAGTCGTCGTCGTCGACTCCCTGGTGACTTCTTCTCCAGTCGATGGTGACACGAACTCAGACTCCAAGATCACAAGAGCCTTAGCCACAATCTGCCCCAGCTGAGACTGAAGTTGAATGTCGGTATTGTTGCTGCTCCCTCCTCCAGCGTTAGTGTGACTGTCCTGGTAAGGTTGCTGCCTTGCTGTCTGCTGATGAGGAGGAGGTGCGTGTTGACGAGTCAAGGCAGGCTGTCGACTGACGGATGAGACAGCCTGTTCAAACATCGGGGGAAAGTTTGGAGGAGGCGAAGCTGTATGTGGTGCATTAGCCTTCCGGATATATGATTGGGTATTTTTCTATTGAATGAAAAATAAGTGCGTGAGAACCATGAGGCCACCATTGCTCAGTTTCTTGAGAGGTTGCGCAAAAGCGACGAGACATACCTTCATGTCGTGGATTGCCTTGTTCAGGGCCGCGCCTCCCTTGCTCTCCAACACATTCTTTGTCACATGAACAAATCCTTCAGCTACAGGCTTGATGGCATCCAACGCTGCCGGGGGTAAATGCTGACTCAAAACACCATTTCCAGGGAAACTTCCAGACTGAGTCTTGTGGTGATCCTGATGATGCCCTCCTTGCTGTTGACGCCGCTGCTGAGGTATAGGTGAAGGTGAGGCGTCTCGGTTTTGTTGATGTTGCTGGTATGGGTTCTGGTGATGTTGTTGCTGCTGTTGGTGGTACTGGTCCGCGTCGGGAACTGGTGGCAGTGGCGGCAAAGGCTTTCCTGCAAGGATGTAGTTCTGTCGAATGACATCCTGTCCGCCCGCTGCATTTGGCATCTTTTGAAGACGCAAAGCTTGTGGAATAAATTGATTCACATCTTTAACCGACGGGTACCGCATCAACTTGTGCAAGCAGCCTGCGAAATCCTCCTCCAGCACTAAGTTGAGACGAGTTCAGTAAGAATTAACTTTTTAGCTACGCGAGACTTTTCCCAATGGTAGCAAGACGACGTTACTGGTGTCCAAGAGTTCGTCGATATACTCACGTTCATCCCTGATCCTCAATAACAACGCAAGTCCGATAAATATACAGATGTTCAGACTTGGATCCTTTGCGAAGATCCCGTCCCACAGGTTCAAAACATCTTCCATGGGGAACTCTCGTCCAAAGAGCAATCGGAACCAACGACTAATGGTAAGGAGGGAACATACGAGATGTTAGCTCTGACTAGGTAGCAACAAGCTCGTACACGGTAGTAGTATCTGTAAGCTCAATGACTTACATTCCGAACAGCTGAGGCTGGATCTCCAAACTCTTGAGGTGCAGGTAGAGCTCATTATCGACTCTCTCCAAATAATGAAAGATCCTCATGGACCATTCAATGACAGGGGTCTGCTTTCCTGGCGGTGGCTATAGGTGTCACATTCAAATGTCGATAGTTAGCCATCTTCAAACACTAACCAGTGGTATTTTCATTCTCCTGATATCCAATGTGTGTTTACCTCGGGCGTGTCTGACTTTCCAAATGGCTGGGCGCTGTGCGCGTTGTTAGGAAGCTATATCGCCCATACGTGAGTACAAAGAAAAGAGACCTTATCAGTATGCATGCGAAAATAATGTCCTCTAATTCCCACTCAGCATACGACATAAAATAAAGGCAACGCGGTCTCCATCAGGACCCTCCATTTCCTGTCCTTTCGCTCTCATTCCTTACCCTGGGTCGTTTGCTCGCAAATCCTTCGTCGCTGAATTCGTACCATGGCTTCGCACGACTCATGAGACTCTGGAAGAGCGCAAATGTGTCATGTTCAATGAACTTTGCGTCAAGTACGCTCCTCATCACATCCAGCGCCGCATCCCTATACATGTGGCAATGTAATCAATGGCCGTGTTAAATAATAGTTGTGAACAGTGCAACGCCATCATATCTGAATGGTAAAGAAAGTAAACGTGACAAATATGAACTCTGGTGCTTACGAGGATGCCTCTGGGTTGCTTTGGGTATCAAGACTCTCGGAGGAAACAACCCAAAGAATATGAGCCAACAGCTCGTGCATTCCTTGGCGATAGGACACGTCGTGGTTGATTTTGCAATAGATAAACAAAATGTCGTTCAATTGATCCTGAACCTTTTCCGATCGAAAGTAGTCGTTGTCTGGGAAACTATTCTCAACCATGAATGGATAAAAGTGTTATGACATGTACTACAACGAAATCAATTGTAGGGTGGTGAGAAAGACAGGCAGCAGACAAGTCGAGCCTACGTTCGCTCGACATCCTGCTTGATGATCTTCTTGAGCTCCGAGTCAACAAAGAACTGTTGCCAGGGACTGTCCTCCGCCAAACTAAGAGGGTTGTTGAGTTCCAGATCCGGCTCAGGTCCATCATCGGCTCCAATGGCTCGGATATACTTTCGTCGAAGCTCAACATATCGCTCACGCTCCGTCGTCATCGCAAACGGCCATGTTGAAATCTCGAGTGTGGGTATGCAGCCCAAATACACCTAGAAAACGAATGATATCAAGGAGAAAGAAATTTCAGCAATTGGATCAGAGTGCATACAAAAAACCATGCATAATGATGGGCCATGGAAGAAGAAAAGGAAGGAGATATAAAGAAGAGGAAAATAGAAATCAATAAGGGTCAGCATAGTCAGGTGTGATATTGGGTTGGTCATGAAGCACACAAAGCCTCGTCCTCTCACAGCGATTAAGAAACACAGGATCACAAAAGATGATCCACATACACTCTCTCTGTGTGTGCAATTGAACAAGTATTGCTTATTCTTATGGAGTTAATGGACTGAGCCTGGATTCTCGCTTTATTACCTTCCAGCAGACAGAACGAATGCCATCGATACCCATGTTCGAGTGTTGTGAAAGAGCACGAGCCTTGAGAGAGTCAAGACTCAGGTTAGGGTCCTCAAAGACCTCTGTCCATTTCTCCCTAAGGAATGACACAAAGGCGTTTACCGATATGATATGGGTTCAATTGATGGTTTAGTTCCTTGCTGCAAAGTAATACTGCTTTAGTGCGTTTTGTCGATATGGTCGTCGCCTGTTGTTGGTGCATGAGAGAGAGGAAGAAAGGAGTGGACATACCGTGCACCCTTGAGCGTGTTCATGGAGGAGACAGGGTGAAGTGTGAGGTGCTTGTGTGCTGAAGTAGGGGATTGGATGTGCGGTGAATGGTGCGTGTGATGCTGAGCAAAGGTTGAGTGTTGAGTATGAAGCGACAAGAAAAGGATAAGGAAAAGAGTTGAAGCGGAGAGAAAGAAAAGAAAGTGAATTCGATGGAAGTGATGGAATCGCTTCTTTTTCTTTTATGCCAAGGGAAAACCATGCGAAGAAAAAATGGCAGGCGGAACAGCAACCTTTCTCGACCCCAATGCACGTCACAACAGACATCTCAAAAACGCGACGAGCGTGAAGATAATTATTAAGGTAAGGTAAGTAGAACGATACAAGTACAAGCGACAAACAAAAGGAGCAACTAACAAAAACAAAAAAAAACTACAACAAATATCTACAAGGACAGCATCGACGGGGACCCGGGTGACCCAACGCCGCTGCCACTACTAGCACCACCAACGCGTGAGAGACTCTTGTGCCGGCGAAGACTCTGGCTAGGACTCTGATTCCGACTTGGACTCTGACTCTGAACCTTGCTTCTATGACGCATCGTATGCCATTCTGCCCAGTGTCGAAGTCTGCGCTCCGACTTTCTCGGCGTGTCCATCCCATTTTCTGCAGACGACACCCCAATGGCTTCTAAACAATCACCATGTCAACAATAAGACCTTGTTAGCTTGATGAGCTTCTGAAAAAGATACTGTAACCTCGCCAAATTCAGTTTCAAAGTGTGAACTTACCAGTTGAGTGGAAACAAACATAGAGGGCCAAAGCTAAGGTCTTGAAGGGCAATAATGCAAGGAACAAAGCAGCTCCATACAAATTCCTCGCAAACGTTCTCTCCCCACCTCCAAGACAGATCCCAAGCAACGGCTGCAATGCCACAACCGCCATCATAAAACACAGCGCCAGTATCACTGGCAGCGCGTCAAGAGATCCAACCTTCTCCGCCGCGCCTACAGCGACCATCACCAATAACACTATCGAAAAGAAAACCGCCGATGGGAGGATGACCAATGCCAGCCATTCTATCAGGGCCAGGAAATTGAGCGAACAACAGAATCGACCTCGCAATTCCGAGATCCAGATCTGGCGCCAAAGAGCGTGGAAGGAGCTTGCCAGCAAACGACCTTGTTCCTGAAGGAAGGATTGCAGATCAGGCGTTACTCTCGAACGATAGACCGCTTGAGGGACATAGACGATGCGACGGTCGGGGAAGGTCTGGTGCAACAGGCCTGTCAGGTACCGGTCCTCAGCTCCCTGGAGAAGGAGGCTCCGCTCATGCAGAGTGCGAGCCTTATTGCCTACAAAGCAGGAGATCACATCAGGGTGGACTAGGATGGGGATCGAGTACTGGACATCCTCGGAAGCCATTATCTTCTTGAGCAACCGCTGTCGCTTGATCCGCTTAGTGCTGTCCTGGTGACCCTCTGCTGCTCCTCCGTCGACATTGCCATCAGCTTCACCAAACTCAACGTCTCGCCCTTCCTCCCCTTTCACCTCAGCCAGGATCTTGTCATCATCGTCTGTGTCGGAAAAGGCGGACGTTTCATCTGAGTTGCGTTTGTCAAGCTTGACAGGGCCTGGATAATGAGACCCTTGGTGGCACCGGAGCTTGATCCGCACCAGCGAGAAGCGACTTGGCAGACATTGGACAGCACTCAAGGTGGACTCAAAAGCACTAGTGAACTGAGACGACAAGTGGTTCTCATAGTCCTGCACTCTCGCCAACCAGTTCTCGGTGGCGTTGGAGATGACTCGCTGAGCACAGACACCCATGACTTTCTCGTTTCTCCTCAGGGTACCAACCATTCGACTCAGGCTGTGGCGGTCACACTCGATCCCAGCCTCTGCCACAAGCAGCATGTCAAAGACGTCCGGTCCGCTCCCACCACCCATCAACCACCGCACTCGCTCAAACAACGCATACTCAAAGGACGACATAGGTTCGTTGAAGCAGACGCGATAGAGCCATCTCAATATCAACTTCTTTTTCCACCAGGTCGCATACTCCTCTTGAACTAGGTCTTGGTCTGGGGCGCGGAGGACAAGGACATAGGGGATCCGACGGGAATCAACCACATAGTAGCCAGAGTAGATATCCTCTGAGAATGGATCGTTTGAGAGCGACGACAGGGGCAGTTTTTCCGACTCGATGGGCGTCGATGGTTGCATTAGACGCAGGCAGGCTAGTGACGCCTGAGAACGCTTCCCGTCAGCACCCCAGGTAGCGTCTGCCATGACCAAGAGAAGCTTGCGGCCGTCGTCGTGGTCGGCCAAGGCGAGGGAATCCAGCGTGCTCCTGATTTGGTCATCTTGATCCGTGGCCTGACAGGTCACCAGCATGAGGACGTGATTCTCGGTATCAATACTGTCGCCGCTGTCAGCGCTGTTGTTGTTCTTGTTGCTGGTGGCTCCAGTAGTCGAGCCAGAAGATCCTTTGCCAGACTCTGTCCTGGTGGACTGCGAAAAGACAAACCAGTAGACCAATGCAGAGCCCAGACGCATGAAGGTGATCAAAAAGAGAATCGCCAGCGAAAACGTGTTGATGACAAGCGATGCCAAGCATCCACCGGCTGGTTCGCCAGAAAGCACGCCGACCTTGAAGAAGCCTTGGAAGCAGCGAGCAATGTCCTTGTAGTTGGCTTGTTTCCGGACAGCGAGTGTTGCATCCCGGCCGATGAGGCTCTTGATCCAGTACATCCGAGAGATCTCAAGCGCGCTTATTGTGGGACCGGGTACCTGAGCCAAGTAGTCGGTAGCATCAAATACTGATCCATCATAGACAAATAGATTCCGTGACGTCGAATCTGCAATGTCGGTCCAGTGGTATGTGATCACCACATCGCTCCTCTCGAACTGGCGCAGCATGCCGTTGGAAGACGGGGCGAACGAGTGGCAGTGGTTGACCGCTGTGCTGTTGACTGAGCATTTTCCAAAGTTGGTGATTGATCCAAAAAGGTGACAGGTGTCTGACAGATCCGGAGGTGGGAACAATACTGACATATCATCTCCATAGTGTGCGGTTAAGTACGAGTTGATTGCTGCAGATGTTGCGCCTCCTGATGCTGGTGACGGATGAGATCCCTGTGCAAAGAACGAATCCACATCATAAACAACGCCTCGTATTGTCGCCAAACGACTGGGATTCTCAGAATTGCTTCCGTACCGCGTGGCAAATTCCGATGTCGAGAGAACTTCCCTCGAGTGCGGCCTACACGTCAAAAGGGCCAATCCAAACGCGAGGAATCCAAAGAGGATAGTGAGACCAGTGATCAGAGAGGAAAGGGTGACTTTCTCGCGCCAATCTTGCTGCCTATCCGCGCTCCAGGACTTTGATAACACCTTTGCCGGACAACATGCCGTCCATAGGTTGGAGAGGGTAACCCAGATGTGGTTGCGGTTGCGCTCGATCAGTTGCATATGCTCTCGTATCCGCCGATTGATGTCGCTCTCCATGTCCTTCTCTTTAGCTCGTTCCGCGAGACTGTTGCTGGATCTCTTCTGAAGTCGCACGCGTCGCTGATGATAGTTGGAGCCAGACCGATTGATGATGGGATCAGTGTTTTCGAGGCTGCTCTCGGTGTAGTAACGGACGTGCTTGGTGCCATATCGTGGAATGAGGCCTCTCCTGTGCATGCTGTAGATCCGTGCTGTTGTTGACGCCCGCCATGGTATCCGTGGTCGAGATTTCTCGGAAATAGCGGGCTCTTTGACTGCCAGTGATGTAGGGGTTGGTTCCTCGACGTGATCGTGCTGGTCCTGGATGTTGGATGGTGCTGCTGCTTCGTCAGCCGGGCTAGCCTCAAGTATAGAATTGGGCAGGTTGTCCTTGGGCTCAATGAAAATGGCAGAGAGATCTTGTCCGATCGTAGGGAGAGGTGGTAGCGAAGGTGCAGTATCGGACGGCTGGAGTGGAACAGGTACTGCTGGAAGAGACTGGTGACGACGGGCTTTGAGTGGTGCGCTCAATCGCGAAGAGAGTCCAGAGTGACGAGAAATGGTGCTGTTGTATCCCGAGAACGAACGTCGTGGCCTGTAGTGATCCTCCTCCTGTGCTTCCTCTGGCACAGATGGTAATGAAGGTGCTGGTGAATGTGTCCTCCGAGACGGTGATCGAGGTGTTGGTGGCAACATTTGCTGGATTAACGTCCGTGTACTCATACTCGACCCTGGTCCGGATGTGGTCGACATAATAGAGCTCGCGCCTCCGCCACTGCTGCCTTCTCGTGAGATACGCCTTGTGATATAGACAGCAATCGACTTGTGGCCAGCATCCCACGAGAGACTACGCGCGTTCTTCCCGTTGGCCGTCTTGATATGAGGATCGGCTCCTTGGGTGAGTAGCAGCTTGCATGCGTCCAGCTTGCCGGCATAGGCTGCAAGCATCAAGGAAGACCAGCCGTATTGATCCAAAATGTTCAATGAGGCGCCCTGCTCGATAAGTAGGGCCATGACATCGATATGCCCAGCGTAGGAGGCGAGGAGGAGTGCAGATTTTCGAGTGTTGTCTTGCTGGTTGACATTGGCGTGTCCGATGGAGATGAGCAGTCGACATATCGTCAAGAACCCATTGTAAGAAGCGATGATCAGGGGCGTGATCGCTTCCTAATTGGATATTCATACAAGATAACGGGGAAGAGAGAGGGTAAGCGGGAGAGACAGGGAGAGACAAGGAGGAACAGAGAGAGAATGTGTGCAGGGGAGCAGGGGACAGGGAGGGGTGGGAAAGAACGGGAAGGGTGCATGAACGTGCGAAAGGGGCAGAGGCAACGAGGAAGGGATGAGAGACAATAAAAAACAGACTAAAATGGGTGACCAGATCATGGGAATAACAAAACGTACGCCCTTGGTGCATGGGTGCATGAGGGGGGAGAAGAGAGAGAGAAGGAGCCAGAGGAATCGAAGTGCTGAAATGCACGAATGTCGAGAGGGAGGGAGTCGAAAAAGGCCACACGAAGAAACGTGTATTTCATTTCCGCATACTCAATTGATTCTGGCCTGAGATGAGCTGATCCTCCTTACCTCGTTGCCTAGGCTTGCCGATGCACCTGCCAACAGGAGAAGCTGCGCGCACTCGGTTGAGCCAGCCGCAGCGGCTTGGTAGAGGGCTGTCTCGCCCTCGTCATCTGCGCATGTGCCGACAGTAGACGTTTGAAAACAAAAAAAAGTGTCATTAATAGTCGTCAGAGAAGGTAGAAATGAGAGGGTGAGAGAGCAAAAAAAGGAGAAAGGGGGAAAGGTAGTGTTATTAGGGGACAAAAGTCGAGTCATTCGGTACATGGACGTAAACAAATGCTTATGTTGTTGTTCTAGTTTCGACAATGGTTCCATTTATGGGCGAAGTGCTTCCCTCTCTCTTGATTTGCCTGTCTGTCCGTCTGTCTACTCTGGGGAAAGAAACCAAGTCCAAAGCCAAGTCTAAGTCCAAGTCCAGTTCTAGTCAGGTTACTAGTGTAGGGTGGAGAAGGATCGTTGTGTGTTTATAAATACCTTGGAGGTCGACGTCGATCGAGGGTAGTGCCAAAAGGTATCGTAGAACACGATGTTTATTGTCCGTTGCAGCGACCATCAGCATCGTTTTGTGCTCCTTGTTGCGGATCCTGTTGGGATCGAGTGAGAGGCTGGAGAGGACATGATCGAGGTGCTCGGTGTCCTGGACGAGAACAGCGTGAAACAAGGAGCGGATCACACCCGCAACCGAGTAGCGCCGAGTTGAGGAGGTTGGGGTGATGGTGTTGTTGGTGGTGGTCGATGAGGTTTCGTGATACGAAGAGTCGTCCGGATCAGACCCGGCAGAGAAGCCCCGTCCATGGAAACCACCCGTCTCCATCGCAGCGACGACCGTTTGTGGGAGTGAAGCGGAATTTTTTTGTAGGAGTTGTCGTTGTTGGTGTTGTTGTCGTGTTGTTTAGTTAGAGGGTGTGGGGAGATGTGGAGGGATCGGCTGTGCTGTCGATTTCGTGATGGCGGGAGTCAAGATGGAAAAGTATGTGTAGAGGTAGAAAGGTTGTTGTGTGTGAAGGAATGCGAGGGGGAGTGAGAAAGAGAGCTTTATGTCAACGGAGGGAGGATGGTTGTTTGAGGGAGTGTGAGTAAGAAGAGACGAGTGTACATGTGGAGCACAAGGCAGGGAAGCAGAAGGAGAAGAAGAGAAAACTACAGAAGTCTTTGAGAAGCAGAAAAGGGAAGAAAGCAAACAGGAAAAGAAAAGAGAGAAAGAAAGAAAGGAAAGGGGGAAGAAAAGAAGCAAATAAAGAAGAAAATGGTCAGACAGGAGAGAGCATGAACGCTTTGGACAACTGAGGACAAGCAACAACAAACAGCAAACAAGCAAGTACTGTACATCAACAACAACAACAACAACAGCAACAGCAACAGCAACAACAACAACAACAACAACAGCAACGCAACACAAGGTGCAACCAACGTCGACAAAATAAAATAGAAAAGAGCAAGGAGACTACTCCCCCCATCCATGCCTATCCCTACAACCACCATCATCCACACCACAACCATAGCCTTCGCCAAGAGAGCCTCCAACACTGAGTGACACTGACAGCCTTTTCTATCACTCACCACCCCGACGGAGAATTAAAAAAACAAGAAAAACAAGAAAAACAAGAAAAATAAAGAGCGACTTTAGGTTTTCTTTGTCAGTGCCTGTGTTGGATGCAGAAATGGGCGTATTCGCCCTTCCATCATCGTAGACAGTGCTCACGTATGCACACACATACACGACACACTCTGCAGCAGGGCATTGGCATAGCTCACACCCCTACCCTGTCATTAGTGTCATCATCATCTTTTTTTATTTTTATTTGGGTATGTTCGCTCCATTAGACTTTCTTGAACTTGCACTTCAACCCCTTTCCTTCTGTCGGCTTGGTGTCGGTCAGTGTTACTGAGCCTTCTCTCATTGGACAACTGCAGGGGCAGACAAGAGGAAGAGGAAGAGGGAGGAAGAGGCAGAAAACTAACAAGGGAGGGAGCTGCAGACCAGGGCATTTCAAGCCGCAGGTCTAAAGGAAGTGAGGACTTGGAGGACTTGGAGGTGGGGAATGGAACCAAATAAAATACAACAACAGCTCATTAATGTTGTTAACAATACCGTACCATAAACAATGAAAAACACTCCTGCAGCTGTTGTCATGGGATCGTCTCTTATTTTTTTTTGCCGGTCGCTCTCGCTCCTCGCTCTTTTCACTCACCTTCCTCGTATTTTTGTTCCTGAACAACAACAGTAAAAAGAAAAAGGGACGAAGGAAGGAAGAGAGGGCCATGCTTGAGACTAAACAAGAGCGCACATACAATGTGTACACGTAGGAAATAGAAAACGTATACTCCTTTCGTCCTTCCTTATTCTTTAGCAACCCTCCTTTTTCCTGTGTTGCCAAGGGTGCCTTTTCGTAACTTTTGTCGTTTGTTGTTGTTGTTGTTGTTGATGTTGGTGCTTGCTGACAAGAACAACAATAGAGAGCAACGGACACAGAGCAAGGGACAACTATTTATTCAATTGAATCGATTCAACAACCAAAAATACAAAACAGGGAGAAAATAATGGGGTTTTTGAGTTGGGGTATTTTTTTTTTGGGTATGGAACTGGTATTTGTTGTTGTTGTTGAAGCCATGGTTCCATGGTCCGTCGATAACAGGCAAATCTTGACACTCATCCCCTGTCCTCCTTACCCCATCATGTTCGCCAATGCATGCACCGCGAAAACACAACAAGGCAAATAGCGCAGAACCTGAAGAAAGGCGCCATGCATAATACACTTATCCTCAATCGAGTTGTTTTCGTTCTATTGTATGTTATGTATGTACCTTCAATTGTATTCAATATACCTACTCTTAGCTTATTATTATTTTTTGGTATCAAAGCGGATAGGGGCTGACCTTGGAGGGGCGTGGAGAAGAAAAAAATCAAGGAGGAAACAACACAGAAAACAGAAGGAAGGTGACGGAACAGGGTCAACAATTTAACACCTATGCCCGCATGAACATGCCACCTTCTACTCCCTTTTTTTACTCTTTTCTACTCTCCCTTTTTATGTTCCAAAAGATCGATCGCAGGCATATGCCTGTCATATTTACGAAATATAAGACAGCCGTGGGGCACAAAGGCCGACTGGCGAAAAAAAAAAGAAAAAGGGCTGGTCTGCAAGCCTGTAAACCTGCCTAATAGGAGACATCCCTACTCACACTCACAATTACTTGAAGCATGGCTTGCATATGTTGCAGTAACCCCGTCCTCAACCACCGGAATTTTTTCACAGGCATGCACCACCAACCTCATTGTTGTTTGTGCCTTGTATGTGTGCGCATGTTTTTGTGCGCGTGTGTATTTTAGAGAGAGAGAGAGAGAGAGAGACAAGAAGGAAAGGAGAGCAATTCATGCAACGCGGCACATACCGCACTAACACACACACACACACACTCGCTATCACACGCGCCTAACAAGCTCATGGACCATTGGTCCATAAAAAAAACCATCTGGTCACGACTTTGGATCGTGGATCACCTTTTCTTTGCACAAAAAAATAGCCGTTGAGTCGCAGATAGATAAACAAATTGGTGGACAGAGAGAGGGAGGGAAGTAAAGTTGATTGCAAAGAATGCGACATGGGTTGGATGACACAAAATAAGTAGTAAAAGATGGATTGCAAAAGGAGAAAAGAAAGGGCAAGGTGGTAGGAGCGGAAGGGTCAAGTGCTGGCCCTTTTTTTTCTTTTTCTCCTTTGAATTTAAAAAAGTGCATTTTTGATAGTGAATGGCTCTTTTGCAGCAGAAGGACAAGGGCCCTTTTTTTATCACAACCCTCATTCGCATACTCATGCATATGCAGAAAGGAGATGGATGGTATAGTAAGCCAAGGAGGAGGGTGGATGTCACTGCCACATCATCAAAGAGACTGACAGAAAAAGTGATCCAAAAAGAAGAGAGACAGAATCATCCCATGTATTATGCTTTTTCATGCTGTTGTTGTCTCGAAAAGGCTATGTTTGCTTACTGAGTGGTGGTACTAGAGCGCTCTTTGATTTGTTTTGACAATGACACAGCATGGTCCCAGCATTCTCTGTTCAGGGTCAACTCGCCCTTACTCAATGCCACGAGTCTATACAGTGCAGACAAAGAAGAATCACAGCAGTTTGTCAGGAACGAATAGTAACGCGCGAAAAATGATATGGTCACGAGTTCACTCTTGGTCCAATAGAGTTTTCAGTTCCTGGCCCTCTGTCTATGTCTCTCGTTCCTTACAATTCCGAGGAGTGCTCCAGTAGATAGAAAGCAGTAGGAAGGGGGGTCAAAAAAAGGAGAGAAGAGAGAAGGGGGGGATCAAAGAGGCATCATTCACAGGGGAGTAACAGGGAGGAGGGAGAGCAATTGTGTTTCTAGTTTGTGGTGTTAGCTTTGTGCTTACCTTGCAAGGGAGATATTAAGCGCGAGGTCGTTGGGGGTAATCAGGGCTGATCCAGCAGCTGAGGCGGCCTTGCGCTGCTCCATAAACTCTGTCTCGATTTCCTAAAAATGATATGCCAGAGGGAGGGGAAAAAATGCGCGGGAAAAAGAAAGCGAGAACCAAAAATTAGGTTCGGATGTTGGGATGTTGGGCACGGCGGTAAAAAAAACAGACAAGGGAAAAAATGGCGGCAAGACCGCTATGACAACCAACAGCCGACAACAACAAAGACGCCAAAAGGTATCATTTGTTTCAAACACAGCGATGAAAGAAAGAATGACAAAGGCGGTCGATTCATGCAATCGATCTCCCGCCCTCCCAGATTCGGAGATATTCCCGTCCATTAATTACCTTGGCCATATCCTCTGAAAACTTGTATTCGGCGAGGCGCAGAGCGCTAATGTATCTGCGGAAGGACTGGAGCTTTTCCTCTGTTGGCTCTGACTGCTGCTCAGGTGTGGATGGCTCAGGCGTCAAAGTAATCCCGCAGTCAACCTAAACATCGAGCGGTAAAAACAATGAAATGGTCAGTGAACTGGTAAACCAATACGTGACCTCTTCTTCTTCCCGCCAATTTTTCTCAAACTCGGAGGACACAAGCAACAGGGGACTTACAGGGACCAATGAACTGCCAAAGGAGATGATCAACAAGGAAATGTCGGTCTGGAACTCGAGGTGGTTGTATGGGAAAACGTAGTTGAGGGTCTGGTACAGACTGACATCTGTTACCGCCTTCAAGTTCTTGATACCTATTCAATGAGCAGCGACATAGTAAAAAAAGGAACAACTTTAGCTTCTGATATAACAGAATAGCCTACTTGAGAAGGGGGAACAAGAGTATACAAGAAAGCATTACCTTGATCAACCAAGGTACCCTCCTCCATGGCGGTCTCGTCCAGAAGCAAAAGGGTGCCACGGGTGACCTGGAGCATTCCCGAGCACAGATGCTCCTCACCACGGGGGTAAAAGTAGTTCTTGTTCAAGTTCGTAAGAGTCATGGGAATAGCGTGAACTTTGGGTAACACGCTCTTGACCACCTTCTCAAGGCTCTTGGCGACTGGAGAGTTGGCTGTAGAGTCCTTGAGATTCAAACTGAACTTGCCAAGAACAGCTCCACTTGGACGTGAGTAGCTATAATAAGTGCCATCATGATGGAGAAGGGTTGAGTATGTATGGTAAAACGTAGCCGATCGTTCAGAACCCCAGGCTGACAAACAAAGATACTTACACTCTGGCCAAAAGATGGAGGAGAACAAGCTCTGCTGCGAACTTGTCCCCGCGGACAGCTTGAGCAATGTACTGGATCAACTCCTCACGGATGGTCTTGGCATCCTTGACGAGCTTCTCAAGATCATCCTCGGTGGGGCGACCATTTACTGTCAACTCAGGGTGTCCGTGGTCATCAACCTTGTTCATGAGAATAGCGTGGACGGTAGGGATACGAGGTCCTGCAGCCGACTCTTCCTGGAAGTCAAAAGAGTCTCCTGACGACCTATAACGTACATTTAAGAGCGAAAGAAAATAACTTGGTCAACATGCTTGCCTGTTGAAGAATTGTCATATTGACCTTATAAACACTTGGCCGCGAGCTTACACTTTGTCGCTGGCGCCCAAGACTCCGATGACCTCGACCATATCAGTCACTCCAATGCTAACATCTGAAGAAGTGGTCTTGACAACAGCAGCAAAGTGGCTGACTGCGGGGAAAGGGAATCGCTCCGCAATGACCTCTGATGCCTTCGTCTCCTCAAGTTTCAAATCTATGACCATCGATGTAAATAATAGTCAGCCGTTAGGTCCTGAAAAACCATAAGTTCAGTCCCGCTTCGTTGACCATGATGAGTGTTGCGTTGTGACATACCCTGGAGCGCAGCATCCAGACCGGCGGGCTTGTCAGCATCCTTGGCCCACTGCGACTGCCCAGGGACAGAAACGCAGTAATAGCTGCTCCTGAGATCCATCAATTCCTGATTTTGGTGCGAAGCCAACATCTATAGTAATAACGTGATGGCATCGTGAGTCTCCAACTGTCCAATACAGGCTACCCAATTTCTTCCTGTGTTTCCCCAATGCAGCAAGCCATCATACCTGGTCCTCATGAGGTCCATCTGAATATCTATGGCAAACGAAGGCCTATCATGCATAACAGAGATATATAAAGTCAGCTTAGATGTGTCTTCGCAGAGCAAAGACTATGTCAACTGAACATTGCCGCTGTTAAAACCACATACCTCCTCGCCATCAGGCTTCTTGGAAATGGTCGATGCAAACAAAGCTACCTCCTGCGAGAGCTCGGTATCCTGAACCATGCATCTGAAGCGAACAAGAGAGTTCAAGGGCAAGGTGTTGATCGACTGGGCGTCCAGCACAGGGATCTATTTTCAAAATTGAAATGAACAAATGCATAGTGTAAATATTTCAGGTATTGTCAAAGGATGCTGAGGCATAACATTAGGATTCCAAGAGCATAATTCCTCTTTTGAGTTGTTCAATACCTTAGACAGCTTCTCGCGGGTATCGAACATCTCCTGGAAGTGCTTGGTCACGCCAAAGTCATCCTTGTCGGTGGACGCTCCCTCTTTCCAGTTCTTGCCTAAGTGTGATGCCAAGTTGAGTTTTGATTAGGTGTGAGATTCAACTTGATGAATGCCCCACTGTCATGGCATCGAGTTTGTTGTTATATAACGATTTTAATGCTTATAGCTTGTATTCTCCTTACGAAAGAGTTCCTGAATGGTTTCCAGTGGATGCTCAATGACACTCATGTTTGATGATTGATCGTTTGGTTAATGAATGAAAGATGGAGGAGGAGTGATTTCTCAGGTGTGTCCTTTTTTTTATGTTTTTGTGACCTGTGTTTGACCACATTAATTTTGGTGGCGTACTGTTCACCATGCAGACATTCAAATAAGCCAAGCGGCTTCGTTTCTTCTCTTCATCCATTCTTTCCTTTCAATCCACCTCGACTTACCATAGCACATCTCAACATACCACGGCCATCAACTCTATCTTTCTACACCTCACCAACCTCAACCATGGCAAAGGCCCAGCGCATCAGCGTGGCGAAGTCACACGGTAACTCCATTTGCTCCAAGTGCTTGTGTTGTCAAGCAAGAGAACGAAAGGCTTCCTAACACTCGAGATTGCTTATATCACGACTTGTAGCGTCTCGCTCCAAGAGACAACCCACCGCCTACAACTTGTTCATAAAAGACAAGCTGCCCAACTACAAGTCCGCCCACCCCAACGTCAAGCATAAGGTAAGCGATTGATATGCCCGCTGCATTTCAGAGACCCCCGGCGACACGCCATGAGGATCTTTTTTGCCTGATAATAGGTGCTTACGATTGCTCCCCCACTTCATAGGAGGCGTTCAAACAAGTTGCCTACCTCTGGAAGTATGCCGCCGAGAATCCAAACCGTACGCCCTCTTAGGCATTCCTCAGAGTGCGCCAACCTATGCACCCTCTGGGTCCCTCTTTCATCTCACCAGTTCTTGGCGCCGTACTGATATCTGTGCATTTGTTCATAGCTATTCTTTCTTGCCATAGTACGACCATCTTTCTGTATCCACAATAGTAAAAATCGCTTTCTTTGTTCATTATACCTTGTTTTGTTTGTTTATTTCGTCTCCCGTGAAAAAAGGCCGGCGTGTGTTTGCTTCGTTCTAGTTGTGTCGTTGTCTAAAAGGTTTTCGTGTGCACAACACTGGGTCCGCTCTCGTTGTAATCCACCTTGTTGATGTAATTGCGGGGATCCGGGAAGATCAACTACCATCGCATAAGCAAAACAAATACACGAGATAAATGATTAACATAAAGTGACCCATAATCATCTCGCCTCTTTCTTTGATCCGTCCTCGGATCCAATCACAAAAGCAACGCGTATCATTATACGTTCTTACCTTGGCAACAATCTCGGAACCAAGGAATCCAGCGTGGACAATCGAGTCTTTCAAGGCAGGGAAGTAGTCGGGAACCTTCAAGAACTTGACATCGCGCACTTGGAACTCTCCAAAGTTTTCAGAAACTGCCAACGACTCTGACAGCGCGCTCTCAATGCGGGATTGCAGACCTACAAAGGCATCCACGAGTCACAAGTAGAAGGGTGGGTGTTAATCTCCATAGCATAGCTTGAATACCCTCAAGTTCACTCTGAGTTCAGATCCATTAATGACATTTTGTGAGCGTACCTTTAATTTGGCATGTTCCTCCTGTGACGATGATCGACTCCCATAATGACTGACGCTTCTCGGCTTTGCAGGCGTACTGTGCGGCATGGATCGCCTCGATCAAGGTTTGCACACGCTTTCCGACAAGATCAGGGTTGAACAGTGCCTCCACAGCCTTATATCTCACTGAGCCGACAGTGAACTACAAGATCAAGAGAAAAACAGCTTATTGTTAGAGAATCGGTGGATAACCAAGGGTAACACAGTAGGATGAAGCATAGCTCCAGACTTCCTGCTCACCTTCTTGCCGTTGTATTCAGCCTGTGCCCTGGTCTTGTTCTCCTTCTCGTCCTTGTTCAAAACTTGGCAAATTCCTGATTCCTTCAAATGCCGAGCAAACTCCAAATCCAATGGCTCTCCGTATTCACGAGCAAGCTGAGCATCGCCCTTGAGGAGTTCCAAAAAGTGCTTGTCAATGTCCGAGCCGGCTAATGGGATCGATTGAATGGCGTGGCGTTGGATCTGGGTGTCAAGGATGGGTGTGATTTCTGAAATAGATGCAGAGGTGAATCGTTAGTTAGGTCAACCTTCTGTGCCTTTCTGTTTGAAAAGCATACAATCCTGTCATCGATTGATCATGCCTCTGTCTGTACCTGTGCTGTTGTGTCCAATGTCAATGACGAGTCCAGTCACTGCCGCGCAGCCATAAAGGGTCATCAAGGGTTCCTCTGCAAGATACAGTCCAGGGACATTAAAGTTTTCGAAAAAGATCTGTGTGATCCGCTCGTGCTCCTCCTTGGTCCAGTCTGTGGGGACGACCATCAACACAGGCGATGCGTTCCTGGATCGCTTAATCCCGAGCTCTCTGAACAACACATGGCGCCTATTATATTTAAGGCACTTCCTTTAGTTTTCACGAGCCAGTTTCCATTGACACCAATGTCCTCGTTTGAAAAAGTAGGTCAGTCAAAGACTCACCAGAGTGCCTCCATCGCAGCCCAATCTTTGACGATTCCATCCTGGATGGGTGTGCTGACTGTGAGTTCGCTCTCTGGGTATTGCTGCATGGCCTCGGTCAATGCGCTTCCGCAGTAGTAGATCGTCTGAGGTTTGTTGCTATCGTTCTCCTTTGCCTGTTCCTTGGTCTCGACAGCGCCCTCGGTAGCCTGCTCGGTCTTTTCAACTTTGATGTCAGCACCACTGACAGTCTCTGATGCAGAAGTCTCGGAAGTAGTCTCAACAGTTGTCGGTGCTGTAGCGGTCTCAGACTCTGCGATATCAGTTGGCTCAGGTGCAACCGCTCTTGACCCTACAAGCGAGCGTATCGTCTAAACGTGCAGAAAAAGGGAGTGAGGAGTGTTGAGAAGACGCGCCACTTGTTGAAGTTCCATGGAGAGTGTTTGTTTCCAATCAGAACAACGGAGTGGAATGAGTCAAGGAAGCCATACCACGTGCGGGGGCTTGTTAGTATCGACGACGTTGATGCCGGCCTTGGTGTTCCATGATCCTGAATGGAGAACGACAAAGTTTTCCTCCCTGAGAGCCATTTGCTGCAGAGTCGTTCGTAGGTCGATTGGAATTAAGTAAGAGAGAAAGTGATGGCACATCAACAGGGGGACAGCGCGCGCCTTGTGCAAGAAAACAAATCATAGGTCACGTGTGCCTACCATCAATGTGACTTGTCATTGGATCTGCACTTGCTGTAGACTTGCCACGAAGTGTAAACGGCCCTGGCGCAAACCATCATCTCTCAACACTCACAACCACGAACATAATGGTACGACTCGCCGTCAGCAGGATGCTCGGGAATTTGGCCTTATTGAACAGGACACTAACGTCTGAGGAGTAAACTTTGCTTGTCTGACGCTTTTAACTAGGCAACGACAGACCGACAGAATCTCTTGTCGGGCGCAGAGCCCATGGGCAACAACCAGCTAGAGCCAGACCTTGAGGCTGGCAACCAGGCTTCTCTCTTGAAGCAGTCAAGGTACGTAGGCACTGGAGCCTTTCGACTGATATCGAGAAGGAAGGCGCTGCACGCATAGACATTGATAGGAAAGCGATTAAGTCAAGGCGATAGTTTTCAAAGATGGTGGCTTCGCTAACAGTAGGAGTGCCAATGACGCCAACGGTTCAATGTTTATACAGGAGAGACCAGAGATTCGACATTACTAGGAGCTGAATCGGCGGTCAAGGAACTACATGTGTCTGATTGGGTAATATAGATACTGACCCAGACGAACGCATCTTCCTTTTGAACTCTCATAATATTAGCCACCCCATATGTTTAATCTTTCACTACCTCTTTCGCGTTGGCGCCATCTGCACCTACTTTTTCGGCACCTGGTTCACAGACAACTTTGTGTTGATCTTTGTTCTGTGTGTGTTGATGCTCGTCTTTGATTTCTGGACCGTTAAGAATGTTTCAGGACGCCTCTTGGTCGGCTTGCGCTGGTGGAGCGAAAACAAGGAGGACGGCACTACCACCTGGCTCTTTGAGTCGCGTGATGTAAGCGAAAGTGACGACTATTCAGAAACGAGCACTATCATGTCCAAAGAACGATACTGACGTAATAGTCTACCTTTCAACGTTCGCTCTCATAGCCAAGCCGGCCACTCAACCCGGTGGACTCTCGCCTCTTCTGGACCGGACTGTATGTCGCCCCTGCTGTGTGGGTCGTCTTTGGCATTCTCTGCATCTTGACTTTCAAGCTCACATGGCTCGTGATTGTGGCCGTTGCGTTGGCATTGAACTTTGCCAATGTCATTGGATACACGCAGTGCGACAAGGATGCCAAACAAAAGTGGGCGACTGGATTCGCCTCCAACATGTTGGGTGGTTCAGGCGCTGGAGGCATCATGGGCGGATTGATGAGCCGAGGTATCACTCGCATGGCCGGATCCATGTTCTAGATATAGACGATATACCTATGAAACTAACGAGCGGCTAAGGATAAATAAAAAGAAAAGGTTATGCAGTGAAACTTGTAACTATGATAGATTGATGAGAGATTGCTATGCAAATACTGACGTTTTGTTTAGATGCACCGTGCATCCATTCGTGTTTAATGTGGGTGTGCGGTTGAATTCTGCCTATGTCCGAGACCAATCGAAAAAAAGGTCGCGAAGAACGGTTGATTTTTGCACAATTCAGCCACTGAAACAATGGTTGCGCGATGGCTTTCTCTGTCGCGGTTTGTACTTAATGTGTTTTGTGCGCTTTGTGTGGTTTGTGTACTGGACAGTACTTTGTGTACTTTGTGCCAGCCTAGACCTTTGTACCTCCCTCTCCTTTCTTTTTTGTATTTCTTGTCAGATGAAGCTGCTCGCTCATTCATCTCCTCTTCTTCTTCGTCTTCATCACTTTTCCCGCATCCCTTCTTCACACACCACCCGCAAACTTTCGCTTCTGCGCTCACTTTGCACTCCCACCCACACCTCGCCCATACACCGAACTTTTAGCACCACTCCTCCTATCAAAAACATGGCCTCAATACACACCGACAGTGCCCCCGTTGGCAACCCCCAGGCAGCCGGCATCATCTACGTCCAAGGCGTGCCCACTCCAGAAACCCGACTGACCCTCGGCGGAGCCATCTCCGTCTCTCCCATGGCTATCGGCACTTGGGCATGGGGTGTAAGCGAGAGACTGACAAAACGATACAAGTCTGCTGGCGGTTGACCTTATGCACGAAATATAGCTAAACTAGATTCTTCTGTGTTCAATCTAGGACCCTGTCTGGAATTACAAGCCAGAGATGTTTGATGACATTGCTGCGACGTGGGATACGCTCCAGGCCGAACACTCAGGTATCAACTTTTTCGACACAGCCGAGGTCTACGGCAAAGGTGAATCGGAAAACATCATTGGTAGACTGCTCAAGAAGAACCGGCAGGAGGGAAAGCCCCTTCCTATTATCGCCACCAAGTTCATTCCTTACCCTTGGAAATGGAGGTAAGAAAAGCTGGGCTCTTGTTGACATATTGCGAATATCTCTGTATGATACCCTGTCTAATCACTCCATCCACGTTCTCTGTTCCAACATTGTGTAGCTACCCAAGCTCCCTCTTGGGCGCCCTCAAGGGATCGATCGAGAGACTCGGCGTCGATGTCGTTGACCTGTACCAGATCCATGGCCCTATCCACCTTCGCAGCATCGAAGTCGTTGCCGATGCTCTTGCCGAGGCTGTCAAGCTAGGACTTGTCAAGTCTGTTGGTGTCTCGAACTATTCCATCGACCAGATGGTGCGCATGCACGCCGCTTTGGCCAAACACGGCATCCAATTGGCCACGAACCAGGTCGAGTTCTCATTGCTCCGTCGCTACCCTGAAACATCAGGTATGATCGCCAAGTGCCACGAACTCGGCGTTGCCGTTCTGGCATACTCGCCCTTGGGCATGGGTCGACTCACTGGAAAGTACACCGCCGAGAACCCTCCTCCCTCGGGCCGCAGGTTCTCGAACTACCCTATGACTGAGTTGACTCCCTTACTGGCTGTCATCGAGAAGATTGCCAAGGAGCATGATGTCCCAATGAGTGCTGGTAAGTGTGCTAATGCCCTACTGGGTAACATGCAACAATGGAACAATGTGCTCATGCCTATGATACGCGTCAACATGCAAAATTAGGTCTTTGTAATATTCCTAACATATTTCACCTGTGTCCATTGTTCGATAGTCGCTCTCAACTACACCATTGCCAAGGGCGCCATTCCTCTGGGAGGAGCCAGAAACCCTGATCAAGCTCGCCAGAACGTCAAGGCTTTCGGTTGGAGACTCTCGGACAAGGAGGTCGAGGAACTCGATGGCGTTGCACTCATCGGTGACAAGGGTATGTTCTGGCAGCATGGATAAGGGGATGTCGCACTGCGATTGTACGCCACTCCTTCATTCTCTACCTTGATTTTCCATAACCCTCACCTGCAGTTTCAATAAAGCCCAAGATGCATTGCATTCCAGCTATCTTTCACTGGGTAAAGATGACAGCATGTTGATGACAGCTTCATACGTGACCAAGGACGTAGCATTAGCGATTTCTCGATTTGAATCATCTCAGCGTTGTGTGCGAAACTCTTTTTAACAAAACAGAGAAATTGACAAACAAACAAACAGCGAACGCGCGACCCTTGTCCCTCACTAAGCTCTAGCTTACTAGTTTATGTAGAAGAACAGGAAATCGCATGAAGGTGAACAAGTAATAGGTTACACGGTTATCAAAGACGACTTAGACTCACCGGTCCCTATTTCTGCTTTTTCTTTCTACCGCTATTTTGGAGGGTCCTTCATTCCTTTCTTGGCAACAGCCTTTGGCTGGGGGATATGTGCACGTTTGCTGCGCGATCTATTAGAATAGTGCCGTGGCAAGTCGACTTTTGCCTTCAGCTGCCATCTCCTCCCTCTTTTTATCATTGTCTGTGAAGGTTATTGTCGCAGTCCCCTTACATTGTTGTGTCATTGCACGGCTGCTTGGTTAATTCTATCTTTTTTGGAAGCGGCGGAAAGACAGGGCTTTTTGTTGTGAATTGATAGGGGGGCGGGTTGTGCGTGCGTGTACGTTTTGAGCGATCGAGTGGGGGATAAATGGGATAGAGTATTATGGGGGTACCAGAGGGCCAAGGAATAGACAAAGACATGGGGGGAAAGAGTCGAGAGCCACAAAGGTGGGCTGAGATAGAGAAGAGCGATAATGGGTCAAGGAAAATACGAAAGATCCGCTGCTGCGTTATGGAGGAACGTCCGGGGAGGAGAGGCAGGGAAATGAACCCTCTCGTGGTGACAAACCGGTTGTGCCTGAGTTGAGCTTCTTCATCTTTTTAATTCCCTTTGATCGATCACCATCATTTTCACCACACCACACTTATTTTATCCTTCTTGTCCATCCATCCCTTCTAGATTCCTCCTCTTTTGTCTCTTTGTTCCTTCCTTCCTCCCTCCCTCCCTCCTTCCTATTCCCCTGTTTGTTCCCCCTCTACCGGGAATCCCCTCCCTCTTCGTCCTTCTTTGTCGACTTTAATTCTATTTTTTATTCTCACCTTCAACTTCTTCAAGTCATCCCCTCCCTCCCTCCTCCATTCACCCATTCTTCGTCATTCCATTCCATCCCATCCTCATACCAACACTACCACTTTCACCACCTCCTCCTTCCCCAACTCCCTCTCTCCTCACCTTCCCTCTCAGTGTTGATCACTTGGCCATGGCCACAATCAACACCATGGACTCGACTGCACAAGTCCACGACTCAGGTACGACCAACAACCTACCTCACACCCCCTTGCGCCCTTATTCCTTTCCTTTTTCTCTCTCCCCCCTCTTCACCCCTTGTCCGTTGGTCTACCGTTCCTGTGTGGGCAGTAATCGATGGCACAGTAGATCTGAATACTCACCCCCATCCTTCCTATCGACTCTCTTCCTCCTTTCCCCTCCCCTTCATCTCATGCAGTGACTATCACTACCAGCAGTAGCAGCCATAGCAGGAACAACGACATTGATCACGCCATGGACAACGCTCCCAAGACAGGACGCAAGTCCTTCCAGTTCCGCGCCTTGGTAAAAAAAAAAGCAACAACCACCCCTTTCTTTTCAGTGAAATTGAGCGAGATCAAAAGCAATACCACACTTCATGAAACTAACTTTGCGCCCACCCTCACTTGAATTATTGGACCCGGATAATCTTTGAACGTTATGAAATATAGGGCCGGAAAACGCTTTCTTATCAACGTCGCCAAGTGTTTGTCAATATATGCTGTATTGGCCTGTGCCCCATTCTGATGGTCCTCATTGCGGGTGCGATGGGTATCGGCATCACCCACCTGATCGACAACCTCGGCAACCCTGCAGGTACAGTACCTTCTCCACCGTACACATTGCACCTTCTGGCCCCTGCACATCATCGTTCAATTGTCTGTGCATCCAGTTTGGGACACAGAGAATTCTCAACGTCCAAAAAAATGTCCGATCGATCGTTTATTTTTTTGGCCAGGCATATCTGGAGTCGTGTCTCGGGTTTAAGCCGCATGAACTTTTATCGTCTCAATTGCACCTTCAGCTGTACTCTAAACACACGTTCATCATTGATCATGCCTATCATAATTAGACTACCTGCTGTGCTCAGATGTCAATGCAATGACGCCCCAGGGTTTCCCCATGGTCCCTACCACCAAAAAGCAAGTCGTCGACTTCCCTACCTCGCCTGGCTCTGAAATCCCCAACGCTAAAAAGGATGCAACCATCAACCACGTCAATTGGTACGTTATCACTGGATCCCTCGGATTCGGAGCCGCCCCCACCATCTCTGCCGACAGTTGTGTCTGGTGGTTCGAAAAGGACTACCCTTACTCGTCGCCCTATGCCGTCAACCCCAACATCACCACCCCCGGCGCCAACCTCGACAGCACCTACAAGCCCCAGCCTGTTGGCGGTTGGTTGGGCCCCGTAGAACTGGCTGTTCCTATTGATCTCACTTCCCAGCAAATGTATCCCATGGTCCTCGCAGCCGACAACACCGGTGGTCAAATGGGCACCCGTCCCAGGCAGCCTCAGGTCGACCCCAAGAGCGGCAACTTAACGGGAGACCCATTCGGAACTGGACTTTTGGGCGCGATGGATACACGTTACTTCGCCAACATTACAACGAACACCGCAACTGGATTCCCAGCAGTTACCGGCTTCCAACCTGTGCCATTCTACGAACAGATCAAGGGAGTCGATGCGGACGTTGATGACGCGCTGACTGGTCAGATCAGGGTACTCGTCGATGGTTTGGCGCGTGTTGACAAGTCAGCGCTGCTCTCCAAAGAGCCAGACCCAGGGCAGTTGGTCCAGTACTATTCGCAAATTGGAGCTCTCGTTCAGAACATGCCCATCGGAGCCTTGATCTTCAACGCCATTGATGCCGTCGCCAGAAAATTCGATTACACTCTGCAGATTGGAACAGATATTCGTCTAGCCCAGGCTGCCAACTACCCCAACCGTGGTTTCCGTCTGATGCAACAGCACACCGCTCTTTCCAACGCCATCTGTAAGTAGCACCGCCATGCATTTGCGATTCAACACGCTAACTCCGTACTATGACGCATCAAGCTAATCAAAACGTTCATGTTAATAGTGAAAACATCCACGACTGCCAATGCTACCAGGATCACCCACGGTTTCCGCGGCATGCCCCAATTGTTCTCCTCCAAAGCCGAGATTCCCATCGCCTCCATGGTCGGGCGTATCTTGTATCCCTTTGGTGTTTCCTTCTTGCTGCCTATTTTCGTCATCACTCTCGTCAAAGAGAAGGAGGACCGCATTCTTGTCATGATGCGCATGGTAAGCTTTAAGATTTCAGATTTAATGTCGTTCACCTCGGCGCGCGTGAAAACGCGTACAATTTCTAATTTTGTAATTCTTTTTGACTCTGTTTCAATAGAGTGGCCTCAAGTCGATCACATACTACATTGCCCACTATATCCACTTTTACATCCTCCACGTCATCTCCTCGATCATGTTCGTCATTGCAGGAATTGCCTTCAGCATGCCCTTCTTTACAAGGATCGAGGCGGGTGTCTTTATCCTCTTGTTCTTTCTCTGGGGTCACGTCCAAATTGCTCTGGCCTTCTTCCTGTCTTGCTTCTTCAGCAAGTCGCGCACAGCCTTGGTTATTGTGTTCTTGCTGGTTCTCTGCGGTGTCATCGTCTCTCTTGCCACCGAGAGTATCTTTATGGATGACCCAGCTCCTCTTGGATACTTCGTCTGGCCCGCCTTTGCCTTCTACCGCGCTCTGTCGGTGATGAACCGGTCGAGTTACGATTCGAGCTACCAGCCCTACAAAATGTCTGACCTCAAAGGATCGGACGAGGTCCTCCAGGTCATGATTGCCTTGGTTATTGCCACTTTTGTCTTCCTCGCTTTGGCCTTCTACCTGACCGAGGTTCTCCCCACTGAGTTTGGCGTCCGTCAACCCTGGCACTTTATCTTCTCAGGCCCTTACAAGAAGTTGTTTGGCAAGAAGGAGGACAAGAAGATTGCAGGTGACATCGAGGGCCAGCGTCGCAATGATCGCACTGGATCGCAGCGAGAGATTGTTCAGGGAGAGATCCCCTTGGATCCTGAGGAGGTCCAGTTCGAGGATGGAGATGTCAAGCAGGAGCGTCTCCGTGTCCTCCATGACGAATTTGCTCCAGATTCGCCCTTGGTCATGAAGAACATGCGCAAGATCTATCCCAGCAACGGCAAGCTTGCTGTTAAAAACGTTACATTCGCCGTCGAAAAGGACACCATCTTTGGTCTCTTGGGACCCAACGGTGCTGGAAAGACCTCGTTGATCCACATTTTGACTGGATTGTACGAGCCGACCCAAGGATGGGCCCGTTTGGCAGGCTATGAGCTGGATACCGAGATCAAGGATGTCTACCGCAACATTGGCGTTTGCCCCCAGCACGATATTCTTTGGGACGATCTGGTAAGATTCATTTGCTAAGATGTATTTGCTCCTGTAGTATGTTTACTGTACTCTAACACCCTCTTCATGATTACTGTGACATAGACTGTTGGCGAACATCTCTACTTCTATGCCCGTCTCAAGGGTATTGTTGCTGCCGATGAGCGCGCCGCTGTCTTGTCATCACTGAACGCTGTTTCCTTGATGCCATTTGAGAACCGCTTGACCAAGGGACTTAGTGGTGGTGAGAAGCGCCGTTTGTCGATCGCCATTGCTCTGGTCGGTAACCCCGGTATTGTCTTCTTGGATGAGCCCACGACTGGACTCGATATTTCCGTCCGTCGTCTTATCTGGGATATTATCTCGCATGCCAAGCAGGGACGTACCATCATTCTGACGACCCACTCGATGGAGGAGGCCGAGATTTTGTGCGCGCGCATTGGTATCATGGCCAAGGGTACGTTGCGCTGCATTGGAGGTCAGATCCGCCTCAAGGAGCTGTATGGTCGTGGCTTCAAGATTACTTTTGCTTGCCGCCCCGAGAATGTTGACCGTGCTTCGGCCTACATTGCATCGTTGCTGCCGTCGACGGCCAAGAGGCTCGATGCCTTTGTGACCTCGGAGTCGTGGGAGTTTGAGACCAGCCCTGGGTTGATCCAGCGGTTGTTTGAGGATATTGAGGCCCACAAGCACGAGCACGGCATTGATGACTGGGGCTTGAGCCAGACCACGCTGGAGGAGGTCTTCCTGAGGATCATCCAGGATGCCGATGCTGACGCCTAGACTTGATATTTCTACATTCTCCATACCCCATCTCTTCATGAACAACTAAATAATAATGAAATTGTAACACGTTCTTCCAGACACTTTTGTGGCTGAGTTGGACAACGATTTGCATAAAAAGCGACCGAGTGCTTATCTCTTCTTGTCACTTTCACCCATTTGCCACCATTGTTCGTCCTTCCCCCTTTACCTCACTTCACTCTTTTTCATTTCGGTGATTCGCCTCGCATGGAATGGATCAGGAGATCGAGGCTCAGGCAAAAGAGTTTATTGCTTTCCTAGAGCAATGCAGGCAACAGCCGTAAGTGTTCTTGCTCCACCGTCAGCTCCCCATCTCATTCGAACACGCGTTTGCCAACCTGCTGTTTCAAGGACAAACCTGCGTCACCATGTTTCTAGCTAACCTAAGGATACCTCTATTGTTCTCTTGCAAATCTAGTCGCGCAAAGGCAACCTCAGAACTCAACGCGAGTCTCAATCACCTACACACGTTCCTGACGACCATCCAACCCCTTATTGAGCCCTGGCCCATCACAAATGACCCAACCATCGATTCCATGACCGTCCACGCCTCGGAACTCTATCCGACTCTGGGCGTACTTCTGGAGATGCTTTGCAGGAACCCTGTTGTCATCGCCTCTGTGTCTTCGAGAGGACTTGCAGATGTGGTGGCTCAATCGGTTATCAAGTTTTCGGCCAGGACTGGTGGCAATCCTGCTGTCGGTGCAGGATCGAAAGGCGCAATGACAGTTTCTCCTTCTGTGGAGCAGTCGTGGCGAGCTGCACGGATGCGTGATATGTTTCGAGCGCAACAACAACAGCAGGACGGATTGGGCAAGAGGAAGAGGAATTGCGCGGGTGGATCTAGTAATCGACACCTTCCCCATTCTGAACAGAATGGGTCGATAGAGACGAAGAGTGATCCATTTCAGGATATGTTCAAGGTTTCGGACAAGGAGTTGAAGGAGAGGGAGATAGAACAGACTTTGGAGACCATGGCCGGCAACCTGAAGATCTTACAGGATCATGTTGCGAAAACAGAGTTGACAGAGACCGCGTGGTCTTCACTGGTACGTACTTCTATACTTCTATCAAAAGCATGTGGAAAGTGCAACGACAACTTCAATGATTGTTTTTTATGTCGCTGAAAGATGTATTGCTTTTGTTCATAGGTAACATGGAACCGGCAGCTGTCAGAGCTGTGTGTACCTTTGGTATCGACACCAAGTGCAACAGAGCTCTTAGAAGACATTATCAGGACTGCATACGTACTCTATTCCAAACGTCCGCAGGGTGCCTCAGGACTTGTGCTGCTGTGTCTCGTAAACTCGTCGTTCATCGAGTCATTGATGATGCACCAGAGCGATGCTACTGTCTTTGCTGTGCTCAAGGACCGCCAAACACTTGCCCAGTATGTTACACGTCCAATTTCTATTCGTACGATGTGCTCGTTTCGATGGCTCACCGTGTTTGGTTATTTGCGGATGACTAAAGCGCGCCTGTTCAATTAAATAGACTGTTGGTGATTTCTCCATTGGCACGGCAAAGCTGCCTCGTGCAGTTCATCGACGGCGTCGTTCAGGACTGTGCTCATTCTCTGAATATCTATCAGAGTCGGCACCAGATCATACAGCGACACTTTGAATCATCTCAGCTCTTGACATCCGCTCTCTCAGGACAACTTCCGAAGAGTCAGCACCGCCAATTGGTTGAGAAGATCCTGGAGGACTCTGCCGAGGTGGCGGGTGAAATTGATGATTGGCGGATTGTGCGGATTTGGGTATTGTTGATCGAGTGGATCTTGACGCGTCTTGGATCTGGAGAGTCTATGCACACTTTGCCTTTGGAATTTGACGCGTCGTTTTTGGATCAAGGTGCGAATCTTTGCGCCGTGATATCATCCGCATGCCGCATTGTCAACTGTTGCGATTCGGAACTTAAAGGGGCACCCAGTTCTCACGTTTCTGTCAATACTGCGGCAGTGTCTGAGATCGACGCTCTTTTGAAAATTCAGGATCGCTATGTCTTTGAGACTGCTCCACCACAAGAAATGGCTCTACGACGGAGGATGGTGTTCTTGATTGGATCTGCGGTCGCTTCAAGCAAAGGACTCTTGACATCCTTGATTCTTCAGCATATCCTCTCTTTGGATAATGCCGATCTGCACCTCAAACAGGAACCCTCAGCTCCGTCTCAAGACACAACAACCCTACTGAACTTGCTCTCGCTACTGATATATGGAGAATTGAGCAGCGCAAGCTCCCCAACTATTGGCCAACCATTCCTGGCACTACTGCGAGAGCTGCATGCAACCCTTCGCGTGTCAGAAATCAGCAACCCATACGACCTTCGCCTGGGAACTGTTGCAGACCTGGAAGGGATCTTCTCCAGGTGTGCGTCTTTCCTTCGACTCAACACTGTCGTCACTGCAGACATTGTCTGTGCGATCGTCATCTATAACGATCCCAATAATTACGCCTTTTGGCAGTCCGTGGTATGTACATGTATTTTTTTCCTCCTTGTTTGCACGCTCTCGTTCCTGGAAGAACCAATGACCCTTATTTACCGACTCGTTCTTTTTGTTGTACTCCTCTTTAGATTAGCACGATACTTCGGATACTCACAGGTTCAGAGTCGACTTCAATGCTGACATCCTTGCCGGCGTTCATGGCTCGATTGCGGGACCTTTCAGAAATCATGGCAATACCTGGTCTTGCAAGAGCACTTGATACCCTTTTGGTAAAACCAGCTATGACAACAACAGCAATGACAGCAGCATCGGTATCATCTGCTGGCGTTGTCGCCGTGGACATTCTTGCTTTTTCGCAAAACTAAATTACGTCCAAAAAAACATAACAATATCACGTGCTTCAGTTTAGGGAGGTTTGGGTCTACAATAATAGTCCAAATGTACGTTGGCAGTCGTGCTTTTGAATGAAAATTACATTGTGCCGTGACTATTGTATATCGCAGTCCGGCTACTACTAAACTGCGTCACAAAGCGCGACCCACAAACCCTTCCATCAACCACGCACCTCTTCCATCAACCACACACCTCTTCAGTCATGTCACAAGCAACATCAGACCTTCATCGCAAGCGTCAGCGGTCTCCAAGAAGCAATCGCGCACGCGACATCGATCAACTTCACCCTGCTGTTGAAGAGCTTATCGCGCAGGCGGACACCAATATTGAAGACACAGATGAGAGGGACTCTGACAGCAACAACGACGATGAGACAAAGGACGAGGAGGTTGAAGATGACGTTGGTAACAGGAGAGAGACTGCAAGGGAGGGAACGAGCGACGGGACAGTTCGTCGTACACCGCAGCCTCGAGCAACTACATTCAACGGTTTCAAGGACCCTGCTCATGAGCTTTTGCTACTAAAGGCTTTGGATGCGGTCAGGCCGTTCGGTATCCAACACGGACAAACACGAGCTGCTTGGTCGAGAGTTGTTCAGTATCTGAAGGATTATGATGACAAGGAACGAGCCGAAGGTCGCCCAACAGTGTTCGACGACGTCAATCCCTGTGTATGTCAAGCCAGATGGAAAAACTTGTCGAGCGAATATGCTGAGCACGAGGCCGCTATGCTGAGAGCTACTGGAGTCAATCCACAGATAGCCGACCGACTGAAGTACATGCAGCCCGTGTACGAGTTTGAACAGGCCTGCAGGAAGACAGCCGATGATAACAAGGACAAAAGACATCGCAAGAAGGCGCGGACAGAGAGTAACCGAGTGGAAGGTCTTCTTTTGTTGGAAAGGTCTCGAACAGGCCCTGTTCGAGTAGTACCAGACCTGCTTCAGCCCATACAAGGCTCTATGTCAGGGACGGAGTCTGAGTCCAGTGTCTCCGTTATCTCCAATCATACCCCAAGGACTCCCGGGATGAGAAAACGGGCCATGACAACACTGTTGACACGGCAGCTTCAGGAAGCGAGCGCATTTTTAACGACCCAGGCCGAAAACCAGTGTAGGCAACTGGACATGATGATCGAGGATCGGGAGGAGCGAAGGAAGATGGAGGAAGAGCGAAGGAAGGTGGAGGAAGAGCGAAGGAAGACGGAGGAGGACACTAGGCGGGAACAGGCCGCAGTACAGGAGAGACAGCAGAAGGCGCTCATGGACTTGATGGCATTGCAAACGGAGAGCATGGAGCGAATCGCCACCCAACAATCAAAAACCACGAAGGAGCAGGCGGCAAGCACGGAGCGCCTTATCCTCGCAATTATGGCGGGATTCAATAAAAAAAGATTGATTTATTCCAACACTTGTTCCATGATAGCTGGATGGATGTACTCTCGCAGTGTAGGAGGATCAATACCAAACTGCTCATTTATCTTAACACCATAGTAACAAGTGTGAATATTGGTTAACAAAATAGCAAAGCGATAATGGGATTCAATACAAGTGAACAATAAGCGGTGACTCTTAGGAAAGTCAATGCCTGAGAAATATCTAGTTACCTCCCCGAATGCCCACTCTATAACGATGCGAAGACCCGACATCGTCTGATTGAACGTCTTTGCCTCCGGGGTGAGGTTCGCGCCTGTGTAGCCAACGATCATGTGCGGGTCGGGCATATAAGCGGAATACCCGTAAAGAGCAAGGGGCCGGCCAGTTGTATCAAAAGCGTGCTGCTCCAAGATGTCCATGATGCCAGATTGCTGATATATAGTGATGTCGTGAGTGGTGCCGGTGTATGCCTTGCTGAGATGCAGAATGATGCCGTCTGGACCAACGACGCTCTGATACTTCAGAGCATGTACATGCTTGTGTCCGTTGTACATTGACGCTTGACTGACTGTTGGTCGATTGATCCTGCGTACGGTGCCATCGATGAATCCGAATACCGCGTTGCACTCATGGTTGCTCTGCTCATAGCACAGCTCAGCATACTCTTCAAGCTTGGATGGTGTCAATCGATGATGATCCCAGATTAACAGCTGGCTCCAACGTAGCATGATCCACTTAACAAGATGATTGATGAGACGGGAAATGGCGCCAGTACTCCTGCGGAATATGGCCTCCATCCTGTTAAGCCGGGCCGGGTAGGACAAACGGTATACGGCCATGCAAAGTACCGTAAGCGAATCAACGTTGTCCCTGTCGCGGCTTTTGATCCTTGGGGGAACCTGTAGGACCTCAAGGATCTCCTCCAGTTGGGCACAAGTGAACCGAAATTCTTGTACGCAGTACTCGTCGGAATATTGGCGTACGTCAAATGAGGCATCAAGCAGAAACGGGCGGTGTAGAACTGGATTCTCGTCCTCGTCGTCCTGGTCGAACTCGTTGTCGTCAAGGCCGTAGAGCATAGCGAGTTGTGCCGCGATTACCGGCACGAGAAGGACGGCCATCTTGAATGAATGAAGAGCGATGGTCTGTAACAGCATTCAAGGAAGACATGGCATAAAGCAAATGCGAGCCACCCTTCTTCCTGCAAAAAGCTCTATAAATTAAACTTTTTTTTTAAAGGATTGGTTGACCTTTTTCCTTCTGCCACACACAATTAACTCATTGCCAAACCTTTTTAATCCTCTTCAAACATTGTACACAGTCTCTAAAATCCCATGGACATGACAACTCTGGTAATGTCTTATTTTTCTTTCATGTCTATAACAGCTATGTCTGCTACCTGGACTGGAGGCGCCACTGACATGTTTGTCTTGTTTTGTTATTACAGACCGAATTACTCTACATTTCGCACGACCAAGAATGGCTGGCAAGGGCACCTGCTCTAATGGACGACACGTCGCATCAGTATCAACTGTATGAAGCGTTTCACGCTCTCAAGGACACGGAGTTCACCGGAGATGTGACCGACGTGAAGGCTCGACTTCTAGATAAATTGTTGGCTATTGAGACTCTATCTGATAGAAACGCGACGAGCGCACAACTTCAACAAACATCACCTCTGACAGCCTTCCCCCACTATGTAGCGGAAACCTTGCTGAACGCTGGAATCCGGATGCAGGGTGGTCGGAATCAAAGCGGGATTCTTCCCGGTTTTGCGCTAAACATCAAGGGTCCAAATGAGCATCACTCACACCAAGATGTCGACCCCGACCCTCCACCGTCCACCGTGTTGTCTTTGCGTCTTGACCACCGTGGCCCTCTTTTGTTTGAGTTCCTGGCGAGGCATTTCAACTGTATCATCTACGAGTTCACCTCGGTTGGAACAGTGGATCGATTCGCCCCTGGAGACGACAAGACGCCTTGCTTCTCGATGGGGTTTTTGAGGGCGTGTGATGGCATTGGAACGCCCGTGGAGTACTTTGTCCTGGGCCCTGCTCGTCATGCAGAACCCCGTCCTTCCTCTACGCCTTCTCCTCCTGCGCCTTTTTACGATCCCCAACACCCACACCCCGCCATCCTTCGTCATGGGAAACGCGCGAGGAAAGGAGCCAAACGGGATCGGGAGCTGACAGAGTTTGACGATAGTGCGGCGATTGAGCTGTATGCCTCTGCTTGGTAAGTTATTGCTCTTTTATCCAAAAGAAAGCAACGCCACTCAATAGAAACGCCATGGATAAAGACTGCAGACCTCTAATCAATTTTTTTCTTTCAATCTGTTTATAGTCGTCACCGGTTGGACAACTTTATTCTTGCTGAGGCCGACAAAATTCGGAAAATGTCGCCCAAGTCCAATCCCAAGAACAGAAACGCCATTATGCAGGACCTCAAAGCACGTCTGATGACAAAACCTCACACCCCCGACGGAGTCTTCATGGAGTACATGGAGTTGATGCAAAAGGAGCTCAACAACACCGAAATCACCCGCAGGATGGCTGAAGGCAAACTCGGAAAAGGACCGGTGAGGATTTGGCGACGAGTAGTGAGCGATGACATGGAGGTCCAGTGGAAGGAGACAGTCGATGGAGTAGTTCAAGGGTCCGACTACCAACCCAAGGGCAAGAAGGCCATGGGATCTGCTGCAAGGAACAACGTCGCAAGCAGTGAGAGCAAGGCCATGACGCCCCTGGTTGGATCGTCATCAACAACAACTCCAAGGCCTTCAGGGGATATGGTGGACAAGGCAAGTGTGGATATGGACAAGGACATGGATGTCGACGATGGAGGAGAGAGCAACTTCGTGGATCTTGGCAGCAAGTCCGATGCTGATGAGGATGATGCAGGCCCTAGTAATGGGTACCAGTCGTTCACCATGACGCTTCTACAGTCTCTGAGGCCCGATTTACACGAACAGCACGACGAGATTGCAGAAATACTGGAAGCAAAGCAGGATATTGCATCTGATTTCGCATCAGATGTTACCCTTCTCGGAAGGAAGGTGGTCTTGGAGGTACTAGCTTTGTTGTGTTGCTTTGAATGCATACATGCATGCATGCATTTCCAGCTGGCAACGATACACAAGGAAGGAAGAGATCGTTTTTACTAATATGTGGTTGTTGTTTTCATATCGTAATTAGGCCGGATTGCAGTTCAAGGGTAGGACTGATGACGGCTTTCTTTTGAGCCAGATATTCCCGGCCGGCTTTCAGTCTCGTCTGCCCAATGTCGATCTCGATACTGTACGGGTGCCCGTAGCAGCCCTGGATCCGGAGCTCGAGAGATTGATCGAGACCAAGGACGATACACCTCGAGGCAAGGATGTCCGCAGTATTTTATCTTCAGTAGCGCTGTCGTTTTTGTCTGTAAGGCATCTTGGCGTCCACGCAGACGAGGACAACACCTCAGGAAACAGAAGCACCTCCTCACCAGTCGACCACACCTTTTGGCAGGACCTCTCTGACAGCATACGCGCCTCGTCACCATCAGCACCTTCACCAAATATCGATACAAACAGCCACCCTCTTACCAACTTTTCAAAGACCACCAGGGCCATGCTTAACGACATCTCGTCTAATTTTACCAACATCTGGGATGGTCCCTTATTCGACAAAATATTTCACACATTCTGCAACATTATTTTACGACTACATCTCACACCGACAAAGGAGGAGGAGTGTAGAAAACGTGAGGCTCGGCAAAAGCAGGAGCGGGACGCCAAGAAGGAGGAGTCGACTATGAAGACCTCCAAGAGTCGAAAGTGCTGGTGGAAACGTCTGCGAAGCCTACAGTCAGATTTGGCCCATTGTCTCCGTCAACCGGGATCAGACAAGAAGGCAGTCAGACTGAACACCATCACCAATGCGTTGCGAGGACTGGCGGGGTCAGAGCCTGAGATTCTTCAACTTCAGTTGCCAGGCCTGGAGGAACAGTTGGAGGCTATGGGAAGGACTTCTGCTACGACACCAGTGGGCGATTCTCTGATTGACGCGCTATGCAGCAGAGTTGAAGCAGAAGATCAACTTTGCAACTTTCTACTGCAAGAAGAGCAGGGTGCCGTTGAAGGTGAGTTTTTGAAGGAGATGTTTAATGCTCTATTTTCGACATGATCATTTCTATTTACTATAGCAACAACTAACAATTGTTCTTGTTTCACGTCTACGATTTTTTTAGATCGGGCAAGAGATGAGTTGAAACATGCCTCAAAACCAGTGGATGAGCGGGTGCTACGGATGGGTAAGTGCTTTATATGAAAAGTAAATGATCCTAGGTGAAAGGATAAGGCGTGTTAATACATTCGCTTATTATTTATTTGATTGCTTAGCCATGGAAACACCCCCCAATAGGATGGAAGCGCTCCTAGCCGTCTTTAAGATGCTTCTGCAGTCACCGTCGATCCATCGCAAGGTCCTCTCATCCTATGTTCGACGATGCTGTAAGGGGGTGGACCCGACAGAAGAGGAGTGTGCTACTATCGCGACTCTAGTGGAACTCCTCCGGCCATACATACCAAAGAGACGATTGCCGGAGTCTGCGTCGCGCTCCCAAGAAGAAGAGTTGCCTCAGGGATACACATTCAAAGCCCTGCCACACGTCGTTACCATGGCTCCCTTCATCATCCTCGCCGACGCCACACTCCACATTTCCGGTTATTCATCCCTCACTCGCCGCTTCACTCCCGACGTGTCACCATCAACAAGCTACTCACTGCCCCTAACCGGTACCAGCCTATTCGAGACACTCTTCAGTTCACAACCACGACAATTCGATGCCAACGACAATAGCAACAACACTATATCCACCTTTCCGACAAAGCAGCAGAAGCCGAGGTTATTCTTTTCCGTCTTCAATCGATTGGCCATCGAATCCGCGTGCTACAAGAGAAAACTACAGTTTGCCTATCGGTAAGATAACTCGATTTTATTGTAATAATGATGTTCGATGAAATGAAGCATGAAGTAACTATTTTATCTAACCCTTTTCTGTTCAAATGCGTATTTTTAAACGTAGGATTGTGTTTGTTGACAGATGGCGCATCAGAGTTATGGGACACCCGCTACCTCGTCAGGACGGCCTACGACAAGGCTACCCAGTCACCAGCAGCTTCGACATAAACAGGAAAAACAAGACACCGTCTCCGTCCACAATTGATTGGAAGTCCGAGGTCCACCGTATGAACGCTGATGACGCATTGGCTCAGGCGGAGCTAGATCAAGGCCTTCGGGAACTGGAATTGGCTGAGAAGAAGCTGAATGGTCTGCGCCTCAACTTGGAACTCTTGGAAGAGGACAAAAAAGACGCTGCGAGGCGTCGGAGGAAATTGGGTCGATTGCGTCGTCGAGGTGATACATCGGACGAGACCTTGCAGAGTTTGAGCGTGGCTCGGGCGGAATTCTCAACTCGTTTGGACAAGTACCAGGCTCACATCAAACCTGTGCAGGACGCCCAACGTCAGGTCAAGGAACTACGACAGCGAGTCTACTACTGGACGAAACTGCAGTACTACACAACGCCCGAAAAGCCCGACCGTACAACGGACAGCACATCCAGCAGCTCTGGAGTTCATTCGCAGCCAACATGGACAAGGCCCGTGTGTGAAAATCACACTGAGCGCATTGATTTGTCGGGGCTGGTTTCTCGCGGTAGACATCACGTTACTTTTGGAGCAACAGACCCAGGAATGGCCAAGATGCTGCAGACGGTGGGAATTTCGGTCAGGGATATGTCGCGCCGCTTAAACATCTACAATATGCTACAAGGTAACACACGGTATTATGTTGGTGATCAAACGTATCTCCAGAACGGTATGAAGCTGCCTATTATTATTTAGGATACTAAATGATTTTTTCTGCTCAAAAACAAATAGACCTTGCAGACACACAGGACACGGAAAGGACTTTACTCCTCCAACACGAGCTGGCGCAGGAGCTGCAGGAGCCAGTAGCCGTTCCCCCTGTGATTACTACTACAGCACCTCAAATCAATCATCTCGCACAGTCAACACAGACTGCCAAAAAGCGACAACGCCGCATAACCCAGGATATAACTGCCGCATACAACACTCTCAGCAACAATTCAGTGCAGCATATCTACACACCCCAGGACCTGAATAACGCCCATGCAGCCAAGTCGGCAACACGGTCCCTGCTGCGCGACTTTGAACGAACTAAGGCGAATTCAAAGGACAGGAGAACCACAGAACTGCTGACCAAGAAGGCGTATGCTGCTTTGGCAGCCAAAGAGCGCCGTTTCATTCAGTCATGTGGTAAGAACAAGGCTCTTTATAGCACTGAATTTATTATCTTTGGAAATTTTCTTATGCTGCCTTTCGACGATTTCACTTTACTTAGATACTGCGCCAGGGTTAACGACGGAGAAGGCGAAAAGGCAGGACTCGTCGACCACCACTACTCCTCCCTTGTTGGTTGATCTGACAACGGCACCTGCATCGAGCCAAGTTCCTATACTTTTGCCAACGGAATCTGGATCATCAAATGTTACACTATCGACAACACCAGCAACCAACCAGCTCTCCCCGCCGCTTGAAATCGACGATGGCTTTTGCGAATGTGGCATGTATCACATTTCGAACCATACCTATGGATCATACCGTCATGGGTCGCATTGTCCCCGTCGCTATCCCAAGGCTCTGCCGGTGATATTTTATGGAGGAGCCGGTACTGGCGTCGGCTCTACCATCAAGGGCTTTTCAAGGAGAGGAGGAGGAAAGACGCGTGAGCAACACAGACGCTACTGTATCGTGGGCATAACCAACGAGAATTTGACGTCTAAACTCTGCTGTGTCTGCCTGGAGCCTGTACGCCTTGCCTCTGCCCGAAGGATCATCGGAGGACAGATCCGCACAGTTCGAATCAATGGAAGCGTTATCTGCCAGAACGCCGTGTGCCCACTTGTTTATCAACAAAAGGCGTCATCCAACCGGGATAGAAACGCAGCCACCTGTATCGGACTCTCGGGACTTTCAACATTGCTCTCTACAGACAATCAGCCGCTGCCTCCTTTTCGGCTGCGAACCCGACCTTCTCGACCATCAACCCTGCATGCAGCACACACCAACCCCAACAGCACCAGTGCAACTGGAATCAACAATCAATCCGGCAATGTGGCTATGATCCGCACCCTGTTGGATCTCTATGTACATAGAGAATAGTGGGTAAGTTTTCCATCGATCATCCAATTATTGATATCCTTTCGGCATTGATTGCATTTGTGGAGGTTAAAACTGTTGACTAACTCAATTTTCACCTGCCTAATCTATTTTGATTGCGAAAGATGTCTATTTCACAATAAACAGCAACATAACATCCCTTGGTATATCCCATATTTGTTCGCTGCATGGTTGATTCAAACACAGAGAGACCAGAGAACGAGTCTATTTCGTTGAAGTGGTCTGAGTTCTCTCCGAAAGGTCTGAGTGTGAGTAACATGTGGCTTGGTCACTGTCTCTTCACTTTTTTCCTTTCCCCTGTCTGCCGCTGCTCGTTCTGTTCCATTCCTCTCCTCTCCACTCCACTTCACCCTCTCCTCTCCACTCATTGTTCCACCTTGTCCATCTGCACCCCATCCTCCTCTGCATACCACGCCCCTCCACAAACGACAATAATACAACCGTCGTCCACCACCAAAACTACGACACGCTCAATGGTCAACCCCATGCTCTAGTCATAAACACAACTACAACTTTTACACCTTTCATATTTTCGCGCGCACCATGCCTTTCTCATCTTTCGCCCGTGCGGCCGCCACACCCTTGGCGCGCCAGTCCGCCCTCTTGATGCGCTCCTCCTTGGCTCGCACCACTGCCCCCGTCGCCACCTTGATGTCTATCCGCAAGGCTTCTTCCACTGCTTCCAAGAACGATATCCCTGCCGCCAAGGATGCCTTCCTTCAGGGCAACTCGGCCAGCTATGTCGAGGAGATGTTCTCTGCCTGGCTCAAGGACCCTACCTCTGTCCACCTCTCGTGGCAAATCTACTTCAGGAACCAGTCAAACGGCATGTCCTCCTCCCAGTCCTTCCAAGCTCCTCCAACAATTCCCACGAGTGGTGGTGTGCCTTCGTTGGTCCCTGGCTCTCAGGTCGGATCCTCCGATGTCATTGACCACTTGAAAATCCAGCTTCTTGTTCGCGCTTACCAGGTTCGCGGTCATCATGTTGCTCGTCTGGACCCTCTTGGAATCAACGAAGCTGATTTGGATTCGGCTATCCCTCGCGAGTTGGAGTTGAACCACTACGGCTTCACCGAAAAGGATCTCGACCGCACCTTCTCCCTCGGACCCGGTATTCTCCCCGGCTTCCTCGATACTGGCAGCAAGCAGACACTTCGTGAGATCGTTAACCACCTCAAGAGCATTTACTGTAAGTTTTGGTCTTGCTTCCTGTTCGTCCTTTGTTGGGATTCTCACCTCAATGTATTTCGCCAGCCATTACGCTAGAGCTCACTTCAATCATGAGGTCATCCTTCAAGTCGTGTCGTGTTTATTTTCACACGGATCTTTTTTTTTTTCGTCCGATACTGACACTTCCCCATCCCTGTGTACCCTCTTCACTTCCCGCTACTACCTCTTAGGTGGCTCCATCGGTGTCGAGTACATCCACATCCCCGATAGGGATCGCTGCGACTGGATCCGTCAACGTGTCGAGGTCCCCAAACCTTACCAGTACACCACCGAGGAGAAGACCATGATCCTCGATCGCATGATCTGGTCCGACTCCTTTGAGCGTTTCGTCTCCTCAAAGTACCCCAGCGAGAAGCGCTTCGGTCTCGAGGGAGGTGAGAGTTTGATTCCTGGAATGAAGGCCTTGGTAAGTCTCGGAGATGGGAGGTGGCACCGCGCAATTGAACGGCAGCGGCTGAGGATTATCCGTGTGTCTGTTCCATGGGCTAAGACTAACGACCAAATTTTCCCGATGCTCAACACGCACAAATAGATTGATCGTTCTGTTGAGCACGGAGTAGAGTCTATCGTCATGGGCATGCCCCATCGTGGTCGCCTTAACGTCCTCTCTAACGTCGTCCGCAAGCCCCATGAGTCCATCTTCTCCGAGTTCAGTGGAAATTCTGCTCAGGATGGCTTCTCGGGAGATGTCAAGTACCACTTGGGAATGAACTACGAGCGCCCTACCCCCTCAGGCAAACCCGTTCACTTGTCTTTGGTCGCCAACCCCTCGCATTTGGAGGCTGCTGACGGTGTCGTTCTCGGAAAGACCCACGCCATCCAGCACTACATGGATGACAAGACGAGAACCCGCTCACTCGCCGTTCTCTTGCACGGAGATGCCGCCTTTGCCGGACAGGGAGTCGTCTACGAGACTCTCGGATTCATGGACTTGCCCGCCTACTCGACTGGAGGAACTGTCCACATTGTCGTCAACAACCAGATCGGTTTCACCACCGACCCCCGCTTCGCCCGCTCGACCGCCTACTGTACCGATATTGCAAAGTCGATCAACGCCCCCATCTTCCACGTCAACGCCGATGATGTCGAGGCTGTCAACTATGTCCACCAGTTGGCTGCTGACTGGCGCAAGGAGTTCCACACCGATGTTGTTATCGATCTTGTCTGCTACAGACGTCACGGACACAACGAGACCGATCAGCCCAGCTTCACTCAGCCCATCATGTACAAGGCCATTGAAAAGCAGGTCCCTGCTCTGGAAAAATACATCGAGCAGCTGGTCAAGGAGGGTACCTTCAAGACCGAGGAGATCAACGACATGAAGAAGCGCGTCTGGGACATTTTGGAGGAGAACTACGCCAAGAGCAAGGACTACAAGCCCAAGTCCAAGGAGTGGATGACCAGTTCATGGCACGGATTCAAGTCGCCCGCTGAGCTCGCCTCTGAGATTTTGCCCACCTTCCCCACTGGTGCTGCTGTCGAGACCTTGAAGCACATTGGAGACACGATCTCGTCGACTCCCCCCGGCTTCAAGATCCACTCCAACTTGGCCCGTATCATGAAGGCTCGCGCCAAGACCATCGAGACTGGCTCCAACATTGACTGGGCCACTGCTGAGGGTCTTGCCTTTGGTACTTTGCTCTCTGAGGGCAAGCACGTCCGTTTGGCCGGTCAGGATGTTGAGCGTGGTACTTTCTCCCATCGTCACGCCGTTCTCCACGACCAGGAGACTGATAAGTTATACGTCCCCCTTAAGAACTTGGGTCACGGCCAGGCCGCCTTCTCTGTCAACAACTCATCCCTCTCTGAGTTTGGTGCTCTTGGGTTCGAGCTCGGATACTCCCTCGTCAACCCCAGCTCTCTCGTCCTCTGGGAGGCCCAGTTCGGTGATTTCGCCAACAACGCCCAGTGCATTATTGATCAGTTTATTGTTTCGGGAGAGACCAAGTGGCTTCAGCGCACTGGCTTGACCATGTTGTTGCCCCACGGTTACGATGGTCAGGGACCTGAGCACTCTTCTGCCCGTATTGAGCGCTACCTCCAGATGTGCGATGACCACCCCGACATCTTCCCCTCGCCCGAAAAGATGTCGCGCCAACACCAGGACTGCAACATGCAGCTTGTTTACTGCACTACGCCCGCCAACTACTTCCATGCCCTCCGTCGCCAGATCCACCGCGACTACCGCAAGCCCTTGATTGCCTTCAACTCCAAGTTGTTGCTTCGTCACCCCATGGCCCGTTCGAATTTGGAGGACATGTCGGGCGAGACTCGCTTCCTGCGCTTCATCCCTGAGACTGAGGAGAACAAGATTGTTGCGGCTGACAAGGTCAAGAAGCACATCCTCTGCTCTGGTCAGGTCTACTACGCCCTTGTCAAGGCCCGTGAGCAGAACAAGATTGACGATGTTGCGATCTCGCGTGTCGAACAGTTGAACCCCTTCCCCTATGACCGTGTCAAGGAGCACACGGACAAGTACCCCAACGCCGAGATTGTCTGGTGCCAGGAGGAGCCGTTGAACATGGGAGCCTGGGCCCATGTTGCCCCCCGTATCCGCACGTCGCTCAAGGAGACTGTCAACCACGCCAACAAGGAGGTCCGCTATGCTGGCCGTGAGCCTTCTGCGTCTGTTGCCACGGGTAACAAGAAGGTCCACTTGGCTGAGGAGTATGCCTTCCTTGCCGAGGCCCTCACCGGTGAGGCCAGAAAGCCCTCTGATGTCGTCGGCGGCGTCCCCGTTTTCTAAAAGCAAGACACCCTTTCTTTGTTCATGATTATTTAGATTTTTTTCTTCTCTCCTCCGTCCATAAACATTCTCTTCTTTTTGCCATCATAATATCCATGCCTCATACTTTCCAAGAAATCATGTCACTTTCCTGCCATTACCCCCAATTTACAGACAATGGTACTCCTCCTCTTTCATCTTTAAGAATGATTGATGATCAGCAGAAGGTCGATCCCCATCCAGGCACCATCACAAGCCTCTTTGTCTCTGATAATTCTCCCGTAGCTCATAACTGATCACTGTGTCAGACATTGCCGCTGAGGGATAAGAAAACAATTTTTGATTAAAAAACAAAAGAAGAGAGAGAAGAGAGCAGCAACAACCCCACTCTTCTTTTTCACCCCTTTTATGAACCAATTCGACCTGTGTATTTGCAATGGTGATTCGTGACCCCCCCTGACTGGCTGGAAGGTGTAATATTACAATTACAGATTCTCGCTCTGACTCTTCTTTTAGACCATTGTTGGTTGTGTTTTTATTTGTCTTTTTCGCATCCATCCACTCTTCCACCTCGCTCCTCACTCACTCACTCACTTATTCACTAATTCAATCGCCCCTTGCTTTTACTTTCACTTACCGCCTCATCCGTCGCACCCCTCACACTCCCGACAAACAACAACTTCACCTTACCGACACAACCTTCCCGCCTTGACGTGGCCTTTTTTTATCCTCCTGCGCCGGAAATCGATTCGTATGTGTCGAGAACATTAAAATAGCCTCGCAATCGCCACCTCGCTCTAGCCTTTTTTTACGTTCGCCTTGTCCCGCCTCTCCATCGTCACTGCCTCTACTGCCCAAACTTTCCTCTCCCTTTGCCATCGCAACAAAGCAGCGCCTCTTGTTTGGCAAACCACCACACCTTCAAATCACACCCGTCGCGCTGACCGATCGTTCGCACTTTTTCTTTTTTTTTTCATTGTACTGGTCCTCTCTCGTTCACTTTGCTAGAATCAATTCAGAGTTCAATCGATCGCGCCAAGGACAACAACGTTCATGAATATCCTCGCACCTCTCTTCAGCTCATAACTCGCGTCACCACACCACCACATCTCGAAAGCCATGAGCATGACGCCACGCTCCACGACATCTCAAATGCCGTTCGAATTCGGCATGCCCATCGACCCAGGCTTTCACAAGGTGCTGCAGTCAAAGATCAGGACCCTTCTTCACTCAAAAGCAGAAGGGTAGGTGTGCTGGATATACGTACATGTTCTCTTCTTTTTGTTTAGTGGAAAATGGTGGCGTCGACAGGCAGGACACCAATCGGGACTTTGCGCCAGTCTGGATCCGTTCTACGCCAATACAGAGGCATCCAATGGCCGCTCTCCGCCAAACAACGTCAAAGTGAATGAGCTGCAGGATTCACCAGAACTCGGAGCACGCAACACCCGTCACCAGCACAAGGTCTCAACAGAGACTACTTGTAATGAACAAGTGGACGCATGGCACCACGATATCCAACAGCTAGAAGAGTATGCCACAAAGGAGAAAAGAATCCATAACATTAGATCACCATGTCAGTGGCAGTTGGACAAGGACTTGGAATAAATGGAACAACGGATCTCTGCAAAGTCGTCCACCATCGCACACAAACATGTTGTTATTTTCAATGCATTGTTTTTGCCAAGCATGGAACTCGAAAGGAGTGGGAGCGGGAGCGGAAAAGGTGGTTGGGATGACCCCTGAACAATTTGCCACTTCTATTCAGCACAGGCTAACAGCATTGTTTCTCTTTGCCCTATTCATGTTTCTTGTGTTTTACGAACAGATTCCCTGGCTCGTATCCTGTCGATTTCGAACCATCTCACATGCAACAACTGGCCAGCGAGGAATACTTTGTCACGGAAAAGCTCGCAAGTGTGCGGTGTATGTTGCTGAGCACAAACACCCCCAAAGGACCCGCCTGCTTTCTGGTATGATATTCGTATTCCAAGGACACACACACAAACACCCATCGCTCCACCAAAAACTACTGCAGCACAGGGGCTAACCAGAGGCACTCATGTTACACCTCTTTTTTGTTTACATCAATTATTGTTCAATTAGATTGACCGACACAACGAAATTTCATTTGTCCCTCATCTCCTCCTCCCCCTCCGCGACAACCCAACGAAATATCAAAATGAAACTCTGCTGGACGGGGAAATGGTGACCGAGCACGATGGACACAAGGTATAATATCGAAAACTCATCAATCTCCATGCGTGAATGAACGTACATTACTGTCTACTTCAACAGCTGACATAACTTTTATATTTTGTCCGTTTGTGCGGCGTCATAGACAACACTTCGGTTTTTGGTGTTTGATCTTATGATCCTGAATGGAGTAGATATCACCCAAAGGTCATACAACTCACGGCTGGGTGTAAGTCAAATTGCCTATTGTTATGTGCAAAACATGCTGTCAAAGAATGATATGGTTCGTGTTGCTAATCTATTCTTGTATCGTTATCTGGGTATGCGTAGATGCTGGACCAGGATATTTTGGGTGTTCATGCCAGCAAGCCGAGCGATGTCAAAGCGAAAGAACCATTCACGTAAGACGACGATTCAAAACATAGGTGTCGTGAGATGCAACTCACGCATAAACACTTATCCTGTTCTTCTAACGCTGGACTTTTTTCATATAGAATCGAACGTAAAACAATGCAGAGGTCCTACGGTCTGAACATGATCCTTTCAGCAAGCAGGAAGCAAAAGCAGGGAGCTGAAGGTTTGATCTTTGTACCAGTCAAACAACCGTACATCTCAGGAGCAAGCCCAAAGCTGTAAGAGATACAACAATGAACTCATGGATTCTTTCAACTGGACAGGATGTCAGTGCACCTATCTGACAACCATTGACTTTTACTCACGAATCGTCGAATAGGCTCAAGTGGAAATCACACACGACGGCGCAATTTCAGATCAAGGTCACACTGAGCAAGGAGCGGAAACCATTATACTGCATCCATGTCAAGCAAGGTCCAAGCATCAAGTTCTACGACTATGTTACCCCAGATTCCGTACAGGCAACCGAGTAAGTATTTCAGTCCAATTCGTCGTCCACTCACTGACAATCATAACGACCTTGTACTAATCGCATTTGGATTTGATGAACATGTAGATGGCATACGACGTCCCCCGATGGAAAAATTGCTGAGTTTTGGTAAGTGTCAATCCACTCTCCTGGGATCGTTATGGTTTGCTTTTCAGAGTCGAATTGTCCACATGAACGCAAACTAATACGCTCCCATCTTTCGCTTGTAGGTGGGATGCACAATGGCAGACACAGATGTTTGAGAAGGGCTATGGACTAGAAACACGGACAGGCGGCTGGCGCTTCAATCGCATACGGGAAGACAAAAAGGATGTTGACGAGGAGAATACCGTCTTGGCACTTGTTAAAAATTTGGAAACACTTGTCACAAAGGAGCAGGTATGTCACCTCGATGCTTGCTTTTCAAGGCCGATGGAGATATGTTGCAATTCATATCAAATCAGGCTATTAACAGCACCTTACTACTTTCTTTTTTTTTTGTTTCCTAGTTGGAAGCGAGTATCGATCATATTCGGAAACAATGGAAAGCAAGAGAAGCAGGAGCATCTTCCAATGGATCAAACGCGCATTCATCAGCTCCGAGTCAACGCCCTTCAATGCGCCCACTTTCGATCTCCAACAACGTCTCAAGGTAAACGAAAAATCGAATAGCGCGTGATTGCCTGTAAATATTTCAGGATTATCTTAACTAATCCCTACTGCGATATTTCTTCGCGATTGCACATATTAGCCACCCCGACGGTCAAGCACCACTGCTCACTCCAGCTATCAGCTCGCACTACCTCCAATCCCCTTCAGTGGCATCTCACTCCAGTTCACAGGGATATTTTTCCAGGAAAGATCGGGAGCGCAAAGCATCTATGGATGAGCATGGTTCATTGAGCTCACTTCCTACCAGCATCTCAGGAGCGTTTTCTCACCCATTGCCACCCAAGCCTCTACCATACCAACCGCGACAGTCATCGGTGGACCAATCTCAGCCGTGCTCTCCGAACCCACCTGGCGCAGGCGCCAAAAACTCGGATCAGGAACAACAAACCGCGAGCCCTTCTCCAGCCCCCTCTGCCTCAGTACAATCAGCACCGAACTCTGATGGAAAATCAACTCCCCCAACATCTCAACCTGAAACTGCGACAGACGCAGCAACTCCCTCTGCTGCCTCAACGGCCACCGCTACAGCTACAACTCCTTCAACTGCGACTACTGCCTCCTCCGTAACCACAACTTCAATTACGACAACGGCGATAACGGCATCCACCACTCCATCTGTGACAACCGCTCCAACAGTTGCAACCACTCCAGCTGCGGCAACTACTCCAGCTACAGCGGCTACACCGACTACAACAGTTTTTTCAACTGCCTCTGCAACCGTGACCACATCCCCAACGAACCTCGCGAGAAATCCGCTCAAACTCTCTCAAGTGCAGGCCCACTTACAACCCATCAAGTCTTGGATGACTGTCGCGCCAGTTCCGAGAGCACCTCTGGGCGAAAAGACTGCGAAGCTGGGATCAGAACGACGGGACAGCAGGGATTCTTCAAGTTTGGACACGCCGCATCGGCAGGGACTATCGCCAAGGAAGAGTTCAGTCGTGTCGACGGAGGGAGCCAAGGATGCCGCCTCAGCAACGGCAAATGCATCGGCGAAATCACAGGAGTCAAAGGGCTCGACAAGCGTTAATTCAGCGGCTTCCAACACGTCGGCGTCATCCGCTCAGGATCGGCCGCCTCAAACACCACAGACACCGACCTCTGCGCAAACGCCCACGATTGCAGGAACTTCACGCTCTGGGGGAACGCCTTCGCTATCAGCGCCAGTGTCCTTTGCTCATCCCAACATCGCCTTGCCGAATATCGCCGTTGCAGTACCCAACACTGCATTGACCAACATTGCTTTGCCCAATATTGCTTTACCAAGCACTCTACACCAAGTTACGGACGAAAATACGGTTCAGGACACTGAGACTGAGACGAAATCTACCACACAGGCAAGCGACACAGCAGGAGTAGCTCCCCCTATAACATCTCCGACTGTTAAGCCTATACGGAATCCATCCGTGTCAGATGTCAACTCCAGCAGACCCTCTCCTGTCTTGGGGAAACGGACAGTCGCTTCGTCTTCATTGGCAGGGGATCGCCCAGATGACTCGCTTGCCCAACGTCGCAAGCTTTCTGACGCTATGCAACCGTCGCCAAAGTCAGAGGCTGTTATGGCTGGAATTGGTTCACTCAATCTTGCCTCGACACTTTCCCCCAAGTCCAACAACATGTCGTCGTTTCCTCTTGATGGAGCAGAACGTGGCTCGCCATTGCTATCGCCACTCGGTAGTCCAGGCGTCGGGGCAAAACCTGGTGACCACCAGCAGCCTTGGTCCCGCTCTCAACAAACATCTGGATCAAGGGCTCTTAAGGCCTCTAACTTGGCGCATGAGGTGCCGCCTTGTCGATCCCAAGGCCCTGTCGATCCAGATGATGTCGCTATGGCAGAGGTCAAGAATGAGGCGAATGAACCAGCATCTCACCCACTTGGAAGGTATAATGTCGCTGGGTTGAAGGAGGATGTGGAAATGGAGGACATTGCGCCCAAAATTGAAAAAGGACACATAGCCGAAAAGTCCCGCGGAGGACCGCTACCACAACGCGGACCGACAGCCGATAATTCAATGATGGAGACTTTCGCCAAGGCGGAATCTACGACTGCATCAGTGAGGGCGCCTATTCCATCCCTCTACCCGCCTCCAACCCCGGCGTTTGTCATGGCAGCGCAGGGCACGTACAATATCTCTGAAGATCAGGAGAGGGCCAGGGCCATGGCCATGGCCAGAGCCGCTGCGTCTTCAAAGATCAACAGACAGCTTGAGTTGCAGACATTCAAGGATGAGAGGTTGTTGGAGGACATCGAGAAGTTCAAGGAGTCATCTAGAACAAAGAAGGAAAAGTCGACAAAGCAACGGACGCAGGAAGTGATCGAGCCCCCGACCCAGGACCGACGCGCGCAACCTGTTCGACAGATTAACCAGCAACAAGGCAGGCAGCCGAACCCAGATAGTCCGGCCTTGCGAGGCCAGAGTCAACTTGGCCAGCGAGTCGGGTCATCACCTCAGGAGCAGCAGCAACGCCTCGCTTATGCAACTCGACAGTCCCGATCTGGCCCTCGTGTGGATCCAGCGCAAACCCCTCCAGTCAACGTGAAATCTCAACATCGACCAGAGCAGCAGCAGCCCGTGCCTATTGAGCAGATTGACCCGACAGGAGGACAGGTCTCCAAGGACCACGTTCACAGAGATCAGTTCCCAGGAGGAGGAGCCCGTCCCGACTCTAGAGAGCAGATGGATATGTTACACCCCGAGGATGCACCCCGCCAACACAGGAGGATCAATTCGATGGACAGTCGTTTCCAGCAATCCCGGCCTGCAAGCCCTTCTCGATTCGATCCAGGTATTCTTCAACAGCAAGGCATCCCGGACGGTCGCTATGGCCAACCTCACAGTAAGCGTCTAGATTTGGGCCAGCATGGAGATCCAAAACATCGTCGTTCCCATTCTGATGCTGGAACCTTTTATAAACCCATAGTCACCACCATCGTTGCGCCACAGGCTATTGGCCGGCAACAGCAAGGACCCTTGCCGACAGAGGTAGCTCCATCGCCTCAAGCCCCGCCTCTTGGCCAGCCCGGTGTTGAGTATCGACAGAATGGTCAATTCTCTCAAGGACAGCAGCGCCCATCGCCAACAGGAGTACGCCCGGAGATGGATGATTCGCGGATGAAGCACAGCAACAACAGTAGCAACGGCTCATCGTCTGTCAAGGAGGCTCCTCCAGTGAAGGAATCCAAAGCGCGACTCCAGTTCATCCTGAACGACGACCCAACCAGCCCAGAAGGAGACCACCATGATGACGATCCAATGGAGCTCCCCCGAAGTCCTGAGGCACCCGATTGGGGTCGAAGCAACCCAACGGCAGCGGAATCCGCCCAGCGAGCGCATGCGCACCATGGGGCTTACCTCGACCAGCCTCACATGGCTAACGACTATTCTATGCGGGATCAACAGGAAGCGCAAATGGCACTTCGCGTGCCTCCTTCCATGATGGCGGCTAATCCGACGCGTCGCCAGCCATCCAAGAAGCAGAAGCTGTCTCAGGACATGACTGGTCAGGACCCAGCGTTCAACGGCACTCCAGAAGAATACGAATATCACTTGCGGCAATCCCAGCAGCACCCTCAGACACGACCACCTCCCCATGTCTCGCAGCAAAGACCTCCTTTCCCAGGGGACAGATGGTCACAGCAAGGCCCGACTCAGCAACATCTGCCACCTCAACCAATGGCCATGCAAGGCCAGCCCCAGTCATCAGCGGGTCCGCCGCCAACTGGGGGGAGACGAGTGGGTGGCGAGGTTCCAGTCGTCGTACATCAACAACCCAGCCACCATTTCTCAGGACCCGATATGTCTCAGCATGGACCATCAATGGGCAGACCCCCTCACCCAGATCAATACGGCGCTCCTGGTCATGGAGGCATAATGGAAGGCCCTCGACCAAAGCCTGAACGACTTTCTCACTCGAGGCACTCGTCGGTTTCGAAAGCAGGACCAGGACAAGGATCGGAACAGGTTCAGCCTCCGGGACCTGCTCACCCGAGTGCTCGGACCAAAGCAGGGCTACCACATGGTTCCAGTCCAGCGGTGGAACAATACCCACGTGGCTATCCTCAGCCTCCGCCTGGTGCAGTGCCTGGACAACCCCGGCCTCCCCCACCCTCGCAACATCAGCCTCCGTACCAGCCTTCCCCTCAACAGCAGCCACAAGCTAACCCAAGCATGGCTTCGAGAAAGAAGGCTGCAGCTGAGCAGTCAGGACCATACGGTCCGCCGCCTCCAGGTGGTGCTCCAGGCGGATATGAGCAGAGACAGAATACCCCTCAAACCGCCCATCCCCATCATCAGCAGCAGCAACAGCAACAGCAACAGCAGGCAATGCAGCATCATCACCAACAGCAACAGCAGCAGCAACTCCACCAGCAACAACTTCAACATCAGCATCTTCAGCATTCGCATGCAAGCCGTCATCAGGAACAGGATAATGTCCACGAAGAGCCTGCGCCAGGCCTGTATAAGCAATCGCAAGGAGGTTCACAGTTTCGAGCGAGCCAGCAGGATCTTGCTTCAAGCCACCCTGGCCAAGGCTATTATGAACAGGATCCCCAGTATGGCTCAAGTCGTTCGGCTGGATTCGGTTCTCAATCGCTCCATCCTTCATCCGCGCAGGAGCGGCAATCGGCGTCTCATGGATCACCATACCATCCGTCTACAGGACCCCATGATCCATCCTACCGTCCTTACCCTGGAGGTGGATCTATGAGGGCGTCTGTGAGTGCTGAGCATCTTCAGAGCGAAGACCACATGCGACCTGCAAATGCAGGACGAGGACCGATGTCTCACTTGACTCCCGAGCATGGATCGCAACAGGCAATGCCAGCGCAGCATGTCCCTCCATCGCATTCTCCTCATACTCAGCATCCTTCACAGCGACTGCATCCTTCTCACCCTCAGTATGGTGCACATCACCAGCAACAACAACAGCAGCAGCAACAGCAGCAGCAACAACATCAGCAACAGCAGCAAGCACAACAGAATGACTATCGACACGGCCCTCCTCAGTTCTACCATTCGCAACAGGCAGCACCCCACCAACAGCCTCCTTCTCAGCAGAAAATGATGCATGATCAAGAACATCACCACGGAATGTATCCTCCACATCATAATGGTGGTCCTAAGGTCCCTTCTCCCCGACAAGGACAGCCCGGTGGACATCCTGCCGACCATGACCCCAACTACCGTTCCCAGGCTCCTCATGGACAAGGTGGACCGAATTGGTGATACCCTCACTTTTTTTTTCCCCACGCATTTGTCCCTCCATTACACCCCATCTTTTTTTTCTCTCTTCCATCTCTCTTTCATTTCTGTCAATCTGTTTGGCCCAGCACATACCCCACTCGACTGCTTTCCTCTCTTCTCCACCGTCTGTCATTTGTTTTCTGTGCGTGTGTGTCATTTAGCATGTATTTTTATGTCCTTCTCAAGTAAAGAAACGCGTATCATTTTTTAAGTACTTTGGGTCTAATGGATGGTCTAAATGGGAGTGTCTCTCCTCCCTTCATCACGAGATGGCTAGTTGCGTCTGGCATGATGTATCTATCCCAGTATCCCCAAGGAGAGGCTCGATAAGGGTTCATGTTTACAAGTAATTATGCAATCCTAAACCTTATTTTGTAGATTTGGGAGATTCTGATCGTCCAAGGAGGGAAAACAAGAGGGAGGGAAAGAGAGAGGACGCGCGATAGCCGACGGGTTGGTTGGATCATCCGATTCCAATCTGCACCTGCAAGATCCGTCCGTCGAATAGCGATCTCTGCAGGATGAGAGAAGGTTTGTTAATATTACTATTATGCGCTTCTGCCGATCTACTTCTTTGTGGGTGCTGTTGACCTTGCCGTTGCCCTTTCTGTCCTTTCGCATTCTTACTTTGCACGCTTTTGCTCCAATTGGACTTTGTTCCTTAATAACTGTTCGATTGCTCACTACCGCCCTCACCACTCACTTGCTTGCACACTCCTTTTCTCTCTGTCGTTTCTCAATCATCCCCCCACCTGTTTCAATTTCTCCTTCTGCTCTCCTTATTTCTATTGCATCAAATGCTTCTTCTAGTTCCCGCACAAAAGACCAACGAAGACGGTGGTACAACAACCAACAGCCAACAGTCCAGCTCATTCTCACCTTCACACTTTTCTTCAACCACCACAACGACAACACATAACTCTGCCTCTTCCAACTCTGGACCGATTTCAACCTCGTCTGGACGAATACTCGTCGTCCTGCCCTCACATACCGACCTCACCTCAAAGCTGACCGTCTCCGATTCGTCAGTCCACACTACCAGCCTCTTACACCACTCGTTATCTTCACCTAATTCTGAACATGTCAATGACAGCAGGTATCACGAACAGTTGATGGGATACAGTGGTCGGAGGAGGAGTCATGGCAACAACATCCACGGCGGTTTCTCTGGAATGGTGCGATCATCAGACCCAAAATTCGATGCAACCACGGTGACAGAATACATCGATGGACAGCGGCAGCATCGTCGTCACTCTGTCCAAGCTGGTTCAATGGTACAATCGCCAGCCTTCTTTCACTCTCCTCCTTTCTCATCATCGACATCAACACCGTTTTCGTCCAGCTCTCCACTCTCGCAGCACTTCCCCTTTGTCGACTCGGCATTTACAGACAACCTTTCACAAAGACGGCATTCGCATCTGGGTCTGTCTTTTGGCGGCAGTAGTGGTGGTGGTAGTGGGATGGACCCAGATACGATCGCACGTCTACGACACTCCAGCAACTGCCCCGCCGCCGCTTCCAGTCATACAAATCCACTATCAAGATCTCGACCTTCACGGCGCGCTTCAACTTTCACGACTCCTTCGCTCTCCTCCTCCTCCTCGTCGTCGTCCATCACATCAGCTCCGACAGCTTCGGCTTATATCCCAGCGACAAAGAACACCAAGATGGCGATGGGTTCAGCACGCCATGCTACAAGGTCATTTCGGGAGGCGTTCAAGAAATCGATGACGGTCCATTCGCCTCTGCTGACGTCAACTAGTTCTGGGATGGTTCTGGATCTTTCGCCAGGGCTTGACCCGAATACCGTTAGCTCCAAGCTTCGAGGAGAAGGAGGTGGAGGTATTTCTGGCTTTGGTGGTGGCGATGCGACGGTAGATATGAGTAGGGTTGGTAGGGCAGAAGTCGGGTTAGCTCTTAGCGTTGACAGCAAACAACATCATCATCACCTACAGGCGTCGAGCAGCAGGAAGAGGTCGCAGGATGAGATGATGGAGGATCTAGATCATGACGGTAATGTCGATGTTGGTGACGGTGGTGTCAACTCGGAACCGATGGACACTGCATCCGACAGCAGCAACTCGCGACCAGATTCACCCACGGCGTATCACAAGCAACAGAAGAAGGGCGACAGTAGCAGTGGTCAAGGCTTTGACGCGACGGCGACCTCGAACGGACTATCGGCACTATTAGTTGTCGACGCGGATTCACTCCCACCATCCAAGAAGAAGACAACTGTCTCACGGTCGCGGTCGTCGTCATCTCTGGCCACCACTTCCGTGTCGGGGCCTGTATCGGCGTCATCTTCTTCCTCCGTGTCTCAATCACAATCCCCGCGTGGATCCAGTAGCAGGTGTTCTTCTTCCTTCTCCTCCTCCTCCTCCTCCTCGTCCCCCGCGTTTGTGATGCCTTCACCCTCACCCTCGTCGCCAGCGCCAGTCAAAGCACATCACAGAATGCGAGAAAACGATGAAGGGGTGGAGGGGGAAGAAGAGGACGATTATCACATTCTGGATCAGAGGCGAGAACAACAGGATCCTCTAGACAGAGTCATCACGACGCAGGACATTTCTGCAATTACGGCATCGATGGGCGCTCTGACGCCGCTCGAAATCCAGAGGCGACTGTATGCTCATCAGGAGAAACAACAGAAGCTACGGAAACGCCGGCTACTCTTCCACCTCCACCAACAACAACAACAACAACAACAACAACAACAGCAACAACAACAGCAACAACAACACTTTCTTCACCAACAGCAGCAGCAACAACAGCACCATTTTCCAAACTTTCACCCAATGCTGACGGCGATAGGTGATTCGGGTCAAGTCCAGACACCGACAACTCGGCAGCAGTACCGTGGGATAGTTGCAGGAAACCATAATAGGACTGTCGATCCCACCAGTCGGAAGACATCGACTAGGACGATGGCTACTGGGAACATGACTAATCCATATCAGCAACAGCCATATCCTCCATATCTTTATACTCGCCATCCTCAGGGTCATCCGACACAGTCTCATACTCAAGGTCCTCTACCGGTCCAACATCCTTCCCCTCTTTCAACTTCAGCGGCAGCAACGACTTCAGCATCCATGCCAAACCCTTTGCATCCTTATCATCCACAGCACCAACAACAACAACAACAACAACAACAGCAGCAGCTTCCGTCATGCTACTACCTCCCTCCAAGCGCGTTCAGGACCATTTCGGCAGTGACCGCAGAAGAGCAATTGGAAGCCGAGCGGAAACGGAAGGAATTCCTCCACCTCGCCGCGAAAGCAACAACTATCGATGGAGAAGAACAGACCAAGGAAAGGAAGGCAAATCAAGAATTGGAGGAAGAGAAGAAGAAGAAGGAAAAGGTGGAAGTGGAGGAAGGGGAAGAGTTCTTGATCTTTCCATATCCAAGTCTTCCTTAATCATTAAACCCCCCCCCCTTCCGTTGCTGTTTCGATGTGAAAAAATAATGTCTAGATTGTTTTTCTAGGAGGAAGTGGGTAGCGAGACAATCATGAAACTGGGACACGATAGAGAGATCGCAAGAATGAAAAAAAAAAAGGTGGGGGAAGGGGGAAGAAGGAAGAGGGGATAGAACAATCGGCGAAAATTGGTCCAATCGGCCCTTTGAGCGTGAATGAGATGACCGAAGAACACATCGTAAAATAAAAGAGAACGAGAAGGAGAAACTCTAAGTAACGGAGGTAGAGAGATATCTCCGTCCTAAAAGAAAACAACAAAAGAGAAGCGAGCAAAGAAACGAAGGAGGATAGCGGAAAAACCAACCAAGTAATACTCATCGTAAAGTACCTACTCCAATGTCAGTGTTGCTCCAATGGAAAGAAGAACAAAGAGAGCATGTTATGCTTTCCTCTTTGGTAGTTGTTTTTTTCCCACCTTTGACAAGTTGAGCTTTTGACAAGTTGAAAAAGCTACCTTATTGCCACTTACAACTGTGGGCATGTGACGATGCAAGAAGGTAAACAAGCGAAACGAAACGACCGCGCGGCGATGACGAAGTGGAGGACAAGAAGCTGCATCCAATCGGGTAGACTGAAGTAAGCGGGTTCGTTCCATGTTGTTGTTTTTGCTTTTATTTAGGATTGCTGCTTATTGCTGTAGCATGTGGCGGTGAACCTTTTTAAGAATCCCACGCGCCAGTCAGCTTGAAAAAAAAAATGCCCACGATGCGCCAGCGTCTCTTGTCCTCTTTGTCTACCGCTCCTTCATTCTCGCAACCTTCTTCGCTCTTTCCTACTCCTTCCCCTGAAAATGGCGATGATGGCTGTGGTTGCATTGACGTCTACAACAAAATAATCATGCCTCGGACACGGGCAGCAAAGGTATTCAAGAATTACTCCCACGCACGCAAAAAAGACTCGCATATACATTTGGCCCCTGCTCTTTCGTCCTTTCCTCATCTCCCCGTTGTTGTTTTTTTTGGTGTTGCGGCCAAGTTCAAGGTCCGGGAGTGGCACTGGGCGAATTTTTCGGTCTTTTTTTTTCGTCTTCTGACTTGTTTTCGTTTTTCACATGCGCCAATAGTATTTTGTTTCCCACGCCGGTTTCTGCCGACCTTTTCTTTCCCACGAGATGTACACTGGTTCGATATACTTACTTACTTGACAACGTTTACTTTATCATTTTTTGATCGCTTTATTTCTGCCTCAGAGAGCAGTTAAGAGAGTGGGAGAGTGTGTGTGAAGACGAGAGTATATGCAAAAAGCACAAAAAAAGCCAAGAGAGCGTGAGAAAGAAAGAGAGACAGAGACAGAAAGAGTACATGTACATGATTAACGATTGATAACAACAAAACAAACAAAAAAAGAGCTTGTCCAAGAAGGCAGTAAGCCGATCATAACTGATCTCGGCGAACCATTTATTTTTCTCAGGCACCATCACACCACATCATCACGCCTCGCCCCTTCCTCCCCGCAAAAAAAAAAAAAAAAAAATCTCTCCACGTCCTCTCTACTTGAACACAAAAAAGACAAGTGCACATGGGGAACGATAAAAATGGAGCCGAGAAAAAAAAATACCTCTGTGTTTGTGTGCCTGTGGCGTGGCGCGGCGTGGGTGGAGAGGAGTGGAGTGGAGACCCGTTGTTTATCTATTGATTGAAAAAGGTGAGTAATCTTGGTTGCACAAGAAAAACAACAACGAGAGAAAATAATAATCGCAATGGGTCCAGATCGCATCTCGAGAAAAAAAAAAGATGCCAAGCCCCGAGATAAATCGTGCTACATAGTCAATTTTTTTCCACGTTGTCTGATCTTTTCTGTGGGCTTCCCTCTTTTGATTTCTCATTTTTTTTTTTTTTTTTTTTGGTCTTCTCAAATGAAGGACAGAGCGAAAAAAAAAAAAAAAAAAAAAAAAAGGGACAGAATGGATGTGCACAAAACGGCCACGGCTCTTTCGACATGAAAGGAATGGACTTGAAAAATTCGATATCAGACGTTGACTACGAGTACTAGTAGTGGTAACGACATACACACAGAAAACCCGATTCGCGTCCGATGACTAACAATTACCTGCCAACATAGCAAAAAAAAAAAAAAGCACAAAAAAGGCGATACTCCTTTCGTTGTAAGCGGTAAGTGCCGAGTTCATGACACATATCTTTTTTCACCCCACTCCACGAGCTCTCTTTGCTTGCAAGACTCCGCTACTTTTTCGCCAAGGCGTGGAAAAAAAGGGAGAGAGAAAGTGATATCATCGCGACTCCTAGGTTGAGTGAAGTGGTTGTTTCTATTGATAAATTGTTGTGTTACTTTCAAAAGTCGTGTGCGTGTGAATTCCTGCCTTGACCTTCAGTGTGTTATGCTTTATGCTTATGATACCGACAAGGGGGCGGGTGGATGGACAGAGAAAAAAAGGGGAGAGGGGCAAAGAAGCAAAAGAAATACGTTCAGGGGGAGATGATGAAGATGCAAAAATGGACCTGGACTGAACGAAGGAAAAAGCGTCCTGTCTGACCCGTCTGTCCTGTATGCTTTGTTTTGTTGTTTTGCGGGGGGGGGGATTTTCTTCGTTTTCGTTTTTCTGTTATCTCCGTTGCGATCTTGATCTTAGAGGGGAAAAAAAAACATAATCAATTCAACCCCTTCAACCAGCTTTGACTGCTTGTTTAATCCAAAATGGCGATCTCTTCTAAATATTTTTTGGGCGCTTGCTGGCCAAGGCCACACTCTAGTTTTATCAGGGTCCAAGACCACAATGTACAGTAGGACCAGTCGCTTCTATTTCCCACGGCCTTGCTATTTTCAAAGTCATATCCGATCGGTGCTTGAACGTCTATGACTATTTTTTTTTGTCGATTGTGAACGGAGAAAGGCGAGAGGCCATGAGAGCTATCCCGACGTACTTTTGACGCTCGTACTCAAAATTCATACACAGATCCCACGTTTGAAAACCAGCGAGGTCTAGAGGATGAACACCAATTCACAAGAGAAAACAAGACAGCAACAGATCGAAGGAAGGAAGAACAAGTAGGGAATGGAAAACAGGAAAAACAGAGGGAAGGAATGAGGAGAAGGAGAGAGGAGTCAGAAGAGAAGAAAAGAACAACGATGGAAATAAACAAAGCGGTGAGAAAGGATGGGTGTTTGATCCCGCGAGAGGAGGGGGCTGTTTACTATCCAAAAAAGCCCGCAAACAGCTTCTTTAGAAAGGAGAGATTCAGCAAATTGCTTTTGACAGCGGCGATTGCATCGGACACGCAAAAACAACGAGGTGAGCGAAAAGGCCTAGCGTAGTTTTCATAATTAGCCCTTTGATGTTGCGAATGGTTCTTCTCATCCCATCGGGGTCTACAGTTACTACATCCTACATTGCCTCCGACACTTTTCGTTATGCCTTTTTTTTATTGTTAGAGATTGGGATTAATTTGTTTGTCTTTTTGTCCGTCCGTACCTCCCCGTTCGTCCGTCTGTCTGTCGAGTCGAGCTCGCAATTAACGAGTAGCTCGCCGTTCCCTGTGCGTGTGTTGCAATTTGAAGATAAAGAAAAAAGAAAGAGCGCAAAACAACAAAAAGGAGATCCAAAAGAGAGCGACAGTAAAATGAAAATGGCAAAGATGCATGTGTGCGTAAATTGAGGGAGACAGAAGAAAGGGAGAAGAGGAGAAGGGGAAGGGGAAGGGGAAGGAAAGAGGGGGGGAAGGAGAAAAGGGACGAACCAGACAGACTGAAGGACAGACGGGCATGTTTTGTATTTGTTGATTGAGTGCTGTTGTTGATTACCTGCCTTAGCACCCTTTTTTCCGTTGGTTCCTTTTGTTTGGACATTGGGAGATGGAGTAACATGGGAGGATGGTGGTATGTGGTGGTATGCAGTGGTATTTGGTGGTGATGGTGGTGGCTAAAATTATCTCTTTCTCATTGCTCAGTCCATACATCAACCACCACGGTGTTGTTGTATTTTAGCCTACATTCCCCCTCTTTTATCTTGTGTTCACCCTCACTTTTTTTACTGTCTCCTGTTCGTTTATGCCTATCCACTTTAACCCTTCCTCCCCTGTCGTTGCTCAATTGTCACAATGGATTGAAAGAAAAAAAAGAAAGAAAAATGTGGACAAGCAAAGATACCCACGATTGTTTGGGTTGGGCAAAGAAGGACCCACAAATAGACGTATAACTTTTTTTTTTGTTTTGTTTTGTTCCGGAAAGCTTAGTTACTGGTGAGGACTGGAGAAAAAGGTGATGTGAGAAGTGGAGAAAAGGGTGGTGTGAGAAGTGGAGTGGGGGATGAAATGAATGGAAGGAAGGAATGGATGACCAGTGTGGAGGGCGTTTTGTTCATTCATGTTTAAGTAAGTATGTGTAAAGTAGAAATAGCCCTCCCCCTATTCATGATACAGCACCAGCTATGACCACCCTACCATCATCATGATCATCATCTCCATCAGAAGGTGCGGGCTTGTTGACCAGTGGCGATCCAAAGATGCGCATTCATTCCGGCATGTGATGGAGAGTGTGATTTATTAATTTACCTCGCATCACAAAGTGGACACTTTTAAGAGAGAAAAGCCATTTGACTGGTCCAAACCCACTATTCGAAATTATTCTTTCGATCGTGTGCCTGTAGAGTTGTGTGATGTGCGTGTGTATGAGTCGATGACAAGGATGACCACTCTGGCTCAATTTTTACTTTACCTTACATCCTTTCCCCTGGACAAGGAGGACTCGGACAACCATACAATTTTCTTCTCACGCATGCCAGAGTCTGTCTGTCAGCCCAGGATCGTTATCTCTCAATAAATCTTTCAATTGGAATGAATAACCATCTTCTCATTTATTCGACTGATTCAATTCGTTCATTACGCTTTTTGACCACTTGATGCCAAAAAGGAAGAAAAAAAAAAAAAAAAAAAAAAAGGTTATTTATGTCTTTGTTTCTTGCTGACAAGTGGCAAACCCATCTCTCGTCATTGGCTTTGCACAGTCCGAGGGAGAAAAAGAGGCACTCTCAAAACAATAAGCGACAGAAAAACGTCAAAGCTTTTTTACTTTTTCTCACATCCATCTCTCCTCGCTCCCATCTCTTCTTTGTTGAAAAAGCACATGGAAACCAACCCATTTTCTTGTTCTTCTTCTTCCTCTACCTTTTTCCTTTTCCCATCACCCATTCATTCATTCAATCATTCATCAGACTGAAAAAATACCAGACATACCACACCCCTCGTATCCACTCGAACCATTACCAATTACCATTGCCATCACCATCGTCGTTTTTTGCTTGTCTGTCAGCATCCCTTTTTTCTTCTTTCTTTCTTTCTTTCTTTCTTCTCTCCCCCTCGTTGTCCACACTTGCCCTTTTTGCCTTGTGCCTCCATCTCTTTCTCTCGCCCCTTCCCCTTCCCGTTTCGTCTTTTGTTTTTATTATATTTTTCTTTGTCTGTTTGTCTCTTGACCTGCCGTAGCACACCTTTCTCTCTTTGTTCGCATCTTATTCAATCGACTGTGCCCACAATACAAAACTCTTTTTTTAAACAATATTTTTCTTATCTTTCTTCTTTATCGTCGTTCTCTTCGTCCTTCTTTCATTCGCCTCGTCTTTCTTTTTCCCTTTAAAGCTGCTTTCTCCCTCTTCTCTCCTTTTCTTTTTTTCTTTTTTTCCTTCCCTTCTTACACTCCTACCTTTCCACCTTCCCACCCTTTCTTCCCTTCCTTTCCCTTCTCCTCTTCCCTTTTATTTCTTATTTCTTCTCACACTCACGTTTACTTTCTCACACTCTCACTCGCTCGCTCGCTCGACCACACTCCCTTTCTCCCTTGCCCTTCTCCCATTTCCTGCTCGCCCCCCTTCCTCCCCCCCTTTTATTGTTCTCACCTCCTTTGGTCTTCTTCCCAATACTCTCACGCTTCGTCTCTCTCTCTCCAAGCCCTCCTACTTCTCCACAGTCCTAGCTCAAACCATCAGCACCATCAGGACCTGCAACAACGTGTTTACTAGGACAACATACATATCTCCACACACACATAACATCCATCCCATTCACATAACAATAACACAGCTACAACCACTACAACCATGAGGTCGCCTTTCCCTTCTGCCGCACAGGCATACGCAAAGTCCAAAGACTCGGCCACGTCAAGTCGGCATCATCCTGACGCCCGTCTGACTATCCTCCCCCTCCCCTCCCTCGCCGCCCTCTACCCTATGGACCCCACCTCTGCTGCCTCCGCCTCATCCTCCTCTTCCTCCTCTCCCACTTCCACCTCTTCTTCCTCTCTTTCCGCAACTGCTCCTTCCTCCTCTTCCCTTACCTCTGGGGATTTTCTCTACCGCCACTCAAGTTCTCCCTACAACGCACAACAACAACAGCAGTACCACAACCACAACCATCATCAGCGTCAACCTTCTTATCAATCATACGACAGGAATTATCAAAAGTCCCCACCTCCTTCTCACCCTACTCCCACTCCCTCTCCCTCCCCCGATACTCAAACCAACAACAACTCGAACAACAAGGCCGCAAGTCAATCGCCTTCGCTCTCCAACAAGCACGAGTATATGGGCACCAACATGGAGTCTCTTCTGGATGCTGTTGAGGTTCATTCGACCCTCTTTGCCTCCTCTGCCTCCTCGACTGGCTCCCTCTCCCCTCCAGCGACCACCCTCTCGCTCTCGTCTGCACCCTCGTCCCCCGCAGCGTCCGATCACTTCTCTGTCACCGACTTCTCCTCTGAGACTGCGACTGTCTCGGGTGACGGCCATTTTAAACGGACACAGACCAGCAGCAGCCCTTCCCTTCGCCGCATGTCCATCAGCAACCTTGTTGACGACCTTGAACCTCTCCACCAGCGCGCAGGATACGACCAGGTCCCCGCCCCTGAGAGCAACCAGCGCCCTCGCCTCAAGCCCATGCTCCCCCGCCCTTCCTCGCCCATGCTCTCCGCCAACCACGTCACTCACAAGCGCAAGTGGTCCCGCCTCAGTACCCACACTTCCGAGGACCCTCGCAACACCAAAGTCAGACGCTCCATCCACGACCTCCTCGACAACACCTCAGACTCCCAGGTGGCCACCCGCCCCTTCAACATGGCCCCCATGGTCGAGGGTATTCGCGGTCTGGCATCAATGCAGCCTGTCATGTCCTCCACCGAGATGTCTCGCAGCTCGGTCAAAAAGACTATAGTCACTTGCTATCATGCCGCAGTTGCACAAAAATCGTACGGATCAGAGAAGCGCTTCTTGTGTCCACCCCCTTTTGTTCAAATCCAGGGAAACCCCTCCGACTCAAACTCGGCAGCCCTCAGCAAGGTCCAGGTCGCCATGTCCGTCATCTGCGAGTCGGGTGAGAACTCTCCCCTCGGTCAGCGCTCAACCTTGGAGGACGACCAATCAAGCACCTTCCGCTACCTCTATGTCAGCGGCACCGCCAAGGCAAAGTCGTTCAATCTGAAGATCCAGGTCTACGATCATCCTTGCCTGCCTAACGGATTCGTCTCTGGCGATGCCACCCAGGCTCAAATTGCAGGCCAGTCAGATGCCGACCTCCCTGAGCCCTGCGCTACGTTCGACTCACAACCCATTACTATCATTTCCAAGCCTTCCAAGAAGACTGCCAAGGCACGCAACGTCTCCTCCTGCATCTTGGCCGGCTCTCTTGTCTCGCTCTTCAACCGCATTAACTCTCAGACTGTCCGCACAAAATACATGTCTGCTCAAGATGGCGAGCTCTGCGCCAAGGGCTCTACCTGGTCTGCCTTTACCATCTCGATCGTAGCCAACGGTCCCACTTCGCCCAGCCCATCCCGCAATGGTGCCGCCAAGTCGCACCACCGTCAGCCTGTCCAGCCCACTGCCTCGCCCATTACCTACGGAGCCGAAATCATTCTGACCGAGACTGCAACTGGCTTGCAGTCTGATCGCTTGATTGTCTGCAAGGTCGAGAATGGTCGCATCATCGAGGGCGCCATTGGACCTATCTGCCAGATGCAGAAGGTTGCCCTCCAGTCGACCCGGCGCGCGGCCGATGATCGCCCCTTGTACCTTGGTGCTGGCGGTGATGACCACCAGGGCGGTCGCTTCATGGATCACACCACGGCCACCAACACTGTTCTCAGATACGAGCCTACCACCAAGCCTGAATACTACAGGCCCGGAAGCGATGATTTCCTGTGCTGGACCATCGTTGGTATCTGTAAGTACATGTTGACATGATTTGTTGCTGATTGTTTTGCATGGCAGAGAGTATTCAACTAACAACCTCGTTTTTTCTCATTTTCCCTTTTGATTCATCAGCCAAGTTTGAGTATCCTGTCGAACTTCCTTAAGTCGTCATAATCACGCGCGTCTACTATACCCTCCCATATTTCTGGCCTTGCAACCATTTGCTTTTTTTTTTTTTTTGCGTTTTTGCCTTTTTCTGTTCAATACTTGTTCCAATACTATGTAGCTCTATATTTTGTAATATCATACAATAATCCATCGTTGCCAGCTTTCGAGGACAATACGTCGACGCGTTGCCCGACACCACATAATAAAACACAATATGATTACTGCCCTTAATTTAATTTACCTTGTTTATGTTTTGTTTTTAACGCGTCAATGTTGGGACTCTTTTTGCCACCAAAACGAGCGCTTTTTCTGACTGCCCATCGTTTGCCTCCATTCACCCCTCGTTCTTCTTTTTCTCTCATCCACCGCCCACCATTCTCACTCCGTCACCTACTTCTCATACCACCTCCACAATACATACACATTCATACAACTCACGCACGGAAAAAAACTGATTGCTCGATTCAACAGCTCCAACCTCCATAACCCACATGACTCGACCTGCCATGGTAACATTAGCTCGACTATTTACATTCTCATCACACCGCAGGTCCAAGAGAGGCGCTCATTCTGAACCATGCTCGTGCTTGTTACACTTCTTTTAGGACACTGATTTGGGCGCTCAGTCTCGCCGGTCGACCCGCACTAAGAGTCAGCCAGCTCCTGCTGACAAGAAAGGTATATTTTGTTCTCACCGCTAACTCTTGGTGCCCCTGGTATTGAATGCATGTGGATCGCAATAAACCCAGTACTCATAGCGTATTTTTTCCCCCTCCCGCGGAACCAACAGGGAAAGCTGCTGCCTCGAAATCATTAAATGAACCCAAATCTCGGGAGGAAGTGATCGACTCGGAGGAAGACGCTATTGAGGAACAGGAAGACAAGGACGACGAGGAAGAGGAAGAAGTCTTGGTCAGGAAATCTCGGAGGGTTCCTGCTGCGGCTGCTGTTGCTGCTTCTGTTGCACCTCCTGCTGCTCAGGAGACTCGTAGGAGTGGACGATCAGCACCTACCCGCTCGAACGCTCGTTCCCCAGCGCAAACTGTCAAACAGTCCACTGCTCGCCCCGCACCTGTAGGAAAGAAGGCCGTGGCAAAGAGCGGAAAGAGCGTACCTCCTAAGAAGGCTAAAACGGTGGCGCCTGTTGAGATCGAATCGGACGAGGATGCTGAGGACGAAGACAGCGGTGATGATGACGATGATAACCATGAGCCCTCCTCTGACGATGATGATGATTCGGGCTCTGATTTTGAACAACCCGCCGCCACTAAGAAGAACGCCAGGTCTCTCGCTACCAAGAAGGCCGGTCAACCCAAGATTCCCATCATCAGACAAAAGAAATCTGGCGCTTCTACCATGACATCCAAATCAGCAAAGGCATCAAAATCACCCAAGACTGCTGCCCGCAAACCCTCTGCATCTACAAACGACCAAGAGGACGGTGTCGAACGTGAAGATGGAGAATCGGACCTTTATGGTTAGTACTACACATCATTTATGTATAGGTTATATGTGATCGGAAATTCACCATTCACTAAACCTCGTTTCCATTTTTAAATTCAATGATAGCTGCTGTGCTGGACTCACAGGTGGCTCTTGACACGGTTGTTACGGAATGGATCGGATCATATGAGAAATCTGCAGACGAGGCCTTGCTAGCCTTAACGAACTTTCTTATCCGGAGCTGCGGATGCACTCAATTTGTCACCGCTGAAGAGTTTAACGACAACGACAATCTGCTCGAGAACCTGCAGGATATTTTGATGCGATACAAGCAGGTAATACATTTACTCTTTCACCATGGTCAGATCGAACCTGACGTATCATAATAGGTGTCTGACATTACTTTCGATTGTATTTACCTACTTGTTAGAACACCACCAACTTTGACTACCCGATTGTGTCTAAAGCAAAGGAATTCAAAAAGTTCAAGAAGAATCTCCTGGAATTCTACACGCGACTTATTCAAAAGACTCAAGGAGACATTCTTTTTGATGGTGTCTTTATGGAAAGCCTCCTTACGTGGACTATCTCCCTCTCCAGGTAAACTAATCCTCATGTTGTGTTGCTGAACACTCTTGCAATTCTAAAAATCTTTAACACAGACGCGTGTCTATTTTGTATTGACTATAATAGCACCACATTCCGACCTTTCCGCCACACTGCGGCAGTCGTTGCCCTCAACCTTGTTATGTCCTTGGCCGAATTTGCATCAGAGATTCAGGAGGAACTGAATGTCACTAACCGTCAATTGGCGACCAATCAGAGGCAAAAGGCGACAGCTACAAAGATCAAGCAGCTGGAAAAGAAGGTCGCTCAAGGCCAGACCCGCAAGGTTCAGGTGTTGGAGTGGATTAATGAGATCTTTGTCAGGTACGTGTTGACTCATCCATGAACGTATCGAATTAGCTCCGCATGTCTATACAGCTTAGCAACTAACATACTATTTAACAAAACAATTTTAGTGTATATGTACTGAGATGGCGCGATGTGGATCCTCTCGTTCGATCGGACTGCGTGCGGGAACTTGGACAGTGGATGATAGCCTATCAGGACCACTTTGTCACCTCGTCATACCTCAAATATCTCGGCTTTGTCCTTTCCGACAAGGCCGCTGCTGTTCGTTTGGAGGCGCTCAAGGTCCTGGCCAAGTTGTACGAGATCGATAACCAACCCACAGCTCTTCGTCAGTTCACCGCTCGGTTTACGGATCGCTTTGTCGAAATGGCCATTGGCGAGTCTGACACTTCGGCCCGTTTGGGAGCGATTAAGGTAGCGACCCTTGTTCACAGGCATGGACAGCTTGAGGAGGAGGATCAGGTTAAACTGAGCGCCCTGATCTTTGGAGCAAACGCCAAGGTGCGCAAGGGCATAGCCAAGTTTGTGAAGGCTCGCATTTGGGAGGACGAGGTTGAGGGTAGAATGGCTGCCGGTGAGATCGTGATCTCGTCATCAAAGGAATCTACAGAGCTGAAGAAGGATTGGATCGAACTCAAGTCACTCGCTAACTTCCTCATCAAGGTTGGAAAGACCGTTGAGGAGCAAAACGAAATCATTGGGCGTAACGACAACCAAGCTGACAAGACTGGTACCCGACTCTTTGAGGAAACCAAGGTTGGAAGAATCGCTTTGGCCGTCGAAGCTCTCTGGCCCGAGATCGAATCCCTCAAGGTAAATAAGCCCACTCTGTGCAGTATGGGTGTTGTACAGATCTGCCTGCTGATTTACCTCTGATACTCCCATATTTACCATTGCTTTTCTTTATCTTCTAGAACTGGCAATCGATCGCCAACTATCTTACGGAAGATCACTCCACTATCCCGGTCGCCTCTTCCAGCTCACAGAGCACCCACGCAGCCAAGTCGCTGGATGAGCTTTACAGCTTGAACGAAGAGGAAGAAAATGTTCTTTTGGAGATTTTGATCGCCAGTTTGCAGATGATTGTTCACCCTCCTGCCGCCCCTGGTTTCCTCAAGGACAAGGCCAAGCTCAAAGCCCAACAGGATGAGGTTGCAAATGAAGTTGGGAGATTCTGCGTTGGGCTGTTGCCTCAGCTTTTCCTGAAATATGGTATCGATGCTGTCCGTGTTCGATCTGTCCTTGTCATCCCTCAGATCGTTCCTCTGAACGTCTATCTGGACATGCGCATGATTGCCGTAAGTGTCAATGATCTGGTTGCTCGCCATTGTTACACAGTATTCATTGTTCACTACACTAACATTATCTACACATTTCTGTAATGCACACATTTTTAAGGCATATGAGGATCTCGTGGACGAGGTGGTGAAGGTTTTCAAGAAGCACACAGAACCCTCTGTTCTCCATACCGCTGCCGTGACGATTAGAGCATTCCAGGGGTACGAGGTCTTAAAGACCTCGCATGAAGCCAAGATTGAAGCTTTGGGAGCATCGCTCCTCGAATCTTTCTTGAACTTGATCGCAACTGTAAGTCCCGGATTTCGTTGTTGACCATAGTTTCCGTATTTTTTTGGCAACCTAGAGATGGTCATTGACGCGACTTTATCTCTATTTTGATGTTAGGAGGAGGATATGACCGAACAGGATGCCCAAGAGGAGATGACTCTTGCCCTCCGAAGACTCGAGCATTTGGTCAAGTGCACAGACGTTACCTCAAGGACGCCCCGTGAATCTACCCAGAACCCCTTTGATGGGCTTTTGAAGGTCGTCGGACGCTACAAGACTGCTCAGGGACCCGATGCCGAGGTGGGTGTGAAGCTAGCTTTATATTGTTTGGCAGAGCTCAAATCAGAATATTGACATGCGGCATCCCTCTACTATTATTAGTTGACTATCTCGGCTCTTTCGATTTCTTTCCTATGGATCTCATGGGTATGCAGGAATAACGCCTCAAAGCACGGACAGGATGCGGATTGGACAGAAGATGATGCCCAGGAGATGCTTCACATGCGAGACGCGCTCGTCCGGACGATCTCTGGCTTGACTGACAAGGACAACCATGATGTCGATGCTCGTCTTCGACGCAAGGCTTTCCAGGTACTTGGTGACATCTACTGGCTTTTTGGCGGAGATATGTTCCACTCGTCGAAGGGCGCCAACCGTCATAGCCTGTACATGACCTGCCCTGAGGCGACTCAAGCAGAGTGTGAGAGCTTTGTCCGCTCGGAATTGGATCTGTGGGGCGAGAAGGTTCGGGAGAAGGCGAAGGCAATTCAGGCAGCCAGGACACCAACGGCAGGTACCGATGGGGCAGGAGCAGATGCCAACCCTGAGAACGATATGGACGGAGCAGAGGGGGGTGCTGACGCTGAAGAGCTTTTGGAGGATGAGAAACTTGCTGCTGCTCAGATTGAACAAGAGGATAAGTATGAGATGTTTGGAACCGTCTTTTCATTCATGCGTCAGATTATCCTCAAAGACTTCAGCATGGAGCATGCCGTCGCTGTGGTTGCCCAATACGGCCGCTTTGGTGCAGAGTTTGACGAGGGTGTGAAGCGAGTTATTGCGGCAATCAAGGCTCAAACCACCTCTAGTGCTTCCAGACAAGCGAACCAGCAAAAGACCGAGGTCTTTATGTCGGTGTGCATGGCCTCCCTCAAGCAGGTAATGCCACGTCTGATTGTTTATTTATCTCTTTCATAGAGGCGCTTTTGGGAGCTACATGTTAACATACCATCTGCGTTTTGTGTATTATACGTATAGGCTTTCGAGCTCTTTGTGGATGGACATGTCAGGTCGACGAACCAGGCACTCCAGCTGGCAAAGGTCTTGATCACAGCTATAAGGCCACCAGGTTTCATGCAGACCATCAGAGCGGGAATTGACGTGGGCCTTGTGTGGAACATGCAGAGACAGGGTATCAACCATGCGATTGAGAAGATTGTGGCCTATGATCAAGATGACGATCAGGTCAAGAAGGCCAAGATGGTCAAGTTCTTTGATATTCTCAGTCAATTGCTCTTTGGTATCCAATCCAGGACCGCCGAGATCACCACAATGTAAGTCTCCTGACGTTGTTCCATTTCCCTTGGATGACATATCTAGCATGGTTTGTTGTACCTCGTGCTGATAATGATTGTTTTGACTCCCATTATGTAGGCAAGAGTTGGTCAAGTCCAAGTGCGAAGAGAAGTCTCTGGCTGTGGATGATGATAATGTCTGGGAGCCATTGCGGCAGTACCAATCCAAGCTGGAGAAGTTGATGCACAAGGCCACGGTTGAGCATGCTGCTGCGGCAAAAAAGGCGGAGGACGCTGCGCGACTTCGGGACGAACAACAGCAGCAGCGGCAAGACAAAGAGCAAGAATTGCACGATGTTGATATGGAAGCTGAGACGACCAACCAAGACGCAGATGCCGCAGCAACAGCTGTAGTCGATGAGTCTGTCCCTGAGGCCGAGAAGGTTGCCGGAAAGAAGCGTCTTGCAACCCCTGAGGAAGACGAGGAGGCTGGAGCGAGTCATGATGGACACAAGCAGAGGCGGACGGATGATGTCGATGAACAGGCTAGCGATAATGAGAGCCGTTCGAGCGAGCAGGGTGTTGCCGTTAACGAGACCAAGCGTCTTCGTGTTCGCTAGACACTGCATATTTTTTTGAACACAGTAAACTCCATGTAATAAAAGCAAGATAGCAGAACCAACTCGATCGTTGTTCAATAGCTTGACACTGGCAAGGGGAGCAAGCAATGATCAACGGAATAAGATCAAACATGATAGCAGAGTAGAGTGAAAGAAAAGGAGTTTATTTGACAATGCTGATGAAGGAAGAGGATGGTTGATTTTCTACGACCATTGAAGGCATGGCGAGAAAAGGATATGATGTGGGAGCAGATATAGGTGTGTTGTATTTGTCTGGTATGGATCTACTATGCACATTGGTTTTGTTTCTTTTGCCTCTATCACTCAGCAAACGTCTTGATTGCAAGAGAGGTTCCCTGTAATTTACTGGGGCTTCTTGCGGAAGGAGACACCCTCGGAGAGACGGGCAAGACCACCGGTGGGCTGTGAGAGGACAGTGCTACATTTCTTGCAGGCGACGACGGTGTCGGCGTGGGAGAAGATCGAGGTGATGGTCTGGCAGGAGTTGCATTTGACGTCCATGTAGAAGGAGTTTGGGCTCTGGATGATGCGCTTGAGCTTGTGGGTCTGGGATTCCTTGAGGGGGGAGGGGTTCAGGATGTCGACGGCGAGAGTCATTTTTTTTTTGCTGTTGTTTGGTAGTGGAGGGTGTGAGAGTGGGAAGGTGCTAACCGGAGTGTGAAGAGGGTAGTGTTTGAGAGTGAGAGAAAGGAAGAGAAGAGGAGGAGGAGGAGAGGATGTGGGGATGGAGAGAAAAAAAAAAGTGGGTGAAGACCTGGGTTTTTATACAATTGTGGCTATGCTTACGAATGGTCAAATGTAGGCAACCAACCTGGCTTGGCAAACGTCCTTGACTTTTTGTTTTTTGCCACTCCGTACAACTCCCGATCTTTAGATCCGGGATAAAGAAAGGCTTCTTTGGCCACCATTTACTCGTCAGGTCTAAGGTGAAAAGAGAAATGTGGGCAAAGAAAATTGCCTTTTGAGGATGGGATGAGTGACATTGGCTGGAACAACCAGGTTGGCTTCTTTTGCTATCTGTCAATGGCTTGCTTGGCAGGAGGTTGAACTGTCATTGGTTGTACGGTCCATGTACAGTACATGTACAGTCAGGGCCACGAAGTATGGTACTAAGGATTTAGAATAGGGAAACAATTCATTCGAGAGATATAGCCGTGCGGGCACTAAGGGATTATAGTACCAGTACCTTGGACCTGTGCTTTTGAAGTAGTTCTTTTGAATTGGTAACATGACCCAATTCAATCGTATTCTATTCCTTAGTACCATACTTCGTGGCCCTGACTGTACATGTATGGGATCCTGAGGATCAGACAGGCAGAGACTCTCTTGAACGACATGATATTTATTTCAGACTAGGATCTTCAAAGAACTCTCCCTCGTGTCAGCGGCTAAGCCCGATGGGCTCGTTACTCGAGGCAGCGAGTGTCTAGACCCGATCGACGCCCTCCGAGTTTGTTTGTTTCGAGTGCAAACCATGTCTTGGTGTGAAAAGGAATAAGATGTGTGGTAGGACCATCAGGACGTGTTGTTTATGCTAGTTCTCTCCACGAGAGACAAAAAGCAGTTGAAAAAAAATCAAAGTGGCAGTTGAGACTGTAACATTGGAGGGGTTTTATCCTGAGCGTATATGCATATGTTGATGAGCTTGTTCTCACTCTTGCTCGCTGAAAACCCCAGGACAAACCCTTTAAAAGATACGCTGATATGGCTCTCCTATTATTCGACAACCCACCTTCCCTCCCTCCCTCGTCCCCCTCTCTGCAGCAGAATAAATCATACAAAAAAATTCCCATTCGCCTCCCTCCTTTCTCTTACTTCTCCATCACTTCACACTCTTCCACTACAACTCATCAAAAGAAAAATGATGTCCACTCGCCCCTGCGGAAACTGCAAGAAGACTGTTTATGTCAATGAAAAGATGGATGCGGAGGGGCGCTGGTACCACCGCCCCTGCTTCAAGGTACATTCCTCTCTTATTTTCCATTCGTAAAATTCTTTTATATTGACACGCGACTGAAGTTCAATTTTTGACATTTTCAACACTGCCCTTCTTATGTTTGTAGTGCATGGCGCCAAACTGCGGGACATCGCTCACGATGCGCACGTTCCAGATGGCAGCCCTGGACGAATCAGTAATTGACGAACTGACCCGCCGGCCCTTGAAGGTTCTTGTCTGCAAAGAGCACGTCCCCATGCCCAAGGCCACCATCAGCTCCGACTCGCTCAGCCTCAAGCACTCGACCTCGGCCCCCAAACCAGCCATGGCCGGTCTTCATCGTTCCCTCATGGGCGATCGCAGCAAGGATGGTCAAGCAGAGGAAGGCGAACACACCCCCACCAAGGCCTACTCTCCACGCTCGCTCGATCAAGGATCGCATGCTAATTTCCTGAAGGGAGGACTGACCAAGGAACAAAAGGACGCGCCACTCTCTGTCTCGACTGCTGCGACGTCTTTGACTTCTTCAAAGTCTCATGATGCCCTTCACTCTGGCGGCTCTAGCGCCAATGCCCATACCCCCAAGTCTGCGGAATCCGAGGTCCGTTCAATGTTGACTACCACGCTACCAAAGTTCCGTGGCGGCCGGTTCACAGTTGCGCCTTCTTCTGCTACCGCAGATTCGATGGCCGTCTCGCATACTGCGGCAGAGAATGCTCAAGACCCAACCAAGGACGACGATTCGTTCAGGACCATTCCTATCCGCCACCGCGATTACGGTCATACCGAAGGTGACCTTGAGGAAGAAGATAACAAGCAGGAGCGTACCTTTACCATGAAAACATCCCACAACAACAAACACAGCAGCCACGACATCTACAACGAGGACCTGCTCGACCCCCACGCAGAGTTGCGCGACGTTGATGTCTCGCTCGAAACGGTCGAGGATGTCTCCAAGCATATCGACCACGATCACATTCATATCAACCTCAAGGACGCGCATGCAGTCGATGAGGCTGAGGTCAAGGCCCCCCACGACGAGAAGGAGGATGACAAATTGGTCAGTATGGCGTTCCAATCCAAATTGATGGACCAGCACTCCAAGAAGGACGATGCGGAGGTTGATGATGACGAGTGGGATGCTACTCCTGCTGATGATTATAGTCGTCGCGATACCGTTGCTGGCATGTAATTTGACAAAAGAATGTATCACGAACTATTGTAGACCATTGTACTTTTCTGTAGAATAATAAATGACTTCGCCAACTCTCCTGACCACAGTTCAAAATGCAAAAAAAAAAAAACGAATAATCAAGAGGCAAAAGGTATTCCCAGTCCGGGGATCGAACCCGGGCCTTGTCGGTGAGAGCGACAAATCCTGACCACTGGACCAACTAGGAAATTACTTGTTAAATACCTCGTTTCTAGGTTTAATTAGTTTCTACGGCACACAATATGTTTACGTCACCGTACTTCAATGTTGCACGTCTAACTCCCGGCCACACTCTCAAGTTTGTAATTTGATGGCGTCTTTTTCACGCGATTAGCTTTTTGTACCGCCCTTCAACTTCAAGAACGACGACCGTAGACAGATGGCGAATTACGACTCAGAGCAGCTCAGCTGGAACACTGCACACACCATCAACCGCCAGGGACAGTATTGCTACTGCGGACATGACAGGCGTCTGGATGAACTATCGCTTCAATGCAAAGGTATAAAACCCTTTTGCAGCTTTCCCGCCAAAACAATTCAATGAAGACTCCTCTGAAACAACGCTCTCCAACCTCCTCTCCTCTTCGCGACAATCCATTAACCGCAGCCCCTCCTCCTCACTCACTCACTATCAATACTCTCCCTCAGGCTGCCACAATTGGTTTCACGCCTCATGCATAGAAGTGCCCCTCGGACCCGTCGTCCCCTTTATCACAAACTACAAGTTCCTCTGCAAGGCCTGCGTCCTTAAACCCACCGGAAGAAGCCACCAACAACAACAGGAGCCAAAGGAACCAAAGGAACCAGGATCAGTCCCTGAATTCTTCGAACGCGTCACAGCAGGGTGGAAAGAGATTTGCGCCACCACCATCGCCAATCTGATTATACAAGAGTACCTCAAGGAGGCTCGACAGTCCAAGGGAGGACCTGGGCCAAGCAGGGATCCACCAAACGAGGAGAATATGTGGTCCAAGAATGCGGATTATATGGATTGGAAAGAGTATCGATACTACTTTAACAAGAAGGATCATATCCTGCCATATGTCGATCGGCATTGGAAGGCGCTTTGTACAGATCGCAGCAGGACTACTACCTGGTAAGGATTTACTCAAAGTGTCCACTTCACGCTCAAACGTATTTTTGACCCACGCTTCCTCCTTGAATTTTGTCAACATATTTTTACGAATACTTTTTGTGTTGAATTTTTTTTTTCGATTGTAGGTGGGCAACGTTGGGAAGCTGCCTTTATATCTCTAAGGATGTTTTTGAAGCGACGGATGAGCAGGCGCGTTCAGCCTCGTCTGATTTCTGTTTGACAAAGGCCAACCTCTGGAACATGAAGCCAGGACACATCGCTGTAAGTCGTGTTGATTTATCATCGGATAAGTAATATACCTTGCACTTATAAACACTACGGACCATATTTCATTGACACAAATGCATGTTTTGATCAAATAGAGCCACCAGTCGTCGAGTTCAAGGTCGCAGCTTCCAAAGGCACAGCGTGAAGGAAAGCGAAAGGCTAACGGAGCGACGGGCGAGGACATTGGAATAAAACGGACAGCTACAGGAAAATCAGAAAAGAAGACAAAGGGCGCCGGATCCAGTCATAACCGCGCACCAGCAACACCGCCCGTCACGTCTCACACCGCCTATATACCCCTCCCCAACACCGTCGTCTCGACCAACAGTGGCAACAACATCACCCCCTTTAGCACATCCAACGAACACCCCTACAACCGGAATAGGTTCAAGTATGTCACTTGCGAACCTGACCCTATCCTGCAGTACATGCTCTATCGACAGACAGCCAACCCGACGCTGGATGGTGTTCGTCTGTGCAGGGAGGACATGAGTCCGTATATGCTGATTGACGAGGAGTGTAAGACAATCACGACTGAGAAGGGGTTCCGTATGGTTCGCGCGAACTGTGGTGTTCGGGAAGGTCAATGGTACTACGAGGTGACGGTTGATCGTGGAGGAGAGCCTCGTTATGAGGGACGAGATGGAGCGCATGTACGACTCGGATGGGCACGTCGTGAAGGTAACCAGACAACTTACTTTTTCAATATCGAAGCTTGCCTGGACAAAGAAGATTATAGATACTGACGCCACTTTTTCTCTTGTTTGATAGCCACACTCCAGGCACCAGTTGGATTTGATGCGTATAGCTATGGAATTCGGGACACGACGGGCGAGAAGGTACACATGTCGCGAGTGACGCCCTTTGGAGAGTCATTCAAGACTGGGGATGTTATCGGACTATACATTTCACTGCCGCCAGATGGGAACGAAATGTCATTCTTCAAGAACAGACGACTTCGACGATCGTTTAAGTTCAAAGGCCAGCTCTATTTTGAATCGGTCGACTATTCTCCCACCAAGCGATACATCGAAATGGCAGAGTACGAAGCGACGCCGATCAAAACCAATATCGACAAGCCGATCCCTCCACCAACGATCCCCGGCTCCAAGATCATTGTATACAAGAACGGAGTCTGCCAGGGCGTGATGTGGCAAGACTTGTTTTCAGTATTGCCCATCGAGCAGAATGCGAAAGAAAAAGACCAGCTGCGTTTTGACGACGGCACGCTGGGATACTACCCGGTCATCTCTGTCTACAGGAACGGAACAGCCACGGCCAACTTTGGACCAGATTTCAAGTACCCGCCCAGCAAGGATCCCGAGGCGGAGGCAGAGAACAAGCGGATAACGGTCGAGCAGAATGTTTGGCGGCCAATGTCGGAGCGGTGGGAGGAAAAGCTGATTGAGGAGTGTCTCATTGACTTGGTGGACGAGGTTGAGCTCTGGGTGTCTGAGCAGGCGGTTCTGGAGAGATCATTAGAGGCGTCGGCATCAAGTCAGGCAGGACGAATTGCTGGTCAGTCGCGGCTGCAGGAGTACGATCAGAGTGAGGATGACTACCGTCGTAGTCAGGACCGTTCGAGCGAATCGAGGATGGATCGATCTCGAGCGAGCGAGGATAGGGATCTGGACGACGCAGACCGTGACATTGATATGGGTACGCCTGCGGAGAGGGAGATGACTGAGGACCGTATGGACGATGACGATGAACGGAGAGATAGGGACAGGGACAGGGACATAGATAGAGACAGGGAGAGAGACGACCACCTCCGGGACCGACTGGGTCATCGACAGAGCCACCACCACCACCACCGCCACGGCGATGACGATTACTCGGGCGACGACCGTTTGCAGCAGGACGTTGAGATGCACACGCGTTACGATGACGACGAGTATGATGCGAGGAGAGGGGACCCAGACGATCAACGCCACAGTAGTAGCCATAGTAGCCACAGACGGGATGATCAAGTGTCAGACGATGATGACAGACATTACCAGTAGCAGGCCGTCTAGTCCTACATTCTCTATTGGGTTTTTAACTAGCCGTATGTTTTGTATTGGGTTTTAAGCTAGCCCGATGTTTTCCACAGGGTTTTTGTCTAGTACGGTTTTAATACACGAATACCTTGGTGTGCATAATGAACATTAAGGTTCGAAATGATAGTAACTGGCCGTAATCATGACGAAATATAAGAGGTGTAGTGAGAACTTGAAATTCTACGCGGGTCTATGCGCACATTCAATAGTGCTGTCATCGTTCTCAACACAAACAGGCAGCAGCACAAAAATAGGCAAAAATAGGTATAAAAGAAGCAGCTTTCCCCGCTCTTTTTTTTTCCCACCATTATTCAACAATTCAACAACTCAACTTTCACCAACAACTACCCAAAATGACTAAACCAGGCACCCACACCACCACCACATCAACCACCACCACATCCGTCCCACCCACGGCCATGGAAAAGGTCAAGGATAAGGTTTCCCAGATGGCCGATAAGATCACCGGCAAGCCACACGATCCCCTTCAACCCCACGTCTACCACGACTCGAACCAGCCCGGCCCTGGATTCCATGGAGCCAACCAGCCCCCAACCAACACTGGCAACGCCACCAACCCCGCGGGCACTTACAATGCTGGTCAGCAGCAACCCATCAATCCTCTAAACACCCAGGATCGTCAACAACAAAACTATAACAACCAGCCGAGGACCATGCCTATGCATACCGGCGCTGCAGCTGCTGGTTCTGCCGTCCCCCACGGAAACACGGTCGATCGTGCCGCTTACCAGGACACGCTTGGCGGTCACCAAGGTGTTGCCGGCAATGTCGCACCCGCTGTCCCACCCAGAGACGACAACAAAGCCCACCATGGTATTTTCGGCCATAAGGACAAGCACCAAACCACGGCCACGGCCCCTGGCGGCGCTTACGCCACAGACCCCAACCTGGTCCATCCCTCCGTCATCCCTCACCAGCAGACGACCGCCGGCGGTCTTCAGAACCCAGCAGTCGCAGGCCCAACGGGTACGAGCCACGTCCCAACCTACAACCAGAACATCCCCCCAACCGCCACCTCTGCTGAGCAGGTCAACCCTTCCGCTGGTGGTGGAGGTCTGATGGGAAACCACCAGGATCGCCATTACCAAACCCATGTCCAGAGCACCATGGCTGGCCCCGGCGCCACTACTACCGCAGCTGGCACACAGATCCCATCCACGAACACCAGCAATAACCCCGTCCCTATGAACCAGGGCGCCCCCGTCTACAACAACAATGCTGCTGCTCCTGGAGGAAATCTTCCTCAGACAGTCCCTGCCATGGGCGCCCCTGGTACCACCACTGCTGCTGGCACCCACATGCCCAACCAATATGGCGCTTAAGTGATTTTTTTTTCTTACCCTCCTTCCTCTTGCTCCCAGCGTCCTTGTACATAATTCTTATTTGATGACTGAAAATAAAACAACTCGATGTTAATGTATCAACAACAACAGCTTTGGCAGAAAAACAAATGTTCATTTTAAGTTATAAAATTTGAGGGGGGTATGAAAAAAGGAAGATTAGGTGAAGGCTAAAAGTAAAGAAGTATTGGACTTCGTCCATGACAACGAGAAGGGGAAAAAAAGTGCTTCAGCTCAACCGGATTGCGCCTTCTCCAAGATCAAAGGAGAGGGCAGACATGTCTCATTGCTGCAAGAGCCCCTGTCGCCCACGGCTGCTGGTGCTTGTCCTGGAGGCACCACCAACCGAGAAAGCCTTCTGGTCCTTGGTCGACGTTGCCCGCTTGTAATCCAGCACAGTCTGGACCTCCGCGATCGTGTTGCTGTATGCCGAAGCCGTCTCGCCTCCGTACAAGAGTCCATACAGGAAATGAACAATCCAACCCGACGACAACGCACTCGCAACCCACGATACAATAAACGCCGCCCAACGAGGCTGAATCCAAAAGTATGCAATGTTGATACCAAAGACTCCCAACAGCATCAGGGGGAAGATCACGGTCAGCTCCAGCTTGCGCCTTGACGCCGAGTTACCTCTATGCTGCTTGAGCACCAACAGAATCTCCTCAAGGAACTCAACCGTGAACTCCTGATCTTTTCCTTGAATCGCTGTCGTTGCTGATGAATCCCTAGCACCCAGCGAGACCGACGAGTCCGAAAGACCGAGGGCTGGAGACCGGTTCTGGAAGTGATAGACTGCAGGTTGGATCAAGAACTTTGCATTGACTCCGAAATGGTCACTGTAGTTTTTGAGGCCAGAGTTGGGTGCTCCAATGCCCGAGATCTGGTCCCGGAAGGCAACCTCGACATGTGTGCAGGTCATCTCCGGGGTCTCCTTGAAAAACACATAATCGAGTCGCTCTCCGATGGGGTCGTTTGTCAGGTAGTTGAGCCAGACGTGTCCAGCCCAGCTGTTGAGGGGTGTATCGCAGGTGACGCCCATAATGGCCACTCCTTCCTCTGGAGTCAAGCCTGAGGGGATGGGATTCCTCGGCTCGGGGTGCACCCTGTTCCATGAGTCTGTCAGCCCTCCTTGCTTCTTCAATAGCTGGATCACCAGACTGTCGGGCGCACTGTTGTAATCTCCAAGCTATTCGTATTCCATCAGAAGAGACTTGTAAGTTTTTTTTTTTCGAGTGGTAGAAAACAAGCAAAGAAAGCGAGATAAAGGACATCATGCTAAGAAAAGGGGAAGGGGGAGAAAAACGAGCTCGCAAGGCAACGTGCGCGTGGGGGGTTGCCACTAGTAGGCATGATCGATAGTCATGCAATTGCTTGTTTGTTGTCGTTAAGGTTTCTTCTCCCTCTCTTTTGGACAGGGGCTTGTGCCACTCCCTCCTTCCAGGGCCATTCCATCGTATGATAGCAGAGGCATAAACGCCCGGGTGAATGCTTACCGAGATAACATGACGGCCTTGTGAGGTCGCCGCTTTGACAAGCGAAGCCATCTCCCAGGCCTCGCCAACACGACATCCAAGATAAGAGTCAGGGGTGCCCACGGGGTCGTATCCAGCATGCAACTAAGTATCGTCAAGCATTGATTGTTCAACAAAGAGAAAAGTAGGCAGTTCGTATCAGCAAAAGCAGGAGTAGATTGATACAATAATATTCAAATTGGCAGACCAGAGAGTAATGGACACAAGAACATGCTTCAAAAACTTACATGGGTGTTAAAGACCTCAATCTCGCCACAGGTGGGATGCGCAATCGTCGCACTGACGACACACTTGCCAACGTACCAGTCGCCATGGAAGAACTTGAAAGGATCGCCATTCAACGCAAAACGACGCATGGAGGTCTCAACGATGGGAAACTTTGAGAGGATGACCAAGCCAGAAGATCCCAAGGCACCAGAGGCCCAGGTCTTGGTGTAAGGCAGCACATCCTTGACAAGTTCCTTGATTCGGAGATAGTCGTTTTCGACCCAGACCTCCTGGAGACCGACAATGTCGTATCCGTGAGCTGGATCTCCCAGGTACCGACCAATAGCAGCCAGACGGTCCTCACGATCCTTTGCGATAAACTTCAGTCCCCTATTTAGTGGAAGAAGGGGCAGAGTGGACGAGTGTCGTTAGCGAGTTGCACACTAGGGTACTGTCTGCACTGTTTTCGGTTGTTGCTGTTGTTGTTGTTGTTGCCGCTGTGGTCGTCCTTTAGTAAAGGTGCTGGTGGTAGCTGTGCTTATGGTTACGGCGGAAAGAATGAGAGTGAAGAGGACCTGGACGTACCAGCAGTTGAGAGTGAGAACCGAGAGAGGTGTACCGTTGGACATTGTGTTTTACTGTTGTCGGTGGGGGGGAAGGAAGAAAGGAAGGAAGGGAGGTAGGTAAGTGAGGGCGGAAAGGAAAGAGCAGGAGTAGCGATGAAGTCTGCGACGGTGTCGATGATGAAGAAGGATTGATGAGAAGTATGAAAGTGAAAACGAAGAAAGAAGAGGTGAGTGCGAAAAAAAATAATCATAATTAGAGTGTGCGAAAAGGGATTTTTATTTTTCCACAGGTGTCAGATCGGAGAGAAAAAAGAGACGGCAACTCAACTGCCGGTCCCTCAAACATCCTTCCTGGCACCTCCGTCGTCATCGTCATCGCTGTCACCACGACCGCCACCTTCATCAAGCTTGGCCACCACCCCCCCACTCTCCTTCTACGACCCTCCCCGACGCAACCGGTCAAGTTCCCGCTTCAACGCCTCGTTCTCCCTCCGCAGACTCTCGTTTTCACGCACTGCAACCTGAAGCTGTCTATCCAACGTGAAATGCATCGGGCTGTGCTCCTGTCGGTGGATTGATCCACTGTTGACAGGCCCTCCTTCCTGTACTCCTCCTGTCCTTGGACCAGGCTTCAGTCCTAGTCCCGCAGACAGCTCATTCAGCACAACCCGCTGTTGTTCATTCTGGCGATAGAGAGTGTCCAGATGGCTGTGAACCGATTGAGCGCTCAATGCCTCCAGGAGCGCTGGCTGCTGTCCCCGCAAGACTGATCCCGTCGGCGAAGTCGTTGGAGTCGAATGAGAAGACCCAAAAGTATCTATCATGACAAACAAAATTAGTCAGTTAACACGTTCGTCTTGTTTCTGATGATGCTGTTCTTCTTTTCAATGGTTGATGTATACCCGCAGGGTGGTCCACGTTGGGTTTGCTGCTCCCTTCAACGTTGGACACCTGGAACCGACTCCGCTTGCTCTGCGAAGCACTGGGTGTGCCTGTGGCCGAGACGGCGGTACCGAGAAGACCTGCTTCCTGTGGGGATGGAGTTGTTGTTTCTATACTGAATCGAGATACCCTCGAGTTGTCCCTTGACAGACCAGTGTCGCCCGCAACCCTTGACTGTGAGGATTCCCTCGATAGAGAGGTGCCATGACTAGGCGAACCCGCGCCTGGGCCGCTGCTACTTGATGGTGCCACCGATCCTGATGCCCCATGCGTGTGATGTATCTCAAAGCGAGACTTTCTCTCTAGACAGACAGAATTCATGATCATCAAACATGCGCACACAAAACATGAGAGTGGTCAAGAGATGGTCAAAGAGAGGAGTGAGAGAGGAGGAAAAAAAGGCATGTTTTTAGCAAGAGTTTGTCTACTATTAAAGTTGTCGCACGGCCATCCATTGTTATCTGTTTCTTCTTTCATTTTTTTTTACGCCATCATCGTCAGATCCTCTTGGCGCTCCTCTTCGCCGTATGTATTGTCTTTTTTTTCTTTCTTTTTTTCGCCTGCAATGTTGTCGTCTTTCCTCAAGCTCGTCGTCTTCATATCATCCCACCATCGTACTCGTCGTCTTCATCGTCCTTGTTCTCATCGTCTTCATCGTCCTCGTTCTCATCGTCATCATCGCAATCCACATCCTCATCCTCATCTTCGTCGTCTTTGTCGTCGTCGTCTACACGTTTCACATCTACTGCTGTGTCGATTGGTTGCCGGTACCTGGGAGGGGTCCATGCTCTGACGCGCCTACAATACGAACACCTTCCGGATGGCCCTCAACAGGTGACGAAGTGAGGCTTCGAGAAGGCGAGTGCAACAGATCGCTAGGCATCGTCTTGATGCTGGATGGGACAGGAGATGACGAGACTGATGTGTCCTTGACGCTGAATCGGCCCTTCTTCACCTCCGGCAGTCCTCCCGCCTCGGTTCCATGAGGAGTGACTCCCAATCCCTGAAGATTCTGTCCAGACTGGATCGACAACGAAGACATGTTGTGACTCAACCCAGCCTGTGGCGATAGATGAGCTTCGGTAGTCGGGTGGAGTGCTGGTGAAGCCGTAGTGCTGCTGTCTTCGACCACAAATCGCGACTTTTTGACCGGTTTGTCTCCTGTGTGACCGGACAATGGCGTGGTGCCCTGAGAGAAAGGTGCTTCGTCAGGCAAAGAGTCGAGTGTGCGAGCCGTCTCGGCGGTTGGTGTCATCGCAGTTCCGGTCGAATGTGCCGACTCTGTTGTTGTGGTCGAACCTGGGCGATCTGGACGCTCAAAGGTAACCGTGCGTGGGCGACGAACTTCCTCCGAGTCTGCTGCATCATCGCCATCAAAGTTCCAAGAGATTCCCTTTTCGATAACAATCGGCTTCTGAACTTGCCCTATTGATTCAAAGCCACGGGCGCAGTCATAATTAGCTTCCAATCGATGGTGACACGAAACGCCATTGTACACAGGAGGTATAGTAGTCCTTACGTTTGTGGGGTCTTTGCTCGATAGGCGGGAGGTTGTGCAACAGGCCTGACACCAAGTATGCCTTCTTCTTGGCCTGCTTGAAGAACGAGTGGTTCAAGAGCTTCTCTGCGGTAGGTCTACACATTCAAATGGCACAAAAGAAAGTATCATTACCGGTTGGAATGATATCCTCACGACAAGCAATGGCCATTTTCTAAAGTTTACCTTCTGGTAGGATCCTTCTGCAAGCAAGAGTCGATCATCTCCTTGAGCAACTTGGAGTAGCGGTGCTTGGTCGAATCCCTGTCCAGTGTTGGAGGGTCGTTCGACAGAGTCAACATCAAGACCTATAAAGCCATATATTCAATAGCTATTAGCGTCAGTAGTAGTGCCAGTGTGAGAGGACCCAACACAATCAATATGATGGTGCTGCGACGATATATTACCTTGATAGGAGGATACTTTGCAAAGGGGGCATGGCCAGTCGCAAGTTCAATGGCGGTAATACCAAAACTCCAGATGTCCGCCTTGTAGTCGTAGCCGGCCTGCTCCATGACCTCTGGCGCCATCCAGCAAGGTGTGCCGACAAACGTCTTTCTTTGACCACGTCGGTCGCCATTCTCCATGAGCGAAGATGAAACGCCAAAGTCAGCCAAAAGAACAGATCCATCATCGTCCACAAGCAAATTGCCTGCCTTCACATCTCTAATATAACAAGATACCAGATGGCCCAAAAGCAGAAAGAAGTTAGAGGGAGATAAACGTCGCTCATCTGGTAATTTGGAAATGATGCGCGTCTGCCTTTGATCTGCTGTGGCTGAATGCTCCTTGATTCCGCAGTGGGCGCATTTAGCCCAAACGGCTGACGAGATTGATTATGAAGTGTGAAAAAAAAATATCGTTTGTAGCTGTGTCCCGAACTCTCATGCCTCCAGATCCCGAGATGTACTTGCCTATGAATGTGTCCGTTCTTGTGAAGATAATCCAATCCTTGCAAGGCCTGCTTGAGAATGGTTGCTATTGCGACCTCTTCAAAACCGTCAGGGTAGGCAGTCTTCATGATGTCAAGGCATGATCCTAATGGTCATCAATGGGTCAGCGGCGGAAAGTGGTGTTAGGCAAGGAAGAGTAAGAGTGGACTGACGGCTGAATTCAATTTGCGCGCTAACCGTATTGAGAAACAGAGTGATCATTGACATGTTGACATGGTGATCCGACTTACCGGCAGAAAGGTAGGGCGTGACAATGTACAGCTTACTGTCGGTCACAAAGGCTCCGTTGACACGCAAGACGTTGGGGTGCTTGCACAACGCCATGACCTGGGTCTCCCTCCGAAGCTCGTCAATCTGGTTGCGTTCAAACATATCGAGGTCGATGACCTTGATGGCAACCCTCCTGTTGAATGGCTTGTAGTACGCATTGTAGACGACGGCCGAAGACCCATAGCCTGTTCACAAACGAAAAAAAAGGTCATGTTAGTAACCCTTTTCTATTACTTCTTTCTTTCTCTCTGTCTTGGATTAAAAAGAAAAGAAAAACTTCTCGACTTTTACCGATAGGAAGGCGGATGTCGTAATCCTCTGGGTTGCTTGAAAATGAATCGTCCGAAAGGTTCAACGAGGATGAGGTCATGCTCCCGATATGCGACGCTAAGTAAGAACTCGACGTGCTATGGACGCTCGTCGGCCGCTTAATCGACCCGGTTGAGGCCATGCGTTCCATGAGACCGTTCACTCCTGGCTTTCTAGTCAACGAAGCGGAAGATGGAGTGATGGGGGCGGAGGGTAAGGGGGATGGTCGATTCGACGAGAGTGGAGTTGAATGAGCGAGCACTTGCGCCTGCTGCTGCTGCTGCAGCTGCAGCTGTTGTTGTTGCAGTAGACGTGCTTGCTCCTTAGCTTGGTGCTGTTGTAGTTGTTGTTCCTGTAGCCGCCGTGCGTCTTCCTCTGTCTGACGCTGAAACTGCTCTTTTTGTTGTCGCTGTGTTTCTTGTTGTTGATGAAGCTCAGCCTGTTGTTGCTGTTCAAGTTGGAGACGTTGTAGGTGTTCAAATGAAGGCTCTTGTTGTTGCTGCTGCTGAAGCTCCAGTTGTTGCTGTTGCTGCACATAGTCTGGTGGAGTAGTGGGGGGTTGTGGGGGCATATCTTGAGCTGTATCATTTGGTGGCGGTTGTTGATGCTGTTGAGTGCTGGTAGCACCACTGGATGGGCTCAAAGGGTGATCTGCCATGCTCGCCTTCTTTCACTTTTTTTTTTTGAGCAATGAGTGATCTGGGCGTAGACGATGGTCCTCCCACGGTAGAATGTATTTATGTAAGCTGTGACAGTATGTGCGTTTGAATGGGAGGGGGAGGGGGGGAGAGAATGGGAGAGAGGGAAGTGATGGGATGTTCAAACTCACTAGTTGGGGATGTGTGTGTAAAGATGCACTCGTTTTATCTTCGTTCTTCTTTCGGTGCCGTGGTGATAGAGCGGAAGGTTGACGACAAACGAACGGAGGAATAAAGAGGTGAACAAACAGAAGTTACAGAAACGGAGAAGCGCGTTGAAGGTGTGAGAGAGTGCGACAAGTTTTTTTCCTATCAAAGAGGCTTGGGCCGTGACTGCCAACATCACTTCTGAGCTGGGCCTTTGGTTCACGACAGAAACACGTTGCAACAGCAAAGACAAAGAGCGAGGAAAAAGAGTAGCACTTGATAGGTCTGCAAGAGGAAAAGAAGACTGTATTACTGGGGGATATTGCTGGAGCTAAATGGCATGGCGTTGACTATTGCAATCAGTCAGCTTCCTATAGTCCATCCTGTAGTCCATCCTGTAGAGAAAACAGCGTGGTTTGGCGGCGCAATTCACAAACTATCAGGGGTCTGAATCACAACCATCAAGTACTCGCCCTCTATTAAGCATAAAAAATGGAGGAATTGTGTATGTGTTAGTACGCAACTCGTATTGTTATATGGACATTGGCCATGAGGCAACAGGAAGACGACCGTTGTCCCTTACCTGGGCAAATCATAATCTCGTGTTTCTTGGTCCTTATCCTCATAAACGTCAATTCATTCTATTGCATGTGAAACAGCGGCAAGGTAAAGCATCAAGGCAGGACTGGTTAGAATATCGCCCTGAAAGACTGCACTCTCACTTCATGGTCACTTTTCAAGTGTCGCTGAAAGTAGGCAAGAAAGCCCGAGCTCAAGACTGATAACTTGCTTGTGAATCCAACTGGGCGACGGATTGTCTTGCGGTGCGAATAAGGTCTGACATCAGGGTTGCATACTGCTTGCCAAGCGAGGCCTCCAAGGTCGACCTAATCATCAGGCCGAGTTGGTTGACCACTACGACTCCCTGGACATTCTTCTTCGATGAGAGTCGGCGGATGGTTTCTTCTACTTCAGACTGTGCACATCAGGAACCGCATCTTAGGTGTCAGTATAAAAGAATAAAAGTGCTCCCGTGCAGCGCGCATGAGTGTTGACGAATAGGAGGGATGCTGAGTCGAGTCATGTCTGTCAGTACCATGGCTGTGGTTGAGGAACAAAAAAGGTTTGAATGGTTTGCATGCAAAATTGCACGAGTTGAAGAAAAAAAAAAAAAAAGAGTCGAGGGAAAGCGCGTCACGAGGACTCTTTATTCAAGCCAAGAAGGGATAAGTGAGTGAGTGAGGGAGTTTGTTACAGAGGGGGAAGGGGATAAGAAAAAAAAAACTGAGCTAATGATGTGCGACGACGACGATACCGCCTATTGCATGGCGTTGGGGTCAAAGTTGAACCCGCCCTGAGGAACGCCTCCAGCCTGGAAGGCAAAGGCTCCAGTCTGGGAATCGACCTGGGGTGCCAGCTCGGGGTCCTCGTCATCCTCCTCAGTGAAGTAGGTGTCGATAATCGTGAAGGCCTTCTTGTAGATGTCGAGGTTGTCGTGTGCCTGCAACTGATGGATCTTCTCCATACCACCACAATCCTCAATATAGAGACTGTATTGGTTGACACCGTTAGTCTGCTCCTTGTCCATCTCGCCAACCTTCAAGAGGTTCTCCAAACCATCCAGAGCAACCTGGATGATCTTATTGTCCATGCAAATCAAGATATCGCAAAGGGGCTTGATGCATCCCTGGGTAACAAGGTATCTGATTTGGTCGGGTTTGTTCAATCCTCCAGAGGTGGCGTTGGAGATGGCCCAGCAGGCCTCCTTCTTGGTCTTGAAGTCGGCGTTCTGGAGAATGTTGATCAGAGGGGGGATGATGTTGGCGTCAATGACATCCTGAATCTGAACGCAGGTTCCTGCGGTAACGTTGGAGATGGTCCAGCAAGCCTCCTTGCGAATGTTGTCCTTGGGGCTGGAGAGAAGGGCCAACAAGGCCTGGAGGGCGCCGCAGTTAACGACAACCTGAGTCTGAATATCGTCACCTGTGACAATGTTTCCGACCGAACGAAGAGCGGGAGTCTGAACGGAGGGCAAGTGGTGCATCAGCAACTCGACAAGACGACGGCAGACACCAGACTCGATAACAGCCTGGATCTTCTCGTTCGAGCCGTCAGAGAGGTAGGACATGGCCCAGCAGGCGTCAATCAAGACCTCATCATCGCTCGAGTGAATCAACTTGGCAAGGACGCTCAAAGCGGGCGAAATCTATAAATTACAGGAAAAAAGATTATTAGGACTCCAGAATTAAGAACGATTATATTGGTTATGCCATCAATGCGGACAATTGTTTTTTCATGCTTACCAACTCCCAGTCTGGTGGGGGGTTCTTGCCACGGCAAAAGTTGGAAAGAGTCCATGTGGCGTTTCTGAGCATCGACAGCTTGTTATTCTCGTGGAGAAGGGCGAGGAGAGGAGCCAAGGCATTCTCGCTCAAGACAATGTCACGGCAGCGGGGGCTGTCTCCAGCAATGTTTCCAAGAGCCCAAACAGCCTATTAATGACAGTGAAACAAAACGAAACGTCAGATTATAGCTGCGTAAAAGCTGAGTAGATACAAAAAGAGAAGCAGGGTAGTCAGCATCGTGCTTTACCTGCTCCTTGACATCAGCGACAGGGCTGCTCAACAGCTCGACAAAGTAAGGGACAGCGCCTGCCTCAATAACGTATTGTGTTTGGAACGAAGATCCGGAAGCAATGTTGGTCAGCGCCCAGGCAGCCTCAAACTATTCAAGGAAAGGACGAGAAGTGTGAGTGATATTGACGGAAGTAATTAATTGACACATTGCCATCATTTCGAATCAGTAAAGACAGGCTTTATACCTGAACGGAGGGGTGGGGAGAGCGCAGGAACTCGACAAACTTGGGGACGACACCGCAGCGGATGACCTCGTCAATAGGGGGGTTGCGCTCCTTGGAGAGGAGCTTGCGGAACTGTGTGGTGGCGCCAAGCTGGTCGTCAACGTTGTCAGACATGACTCCTTGAATCATAGCAGGGAGCTGCTCATGGAACTACAGATAACAAAAGGCGAAAAAAAACAATAGAAAAAATTAACTTTTCGTGTGCAGTAGTCAATATGGTTCGACGCTGCCGGTTTACCGGGCTGGTGATGAGCTAGAAGGAGTTTTTTTTTTCTTCATTTGTGCAGGTTGTTTACCTGTTGGCTGGCAGCAGAAATGCCCTCGTCCTCAGACTCCTCGGACTCTGCGGCGATGGCGAGGTTACGGCGCTTGGAGAGGTTCTCCTCGCGCTTCTGCTTACGAAGCTCGACATTGAGCTCGTTGCGGTTGCGACGAAGCTCCTCGGGCTTGAATGCATTCTTGGCCTTGAAGTTCTGGGATCTGTGTTCAGGGATTCGTTCCATGATAGCGATGGGGTGTGTGTGTGTTGATTGTGTGGAGGGAAGAGTGGTAGGATGGGCAGAAACAAAGGAAAGAAAAAAGGTTGCAGCAGGTGAGTGCAGGCGTCTTGTTTGCTGCTGCTGTTAATTTTTTCTTCAAAGTTCTCACCCAAATGTGACTGCATCTGATTCTTCCATCGCGCGCGCCGCCGTTTGCACCTGCACCTGTTCTCTCTGACACCTGCACACCTGCCAACAGGTCTTTTTCAACCGTGCCTGCGTGCTCTTTCTGCTGCTGCTGCTCTCATTGTCCTCCGCCGAAAAAAAACAAAGAAAGGAGATCCCCTCCCGCCACACTCGCACATCACTTTCCAACACAAGTACCGCAACAACAACAACAACAACAACAATACGACCACTCAATAAAGACACACTTCCTCCCACCCGTTTCCCCCCTTATGCAGCATCACCGTTGGGAGCTGTCTCCTATGGGAAGCATCCCTCACCAGGTGCTCGCCATCCTTCTAGGTTCCCTACCCAAAGTGCCAGGTAACATAAAACCACAAAACCAACCAATTCATGAAAGCTACGTTTAAACGTTTAAATTGCAACCTAACAATGATATGCTCCACGCTGCCTGTATGAATAGATTCAAAGCAGGAAGAAGAGGCATTGGGACGCCAGTACACCACGCACGACGACAGATTGTCTGACGATGGAGACGATGACGATGAGACGAGCAGAAGCACCCACGATATCGCAAATGAACCAAGTAAAGGACACAAAGGATCTGGAGACGACTCTGACGCTCAGAGGGCTTGGAACGTGCCTGATGACGAGTGGGAGTGGTCGGACGAAGAGTCAGCTTCTTCTTCTACACACGCTAAAGCATCGCGGACAACCGTTGCAGCTGCCAGGTCACGACACGGCAATACATTGGTTGTACCTTCCAAAGGTCCAACAGGGTTGGGCCTCTCGACATCGGGATCGGACCAACACGGCAGTACGGGGTCTCGATCCTCCAATACATCATCTAGATCTTCATCTGCCGGTGCCTCAGGAACGAAAAGAACATCTGTACCCGTCACATCGGCTTCAAAACCTATGGAGAGTAAGACTGTCTCGCATCCACTGAGTGTTGCCCAGGATCTCAGTATATCTATCTGCGACAGCGGCCATTACATGGCATGTGCCAGCAAGAAGATGTTTGCTATCCTCCAGCGGCAGCCATCACCAGTCGCATCACGATCGCCGACACCAAATCAACCTCAGGAACGCGGTTCCCCTTACAGTAATCAAGAATGGGTTCTTATCGGTCAAGGATCAGGACTTGATAGCTCTCTGTACGTATTGTTCACTTTGCATTTTGCTGGCGTTCAACTGAAAACCTTGTAATGCAACAGGGAAACTAACGATACAACCGACCTATGTCATTGTACAACAGCGACGCTATCACGACAGTGCTGTGCTTACCACTCTACGTCCCGCGGTCAAATCGAAGGTAGAGCATCAAAGTGGTTCACAATGCACCATTGTATTTATTCAACCTAGCTTGAAGCCTAACTTGACCTACGCGTTCCGTTCTTAGTCAGGTGTATGTCGTGCTAGGCTACAAGTCTGGAATGATACGAATCTTCAACGAGGTACTATTCAACTTCAGTATGGAGTCTTTTGTTACATAAATGAAGCAACAGGACAATGCATTAATTGCGTTCCAATTATTATGAATAGATTGGCCAACTTGTTGTCGTCCAGCAGCTCCATCACACCCCGGTCGTGTCCATCAAGGCCAGGGTTGGCGCAGGAAGAGTTCCTGGTAGTGACGAAGACGAGATGACCATCTTGCACGAAGGAGGAAAGGTGGTCTGTATCGAAGGAGAGAGTCTCTGGGTCGTTTTGCGACTCTCCAACGGGTCAAGTCGCGTCGCAGGTAAGAATAGACAATATATGTAGAGCGTTAAAGTATAGACAGCATCAGAGACTGATACTTCATCTCTTTAACTTTTAGACGCTAATTCGATCCAGGCAACGCAAACAACAACATTCGCTTACCAGAAATGGAGTCTTCAGAACCAAGATCTTATGGTGGACGTTGTCAGCTGTGGTAAGTATCTGAAGATTGCGTCGATATTTGCTTGCATGGCCATATCGTGAGCTACAAGAAACTGACAGTATGCATTTGTCAATGTCCATGATTAGGCCCAGCAAGGCACAAACCGACACTTTCGAATGGCTTTTCTTCATCATCCAGTTCGTCAATGTATACGTCCCAGGCAACAGAGCGGTTTCTTTCAGTAGGATCAAAGCCTATGATGGCCTTCTATGCATCATCCAGCGCTAGTCGGCCTCTGTTCTCGGCCACCTCACTGGCAACCCAGATGGCAGTAAGGGTTACTAGTGCAGTGTTTGGATTTGCAAAGTCAATATGGGGTTCATCACCCAGGTCAGGTTCGCCAGCATTTGGTGGTGCAAACGGCAGGACAAGTCCAGATTCAAAGAGGTTGTCTGGCCAAGGCATTCAGGAGGGGACGGCCGGTCCATACGGAACTATCTATCCTTCAGCCATGGCCCCTGCGACAGAGGTGCCCGCGGTTCTTTGGTTGAACGACTCTCAGCGATGCATTCGGCATGTCTCCTTGGCACCCCCACCTCCTCGGGGCACGTGCTATCACTCGCCGTCAAAACTGGCTGCCATGACGGACTCACTGGGACGCGTGCTCCTGGTCGATTTAGAAGAGTGTGAGATCATCCGGATGTGGAAGGGTCTCCGAGGCGCAAGATGCGGATGGCTTCAGGAGGAGAGGATTGTCAAAATAGGACGAGGAATGGGCGATTCTGGAGACACTGCAGGTCCTACGAAACGGCATCTGGTTCTCTACCTAGTGATATATGCGCCTAAGCGAGGAACTGTCGAGATTTACCCAGCACGGCAAGGAAAGCGGGCGGGACTGCTTCAAATCGGACTGGGCTGGAAGGTCTGTACTACATTCACAACCCCAATTGGCAAGCCTGCAGTATTGGACCGTATCAAGGGAGCGCCTTCGGGATCTGGTGCACGCGATTCGTTGGGGGCTATGCCAAGTATCCCGGCTTCACAACACGATCTGGCTCAGTGTTTCTTGGTTGGACCTACAGGAGAAGTCAAGCGCGTAGGTTCGCGATCGGCAGACTCGTCTGCCTCCAACACCGCTTCTACCTCTGTCCAAAACTCGTTGACAGTATCACCTGTGATCCCGTCTTCAAGCGTCAAAACCGGTACCTTTGCTAGCAAAGCTGAAGAAGTGGGGTCTCCATAGCATTCTTTTCCTAGCATACATTTTTTGCTACATAGCCGTTCTCCAATATATCCTTGCTCGATGTTGTTTAGACAGGGCCGTAGAAAATCGCGAGTGCAGAAGAATGTCAAGATGAAATGCTATGCTATGTTGTTTTTTAATTGCGACGGTATCTGTTTGTTGTTGTTGCTGTTGGTCCGCTTCCTTATTTCCTGCCGGAGCTGTTCTGACGACGTCCCTTTCCTGGCCTCTGTTTGGCAGCACCACCCTTGGCGCCTCCAGCCTTATGGGCCTTATGTCCAGACTTGAAAGAGGTTGACTTGTTGCGCTTGACACTGAATCCAGAGACATCGGCCGAACTGTTGGCGTCGTTTGACTTCCCGAAACGCTTCTTGCCTCCGAAACCAAACTTTTGATCCTTCTTGTGTCGCTTGCCGCGTGATTCCTGTGTGGAGCTGGAGGAGCGCTTCTTGGACTCGCCGTCGCCTGTCTTGTATGACTTCATCTCGTCGTCATCGCTGGCCAATGCCACATCGAAATCGTCGTCTGCGTTTGTTGAGTTGTCGTTACCCTGGCGCTCTAATGTCATAAAGTGATACAAGTGAGAAAAGGTTAAGATCCACACATCGTAGTTGTCCTGTCGATCAAGCGTACAGAAAGAACAAGGGAAACAAAGTACGTACTCTTCTTCAGGGCAGTGATCTTATCCAAAGCATCAGCCTTGGACTTCTCTCTCTCAAGACGCTTCTCCGTCTGAACCTTCTTTCCAAACTTCTTCAACTCCCTCTGTGACTTGGCCCGCTCACTAGCCTCGATCGACGCATTCTCATCCAAAAGACGTTGACGGATCTTGGCCATATGATCGTCCGTCTTGATCATCTCTGCAAAGTAATCCGAGGGCCGCTCAAAGACGCCACCTTCCTTTCTTATCCTGTCCCGTCCCTGCACTGCAGCCTCGAGGGCTTGGTTGTAGAAGGCGACCTCGCGGTTGAGGTCGTCGTCGGGGTCGGTGACGCTGATGGCTTGTGTAGAGGTGATTGATTGGGTCTCGGACCAGGGGATGTTGGTGGGGAGAGCGATCTGTTCACGGAGACGCTTCAATGCAGGCTAGATAGCGAGTGGTGATCAATTAAAAGGTGAGGAAGGTTGTCAGTCTTTGTAGGTTCAAAAACCGTGTCTAGAGTAGACTTGATCGATATATATAATATCAGGCAAAAGTCGGTATCCTGGGCTTCAATGCAGCTTGCAGCCTCAGCAGCATTCCTGCTCCAGAATGACCTCCTGCCTGGTCCTGGTAGTAGGTAAGGGGTGTTTACCTCGTTGTTGATGGTGACACGCTGCTGGGTCAAGATATCCATGGGACCGTCCTCGTCGCCCGAGAGCATCTCGGTATCGGAACCCTCGAGGTCCTCGAGTGTGAGTCTCTGTTCGTTTTCGCTCTCTGAGTCGGACATGGCTGATGGAGTGATGTGGGGAATAAAGTGATGAATGAGGGAGGGCTAAGCGTTAGACTCACGCTCTGCTCACAATTGCACAACCACAAAAAAAAAAAAAAATAAAAAAAACAGAGGTTGTTTATGAAAGTGACTGTGAAAGTTAAGTCCAAGCCCTTAAAGATATAGCATCGACAAACGCGACCCTCGAATTCTTTGACAAAAATTGAAGACCCGATACTGAAGCCGGCAGCACACTTGCCGTCATAGGCCTCGGTGTAGCAGCCGATGCTGCAGCCGTCGATAATGGGGGCCAACGACTAAGGCACTGGCACCAGCAGTATCGATGGCGACAAGGATGGTTGCTCGCATTTGTTTGTTTGATTTGGCAGGAGGGAGTTGCGCTAATGTTTATGGACGAGGTGTATGAGTGTGTATTCACTGGGCAAAGAGTCGCTTTACCTTCCTCTCACACAACAGTCAGTTTTCAGCTCACTCACCCACTCCGTTTCTTCTCTACTTCCTCGATGTTATGCCCCAGTTTCATATTTCCTCTTTACCGTATCACTCCCAGGTACTCAGCTGCGTACTTGGCATAGGAATTATATCCACCGCCTTCCCATCTCTTAGTCTTTTTTTCTTCATGCCTTGGTCTTTTTCATCCCTTGACCTCCCATCCCTTGTTTTTTTTTATATACTTGGGTCTGTTTCCATCCTTTGGTCTTCTTCCTACATTTAATTCCTTCCATCTCTTATTTTCTCAACCCTTGGTCCATGCTAAAGAACGCGTAGCTACCACAACCTACTTACCCCGTCCAGATGCTTTATACCTTTGACTTCTTCCTTTCTCTTTATCTATCCTACCTCTGACAATTTTTCTGCCTCCATTTTTTTTTCAGCCCTCTTCATATGCTCTATGCATCTAATCCTCTTTCATGTCCATGGTGTCTCGATTCCTGACAATATGAAGGACCGCGTGACCATCGGAGCGGTGAAGCGGTTGACATGCGAGCCAATATGCCCTAGCAGAACATGTAAAAGACGCGTGTTTACTTTGCTAATTAAAAAGGCTGAAAGCGTATGTTTTAACTTTTAATTCCAACACTCCCCCACTTGCCCCAGATTTTCCCTGCCATCTCCAAGCATGCGCGCTTGGTGCGTGTTGCAGCCAACGTTTCTGTCAGAATGAGACTGACAGATGCATCATTTCGTCGCGATCTAGTTACAAGTGGACCTGTTTTTATGATGTACTGGTTCAAAAGCGCGATTTTCGACCATTGTGCAAACCAAATCAGTTGTCGTTCGATTGACCTCAAACCAGTACCATTGGATACCATTTGGGATGTAGAAGACGATACCGCTGAGCGGACACGGCTACGAAAACATGGTGGGGAGCTGTCAATCGCGAAAAAAGGGTTTATTTATGACATTGCGCCTCAAATATGCGTTCCGGTTCGATGTCTTGCTTGTCACTTTCGGAGTCTCCAGACATGGTTACCCTAGTCTAGATACTTGTCGCGTTAATATTGGACGTTTTCATGTCGTGCCAGGCCAAAACATCCCTAGTGACAGGGAGAGTTACTAAGTCTCACTCTGTACCTAGCCTCCCCTTTATACAATATATATCATTAGGTTGTTATTCTTAGTTCGCAGAGAGACTTGGGTTCATGAAAGTCAGCCGTAAAAAGAAAAGTCAAAAAATATAGATGTGTTTTTTTTTCAAGTCGGTACACTTGTACACTTAATTCTTTTTGGTTTGTTCCACCGAATTCTCCTGCAGGAGAAGAGAGGAGCCAGCATCGAGGGATCAAACCATAGCGTCGCTATGAACGCAAGGGATTTGTTACACGGAGTTGATGGACAAATTTTACAAGAGGATTATTTGCAAATTACAGACGGCTAACGCCTTTTATTCAAAAATTGGTATGTGTTACTGCGGTGCTATGCGCGAGTGGCGGAGGCGGCGCGACGTGCCAAAAACTCCTGGTTCTCCTGGATCTGCTCCTTGGTGAGGTGGATGCCATGGAATCCATAGGGGACACGTCTGGGGATCTTGACCTTGGCAACGGGATCGATATCCTGTCCAATCTTCTTGGCATCAAAGATCCACAGCTCAGTCACCTGGCGCGCCTTGTCCTTGGGGACTCCGTTTTCCATCTGCCGCTCGTCGTAGACATAGACCAGTAAGAAGCCGTCATCTTCGGCCAAAGGTTGACCATCAGCACGAGGACCATTGGCAACAAACATTGCCTCGTTTCCATAGATGTGAGGACCGAAGCGGTGAGACTGACCCGTCTGAGCCTGAACAGTCGCCAGAGTCTGAGCGCCAATCTCCCATTGTCCCTCACCGCCGACATTGGCGCTCTTGAGTTTGTCGGACGCCTGGAGCTCGCCCTTCTTGCGGATCACAGCATGGACATCGGTCTTGATAATCCCGTTAAACTTGGCTCCAGTATTGAAAGAAGACTCCTCAGTACTGGCCGTAAAGACATATCGCAGATCGGGGCGCATGTATCGGTCAAAGTTGATCACTGGGAACTCGGAGCCGATTGGGCACAAGGTCGTCAGCTCGGTCTCACCGGTCGCGAGCACGAATCGGAACAAGGTCAAGAACGGCTTGTCGGGGTCCTGGCTATTATAGTCTCCAGATCCCGGAGCCTTGTACTGGATCAAACGTTCGGCTTCGGTCTTGCCGCCTCCATAGTTGTCAGGTCCGCTGGGCTGCCAGAGGGTGATGTCCCTGAAAAAGCCATCCGATCGGCAGGCAGTCATACAGACAGCAATGATATTTCCGTCTTGGTCCTTCTCGTCCCAGGCGTTGGCTGTATGGAAGATGTGGCAGGTGCGTGTCTCGAACCAGTAGACCTTGTCGCTCTTGTCGTTGTAGTACCGTGGAATCAAACCGAATCGTGTCTTGGCCGTGGGGTCAAAAGCGAGTGTAGGCTCACCCCTCAACGCGTTGCTGGGCTCAAAGTACAAGGGGCAGTTCACCATGCTAAGTAAAGGAAAGGTTTGATGAAAGAAGAAGAGGTCAGGAGCCGGGCAAAGTTCGGTACCGATGAAACTATACAGGTAGCTTCTATTAAGAACAAAACTGTTTAACGCGTGTTTGACGAGACTTACATGGAGTAGGTGTCGGTGGTGGCAAAGTCATGCATCATGGAGGGCTTGGGGAGGGCAATCTTCTGTCGCCAGACCTTTCTCTTTCCCGCAGCAGAGACGACTGAGTAAAGGACTTGAGGTTTTTGCAGCGAATAGGAAAAGAAAGTTATCTCGCCGGTTTTGGGGTCAATCTGCAAACACCAGGAAGGGCGCGCATGCAGCAATGTATGAGACGAGATTAGATATTTTAGTCAGTGGTCAGGGGTGTGAGGGGTGTGGAGAGCAAACCATGCATTATGTCAACGGTACAATCATCAACTTGGAAATGTACAGCACAGCACATACCTTAGGATGGGCAGTAACAACGGCGTTCTTGTCCTTCTTGTTCGGATCTTCCTCAAAGAAGTATTCGCCTGTGGTATTCAGACTCGGAACGGCCGTCTCGACAGGCTTGCCGCCTTCTTGAAGGGCCAAGAGTCTCGATCCAAAGTAGGTCAACGCCGTGTTGCCATCGCCAATGTTGGTGACCTTGTACCAGACCATCTTGATGTAGAACCAGATCATGTAGAAAACGAACTTGAAAAACGGCGTCGGGGCCATAGCGATTCCCAGAGGAAAGTGGAGGTAGCCATGGTCGTTTTGCTTCTTGAAGATGTCACTTCGGACGTAGCGGTTCATGTATCGTGGACGGATCGGGCCCTTTGGGTCTTCTCCAGACTCAAAGTACACACCATGGAGCATCCCTTTTATATGATGCGCGCACAGTTGACAGACATGAAGAGAATAATTACAAATAAACGAATGTATGAATACGCTGTAATCTATTTCTACACAAAAAAACTCGCGTCTCGTTTCACCCTTTTCAAGCAAGCAAAACGTAGGGGCGAAAAGAAAATGAAGCGCACATAACACCACTTTTCCTCCCTCTTTCTTACCTTCACCACTGAAAAAATGGTGGGGAGCACCATCGGCAGGGACGTTCAGAGTGTTGGGTCCAGTGCGAATGTACTGGGATCCACGAAGGACCTCGGGGATGGTGCCAACGATCTCGCACTCGATACCTTCATCACCGACAGTCTCCTCAAAGACAGGGTAGAAATTACCGTTGAGGTAAGGGTGGGAGTGTCCGGAGGTTCGTTCCTTGGTACGGATCTTGATGTCGGCAGGAATGGCAGAAAGACCGCCTTGCTTCAAAGGCTTCTGGGGGGAAGAGTTGATTGTCATGTCAGAAGCGACCATTGAAAAGACGGAGGAGGGGAATGGTGGTGGTGGGTTGGTGCTGTGGTTACTGGGTGAGAAAGGAGGAAATGAAGTAAAAGATAAAGGCTAAGAGGAAGTGGCTACGAAAGAAAAGGAAACAAAAGAGCACAGAACTGGGGTTGTCGACAAGGTTGAGGTCATTGGAGGGATATGCATGAATTACATCGCTATTTATCGCTTTTCCGCGTCCGAGGTTAGTGACTGTATAAATAAGCAAGAGGGAGGTTGGGTTGGTTGGTTGTCCGGCCAGTTATTTAACCGACGTCGAGGAGATCTAGGAGGTGGGAATGAGTGGGGGACAGGTCGAGTCAACAGCAGGCCAGGAATAAGGCGGTTCACTTCCACAACAACCAAATGTATCTAAAACAAGTGACCCAATGATGCTGTGACAACAACAACAACAACGCTGAAGTCAAGAGGACGGCAGCATGTAAAAAGGCATGGGCGCAGGTGGAGGCGTGAGTTAAAATTTTCGGTGTTATTGTCTGTCGTGCAGTCTGTGGAGAAAAAGAAACGGCGCACAGGGCAACTGTGTCCACAACATAATACCTCAGATCTATTAGAGTAGCGATCGGTTCGGGGGGAATTTTATCCCTCACGCCAAGCAGTAGGGTGTGCTATACAAACAAACAAACTCAAATGTCAACAAACAACCAACCAAACCCCACACTAACGAGCAGCATCCACATAGTTCGTTACACCATTACATTGAGCTCGGCATTCATACTGCCGTGGCTGCCGAGAACAAAGACGCAAATCCTATCATCGGTGCTCTACTTCCACTTAAGGGGGGGGACTAGCTAACACATTTTCGACTGAGTACTCTTGATTTGTTTTTTATTATGTCGCGTATCCTTCGCCTCCACTTATGCCTTGACTGCTGCCTTTTGCTCCTGCTGCTGAATCTGCATCTTGTATTGCATCATATCCACCAATGCTAAAGAAATGGACACACGAGCAAACCAAAAGGTACATATGAGGTTATTAATTAGGTGAGTTCATTGATGAACATGAATAAAAGTTCGATCCCGTTTGACAAAAGCCTTCCTCACTCGTGCACATTGGAAAAACACACACACAGACACAGGGGCTGAGCACACACTTACACCTCAAGTTTCCTTGCTTCTGTGCGACAGTTGCCTGGATCTTATCCAGGTTCTCTTTTACAAAGTCAACCTTTCCGTTATAGAACTTGATCGCATCCTCGGTGGTCTAATTTGAATAACATTTTAGACGCATGTCGCTGTTAGCCAACTCGTTCAAAGAAAACATAAAATTTACTCTAGTTGACACGACGAGCGGTTATATTCTCGGCAATGTGAAATTCGTATCATTCTCTGAAGCTCCTGGCGTACCTTCTCGACGTAGTATCCAGTTCCAATGTCGACAATGACCTTCTCGACGTTGGCGAGCTTTCCAGGGACGTAGAGTGAACTGGTTAATGGGACGAGGATGGTTTTATCCTCGTTCGAAGCATCCACAGACTTGCAACTCTCGATACAGTCTGCGAATCGGTTCTGTGCCTGTTTCAACTGTCCGAACGAAGAAGTCAAGTGCGAGAGTTCCTATCATCATGGTTCAAAAAAATAAGTTCGAGTGGTATTAGCACCGCATCGTCTTTGAAAGGCTTCGATCTGGGCATATTGTCATTCTTGACGTTTTTCTTCCCGTTCTTGAATATGCCGTGCACTGCGTCTCTGAACTGTCGCCTCGGTGAATATGAATCGTTGGTGCCCCTACATTGTCTCCCAAGAATATTGCCACTGTTTCCCCCGCTGTGTTTCCTGGCGCAAACATCGCGACGCATGATAGGTCTGTTGTAAGATAATCGACACGGGCTTTACGCGTAGCTTCCGTGTAAGAAGACGTCAACATATCGTTCTCCAGTTCAGCACCGCGACAGCCTATCCATGTATAGCAACCATTGTAGCGAGACGTGGCCAATGCTCTTAGGCTTCGGTGGTGGTGGGATCCAGTCTGGGTTGTTCCTGAAATATGCCTTTTCCTCACGCCGCGAAAATAATACGAAAACGTCCCCTGGTTATTCAGGGGGACGGTTGACACAAGCGGCAGTAGAGTTGATGCCCAAATTGAAGTAAAAAGTAGCGCCGGCCAATGGCAAATACTTACTTCCTCGAGCTGCTTCTTGACCTCGACCAGCTGCTGGAGGTCCAAGTCCTGAAGTTCAATCTTTTGCTGTGCCATTGTCTGTGTCTGTGTGTAGTTCTGTCGGTAGATGATGATGGCAGTAGTTTGGAGAGATCAGTCTCAAAAGAGGAGAAAGTGACGTCGACAAATTTTTTGGCATCAGTTTTTATGTTGTACAATTTCAAACCTTTCCTCCACACTCCCCAACGACACTTCGTAATGCCACCAAAGAGAGCTTCAAGGGCAAAGGCCAGCAGCACCACCACCAAGGACACCGACAGTCAGGACGTGGTCATGGATGGTCACACCCCCGCAGTTGCCATCGAATCCGCAGCAGAGGAATCGAATCAGGCCGCTGTTGCTGATGGAGACATCACGGCGATCGTCAAGCGATCAGTCAAGAGGACGCGGGAGCTCTTTGCCGAGGACCAGGAGAATATCTACAGCACACCTACAGAGGATCAATTGAGGTGCGCAATCGTGCGAGAATTTTATTGCATGGTTTATAGGGAAAGGAGTTGTCGATCGAGGTGGAAAAGCGATACTAACTGGTCAGCTCTTCTCCTCATTCCTTGTGATAGCCAGCGCGTCAAGTTGCAGTCCAAGATCCATGACGAATACAAGGACATTCAAGTCCTCCCACACCCACTCTTGATGCGACAGAAGGAGCAGCTGGAAAAGAAGAAGGCCAAGACAGGATCGGTCATCGCACCAGCACCATCAGCAACAGCAGGAGATGTTGACAGTGGCGTAGAGAAGATCCTCGACACTCTTCCTAAGAAGTCTTCACAACAGTCGAGTGCATTGGTGATGCACAAACCAACAATCCATAACCCCTTCCCGGATGCACCAGGTGGAGGTACGTCGTTGGTCAGGAGACCTGTCGCCAAGGCGATCCGTCCAGAGTGGCATGCTCCCTGGAAGCTGATGAGGGTCATCTCGGGACATCAGGGGTGGGTCAGGAGTGTTGCTGTCGAGCCTGGCAATTCGTGGTTCGCTACTGGTGCTGGCGACCGTATCATCAAGGTATATTCAAATCTTCATGTCTTTTTACCATATCACTTCGCAATATACAACATCAGTTGTGGATGCGCACTACTAACACCCTCGATTCTTCGTCTGTAGATTTGGGACCTGGCATCGGGAAGATTGAAGTTGTCGCTGACGGGCCACATTGGACAAGTTCGTGGATTGGCAGTGTCACCACGACACCCATACCTGTTCTCGTGCGGTGACGACAAGTTGGTCAAATGCTGGGATCTGGAAACTAACAAGGTCATTCGACACTACCACGGGCATCTCAGCGGTGTCTATGCCCTCGCCATCCACCCCACTCTGGACGTCCTTGTCACCTCTGGTCGTGATGCCACCGCTCGCGTAAGTTGTCCATCTTGAGAATCTACGTCTAAATGGCCTGAACCACAATTGAATGTTATATCTGATCTGTATCCTATTGTATTCAATCTTTACAACATAGGTGTGGGATATGAGGACAAAGCAGGCAGTGCACATTCTCTCAGGACACACAGGAACAGTCAGTGCAGTCAAGTGTCAGGAAGCAGACCCACAGGTCATCACATCTTCAATGGATAGCACTGTCCGTCTGTGGGATCTGGCTGCAGGAAAGACTATGACCACACTCACACATCACAAGAAGAGTGTTCGTGCCATGGCCTTGCATCCTACAGAGTTCACCTTCTCGACCGCCAGTCCTGATAACATCAAGCAGTGGAAGTGCCCCGAGGGCCAGTTCATGCGCAACTTTGAGGGTCCCGGGGGCGTCACCGGAGGCGGAGGCATCGTCAACGCCATGGCTGTCAATGCCGACAATGTCATGTTCACTGGAGGTACATTATCTTTGTTGTATTCATTTCTTGGATGACTGCATGTGTTTGTTAGAAAGACTTTTTTTTTTTTTTACTAACGCCTATCTCCGCTCATGTAATTTCTCTTTCTTCGATGTAGCTGACAATGGTGCAATGGGATTCTGGGATTGGAAGTCAGGACATCAATTCCAGAGACTGGACTCGCTTGTCCAGCCCGGATCGTTGGACAGCGAGGCCGGTATCTTTTGCGCCGAGTTTGACAAGACCGGTCTGCGTCTTATTACTGGAGAGGCTGACAAGACCATCAAGATCTGGAAGGAAGACGATCAAGCCGTACGTTTTTTTGTTCCTTGATGTTTTCTTTCGCTACCTGAACGTGTCGAATCTATCACCACTTGTCAACAGTTGAAAACTAACCCTTGTCATGTCTTTTTTTTATTTTATCGATGCAATTAGACGCCTGAAACACATCCTTTGGATTGGAAGCCTTCGTTGATGAGAAAGCGTTATTGAGAGTGACATCCTTCATTCATAAAACTGTACAATACATCATTAAGCAGCAGCAAAGGAGTTTTTTTTTTAATGTAAAAATGTGTTTGGAATAAGGAGCGCTTTCCGTTAGTTAAAATTACAGGCAGGTCAAGGGAAAGCTATGGTACAACAGTTGGGGTAGGGATAATGAAGCAAAGAAAAAGCTAATAGCGAAAAGAAAAAAAAAAGGAAGGTAATACTAAGAGAGGAAGAATAGAGGGGAGAAATAATATGGAAGCAAAAGATACGCGAAAATGAAAAAGAGGGAAGTAATGGGTTTTTGTCGTGTGCGTGGATTGTGAATGTGTGTGTGCATGTTGTACAATTGACCTGCTCGCTCCGGGAATTAAGGCTGCGATTGAGGGTTTTGCTGCTGCTGTTGTTGTTGTTGCTGCTGTTGTTGTTGTTGCTGCTGCTGCTGCTGTTGCTGCTGCTGTTGTTGTTGAAGAGCCAACTGCTGCTGCTGCAATGCAATTGCCTGCTGCTGTTGCTGCTGCTGTTGCTGTTGTTGTTGCAAGGCCAACTGTTGCGCCTGTTGCTGCTGAAGCTGTCGCTGGGCCAATTGCTGCTGTTGCATCGCCAACTGCTGCTTCTGCTGCTGGAGCTTCTGCTGCTGAATCAAGTGCTGCTGTTGAAGCTGCTTCTGTTGAGCAAGCTGCGCCGCATTCATGGCTGGGCTCATGACTTGACCGTTGACAAGACCTGGCGACTGACCGTTCATGACCTGACCGTTCATCGTTTGGCCGTTGACAAGACCCGCAGTCTGACCAACATGGGACTGCTGGACCAATTGGGGAGATGCTTGTTGCTGCTGCTGAGCAAGAGCTTGAGACTGGGCTTGACTCGTCTGTCCATTGAGCTGCTGACCGTTCTGCTGCTGCATCGCCTGCTGTTGCTTAATCGCTTGTTGGGCATTGTACTGGCTTTCGAAGAATCTCTGCAACTGCTGGCGGGCTTGGGCTTCGGCTTGGAGGCGGGGAAGGTTCGGGTAGTGCTGGGCCAGCTGGGCAATCATCTGAGGCGTGGGCACGGTTGGCATTGTCAGAAGAGACGCCATAGGGGGGGTTGGGGTTCCTTGAGCACCTGCTGTCGCCTGCTGTTGCTGTTGTTGTTGCTGTTGCTGCTGCTGTTGCTGTTGCAACTGCTGCTGCTTCAATTGCTGCTGCTGCTGCTGAAGAGCCTGCTGCTGCTGCTGCTGTTGCTGCTGCAACTGTTGCTGTTGGGGCTGAGTGTGACCCATAATGGGCGTCTGGACAGTGACAGGGTTGGCTCCGGCTGCAGGTGTCGAGGCCGTCGCAGAGTGGAACAACGTGGGACTTGAGATAACTCCGGGGGTCATGACAGGAGTGCTGCCTCCCTTGGTAACTCCGTTGGTGTTCAGAACCTGCTGAGGCTTGGCGTTGACTCCGATAGCACCGTTATTATTGTTGAGGGCTCCGCCAGCAAGAATAGGAGTCGATGGTGTGGCCGCTCCGGACGAGTTTCCTGATCCGTTTCCTGTACCATTCATCCGGTTGGCGTTCGCTGCGGCATGGTTGATCGACTCACCGGGTGTGCTGGGTCCGCTGGGGAGGTTGGGGGTCAAACCGCCCATCTGAGCCGTCGAAGCTTGTCGAGGAGATCCTGTGGGTGTCTTGATCTGCTGGAGCTGGGCGACTTGTTGTTGCTTCTGCTGCATGGCTTGTTGTTGAAGCTGTTGCTGTTGAAGCGCTTGTGCATGAGCAGCCCGCTGAGCCTGAGCTTGCGCAGCTTGCAACTGAAGCTGTTGCTGCTGTTGTTGGTGAAGCTGCTGCATTTGCTGCTGCTGGACCATCTGCTGCTGTTGCTGCTTCTGTGCGTGGATCTGCTGGGCCTGCAACTGCTGGGCCTGTTGAAGCTGAAGCTGCTGTGCCAAAAGCTGTTGTTGGGCCTGCTGCTGCGCCTGTGCCTGAGCTTGAGCCTGGACTTGCTGTAGGTGCTGCGCCTGGAGAGACGGACTGGCGAAACCGGACATAGGCGACGTCATGGGTCTTGCGAGAGGCGAAGACGACGCCTGCTGTTGCTGTTGCTGCTGGAGCTGCGCCTGTGCCTGGGCTTGGATTTGAGCCTGAGCTTGTGCAGCCTGCTGCTGCTGCTGCTGCTGCTGGAGCGCCTGGAGCTGTTGCTGACGGATGTAGGCTTGTATTTGTGGGCTGGAGAGCGACAGACTGGGGTTGTTGCGGATATAGTTGAGGGCTTGGGGACTCAGGCCTGTCAATGGGATCTGCGAAACACCTTGTCCTTGCTGCTGAGCCTGGGCTTGAGCTTGAGCCTGAGCTTGCGCCTGTGCCTGGGCCTGGGCCTGTGCGGCTTGTTGCGCCTGTGCGAGTTGCTGTTGCTGGATTTGGATCTGCTGCTGTTGTTGAAGCTGCTGCAACTGCATCTGCTGTTGGTGCTGCAAATGGAGCTGGACTTGAGCCTGTTGGGCTTGCTGAACCTGTTGGGCCTGAGTCTGAGCTTGGGCCTGTGCTGCAGCTTGTGCTTGGGCCTGAGCCTGAGCCTGGGCTTGTGCTTGTGCTGCCGCTTGAGCTTGTTGGACCTGCTGGACTTGCTGGGGGTTAAGTGGTCGAACTCCCGCCTTGGCCTGGGGCGACATCTGAGGTGGACGCTGTTGGGCCCCAGCCTGAGTACCAGCGGCACGGGCCAATTGCTGAGCGGCGTCCAGGGGAGAACCAGCTGGATTGGGCATGGGAGGGCGAACTCCAACGCCAACACCGGGCTAAGATGATGAACAAAATGAAATGGTTGTAGACAGGTCAGTTTCGATATTGGTTTTTTGACAAGACGTAAGAGCGATTCTGACATTCATTGGACGATAGAGACTTACTCTTCCTAGAGCCATCGATGCAGCCTGCAGCTGTCGCTGCTCGTTCATAACCTGGCTCAAGTGGCGGTCGCGGTCCGTCTTGTACTTGCTCAGATCTGCAGGGGTCAAAGGTACATTGCCGTTTCCAATCTTGGGGCTCTGACCATCCTGACCAATAACCGCCTTCTTGTTCGCTGCAGTCACGACGGGGGCTACGAACGATGCAACAGCGTAATTACAAAGGGGTTAGAGAATAGACCATATAGGTACTCTACAGGGACGAGATGATCAAAACGACAAGAAACACGTACCAGCATTGACTCGACTCTGAGCAATCTCACGCTTCTTCATGGCCTTCTTCATGGCCTCAAGCATACTCAATGATCGCTGCTTTTTCTTTGCTGGGTCAGCCTTGATGGACGTGACAATCTTCTTTCCGTCCTTATCCTTTCTCGCCTTGGGTGATGGTGGTGTCGGGCTCGAGCCGGTAGGGAGGTTACCAATGGGGATGAGTCCTGAACCCGAGTCCGCTCCAACACCATTGGGTCCCGATTGGGGTCCATCCTTCTTGGACCAGCGATCGTAACAGTCGTATGGGGTTCTTCGCTCTGAAGAAAGGATGGGTCCCCGCATCGAGTTGAACATATCGGAGATCAGGTCCCAGTTGTACTGGTATGGCTTGATCATGCTCAGCAACAGATCATCCTCCTCGCTCGTCCAGACAACAGGCACTTTCTGCGCAAGGGGACCGGGAGGTGTAGGTCGGCGAATGGGCGTAGATGGAGCATCCTTGTTTTTCTTGGTCTGGAAGAGCACTGGAACTGTCCTTGGTGGTTCGGTGCCAGGGATGGCGTTCAGGATCCTGCCTTCAATCCTGGGAACTCTGGCGTCCTCATCCTCAAAGTCGTCCATCTCGTCAATAGGATCCCTCTTGTGCTTCAAGTAAACGACCTGGGAAGCCAGTGGACTGAAGTCCAATGAGGGTGGCTTGGAAGACATCAATCGGCTGATCATGGTGACGCGGCCGTGCTCCGCCTCGTCCAAGTATGCGTCGTTGTCGTCTGGGTTGGGTGGTCCGTAGAGTGGCAAGTCTGGGAAGAGTGCGTTGATGTCCAGAGATCCAATGCGAGTTCCCTCCATCAAAGCCTCCAAATTGTCGAGCGAGAACATGGTAACGCTGGTGTCTAGCTCAAGAATAGACGGTCTGCACTTTTGGATGACTGCTGGCGCAAGGGGTGGGGGCATCATCATAAAGTCATCCTTGGCGTTCTCCTTGAGCTTGGGGACGAGTGCCTTGTTGTCGGCACCTTCAGGGGCGGGCGTGTCCATCACAGGCGTCTTGCTCTGATCTGCAGCCAAAGGAGCAGACATGGTGACATCCTCCGACTCAATCTTGATGGGCTTATCGGCGGACGTGTCGTTGATCGGAGGCTGCTCTGACGGTTCTTGTTTTGTGACGACGTCCATTGCCTCTGTTGCGGGTACAAAAGAGTCCTCGCGGGACGACTCGGAAGTATCCACCATGGACTCATCCAAAAAGTCCTCGATCTTGACTGTTGCTTCCATAGCCTCAGTTGGTTGCTCTATGGGCGACTCTGGCCGCTCAATGACCTTTTGACGCTGTGTATTCAGATTCAAGTGTAATACATCCAATAAGTTAGCATCAGGTACTCTCGCATAACATACACTTCATATCATGGAAGAAGCAATAGCACAATGAAATTTACCGGAACACAGACGAGGGATTTGTCATCGGTCTCGTGCCAAGCCATGATCCACCTGGACACCTGGTAGGCGGTGGCAATCTTCCACCGCCTCTCCTCCTTGTAGTCGACTTGGGTCCACCGCACCTCGTCCAAAAGATGATCCCAGTGAGTCTTTGTGCGGGCTGGTCCACGATGCTTCTTGATCTGCTTAAAACTCCATCGGTTTCCCTCCTTGAGGGTATCAATTCGCTGCATTGCTCTCATCAACTTCAACTCCTCACGGGCAACCTTCCAATCCTTGGTATTGACGACCTTGGTTGCAGTCTGAAAAGCTTTGTAGATGGGCTGGCTCTGAACCTTGAGCTGCCAAGCATAGAGATCCACGTGTCGGGTCGGGCGACCAGATGGGCTTCCATCCAAGGTATCGTACCGCTGCGATCCGAAGCGCGAATCCGTCCGCTTCATGAGTGTAGGGGTTGTCGTAGGCTGGGCGTGCTTCTTGGCAGTGTGGAGTTTGAGTGGGGGTGGCTTGACAGCAAGGTGTGATATGGAGCCATGGCTCGGTGCCGAGTATATGGCAGATGCTGTCAGGGCAGCAATAGCTGGAGTCATGGGCTCCACTGCCACGGGCATTGGGGTGGGGGTGGCGATCACGGCTCCAGAAGTACCGACTGGGGATGTAGCGCGCGGTGAGCGGTCTGATGCTGTTCCGAGAATCTCGTCAACACTCCGGTGGCGAATAGCTCCACTGACTCCACGAGTGACCATCCGTTCAGGAGGCGGCAACATCCGCTTCGCCTTGCGTGAAGGGGATGTTTCGGCAGAGTTTGTCTGCGCACCTGGAGTGCTTCCTGGAGTGCTTCCTGGCGTCCTGGGTTCCGGCGTCTGGTGTCTGTCGTTTTGTGAGGGGTGGTTGCTCTCTGGAGTGGCGGCGCGGGAATTTGGGGAAGGATGGTTGTTATCTTCAGGAAATGTGGAACGGGCGTTGGCAAAGCCGGGTATTGTTGTGATGGGTTCCTTTTTGATGTTGCTGTCCATTTCGCTCATCTCCTTCTCGTCGTTCTGCTCGGTCTCGGCGATCTCCATGGCTGAATCGGATGTTAGGTCAGGCACGACCACTGCGCTCTCAGGTGGCGTCATGGCTGCTGGCGTTGTGCTCTCTTGCTTGACCCGTGACTCTGGTTCTTCCATGGGGGTGTCTTCTGAATCGGATGCCAATACGCCCGAGGAAGGGTTAGATCTACTTGTTGAATTACAACCAATGTTCGGTTAGAGACCATTCTGATAGTGTTTTGTAGTCGATCGCAGAGGAAGGGTGGAGGAATATTGAAAATGCCATACTCGGACAGTTGATATTGCTCTTGGAATGCCTTCAGCTTAGCTTCATCAATCTTGGCGAAGTCCGGCTCAGGCTCCAGGCTGGCGTCTGTCCCGGCGACTTGTTTCATATAATAAAACTCTTTGAGAAGAATGTCGCGTCGAACAAGAATCTCACTTTTTTTTTGAACGACGCGTGTCGAAGGGAGAGTGAATGAGAAAGAGAGAATCAGTATCGATATGTTATTTTGACCTTGTTGGAGTTCCAATCTTGATGAAGAGGTATGTGGTGGATACTTACTCAATCTGTTCTCGGTGCGTCTTCTCCGACAAAAGCCTCATTTTGAGGATATGTGGCAACTATTGGTAGAATGGAGGCAACGAGCAAACGACCGGTCAGATTAAGTCCTTGGTAAAGTTATGACAGGCATGGTCTTCATGATCTGGATTTGGTAGGAAAAACAAGCACAAAGTGCGTGCCACTTACAGCTTTGTTCACCTCGGTCATATTGAGGGAACTCTTTGGATGTGTTGTGGGTCAAACTATCAGGCGTACACCGTTCCAATTGGTGTTTCCCCTGACGTTTGCTGTCACTTGTGTTCGAAGATTCGGATACGAAAAAAAGAGTATGCTGCACAGTTGATGAACGGAACAGTACTCGAATAGAGAAAGAAAAACGAAGGAAAGTGGGTTCTGTGTGTGTGTTGGGAGTATAATATGGACGGGTCGCCTAGTTAACGTAACGAGAATTGTCTGAAAGTTAGCAAGCATTGCAGAAGGTAAACAATGCGTTGTTTTCGTATGCCAGCAAACAATAAAGGTCAAAAAAGACAAGGAGGATATGTGCCAAACGCGGCACAAAGTATAACAATCCCAACAAACAAGAATGCAATCGACGCTCACGTCCAAGCCCACCGCCTACTCTACTCGCACGACCAACGAATGGAAATATGCCTGACCATTTCGCATGACCTCCCAGAATCGTTATTTCCCAACCGAGAATGCACATGACTCTTGAGGGGGTTTGTTGCACTGCCAGCAAAGACGAAAAAATGCGGGAGAAATGAAAAGAAGGGGAGTGCGCAGTTGATAAGAGGGGAAAAGACGCACCAGGCCAGTGAGGGAGAAAAAAGAAAAAAAGGCTGGCGAGGGAGGGGATACACGCAAATACCCAGGGTGATTGCGTTTGAACGAAAAACACACATATACAGGAGATGATGGCAGGCCTTGAGAATCGGTTGGATGGGAGCCAAGTGGGAGAAGTGCCCATCCCCAATATCCGCTCGCAATCAAGCCTTGAAAAAGTGATGTTATTTTTGGATGGGAACTTACCAAGTGTTGCTGCGGATGGATGCTTGTTTTTTTTTTTTGTTTCGGGGATTGATTGAACAACAGAAAAAGAAAAGGCACAATCAAACAATAGCAAGAGAATAGAAGAGGGCAGAAAGAGATGGAGTGGAGTTGGTTGTTGTAGTGTGTGTTGATGGTTGTCTTTTTTTTTTTAGCTGCTGGTTGAGGCGCTTTCCGATGATGATTGTCTTGTTTTGCGGGTGTTTTTTGTTTGTCTGTCTGTCTGTCCGTGTGTGTTTGGCCCTGCTGGCGAGTCAGTACGAGAGTGCACAAGGAAAGGGGCTCTCATTTCGATGGTGTTGGTGACGTTTCATTTGATTTTTTTAACCTGTCAACAAGTCACGTGCATTCATTTATTCCTTCAGTGCGCGCATCGTAGGAAAGGCGAGCACGTCGCGGATATGGCCAGAGCCAGTCAGGATCTGGACAACACGGTCAACGCCCATACCCCATCCTGCCGTTGGCGGCAAGCCATACTCAAGCGCACTGCAAAAGGCCTGGTCCATTGGCTGCGCCTCCTCATCACCATTCTCCTTGTCCGTCTGCTGTTTTGTAAACCTGTCGCGCTGTTGCGTAGGATCATTCAACTCTTCGTACGCGTTCACAATCTCCTTGCCCACCACAAACAGCTCAAAGCGACCAGCAACCGTCCGTCCCTAAAGTGTATGAAACCGTGATGCGAAGAAAAACGATTGCTTAGTCACATCAATTAAATTGGCTTCGCTGTATATCAACCCTATGATACAAAGAGGCGTTCTTACCGATGCTAACTTGATGTCTTTGGCGAGGGGACTCATAATAATAGGGTGGCCCCACAGGAACGTGGGCTGAACGCACTCGGGTTCGATAAAAGTTGAGATTAATTTATCCATGATTCTAGGGATGGTATGAGGCGCCGAGACAAAGACGCGGTTTTTCTTGCACAGATCAAGAAGCTCTGCAACTGGCTCGCCTAAGAATGGAGAAAAAGGAACAAACGCAAACAGTACCTGTCAGCTTCAAATATAATAGCATCTACACTCCTTGCATGTTCGTTGAGGTGGAGATACTTACTCTCGAGATCGGGTAAGGGTCCTCCAAGCTTCTCTTCCAGGCACTCCATAATGTTGATCTTCCTGAAGGGCTTGTCGAACGAAATATCGATCGTCTCTGTCTCAGACACTTTGTATGGGATAATGGCAGAGCCAGAGACACTCTTTGCCATTTCTAGAGAAAATCGTGATCATAATACCAATGAGATTGAGTCAACCATGGCATAAAATAAGTTGCCTATGTATCAACTTCTACAAGTCTATAGAGAGCAGAGGCCCTTACCTCGCAGCATATCCTCGGTCATCTGGAACAAGTTGTCGAGGTTGGCGTATGCCTGATAAAACTCGCAGGTCGTGAACTCTGGGTTGTGGTCCGCGTCAATACCCTCGTTGCGGAACTGCTTTCCAAGCTCGTACACTCTATCGGCGCCACCAATGACCAATTGCTATGTTTTGGCAAAAGGCAAATGAATACTGGGTCGTCAGCTTTCATTTCCTTCGCCTTGAAATCATACGTGCGACATCATGCCATCTATCCTTCCGAGTCATACCTTAAGGAATAGCTCTGGTGCAACACGCATGTGCATTTCCATGTCCAAGGCATTGGCGTGGGTAACGAATGGCTTGGCGTTTGCACCACCTGCCTGTGTCGACAAAATAGGTGTCTCGACCTCCAGGAAATGACGGCTGTCCAAATAGTTCCTGATGAATTTAATTACCTATGAATATGGTCGGCGTTATTATTTATGAGTACCAAGGTTCAAAACCACATTCTTAGTGGATTGTAAGAGCACAATCTGGAAAATAACAAAACGCTATCCATGGTCTTTACCTGAGTTCGCTTCCGAAGAATGTCCAGACCATCGCGGTTGACCAAAAAGTCAAGATGTCTATTCCTGAAACGCTTTTCAGGATCCTTGAGGCCTGATCGTGTCGGGATGGGATGCAAGCAAGGCGAGAGAAGCTCAAATCCTTCCGTGATGAAAACGCTCAGCTGTCCCGTCTTAGTCTTTCCAACATGGCCAGTCAACTCTGCTCAGGGCAAACACATCAAACGATAGGTCAATATTGGAGACTTGGAAATGTACCACGTTAATCCATTTGGTTCATTGAAACGAGCGAGTTGTACTTACGAACAATGTCTCCACGCTGAAAGCTCTTGTGAATAGTCTCAAACGCCTTGTCGTCTCCGGCAAACAACCTCCGATTAAAAACTGCCTGGATCGAATGGCCGTCTTGGATCAGGTCGAACCAGGCCAACTTTGCACTCGAATCACGCTTGGAGTGGATTCGTCCTACGATTCGTAGTAATATTGTGTTTCGTCAGTTTCCTGTGTTCCATGTATATGTTGTATCCAATCCTGCCCTGATACGCAAGAACTGAAAGCCTTCGTTCCTTCGAACGAGCATTTACCACATATAGAGACCTTCTTGGTCTCATCCTTGGTTCCATTTTCCAACCTGTGATCGTATTCCTGGATCAAGTCGCGAACAAGAACTGTGGGCACTTTGGGTGCTTGGTATCTGGGGTATGGGGTGAGCCCGAGGCGGTTTAATTCCTCAAGACGAGCTGCTGGCTTGACGACTGTGTGGCCCTCCGAGGCGGATCCAGATCCAGCTGCGGCGGTTGCGAGGGTTCTTGCTTGTACTGTTCCTCGGAGTGAGAGAGCGTTCGAAGTAGCAGCGAGTCGAGTTGTCCGCTTTGAAGTGGTGTTCCTGAGGCATGCCTTTGCCTGGGGCTGCAGGAGGCGTGCAGGGTTGATTCCTGGGATGCGGCTGAGAAGTGAGGCTGATGCAGACATTGGTCTGTGAAGGTTGAATGAATGAATGAATGAATGAATGAATGAAAGAAAAGATTCCCCTGATCACAAGAAAAAAAATCGGACAACTGTGGGGAGCCGGAGGGACTGCTTCCTCTTGGTCAGTCAGTCAGGCACAAGGCTTCACATCCAGGCACAGAGAGCGATAGTTTGATTTCGCGTGGTTGAAATGTGATGCAGTTCTATGGTTATTCTGGATATGACTTCCCTTCTCTCTCTGCTCAGCTCTCGTAGTATTTCCTTCACCTGGAACACATTACAGCAACGCAGCAGCTGCCCATACGGCAGCACCGACAACAACTCCTCTACTCCCTGCTTCACGCCGCCTCAACACTCTCTCGCCAGCAGACGACGACACGGACGAGCTGCTGTCCATGTGCGCCTTGGAATGTCCACCATGGTAAATCCCTCCTACTCCTCCTCCTTCACCTCCATGGCTCATGTCCTCACTCGTCATCGATGCCGCCTTCACTACCGTCATGGCCTCTGTCCCTCCTGCCCCACCCCTTGGTGGCTCGTTATCACTTTCGTCGCCAATTGACACAGAACTGCTGCTGGTGCCGCCTACACTGACAGAGCTGCTGATATCAACTGTTGAATCGCTTCGTCGTTGTCCTTTTCCTTGTGGTTGTGGTTGATGGCATGCTCTCTTTGATAGCGGACCATTGCCTAGTTCCTAGTTTATGAACAAACGATAAAAGGTAATGTGAGCGACCAATGCTGTGACTACCTACTCAACCTTGAAGCGATCCACAGGGTTCATTGTCGGGCTTACAGTATCTATCCTCTCCCGACATGCATTGGACGGTGGAACGCCGACAATAGTGGCTTCTGTAGTGTTCAGAAGAAGAACAACGGCGACGACCGTGCACGTCCAGATTTGAGTCGTCGACGAGTATCTCATGCTGCAATATGTAATTAACTGAAGGTGGTGATGTGAGAGGATACAAGAAAAGCAAAGTTGGTATGAGGTGCAGGTACGATGTGGTCGAGTGAGATTGGTTGTTGGTGTCCAAGCAGAGTAGAACACACAAAAGGCAAAATGGAAAGCGTGGAGTGGTGAGCAGGATGGGACGAGGGAGAGCGACGCAGGCTTGTGAGTGGACTGCAGGTGCCGGTGAGGCGACAAGAAGAGAAAGAAAGAAGATAAAAAAAATCAAATGCAGGTATCATGACGCCCATTGATTGCAGAGGTGGACCTTTATTACAAGAGAGGCCATGAGGAGTATCAAGGGCCAAAAAAAAAATAACTGAAAGGGAGGATCACAAACAAGGAGAAAAACCACGGATAGAAGGGCTTTACATCTCCAGGCACGGCAATGTCTCTTTCTAGGAGGTGTTTCTGCCGAGACGGAGAAAGGGAGTCCGTGAAAGGAGAGAAAAGAAAAAAGAGGGAGGCAATAGGAGACTTGTTTTGCTGCGCGCCGCATCTTACTTCAGCACAGCGCCAACAACCAACTGCTTTCCACACGTGTGAACGAGCGAGGCTACACAATTGCTTAAAAGAAGGAATACTTTTTTCTTTATTCATTCTTCCATCCAAGCTCGACTTCGCCCGTATCCAACTTCGCCTCGGAGATTCCAGGAAAGTGATTCTCAGGAAGGTCAAAGGCCAACGGGACTAGTCTTGGCCAGTTCACGTAATGGACTCCATTTTCGACGATGGTCTTTGTAACATAGGCCATCAACGCGATCCAAAAGGACGCAAACAAAAGCACGTATGTACTGAATATCGCTAATATATTCATTGAAGCAGTAGGGACAAGAGTGTTAGGATCCGATCAAGTCTTGTTACAGCTATTACTGTGCCAGGTAATAAAGGACGACTTACTTTCTGGGACAATGGCGCATGTAGTGAGCATCGCGAAACAAACGAGCAGAATAATGGGCAGTGCCTTGAGAATGAGCGCCTGACCCTCCACGATGGGCGCAGACCCAGCCTCTTGAAGATCGAACACTCCAAGAAACAAGTCGTACGCGTCCTAGGAAGTCAGCGTTATGAAACAAAATCCTGGTCAGTCGTGTCTCACCATGATTTTGGTGGCGTTCATTTTTTGATCGAGCAGGGTCATTGTACCTGTCGTGCGCCGTCTAGGTAATTGTTTTTGATGTAGCGAACGATAGAGTTTTGAAGATCCTGCAGAGCCCCCATCTTTGTGCGACTTCCAGTTCTGTGTAATAAAGTGAAGACGCGTTAGTCATGTTCCCTTTGCTGAACATTTTTTCTTTCAGCCGGGACTCATTGCAGCAAAAAAAAAAAAAAAAAAAAAAAAAAAAAAAAGTACCTTGTGAAGTCAGTTTTCAGAGCTCCTGTGCCAGAGTAAGCGCAACTAACGACATCGGCGTTGTCGGCCCAAACTAAGTGCAAAAAAAAAGAATAAAATACGCGTCAAAGCTCATACTCTCATAACATTTGCACTTGGCTTGTCGCGGGGTAGCGATTCTTCTTACCATTCCGGAATATAGACTCAAACTCCTCTTGAGAATCGAATTGCTCGCCTGAAGCAAGGACGCCCACTGAGTGCAGCTGACGATTTAGAACCCAACGAGAGATCACAGACTGGACGACGTTGGTCCTGTCTAAACAATCCATGCAATTGGTGCGCACCACTGACGTCTGTTTCTGGTACACTCTCAAGATTCCTGCCCCAGAGATCCCCAACTCAGCCCTGAAGTACCTGTTAGGCACAACCGCAAAAGAAAAAAATGGAATACAAATGTGGGATTAGATGGAGCATAACTTGCAGAAAGACAATAAGTGTGAACACCTTGAAAGAAAAGGTGGTACGTACCCTTGGGCCACGAGGTCGCTATGAAAGTGGTCTAGCAGAAGAGACACGCGATGCCATTTCATCTTGCTGCACTCGTGATGAAAATCAAAGTGGTGATACTTGATCTGAGGGTCGTTCAATATGTCGATTTGTTTGGAGAATGCCGCACCCATCGGTGCTTCGTATCCTTTCTTGTTGATTAGGTTGATGACGAGCTGTGGGCCATAGTACCGTTTCTGCGTGTCAAAATGCTTCCTGAAAGCTGTTTCCTATTGATCGTGGATAAGAACCGTTATTACAGCATTAGTCAATCGCTCCTCCAGCTGAAACGCTCACTTAGAATGTAAATAATTGTTGCCCACATTAACTTACAGTGTCAGGATTGTCAAAGATCTGTAGCTTGGGGGTGTACTTGATGTTGTTAATTTGAGTCCAATATATTGGAATCGAGCCTCGCGTCTGGACGTGGGCCATGACAGTTCGATTGCTGGGGATCAGGGCGTTTGTCACCGGATCCAAAATGACAATATGCTCTGTCTCGTTAAAGTTGGAAACATTCCCTTGTGCATCGATTCCGCGTGAAAAGTAGCGTGTTCCTGCTCTATGACGCGACCTGCGTGAGATGAGGACAAAGGTGAATGCCCTTTTGTTGATCTCTGCTGCCCTGAACTCTGCGAAGCCATTCATGATAGGCAGGATAAACCTGCTCAACTAAGTAAGTCATAAAATTGAAAGGTTGTGGTAGTCAGCAATAGGTTCCTGTGCGTTCTGGAATAATCCGCGGGCAGTTTTCCCATGAGGGAAGCTGCCTGAATGTCCTTACATCCTGGTTCTTGTGTGCTCTCATATGGTCAATGAATTTTGATTGCAAACGGTAGTTCCAGAAAAACCGTTCGTCCGCCTAATAAAGATACAATTGACAGGTTCGACGGTGAGCATTGTTGCATTCATGATTGATCTATCCAGATTGGGCTGTGGGAGCACTGTAATCATCCTTGTGTCCATTGACCTGAACGTACCCGCTCCCAGATAGGTCGAGTGTCGCCTCTGAATTCCGATTGGCGTTGGAGGGTGTGGGTGATCTCGTAGCCGTATGAAAAGTGGAATTGGCTGGACTGAAGATGCTGGTGAAGCAGGGCGATGAATGTCGTCTCTTCGTTCGTCTACACAGATCAAAGTTCGACCAACGTGTCAAGAGAAAATAGGTTAGTGGCGAGTTGAACGAACATTTCTGCGGCTCTCTCATTTATTTTTTTGCTACTCCTTCTGGTGAAATTGTTACCTGTGCTTCTGACAAGGCAAGGTAGTTGCGCGAGAACGGCATGATCTTGTAGTCTTTGAGCTTGAAGATGTCGTGTTCGCCCATCCGTCCGACCTTTATCCTGTCCGTGACAACAATCATATACTCGCCTAAAAGCAGAAGCATTGGTCGTGGAGAAATGAGGTGTCAGTTTTATTTATCAGGGCCAAGTTTCAGCAGTAGCAACAAACAACGATCAAAAAACACAGAAAACAAGCTCTGGATTGATCGATTGAAGTACCTGCAAGTAACCGAATGAATCCAATAACACCGTAGATCGTCAAGACCTCTTCATCGGCGGTGACCCTATTTGTTAGACCTAACAATGTGGAAAAGAAGACCTGCTTGGTCAGGAAGACTATTCATATTCCAGTACATCAATTGGCCGTGCCCGACTAAAAGGTGTCCGCGCTCACCATTGAAACGGAGTTCTCCTGTCGCGCGGTGAATGACGATGTTCTCAGACTTGACGGAGGGGTCATTGTGAACTGGTTCTAGCGTGAACGTGTCTGCATTTGTGTACCTGTGTTAGGCGGAAGAAGAAGAGGGAGAGAGAGAGAGAGAGAGAGAGAGAGAGAGAGAGAGAGAGAGAGAGAGAGAGAGAGAGAGAGAGAGAGAGAGAGAGAGAGAGAGAGAGAGAGAGAGAGAGAGAGAGAGAGAGAGAGAGAGAGAGAGAGAGAGAGAGAGAGAGAGAGAGAGAGAGAGAGAGAGAGAGAGAGAGAGAGAGAGAGAGAGAGAGAGAGAGAGAGAGAGAGAGAGAGAGAGAGAGAGAGAGAGAGAGAGAGAGAGAGAGAGAGAGAGAGAGAGAAGAGAGAGAGAGAGAGAGAGAGAGAGAGAGAGAGAGAGAGAGAGAGAGAGAGAGAGAGAGAGAGAGAGATGCAAGATGCATTAGCGTTGTGTTGTGCCTGTGGGTCATTTCGATCAGATTGTTGAGTTGGAAGGGTGGAGGACGTACAGTCGGAGTGAGTTATAGATGACCATCGCGGACAGGTCTGCCTTGTGGGTGGTCGAGGGATGAGAATTGCTGATGAAATGGCGATGCTGAGAGTTGACGTAGAGAGGGGGATGAGGGTGAAGAAGGCAGCAAGGAGAACGAGAAGGGGTGAGAGGGGAAGGATGCAAGGGCACAGAAAATAAGAAGGTTCAGAAGAAGAGCGAGAAAAAGAAAAAGGGAAACCGTGGAAAAGGTGAGAAAAAGGGTCCTCTCTGAGGAGTAATCGTCGGCTTTATTTTTTCTTTCCATCCCAGGGGCAGGCATGGTGCACTGTCAGAATGCGCATTCTTAGCACTAGACAACAGGATGACAGTCAACCCAATACCAACAAGTTAATTGCTTCACTTTCCCCTTTATTCCTTTTTATATTTATTTGCATCTGGAAAGACCGTTTCCCTGTGTGTTCGTCCTTCTCTTCTGCTCATCATGATCGCCTTCACCAGGGTCCATTCGAACTGCAAGCCCGAGACTATTTGTTTTCTTCTGCGACGACCTATTTTAATTTTTGATCTGATCCTTTCTAGTGAGACAGACAAAGTGGTTAATGATAGGTGATAGTGCTAGATGAGGATCGCCCTTTTGTTGATCGTCGATCTCCATTTGTGTGAACGAAGGGGTAAGAAATGGTTGAAGGTGAAGGTAGTAGCTGGTCGTGCCTGAGAGGTTCAAAGGGCAAAGAGAGTCTAGACTGATCAGGTTTGGCACCAATACTAACACCAACCCCTCCCCTCTGCACCCGCGTTTCCTAGGTATTTAACCACGGACACAAAAGGGCGCGCAGACTCAAGCCAAATGGATCTACACGTCCTTTTGTTGCCACTTCATCATTCCTTTTGTTGCCATTGTACTATACACCTTCGTTCCGTCGATTGGACAGTTCACTAATCACTTTTGTCTATTCTCCCGCCCCTCCATTGTTTCTTTCTTCAGAACAAAAGATGCGTAGCCTCCTGTTTCGCCATTGTTTTTTCTGGTCCCTGAAAAAAAAAAAAAAAACACTAGGAACAAAAACGTCTTTTGTACTTTTCTCCACCTCCAAACAAAAAAGTCGGCCGCCAGGTGGCCAAATGGGAGATATTTCAATGCCCTCACCTCAAGTCTCTAGACTCTGTTTGATTCAGTCGCACACATTTCAAACTAAGAAAGAAACAACATTCGACATCGATGTCATGGTGCATCTTTTTTATGTATGTCTCTTCTCCCCTTACCCTTCGGTCCGTCTTTCCTCCTCATATCTTATATCTAATTCTCTCTTCTTTGTTTTCATTTCCCACATTTTTTTTTCTTCTCTCCCCCCCCCACCTCCTCCCCCACTTCTCTTTCATCATCCATCCATCCCTCCTTCTTTCATAACCGTCTTGCTCTTGCTCGCTTTGTTTTCATTTCAAATTCCTCACCCCCTCAAATACCCTATAAATGCCAGCTTTCCCTTGGCTGCTGTGCTGGCTCTCATGCACCATCCTCCTTATCCACGCAAGACCCGTTCCTCCTCCTCGATTTACATCCACATCCACTACAGCCACAACAACCTCGACCTCTCCACGGATACTTTCAACCATCTTCACCTCCTCGATGAACGAACAGAAGCGATCCAGCGTCTTTGCCGACTTACTCAGAAACCCAGCCACCAACTCGTTCCCTGGGCTCATGCTCTACCCCGACCCTCCCCCAATCCCCAACGTCGTCTTTCCCGTAATATCACCGCCTGATCCCCATCCTCAACCTCCCATACCCACAGGAACCCCTTATCGCGGTGTTCCCGAATATCCTTCTGGTGGCTTTATGGACGTTGCACTCCTGGGAGTAACATGTCAGGCTAATAGAATGCCCAACTTCCCAGCGTCGATTCCAATTGCAGTCGGTGTGATCCGTCTGTTTAGGAAGGCGACGTATCGAGACGAGGCCGCGGTAGTCAGAGGATGTGGATGTATGCCCCTCGAAAGTCCGATCCAAATCGAGTCCTTTGTCGCATCCACAAACCACGCTGTTGCCTTCTATACCGCCGCCAATTGCGAGGGACCGCCCTACTTCCAGCGCTTCAACATGCACTATGATGTCGAGCCCAACATGGTCGCCAACAGTATCAAGATTATCCAAGGAGTCGTCGAACCTCTTCCCTCACCCCAGAACGGTGGCCTCCTGCGCTAAATCACAGGGAACAACAGGGGTGGCGACAACGACAAAGATCCAGCTGACCAGATGATTCCGATATTTGAAGGAAGGACAAACATTTCGCTTCCTATCGAATGTTTATCTTTCTATTGGCCTGCTAACTTTGCAGCTCTCACCCCTCGTCCTGGAACCACAGCGCTGAACTGAATGAGCGAGTGAGTGGAACACGCCTCGCAGACCTTGAGCAGCCATCCTTTCCTTTTCTTTTTTTTCCTTCTCCCGATACCCGTGGCTTCTCAGCTTGCACACACATATACCCCTCCGCTACTAGCCTGTAAATAAAATCTTCAACATCACAAAAACAGAGCCCATGTGTCTTTCAATGGTCATGAAGGTGTGGACATCCTCTACTTGTTAGTATGTAGTCTGGAAACAAACTACCAAAAAAACTTGAACGGTCAATTGGAAGACACCAAAAATACAAGAGTAGATATGCTCCTTTGGTTTGACTTTAATTTCTTTTTTTTTTTTTATGCTTGTGAGAATGTATGTCCAGCCGAGCAAAGCAAGCCGGCCGGTCGTGAGCATGAGCGGCAAGAGGATGCCTATCTATCTACTTACTCCCTATTTTTTCCTACGATCGCCCCAGAGTGTGGAAGAGAGCAGCGGAATTGACAAATTGGGTATGGGAATGAGATAATGAATGGAAAACGAGAGCGCGTATTGCAGCAGCAGAGAAGGAAAAAAAAAAACGACGACAGCAATTGCACGTGTGTTTGTGCGCAAGATAGCTTTTTTTGCTGACAAGGTGGGACAACAAGGTTTTTTTTTTTTTCCCTTCTCGTCCTTTATCACTTATTTGTCCCTTCCTTATATATTATATCAGTTCTTATTCTTTTTCCTCACACCACCTATCTCTCCATCCTTCTTGTCATCACTTTCAACGAGTAAGTCTGACCTCCTGTCTGATCACAAAACACCGCTAACCTGCATCTCATAGAACTCAACTCAAGATCAGATCAGTTGCTATTCAAAGCAGGACATTGATGAGCACCATCGCGCTCCATGTACAATGAACAGGGATACTACGTGACGATCGACATGCCAGGAAACAATGTCCATCCCGATGAAGGACGACACGCGCACTAGAAAAGTCAATTCCCTCTCAAGGCCATGCTGCTAACCTGCTTGTTGCTCGTTTTCCCCGTTCAAATAATAGAGCTCCAACATACACACCAGAAAACAGGACAACAACAACACAACAACGGACGCCAATCGAAACAGCAAAAAAAAAGCGATGAACAACTTATATCTCGCCCTTGGCTCGATCCTCTTGATCGCATTGATCGCCCTCGTCGGCTTCGTATCCAAAAAGCTCGGCGCCCTCAGGGATCCTCTTCAGATCTGGGAGGCCCTCAACAATGTCGGTCTCTTGCCCATCCGCATGCGAGCCTGGATCTTCTCGACCGTCGTCGGAATCGCCAACCCTTACTCCAAATCCATCAACTTCCGTATCACTGAGCTGAGAAAGGGCAAGTCTTGCGGAGTCATGAAGGTAAAGAAAAACACTGTGACCCATATATATGCTCATGGCGTACTTGTGTCTGCGTCTCTCTTTCATTCTTAGACGTGTTTTTGATGCACCAACAAACCTACCAGCCAAACAAGGAGGCCATGTTTTGGTCCGCAGGAATGAAAGAAGGATGACGAGACAAAGGTGTGAAGAACAGGATCAAACATGTTACTGACTCCTTTGTTTTTTTCTCTCTCTCTGTTTGGCGTTGAACAGGAGACCAAGGCGATCTCGAACCCTTTCCGTTGCGTCCACGCCGCTGCTTTGATCACCTTTGGCGAGACTGTCGGAGGCCTGGCTGTTTTTACTCTTCTCGGAAAGAAGGATCGCGCCATCTTGACCAATATCAACGCGGAGGTAATAATATTGACTAGAACTTGGACATGGATGGACACTGAATCGAAAAAAAAAAGCATTCTTGCTCGTCCTTCTCTAGTGGTTCATGATATAAGTGATTTCCTAACAGGCTATATATTCCCTTGATTGAACTAATAGTACATTAAAGTGTCGCGCGGTTTGTTGACTGCCAGCTCGGTCATTCAGCCAATAAAGGATCGGGAGATTAAGGAGCTCGTCAACGAGGTTCTCATCAAGAACGCCGCTTTCGAGACCGTTGCCAAGCTCACCCTGACATGGAAAGTCGACCTCAAGGACCAGTAAAGAACTCGACTATTTCGCCAGCATTTCCGGCTACCGCCTCTCCCACTCAGCACTCCTTCCTCAACAAGCGCCACCCCACTCTTCTTACAATCACTACATACATTCACATCATACATAAAGATCATTAAGTATACCAAATGAAAAGATATATATGCTTTATTATTGCTTGGTCATGATAAGAGAAAACGAATCAAAAAAAAGGGACGAAACGATAAACACTTTTCTTAAGCTGGATAGTAGAACACAGCGATGGCGATAATGATATATGTGCTCAATAACTGGACACCCTCAAGCCAATTGGACTCTCCATCCTGGATCAAGTAGTTGACAATGAGGACTGAGACGAACATGATGCAAGTCTCGAAGGTGTTGAAGAACAGGGTCATGGGCTGCTCAATGAACCAGCCGATAATGACCATGAGAGGTGTCACAAACAGAGCGATCTGCATCGACGATCCAATAGCGACACCAATGGCTAGATCCATCTTGTTTTTCATCGCCACAGTGACAGCTGTGACGTGCTCGGCGGCGTTCCCGACAATGGGCAGCAAGATCAGACCGATAAACGTTGGAGAGATGTTCCATGACTCGGACAGACCTTCGATGGAGTCGACCAGGAGCTCTGCACACAGCGCAACAACCAGGGTGACGACCAACAGCAGGGCAATCGACATCCAGATGGGAAGGACAGGCTCCTCCTCTTCCTCGTTCTCTGTGGCGTACAAGTGGGTGTGGGTCTTGAGCTGGAAGAACAAGTAGAGGATGTAGACGACCAAGAGAACGATCGAAGTTCCGTACGAGAGAGACTGGATATGGTTCGTGTGATCAATCTCCTTGGCTGTGGCGACAAAGGCGGCGGGAATGAGGAGGGACAGACATGCGAGGGAAAGGAGGGATGATGAGGTCTGCGCGGCTGTCTGGTTGAACTTTTGCGTTTGGAACTTGTATCCTCCACAGATAAAGCTAAGACCCAAAACCTAAGTCATGGTTCGTTCGTTTTTGGGGCAAAGAGTATGTATACAGAGGTAGTTAGATCACACGTACCGACAGTTGGCAAACAACATCAACAACAAACGCCAACCCCGAGAGAGAAAAAAAAAAAAAAAAAAAAAAAAAGAAAGAAAGAAAGAGACAGACTCCGAGGTTTACCAAAAGTAGGTTGGAAAGGACAGATCCAAGGACCGAGGCTTGGACAACGTCGATTTTGCCTTCCTTGAGCGCAACGATGGACAGAATTAGCTCGACGGCATTTCCAAACGACGCATTCAGCAAAGCGCCAAGGTTCTAGATATTTAGGGACAAGAAAAAAAAGAAGAGATGTATGCGTGCGTGAGAAAATAAAATAAAATAACATGCTCCTGCGTTGCGGCTTGCTAATCCAATCATCTCTTCATTCCAAGCCATGTCATGGTATGTCGTGTTTGTGTGCCTGGAAAGAAAAGATAACAACAATAAGAAAAAAACAAGGGTGGCACTTACGTCTCCAAGTCGCATTGCGATCTCCTCTGTCGCATATCCAAGCACTGCATTGAGACAAACAAAAAAAACCATCACGATCAGTCAATCATTGATTTGAGACACAAAACAGAGCCTAAAAACCTCATGGACTGAAGCAAAAAGACAAACAAACTTACACTTGGCAAGAGGGATAATGGCTATAAAATTGAGCACAAAGATAGTGACGGGTGTCCAATGCAACTTGCTGGCAATGACTCCGAGGGGGATGAACAAAAGCAGAACGTTGATCCTGGTCGCAAACAGGATGACTTTGAGGCACTCAAAGAACGACAATGGCTCGTGGTGATGGTGGTCAGGCCCAAGGACAATTCCCTGTTGGGTATGCTTTGCGCCACAGAGCGAGCGGACACTGCGGATGGTCACTCGGCCTTCGGGGGTGTTCGCCAAGGGTTCATCATTTTCGTCGATAGACCGTGGACGACGTTGGGTGATGTTGTTTTCTGCCATTGGAAGCGGGAGCGGATCCGTGAGTAGAACTGCTGTTGTTGTTTGATGATGGTGGTGACTTGATGAAGGGGTTCCTGAGTTATTTGTCGGCTTTCTTGGTAACGATGGGGGACTTGGATTAGTGTTGATGATAGAGAGTCAGGTCGCGCCAGGAAGGGAGAGTGAGGTGGATGAAGAAAAGAAAGAGAAGAGAGAAAAAGAAGGAAAGGGGAACGGAGACAGAAAGAAATAGAAAAAAGGAAGGACAAGAAAAACCAGGTAAAAACAACGGATGGCGAGTGAAAGGCAGTTGGATCGGACCTTTGAGGGGGCATGCATACGCTGCTCGCGGGCGAACTGAACTCCTGGATCACTCTACGGAGTCAAAGGGGCAGGGAAGGAGAAGAGAGGGTCGAAACGCTCTCTCCATCGATTGCTTTACTCCCATCCTCTTTTGTGGATGATACCTCTCCTTGCCCATTCTCACTCAAAATGGCATCGTGTTCCTTGAAAACGACCGATTGGTTGTTGAGTCTGTGCGCTTGTGTCTGAATATTCTAGGCAAGTCGGATAAACACAAAGCAACAAAGTACAACATTTAGACAGAGCCACTTGGAGAAACAACGCCGCAGTGCCCTCTGCTTGTTGGTAATGGAGCTTGGCGCAAGTTGAACAACTCACAAGCGCCGTTTTGGGACAACGACAAAAGGGCTGAATTGCGAAGCGACAGCTGAGAACAGAGTTTTGATTGATGCATTCAACCTCTCGACAGCCTGTCTCGCGGGTCGAGTTCAGTCTCCAATGCTTTATATGACAGGAGGACAAGGTCCGCGACTGTTTCTACTTGGAGAGTTGTAACTCGGAGGGCGGTGTTTGGGTCGTGAGAACGCGGGGTTGCAACACTGATTTTTATAGTGTCGTTGACAAAAAAAAAAGTTCAGAGGAACGCGTGAGTGACTTTCAAACGCGTCAAAAGATGGTAATAATGACCCGCAATGCTCTTTCACTCCTTTTTCCTAGGTGTTGAATAGACGAAGCCATGCTTGGCTCCCTCTCACTATTCTCAAGCAAGGCATCTGTGGGCGAACCAAGGGGTCCCCAGCTCCACGTGACTGATGGTCTTAGCCGATTTTCAAGATGGTCACGCGGCACTGGTGACTTTCGTCCTCCGTCTTTTCTTCTTTCTTGGGTCTTTGTGCATGCAAACGACCATTGCTCACATCTAACTCATTCCATTACAACAATCAAACAAACCATCAGACTACAACCCAACTACTACCACCACCACCACCACACACTTACAGCACAACAGCGACAAACACAAGCAAAGCATTTTTCATCATGGAGGGCCTCGATAACAGCAACGCCGCCACAGTTAACACCAACACCAATAGTAGTTCAACTGCCAGTAATAGTGCCCTGTTGGCCTTCAACCTTCCTCTCGACAGCTTCGCCTCGGCTCCAACACCTACTCAGCGCTCGATGAATCCGGGCGTCTTGGCCATCTGCCTGACTAACGAGTCTAGCGGGGACGCCAACTGCTACGTTTATTCGACCTGTAAGTTTTCACCCCCTCAAAGCACATGTTGTTTTCGACCTAGCTCTTTTCGCCTTTTGTCTAAGGACAACAACGCTCAGGACACATGAACTAAAAGGAACATCCTTTCCTATATATGCGAGCTAGTGGAGGGCAGTAAGCGGTGGTGTTCCTGACATCGCTTTTAATGATTGCGCGACAATGCTCACTGGCCTGAGTGGCAGTCGGGCCAGTGAGCAGAGTCGCCAGGTCGGCATCTTGAAGGCGACTGCTTCGTTTGTGAGAGAGATGAACCCACATCCTACCACAACAACAGCACCGTTCGATGATGCCGGCCACCCATCACCGACCTACAGCAGTGGAGTCGGAGGAATAGAAGGATCATTTGGAGACGAGGTTGACATACGGACACGAGTCGATGCCACCCTGACGATTACTTCGAACGACGACAAAATGAACACCTGGTTTGGATTCAAGTCTGGGGGCGCTTTGTACCTGCGGGGTGACGGATGGGACGACATGGACATTCGAGAGGTAAATAGCAATAACGCCTCGTTGTATCGAAAACACGTTCAGTTTGGAATTGATACCGTTTTTTTGCTCGTCATGTCGTTTGTTGTTCGGGCGGGTTTTCCTGCGGTGGAAACCATATTAGACCGTTTGAGAACCACTCATGGCTGACTGACTGGAGGACTACTGGCTGTCAATGGGGACCCTGCACTGACTTTCTTTTCTGTTCCTTGTTTAATAATATGAATGATCCGAATAGAGTATTGTTGCGGCATTAGAGCTTGCGGAGGAGCAACTTGAATGCACATCTGTCTACCTGTGCCTCGAGAAGAGCAATCCCCATCTCAGTAAGTGTTATGTGCCTATGCTTAAAGACTTACACTAATGATCTTTACACTGACACATTGTATTTGGCCATCTAACGTGATCTGAACGAAGGAGAGTTGTTGAACTCTTTGTTTGCTAACATCCAAATTTTTTTGTGGTACGACTTTGATAGCACAACTCACACATGCGCTGTTGTATGCAACGTTTCAGTTGGTTACCCCGGGGGTATTACCCCACGCAGACCCCAAGTACCTGGTCATGGGGATTGACTTTTGACTCTTAGGCCCCTATAGATTCCTACATAGTATGTGCTTCTTACTTTTTGCGAATGAATTGCGTTGTCTTTGGTTGCTATGATATAGTGGTCCATGGTTAAGTAGTGTACCGCAGGTTCGATTGATGGTGCGATGCTGCATAAAACTCTGTGCACAGATTGACAACGAATGAGGTGAACGCGTCCTTGTTGTTGCGGTCGTAGATGGATAGATTTGGAGAAACTAATTGACGGAATGTTGTTTTCATTACTTCTTCCCGTGGATGGAACTTGAGCAGACATATGGTACGGTGCGATCGATAACTGGAATATCGAGGCAACTTTATGAGAGAGAGTGTGTAAGCATCGGCAAACGGCAAAGATGTCAGTCAGCATCATGGAACGGAAGAATGACAGGACAACGTTTTATGAAATCGAGCGGAGAATTGAGTTGTTGGATGTGTGTGCACGGAAAAATTGTTTGTCGTTCGGTGCAACATCGCTAAGAAATTAGACGAGAACAAGGGACTCTTTGTTTTCCGGGGCTTGAGCTGAGGACCAAAAAAACAGATAAATAGGCCTGGGGGGGAACAGTAGTAGATCAGACTCAAAACAATCAAACCAACACATCCAAACACTTCCTCTTCTTCTTCTCTATTCCTCTCTCTTCTCATCTCTATCTTTCTCTCCACTCCATCTCCGTCTTCTTTCTTTCTCCTCTCCGCTCTATTTTCCTCGTTCACATTTCCACTCCAGCTCGCAACTCATATCATCCTCAAACCAATACCAATAATGCCTTCCCCCACCTTCTCCAAACGCCTCTTTGTCTTTGACTTTGACTGGTAACCAAACATCACCATCCGGCAGCAGCAACGGACATGCCTCCACTCGCTTGCCTCAATAGCTATACTATCGCTTTTCCATACGGCTTTGCCCAATTACTGACAGGCATCGCTCGCCACCCACTTCTACCCCCTTCACTCTAGGACCTTGATTGAGGCCGACTCTGATCTTTGGGTTGCCGAGACCCTGGCCCCCGATCTTGCCAAGCAGCAAGAAGACTTTGTCGGCAAGATCCTCTGGACCGAGTTGCAGTAAGTATTCCTCCCTACCTCATCTGCCTTCCACCCCTTTGCATTTGTGTACCCTCGAACACACCAACCACTTTGTCATCATTGCGTCGTTCAGGTCCCAGTCCCTTTTCTCTGTTCTGAGTTTTTCTACACCTACACTAAGCAACTAACGAGACTAACTAAAACCACTCACTTTCTTCTTGCAATTGTGTCATTCCTTTTTTCTTTTCATTCCAGGGACTTGCTCCTTCAACGCTTGTTCGAACGCGGGTTCACCCAACCAGACCTGGAAAAGACATTGCACCGAATTCCATTTGTGAGTCAAAACAATGGGCGAATTGACCCTCTTTACCTTCCTTAGCAATCAATTAACCAATCGTTGATCGGCTATTTTTCCAATATCCAGCATATCTCTAATACGCGCCCCTTTCCTTTTCCTTCCATGTTCCTTTGAAGACACCAGAGGTCATTGCTTCCCTTCGCTTGATGAAGTCTCAGGGTGCTGAGCTTTGTATCCTGTCGGACGCAAACACTTTTTATATCGATTGTATTCTCAAGGTAAGGACGAAGAAAAACAAGGCTGTCTGTTTCCCTCCCTCTCGCCTCTTCGCTCGCCCTCGCTTGCTTGTTCTTGATCCCGCGTTTTTGTTGTTCTTCGATTGATACGCGCGCACTGTCCACTCCACTCCACAAAAACAACAAGGAAAGAAAATAAGAACGCCAGACAAAGCCCCCTACTCACACACCACGCCCCCTGTTTTCCCCTGTTTTCCCCTCCATCTCAAAACATGCTTCAAATATATATATATAGGCACACGGTTTAGAAGGAGTGTTCACAAAGATCCTTACAAATCCCGCCCATTTCGACTCCCATGGCCGTCTCCACGTCGCCCGCTTCCACGGCCTCGACAAGGACCCCCACAACTGCCCCCTCCCCTGCCAACCCAACCTCTGCAAGGGCCAAGAACTCCAGAAACTGATTGATTCTCAATCTTGGGACCAGGTCATTTACATGGGCGATTCTACGAACGATTTCTGCCCCTCGACGCGTCTGCAGGGTCGAGACATTGTCCTCGCCCGCGCGGATCTGTTGTTGGAGAAACATATCAAGCTGCATTTGGATATGGTCAAGGCTCAGGTCATCTACTGGCAGTCCCCTGCTGATGTCCTGGCCATTACCCAGAATCTTTTCAATGTCCCTTCCCTTCCAGCCATTGCCACCACTGCCGCTGTCAACTCAAAACCCGTTCCTGTAGTCTCTTCGGCCCACATGGAGGAGGTCCCTGTTTCTCTTTAGACAATAGAGAGGAGAGGAAAGAGGGTGAGAAAGAACATTACCCCTTCACATCCAGTGTACCATAGAATGAAAGACCTTGTACAAAACCAACACTTGCATGGATATAAACCCCCTCCCTCGGAAAAAAATGAGTACCCTTCTCTTCATTACGCGCATGCTACTACTCTTTTCTTCATTTTGTATCTTTTTGTATCTCGCAATTACGATGACCTAAAAAACACTGAATAGGTCAGCACTGAAAAAGCAGCAGTAAAGGAGGAAGGGGTGTAAATGGTGACGTTGTGACACAATGTGGTGATCTGCAAAAGTTGGAGACAGAAAAAAAAAGAAAAAACAGGGAAGGTCGTTCTGCCTAACTGACTTCAGCGGTCTCCTGTACTTGCCAAAACGATGATGCATCAAAATGAAAAGGAAAAAACCGAAAAAAGGCAGCATAGGTAGTAGTGATTGAGTCTTGTCCTTCATTATTCAATTCCTGTTGCGCATACTGAGATTATCTCATGAGCTGGATGTGTCGACCCAAAGCTTCACCGTCTTGTCCTTGTCAATGGCTCCTGAGGCAATGATGTTCTGTGTGGGGTGGCAGGCCACACATAATACGACATCTGATTATAAAATACAAATAAGAACAATGTCAGCTTCGACAGCTTCGACACCTCGGTGAATAAATCGCACAAACGCATAAAAAAAGACTCAAGACGTACCGGTGTGTCCTTCCAGCTTCTGGACGACCTCGCGGGTCTGCAAGTTCCAGATATATATACAGTTGTCCTCGCTGCCGCTCACAATCCATTTGCCTCCTGTCACAGAAAAGCTGCCAAAGACACAGTAGGCATCGTTCTTGTGTCCTGTGTATGTCTTCAAGCACTTTCCAGTGTGGTAGTTCCAAAGGCGTATCGTGTCATCCAGAGTCGATGCCAAAATGAACTTTCCGTTGGGCGAGAACTTCACAAACGACCTATTCCAGCACGAATGAAAAGTCGTATTAAAACACTGTGCGACCTAAGACATTCGTCCAAATACGCTATCATTTCCATGATTGTCACTCACACTGGTGGGTTGTTGTCGTCAATGAGAGTTTTGAGGCACTGTCCAGTTGTCGTGTCCCAAATACGACTAAGAAACACCACAAAAAAAGATCGTAATTGTGAGTACAATGCAATACGACAGCCGTCTTGAAAATATCATTCGAGGCTCCTCATCCCAGCAAATAACTGAGACTTACACAACTCCATCGTAACTGCAAGAGACAATCATAGTGCCATCTCGGTTGAAGTGAACAGCATTCACAGGGTCGGAATGTGCAGGAAGAGTCTTGATCGATTTTCCTAATGTGTTCCATTCCATAGTCCCCAGAAGGTATTAGTCGACCAAATATTGATTTTGCTCTCCATCTGCAGGTTGCTCATATGGCCAAGGCCGTCCGTTTCGCATGTGTCATATACCTTTCCTGACATCCCAGATCCTGACAGTTTCGTCGAAAGATCCTGACACAATCAAGTTCGACTGAGGGTTGTAGTTGACACAGAAAACATAATTGGTGTGGCCGCGCAAAACCTTAGTCGTGGCTCCCTAGATATGCGAAACCAGCGACAGCAAAAGGGAGAAGAATGCAAGATGTCGATCGAGATACGTCAATATCAAAAGCCAGGTATCAGCCAGAAACGATCGCAGTGTAGCTTCTATCAATGGTCAACGCGAATGACACTTGGACTCTTACGGTTTCCAAGCTCCAGATGCGAACGGTCTTGTCGTCAGAGGCAGAGCAGAGAGACAACGAGTCTGAAGCCCATGCTACATCTGAAATTCCCTGTGAGTGACCCTCCATCGTGCTTTCGTGCTTTCCGTCAAAGGCATTCCAGATCTTAATGGTTTTGTCTGAGGCTATTGGTTCAACGGAAGGCAAACATGAGCACAATATATATTTTGATTAGTCGTCAAGGTTTCGACGCAGCGGCATGCAGAGCAAGATAAACTAACAATTGAGCTTGCCCTTGTGAGATGATTTTCCATAACCAGAAATATAATAAACACACAACGAAACAACACCACCATCAAGATAAGATGCAAAAAGAATGATAAATAAGCTATACGAAGAGATCTCTTTCAGCTGTTGAAGTGGTGGAAGTGGTGTCTTCAGCATGTCCACAATCGCCTTTGAGAAGAGAATTCCTTGCAGTCGTAAGGGGTATTGCACCAATTCTTCCACCAAACAAGCAGCCTTTGAAAAAACCGTGTAATTTGTGTTCAAAATAATACGAATGCAAGCAAGCAAAACGCGTCGCCCTGGGTTGTTTTAACCAAGCAAGAAAGCGAGCGCCAAAAACAAAGAAAAAATACTATAGCCTCGATGTGGAATCCTTTAAGTAACTTACAAGAACTGGCAAGCCACTTTCCGTCAGGCGAGAACTTGACACTCGAGACGGCCTTGCGGTGGCCGACCAAAGAGAACTTGAGCTCATAGTTGGGTTTCCTGGTAGCGCTGGCCGCAGCTGCGGCGGACGGGGCTGAAGTGTGAGGTTGGTGCTGTGGATGGGGAAGACCATGGGCTGGATGGGCTGGGACACTGGGGTGGGGCTCAGGATGTCCCGTGCCATTGCTGGAGCCCTCCTTTCTGGCCTTCTTTGAGGGGGCGTCGTAATCGTTGTGCTGACCGTGGGCTTGGCCGTCTTGATCCTCCAGCTTGAAGTCTCGCTTGAGCTCGGACATTGTGGTTGAGAGAGAGTGAGAGGTTGGAGATGGGTTTGAAGAAGAAGAAGAGGACGACGACGAGTGAGGAGGTGATGGGCTGTAGGAGAGGTTGGGTGGCGGCAACACGTTCTGGCAAAGTGGGGGAAGGCTGGAGAATGTGTGTGAGAGTGAAAGGACCAAGAGGAGCAGAGGAGAGGAGGACAGAAGACAAAAAAAAAATCGCCACTGGGCAACTGCAAAGAGGGACTGACTAACTGACTCGAGTGGAGTCCACAATCATGGCTAAGCCACCACGCCCACACCCATATGTTCCTATTGTACTTCGTCGTCTTCGGCTCTTCAAAATGGAAATTATAGTGCCCTCTTGGGAAAACGCCCCTTTCTTTACTACCACTTCTTTTTCAATCACATCCACCATGGGCGCATCTCCCATCGACTCCATGCACCATTCCTTTGGCACATTGCTGGACTACAACAAGGACACTTTTCCCTACAAGGAGTTTGTCCTCGGTGTTATGTTCGCCGTCTTCCTTTGGGAAGAGTACTTGAGGTAACACTCACTCTCTCTTTCGTCCTCTACCCGCACACTCGCACAAATCAAAAGGCCGCGCAATTGGACGGCACTACAAAGAACCTCGCAATATTGGCATTGTACGGCGTTACAACAGATAAGACTGATGCAAAAATACCATGTCAATTGAACAGATTTCGGTACTACAGGAAACTATGCGCTACAGAGGTACCAATCGCACTCCGTGAACACGTCTCGCAGGAAACATTCGACAAGGCGCAAGCCTATGGACGTGACAAGGCTCGGTTCGGCCTTGTCGAAACTGTTTTTAGCTTGGTCCAGAACGCCTTCTCGATTGTGTATGACTTCTTGCCCTGGCTCTGGAACGTCTCCGGAGATGTCATGTTCAGGCTGGCAGGCTACAGCGACGAATACGAGGTATGCACGTTTGGAGCAATCTGTATGACAATGATGCACGTCTCAATCGAGGCCGTCTGTCCATTTCTGAGCAATATCGTCTAATATCTTCATGTTCTTTATTCCTATCAATTAGATCACTCAATCCATCATCTTCTTTGTTCTGTTGACCGTCTTTTCGACCATCGTCTCCCTGCCCTTCTCGCTGTACCAGACATTTGTGATCGAGGAGAGACATGGGTTCAATAAACAGACCCTGAAACTGTTCATTAGCGACACTATCAAGGGGCATTTGATTGGAGGTGTCATTGGCATGCCTTTCCTGGCAGGATTCCTTAAGGTTATCAAGCTCGGCGGCGAGAACTTTTATCTCTACGTCTGGCTCTTTATGTACGTCTATTTTTGACGGTTCAGTCGCGTCTTCATTTTGCAATGTGCATTTCAAACGAGCGAGACTAACGGGCCAATATTCTTTATTATCATTTGCAAATCTAGGGTGGTATTCCAGCTTATCATGGTATCGATCTTCCCCACCTTCATTCAACCTCTCTTCAACAAGTTCGACCCTCTCCCTGAGGGAGAGCTCCGCACTATGATCGAGGCTTTGGCCAGCCGTATCAGCTTCCCTCTGACCAAGCTCTTTGTCATTGACGGAAGCAAGCGTTCCGGCCACTCGAACGCCTACTTTTACGGCTTCTTCAAGAACAAACGCATTGTTTTGTACGACACTCTGCTGGAGCACTCGGACAACGACGAGGTCTGCGCCACCCTTGGTACGTAAACTCTTGTGTCCTTTTTTTTTCCTTGTTGGATCATACGACGAATCAGACAACAAACTGACGCCATCGCCTCTGTCATCTTGCTTGAATTTGATCCGCAGCTCACGAGCTTGGACATTGGGCTTGCAATCACACCATTCAGATGCTGGTCTTTGCTCAGGTTCAACTCTTTGCTGTCTTTTACCTCTTCTCGCAATTCGTCAACAACAAGGCCATGTACACCGCCTTCGGATTCATGGACTCGACCCCTACGCTGATCGGATTCCTGCTGTTCCAGTTCCTCTACTCCCCCGTCGAGAGCGTCCTTCAGTTTCTTGTCAATATGAACAGCCGTCGCAATGAGTTCCAGGCCGACGCTTATGCGCGCGACCTTGGCTATGCGGCACCCTTGGCGTCAGGATTGGTGAAGCTTCAGCTCAAGAACTTGGGATCTATGAACCCTGACTGGCTCCACTCCATGTACTACAGGTCCCACCCTGACCTTGTCGAGCGCCTGGATGCCATCCTGACTCCTGCTCGTGGCTCCAAGGTCGAGAAGGTTGAATAAAGTCCCTTTGAATATCCTGGTTTAATAAATAGTGTATCGTTCCTGATTTCGTCTAGTCTTTTGGGTGGTGCCAGTGCTTGCATAGTTGTTATGCCTTAGGAGTCAAGGCCTGGAACGACCCTATGAATATGAATGAGAAAGAACCAAAGAGAAATGATAAGTTAAGGGATCAAGACAATAAAAAGCACCCCTGCGCCCGCAAAGATCGTGCTACAGAAACATACTCAGGCTGATCTCAGACGAGTGCCTCTCTGAACCATCCTTGGCAGTGTAGGACCGGTATTGAATGGGACCCTCCACATAGACCAAATCGCCTTTCTTGACACGGTCGGCCAAAATTGGGTTCCGCTTCTGGTCCCACGATACAATCCTGTGCCACTGAGTCGTCTTGATAATGTTACCTATTGTTGAAAAATGAAAAAAAAAAAAAAAAAAAAAAAAAAAAAAAAAGAAACGGATCAGTAGGGTGTTTTTGGTGCCTGAAACTTTGTTCCTGATTGCCACCAATTTTTTTTTAGTGCCAGAAAACACAAGATGATCAGCTGTTGGTCCGTTACCTTCGGCATCGGTTTTGCTTTCGGAGGTAGCGACAGAGAAGTGGACAACCGAACGGTCACTGCCCACGTTGTTCAGCTCGGCATCCTGGCCTACGCGTCCGAGAATAGTGGCCCTGTTGACTATTGGATGAAGGTGTTGACGAGTGTTAACTGTCTTTGGTTGGTTCGCACGTTTTTAGGCGTTGGATTGCAAGCGTTTGTCAACACGCCAAGTTCGAGGAACAGCATAGTTACCGAGGGTACGGACGGCACCAAAGGCGGGCTAAAAAAAAAAAAAAAAAAAAGTTCAATGTAGCCATGCACAAAAATAAGTTAGAAGAATACAAGTGCACTTCCATGATACGCGCCATAAGTTGAGACACACTAACGAGAAGCTGCATCGTCCTGTCTACACGCTGCCGTTGGCTCTACCCACCGAGGCGATACGCTTGGAGACTGGTGCGAGTTTTGCGAGAAGCATGGCTGAATGTGAATGTGAATGGAAGGAAGAGAATGAATGCAAAGGCAGGAGAAGTAAGGGGGAGTTGACTTTTCACAGCCAACGTTGGCGTGAAAAATATCAAAGGTTGGAAACAGTCAAACCGCAAAAAAAACGTGACTCTTGAGCCCAATGTCTGTGGCACTTCGGTATCCGTTGCCACCACTCTTCGCCCAATTGAACACTCTGTGCGTCTACCTTTTCCGAAATGAATGGTGTTACTCGACTGATAATCATCCATCACGGTGTCAATTGAAGAGCCCAAAGTGACAGTGTTGAAAGTGGCCTTGGAAAAAGAATGACAGAGGTAATTTATTACTCAATGGAAAAAGGAGCCAGGAACAAAGGAGGGAAGAACGGTATGATGGGTGGAGATAAACGGAATGATAGGGTGACGAAAGGCGCGACCTTTTTATGCCTCGGCGTTTGATGAAGGGCCGCGTCCCTTCATGTCCCGATAACAGTGTTGGCAGAGGTGGTGCATCAACTTGGCCTGGCCACATCCGGGGCACTCGACGATATTGCGCTGCTCCTTGAGACCCTTGGTAGCCTGACGCATGCGCTTCTTAGAATGAGAAGTTTTGCTTTTAGGAACTGAAGCCCAAACAATCGACGGCAAGAGGTCAGAGATGTAGGAGCCGAGACGGCCGAGGACCGAGGTCTGGACATCGCCAAGAGCTGCTGATGCTGTTGCTGGGGAGGCGGCGACTGTAGAGTTTGAGGTGTTGGAAGGGGAGGTGAAGGTGAGAGAGTAGGAGTTGAAGGCGCGGAGGATGGTGAGGTTGCGGGCGGGCTGTGTTGCCCTTGAGGCGGTCCTGAGAAGTGACATTATGTGCGATGTGTATATGTGTAGGTGGTTTGGAAATGACTCGATGTGAATGCAAACAAAGGGTATCCAAAAACGAGGAACAGGAGAGGAGGGTCAAGGAAGAGAGGTAAAGGCACCAACAACCCATGATCGGGAGAGTGGCTTGGATGTAAACAACTTTGTACATTTCCACACGTGATGCAACTCTGGGCTTGCCTTGGTTGGTGGCGCAACATGGAGAGGCGGCAGGTGCCTGGTTGGCCTGAGAGCCCTCAATGATGTCTCACATTATGCGGTCAGACCAGTACATCCTCCGTGTCTAGACGCTAGTTCTCATGACCCAAAGTGTCGCCGATAAGGCTGGTCCAAGTGCACCTTTGTTTATCTCCATTGTCAACTTTCCATGGTCTGGTCTGTTCTGGCCTGGCCTCTCGCACCGTCGTGTCGAAAAGGGTCGCTCGTAGGTTACAGCCCAGACACGATTGGACAGTTATACGGGCGTGTGAGGCAAAAGGGGAGAAGAGTAGACAGAGAGCGATCCATGCATTTTTCGCTTGTGCTCTCTTTCTCTTCGTATTGTAGCTTGGGTGTCTGAGTGCGTGAAGTAAAACGACCCTGACATGTTGTTGATGAGGGTATGGAAAAGGGCTCTCTTTTTTTCAGAAAGCAAGATGATTGAAAGATGTTCGCTCTTCTTATCCTCTCTCTCTCTCTCTTTTCCCTTTTTCTTTCCTTCAGTTGACTCCCAAAACCACTCACAACCCCTTTCTTGTTGCGCAAGCCCAACACCCCAATCGCCAAACGTTAACGCTTCCCTCCCCTATTTCCCCTCAACTCCCACTTTTTTTCTCTCGGTAAACTCAACAATCAATGTCATTCCCCAGCTTTCAGAACGGGTGTATCGCCCCATCCAACTCTGCGACGGGTGTCTACCTCGCAGGGGTTTCGACAGCAGGCACCCTCGCCGTCTACTCTGTGGACATCTCCAACCCCAACTCACCCACTATCGCACACCTCGCCACCAACGTCTACAGTTCCTGGTCGCCCCAGGCCAAGAAGGCCTGCATCGCCTTTCCTGGACTCCAGGGAACGGCCAACACTCCCTTTCTGGTGCAGCAGTTCGGAGTAGGATCCACTGCGCAGGTCAATGTCTACCCGAACGGAACCACCTGGGGAGCGTTCAGCTTCAATAGTATTTCGTTTATGTCGCCTCAGTTGTATAACTATGCAGGTGCATCGAAAGAAAGTGTCTGGATTACTGCGGTGACCAACAACACCTACGTTGGAGGTGGACCCTGGACGGGAATGCGCCTGAATGCTACGGACATGTTTGCGACAATTGCAGAGTAAGTAGATAGCACTTGAAAGTCGGGTCAATTGAGTCAGCGCGTGAAGAGGAACAAAGGAAAGGAAGAGAACGAGAGAGAGAAGACAGACAGACTTTACGAGCGGAAGACTAATGATTTTCCGGTATGCACTGCCATACTGCAATACATCCACATGTGTATGAGTGTATGAGCTTTTACACCAACCGCCGTCTTTTTTCCCTCTCTCCCCCATCCAACTTTATTTTTTTTTCGACTCTTTTTTTCTGCTTCTTGACCCCTGACTTGTCTCGACCTTGTCTTGCCCTTGCCTTTGAACTTTGCGTTCACTATTGGTTGACACTTCGCATTCGCCACCATTCCTTTCTGTTGTCCAATAGTCCCGTCTTGTCGAACTATCCCTCATCAACACCCTTAGTCTCTGTCGGCACATATATCCCCACCGCCAACACCCCAGCCCAAGGATACACCATCGTCTTTGACCTCCTCGGCGGCGGATCCGTTTACACAGCTCTCGACACCGCTGTGTCCATGACAGGTGCAGACCGAGTCATCTCGTTGTCCAGCCCTCGCGCTGTCGACATGGGCGGTATCAAACTCACCTCCAATGTCATCCCCGTCACCATGGTTGGTGTCGCCTACCTCCTTGACCAGGTACAGCTATTATCTTTATCTATCGTTACATTTCTTCATGTCTCTGTTACCACAAGATATGAAATCAACCCTAACCGATAACCAAAAAAATCTCCGGTATACCTTTTTATACATAACATAACACTAGGCCCTCGATGGTACCACAGTCCTGTACACAATCGATCCCAGCCAGGACAGCAAGTTGCAGCGCGTGTCATTCCCCGGCAGCGCCCCCCTCTTCTCGCCCAACATGCAGGCGACCGCTCTCGGTTCTCAGATCGTGACCTACGGAAGTGGCAGTGGCAGCGCCGCCTCTCCCTTCAACACCTTCGACACCATTGCGGCTACCTGGAGTGGACCCGGACTGGTCGTGCCCTCACCTATCACCCCAACTTCGACTTCGGCTTCGACCTACCCATCTCCCACATCCAAGCAGACTGGCGAAGAAGGCGATACAGAGTCGAAGACGCCTATTGGCGCCATTATTGGAGGCGTTGTGGGCGCTCTGGTCATTATTGCCCTGATCGTCTTCTTTGTGATCCGTAGCCGTCGTAAAAACAGGGGAGTGGAGGAACAGTCGTCTGCAGAGTCTGCGCCTGCATACAATGACCCCGCAAAGCCTGACGGCGATGTCAACTACAACAACAGCAACATCGGCTCGCCTAACATGACACAGCTGCAACAGGGTGGCTTCGACCCTCGTACTTCGTACTATAGCCAGCCTCCCACAAGTCCCACCATCTTCCAGACACAACCGGACTACTCCAACGGCCAGACGTCCTACAACTACTCGCCTCCAATCTTCAACCCCAATGCTCAGCAACCCACCATCTTCCAGCCAGCTTCTAGCAGCCCCCAACAGAGTCAGGGTCAGACCTCGTACTCGCCTGCCCACACCGCTGTCCCATGCAGTCCTACTGCTAGCCACCAGAATCAGTCCAACCCACCCGGTACTCCTCACTTCAACGGCTACTCTTAAGCCCCACTCGGTTTTGAGATACTCGAACTATCTTTATCCATTATCTCCTTCAGTTGGTGGCGACCACTTATGATACCCTTACTATTACCTGACCAAAAAAAATAAAAAAAAACGCCACCACGTTCACATTAAAACGAATGACGAATGTTCTAATTGATATTATTATTAAGATATTCCTGTGTCTTTTTGGCGCTTAAACTGTCCTATGAAACCAACTGGCGCAAGAACTGCCATATCCAACCCAGAAGGTACACCAAACTGCCCAAAAACCTCCCCGTGGCACCCACAGTAATAATCCAAACCACAATCGTCACATACAGATTTGACCCATCATCCAACGTCAGATAAGGCGCCAGTTGATCAGCAGAGACGGTGATCACTAGGGCACCATTGGCAACAATCCAGAGTAACAGAATCCGTGTCCGGAAGGTGGTATAGTAATCTGATTGCATTGTCTTGATGTCGTCCTGGCGTGGTCGGGTTGCTATTCCTTTGGGTGCGGCCTTTTCGGAGGTGATTGGTTGAGGGAGGAGGGAGGAGGAGGAAGAGGAGCCGGAGTGGAGGGGGAGGATGGATGTGGAGGTCTTGGGTCGTTTTTTGCGGTCGAGGTCGTCGAGGGCGTCTTGGTATGATGCGGCGACAGAGCGTTCGTCGGGCATTAGGACCGTTGATGCGTGGTAGATGGCGTCGCGACTGATTAGTGGGTCCTTTTCATGGTCCTCTGGCTCCTTGATTCCCCAGCTATACGAATTTGAAAGAAGAAAAGTATGGAGTGGTTAGATAATACAGGTATTACAGATCGAAAAGGATATCGTTGAGAAAGATATTGACAAGAGAACTTACTTGACTTCATGCATGTTACAGAAAGCATAGACGCCCAAAACGCTCACATAGCTCGGCAGCAACAGCATGAACTGAACAAAGCAGGCAATCATATGCCACGGTTCGCCATAAAGGATCGCCGAGACGAGATAAACCGCATAACAACAGACCAGAGCCAGAATCAAGACATGGTATCCTGCAGCCTTGAAGACAGCGACGACGGTCGCGAAGGATTCCCATTTGGCATAGGGGAGGAACTCGGTCGCGTGGAGGAATGTCAGGTATCCGGCGGCGAAGAGGATGTAAGCTTGGATGCATGCAAAGAAGACAAAACTCAGAATGAACAGGTAGAGCGATTGCCTATTTTTTTTAGGGAGGAATTGAACGGTTAGATAGAGTTTCAGTTAAAAGCACCACGAGAAGTAATAGAACTGAGAGAAGGCCGCTTACCCGCGAGGCCGATTGCCCAGAGAAATCATCGTAACCACGACAATCAAGCAGATGTAGATGTAGCGCATCAACATGAATCCTGTCCCGCCAAGAGAGAAGTGAGGCGCGACAGCAAGCGTCTTCGCCATATAGTAAAAGACGAGGTAGTAGTTGCCCTGTTCACATAGTATAAAGAAGATGTTGATTTTAGTAAGAACCGTGCAGAGGCAACCGTTATGACGTAGAACACGTTGAAAAAGAGAGAATGAACGTACCAGAGCAAGGAACCAGAAAATGGTGTCGCATCCTAGATAGATGATCTCCAACGTTAACCAAAGCTTCCTAGCAATGTTATGTCCACTCCTCCAGATCGCTGCAACATGCGAAACCGCATAGATTATACCAAAAAACCGTCTGTTCTGCCATTTCCGTTTCATGCCCAAAAAGCTGCCAACTCCTGCAGGGAGCTCAGTTTCGGCCCAAGCTGAACGGACATACTGCATCGTGTTTTGTGCGTGAGGTCGTGTCACCACCAGGAAGGGCAGGATCTGATCCTCTGCAAAGTACGAGTACTCGAGTACCTCGCCCACATCCCGATGGTCGTCACTGAAAATCAGATAGTCCGGCTCAAAGTAGGTGGTGAGTGGTCCTTTTCCTGAGATGGGCTCGGGCAAGAGAGTTTCGTAGCGGTAGGCAACAAGAGCGCCAGGCATAACGGAAATGTACCCAAAGATGCTCTCGAACGGCTTCTCCAGAACGCTCGATACCTTGTATTCAAAGGTCTGGGCAGCGATGATGGGGTTCAGGACCTTCCACCAGAGCAACCCCTTGGCAACTCGGATCTCTCCACATGCTCCTGCGGTGTTTGGGTTCCTGTCAAATGCGTTCCAGAGATGAAAGAGACTGCCGCTGCCGATTTTGGCTCCTGCAGTAGTGAGCAAGGTGATCTTGGGCTGGAGTAGTGGACAAAGAGCGTTGAAGAACCAGCGGTGAGAGTTGAGCTTCTTTGTGTGTCGCTCCTTGAGGCAAAAGACGATCTGGATTGGTGGGAAGTGGTGTTTATTGCTGTTCTTGAGCGTCCGTCCTTTGAGCTTCATTTTGCTATCCACCGACACTTGTGTTGAGTACTGTTTGGGGATGGGAGATAGATAGTAATGTCAGATAACTTGTTCTCGACACACACAAAGCAATTAAAGGGAGCTGACTTGATCTCTACCTCAAAGATATGCGCTTGGACGGCATTGCCGTTGACTTGGTTCTTGGCGACACCTTCCTGCCAGCATCCCATGGAGGCGAGGACCTTGAGGATGGCAGGGTTGAGGTTCCGTCGACCGTCGGCCACGATGCAGATGACAACCTTCTTCCATGAGTCCTCCTCCGACCAGATGGGGTTCTTGTGCGACTTGTATTTGGACTCTGGCGCGCACATCTGCTTGATGTTCTTTATCAGTGAATGCAACGTCAGACAGAATGCTTGTGGCGATTCCTATTATATCATTGGCATGGAAGTAATGTTAATACATGCAAATGGCCTACATATGAACAGCATACATTACACGTTACCAGATGCTCCTAATGGAATGGTACCTCGTTGACCGTAAGGCAGATGGCAATCTCGATAGATCGGTTCAAACTGTGAGTCCTCAACTTGTAGCGTCCCTCGGGTACCATATCCGCATCACAAGTCACCGCCATGTATCGCATCGTCTCAAACTCCTTGCCGGATTGATGATCGACCGCAGAAAGGTAGCTCGAAGGAACAGAAGTGTCCAGCACCAGGTTTCCATCCGTCAGCTGCACTTTCTTGGGCTTGAACACATAGTGGATCGGGACTGGCATAGACATTGTTGGGAAGGAAATGCTGGGCAGCTGAGAGGCCATGCGAAGCCAGGGAGCCTGAAGCCACTGCGAGAGAGGAAAGTACTGGGGAGGGGAGTGACTGGGTCCGATAGTATTATTCATTGGTGGATAGAACTCGCCTGATGCAAATGGGGTTGCTGTAGATGCTAGGGTCGGTGACATGGCAGGCGATAGTGCTGATGTAGGATACGCCCTCGGTTTCTTGTTATTGGATTTTGGCGCTACCGAGATCTCGGCAGGGTACTGCCCTACCATTCTAGATTCTCGGGGCGGAGAAAGGTGACGATGACGAGAAGACTCTACATGCCCTGATCCTACAGCACCACTAGAACGCCCAGAGTTTGAGGGTGGAGATGGCATAGGCATAGGCATAGGCATAGGCATAGGCATGTGCGAGGGAAGATCGTAAGGCGATCGAGGAGTTGTCTTTCGAGTCATGGGGGGTCGTCCTTCATAAGCAAGGCTTTGCTTGCTGCTGGTCCTTGAATCGCGGTCGTGGATGGATGATGGTTGGTGCAGCGCGTCTAAAGGAGAGTGGATGGAGAAATGCGGTTGTTGTTGAGTGTCCCTGCCCAGATAACGACTTGACCCCATGGTTCTTGGGGCCCCAGCTCCTCCTTCTCCTCGTCGTCGTCGTTCTCCTCCGACATCCTGTCTGCTGTCTCTATGGGTCGATATCCTACTACTGTTGGTGTCATGTCGATGAGACCGTGTTGTCGAAAGGCGAGAGGAGGCAGCGAGTCGAGAGGTGTGTAGGTAGGAGTCATTGTGGAGGGATTCTGACTCCTGGTGGTGGCTCGGAGGGGATCCGGCGCGTCTCATTCCTGCAAATTTTATTGGCTGATGATAAGCAGGGTCCTTCTCTCACAAACGAAGACTAGCCATAAAGCGCGAAGGAAAGTTGGTGAGGAATGGAGTGGAATGGAGTGGAATGGAGACTGAATGTAAAAAGGTGGAGGAAGGGGTGAGGAGAGCTGTCGAGTCTGAGAAGCAGGCCTAAAGGGAACTCTCCTCTGGTAGTCGCTCTCTTACGTTAATTCAAAGGATTTTCGGAGGTCGTGAAAGGATAGAGCGTTATCGAGAAATGGAAAGGAATGAAGAATTAACGGTTATGTGTGGGAGAGGAAGGGATGGGCTGGAATCAGGCAAAGGGAGCAAGGAAGAGAAAGAAGAGGAAAGAATGAAAGAGAAAGCAAAGAGACGCCCACGAAGTCGAAGGTCAAGAGAACAAATGACCGATTTGCCTGTAACCGACTGAGATAACCCTGCTTCACGTCAATAGACGACAGCACGCAGAAAAGAGGGGCATGATGACTGAGGCTCGGCGGGCAAGATTGAGTGCGAACGGAAGGCAAACTGGCCTTTCTTGTTGGTCGATATTTGAAAAGGGGGGCAAAAACATTCAACAGAGTAAAAATACCTGTAAAAACAGACATCATTCGTGACCAACGTACCGCAACACTGACCACCTTACGAAAAAGTGTGTAAAAAAAGGGGCAGGCCGATCTGCTGACAAGGCCTGTTGACGGGTCTTCTTCATCAGCATGGGCTGTCGACGGTGTGCCTGCATGTTGTCTGCCGAGGCCAACAAAGGACTCTGTGCACGCACGTTCTTTATTACTACTACTACCAGTTAGGGGCGTTCGATACTTTTGGGATTGTTTTCTTTACGATGAATGGCATCATTACACAGCCCTAGCAACCATTGGAAGACATGTTGGTTGTATGAAATATTTTTTATTTTCATGAAAGGTCTAAAGGGGTAGAGAGGGGAGGAAAGGATGTCTATGCACAAGTAGTCTGAAATGATCGGTCCAGAGAGAGGAGAGAAGAGGGCGGTCTTATCGTCTATGGTTCCTAGGCGCATGGCTGAGGTGTTATTTACTTGACCTTTTGGAGCTTCTGTTTAGCGAGGAGAGCAAAAAGCACGATCGTGTACTTCTCGAGCTGATCCTTGACCATGAAAAGGAGAGCCTGTGAGATGACGGCCTTGGAGATTTGTGCTTGCATGCCCTACATTTCGCAGATATAAAGGAAAATGACGGCATTAGTCAATGAGTCCAATCGCCCTTTCCAGCACATGAAGATGTATATCAGAGAATACCAAGGGGGTCAAGTGGAGGGAAGGAAAAAAACTTACGGTGTACCAACCCTTGACGCCCTCCTTCTCAAAGACACGCTGGAGAACATCAATGGCTCCGGTGTATGGCTTGTGCGTCTCGGCATCCTTCTTGGAGGGCTTCCACTGAAGACGGACCTTAGCCATGATATAGGGGTATGTCACAACAGTCGCCAGGATCTTGGCGAGAGCTCCGACAAGGAAGACCAGTCCAGGGGTCATGTCCTTGCGCTTGAACGCTTTCAGCACGACCTCCTGGATGCGAGAGTACATGCCGTAGGTGATGGCGGGGTTGATGACCAAGACCAGCGAGGGCTTCAGTCCCTTCCAGAGTCCAGTCCAGCCCTCATCGTCAACAATTTCCTTGGCAGTCGACATGAGATCCTGACGCTCGCCCAAGGGCATGGTCTGCTGGCGAGTGGTGACGACAGCGACGGGGATGGTGAAGATCTGAGCCAATGCTCCAGCTCCAGCGCCGATCAACAATTCCATGATGGTCGAGATGGCAACTCCTGCGGGTTGACGGTTGACATAGCCGGTTCGGATGAAGGTGTACCAATAAAAGTAGGCAAAGTTTTGAGAGGCTGTACCGAGGAGTCCAGAAAGGAGACCGGCATAGAGACCAGGGAGACCTTCGGTCTTGAGAATCTTTTGCACGGCGTCGGTGGTGGAGAGGTATACGTTGGGATCAGAAGCGTTGGTGGCGGTTCTGGACCGAACCTGCATACGAGTTTTGATGCTATTGTGTTTTTGAGAAGGGTAGACGGGTGGTGTTAGGAACGGAGTTTTTAGGTAACGGCGATGGAGCTAAAGGAAGGACGGGAACCAATTGATCCGACATGAGCCATAGGACAGATCGGTGTTGCTTTCTATTCCTCCTTCTTCTTTAACAAGCACTTTTTTTATCACGGCCATGAAGGAGATTAGAGCATGGAAACAAATCCATAAAGCGACAAAATAGAAAGATATCGATGTGAAACAGTGCAATTGTCAGGCGATTGAAACTTAAGTTGGCGTGAGAACAGACAACAAAAAAAGAGCTAGCGAGACATACATGTCAAGAGGGTAGGTGCAGGTCAATGCGAACATGGCACCGCCAGTTCCGGCTATGGCATGACCGAAGGGAGAGAGTTTTGAGCCACCGGCCATTGTTGGAGTGTTTGGGTTTTGTGTGAAGAGTTGATTGGGTGTGAGAAATGAGGATCGGTTGGTGCAATGAACACTTTTAAGTTAGCCGAGGTTGAATGGAAGGAGAGGTGGAAGAGTAGTGGCGAGAGTACGAGGAGAGGAGAGGGGGATGGGAAAAGAACGAGGAGGAGTGGAGGGAAGAGAAAAGAAGAGTGGAGAGGATGGAAGGGGATAAAAAGAGAAAGAGAAAGAGAAAGAGGAGAAAGATAGACAAGCAAGATATATGGAAAGATATGATGCTGTCGGCGAGCACATCGACCCCGCATAATCCCTTTGAATTATTCGATCGCTCTGTCCTCAGACTGGTTCGGTGCAATTTTTATTATTATTCTTTGACTGTCTGTCCCCGGACAAACTATTTGCATGTGGCCTCTCAGAGCAAAGCCCGACTCTCGACATACACACACACAGACACCGAGGGGAATTCAGCTTCCTTGCATGTATCCGTGCTGTCAGTTCCCCCAATCCATCCCTTCCCCTGTCCTTTCTATTCTCTTTACTCTCTCTCTCTCTCCCCTTTAATGTGTCTATTGCAACTGCCTTTCGCCATGCCCATTCGAGCAAGTGGAGTGAAAGTCGTTGTTGTCGCTCAGTTGATTCTTCCGACCGTTTTTCATATTTGATCAAAACATTTTTCTGGGTGGGGATCGACCTTCTGATCACCGTCAAGGAATTTACGGAGACAGCTAGTACACACACAGACACTGATGGGATTTCAGAAAGGGACGAGATGGAGTAGACAAACGGCTCCTTTGTATCCATGCTGTCGCTTCCCTCAATCAACTAATCGTTTTCGACAACTCCATCTTCCAGAATATCCACTACATTGTTATGTTGGGTGTCCATTTCAGCCATGATTTTTCTTGACTCTTGCCGATCACGCTCGCACACCCTTGAGCCAATCACCCACGTCCCAGACGACTGCTTTTTCTTACAAGAAAGCCGTTGACGTTGCCACCAATTTTGATCAACAACAAAAGAACGCGACCTCTGCCCATCTTGTTTTTGTTTCTTAACCCCACCTATGGACCAAGCAGCATGGACACTCTCCTGAAACTTCACAACCAGGACCCATCGGGAGCCACTCTCAGGAACCACCTGGATGAAGTCGACTCTGGTCAGGACCAGGTACCGCTCATTGCATCTTCCATGCAAGTGACATTTCAGAAGGGTATACATTAACACCTACCAGAGCTAAAGGCGTTAACAAGCGAAGCACTCTTCTCAGATTTCAAACTTGATAGCAGAGAGCTTTCGGGAAAAAGGACTCGCGTTCAACGGGAGTGAATATGGCGCAGACTGTCTGCAACTTGTTCGAGCTATCTTGCGAGGTACTTCACTTACTGTGCACCAAGACTTGATAGTGGTCTCAAATAATTCGATTTATACTAAACGCCACCATTCTATTGTGCATCACTTAGCCTCGCCAGAGGAAGGAGAATCGTCAAGCAGGCGATCGCAGGTCATCAAAGGATGCATCTCATGGTACGCGCGATTTTGACCTAAGCGTGTGTTATATAAGTGTTATGTATGCATCTATGCTTCAGTTTTGGATAACGAATAACCGGTTTGTTGTTGCTACAGGCTTATCCAAGTAGGAGACGAAGAGACTGGCGGAACAAGTGCCATTCAGCTGGAGGAGGTTACAGGGAAACTGGTCAATATCCTTATTGACGTTGGTCACTCGTTCGACGCGGATGCCTTGGTCCAATCGATCTACACTATGACCGAGGCCGTCAGGAACCAGCGCCACCCTAATCGCCAACTTTTCGCACTCTTCTCCCGGATGTTGGTGATTGCAGCAAACCTCGGCACTGTTCTCGTCCCGGACTCTTCGGAGGAAATCTCAGGAAACGAATTCAAGGATATTATTCTGGACCGGATATTCACTTCACCGTGGAATCGCAAGAGCGTCGTACCCCTGGCATCCGCACTAGCAGATGTTGAGATGGAGAGCCAACAGTTGGAGATGGCGATTGTCAAGATCATGAAGCAGTTCAAGCAAGTCGATGCTGCAGACCTTCCGATTCTGCTCCACAATCTCCTGTCACTCTCATCTAAAGTAAGGTCTCGTAACTGACGATAATGACCTTGAGTCGACGAAGCCTGAGATTAACACTGTCACATTTTTCATGTATCCTTAATAGGGTCACCAACAATTGGTACTGAGGGGAACGCTGGAGTTTTTCGACCGATTGAACGCAGGAGGGCACATTTCTGATAGGTATATACGCGTCCTCAGACTGACATCTACATTAAGACTTGGCAAGAGTGAATACAGACCCTGGGGACTGACATGTTATATCCCTTTTTTATTCTATAGTCTTCGTTCAGAGAACACCAAGGACGTGGCACATTTGGAGTTCAAGGATCTGACTGCTATAGTGAGCGCCATCATCCTCCACTTCAGCTACGCCGTTGGACAGGATCAGGAACTGGGAACAGAGCTCTTGAAGCACATGAAGAATGGAAAGACGGCGTACCTTTCGTCATTCTCGCTGGCGTGTCTTTTGACTATGACGAGGATCCACCGCTTCGAGGATAGCGTCTTGGACTATCTCAAGTCGTCCATTTTGACAGTGTTCAGAGATCAGGAGAGAATGCAAAAGGATTCATGGGTGCTCCGTAAGTCACACCCCGTCTCCTTTAGCTTACAGAATAAGGCTATTTTTCATTCTGAGGGATGAGCGCTGACATTATAATTTGTTCCGCGATGACATAGAATTCGAGGGCATGTCCCCACCTCCAATCCTGGACATGTTTTACGATATCATTCGAAAGCTTCCGTTTGATCTGGAGCAGTTGACGCCAAGCGTTGTACAGTGCGGAGTGCATATCATGGATTATGCCGCCCCGCCAAGCCCTTGGAAGGCATCAGGTAAGCCTATTACCGCATGTATGGGCGGTTTATTTCCACTACACCTTATGCCTCTAGTGACTAACAAAAGCATTCGTCCCTACGACCTTACTGTAGACGCGGTCAAGAAACATGGACCAAAGTCACCAAACGAACGCGCCTGTGAACTTGGAGCATCTATCCTTGCGGAAACATTCAAGGTACGTATTGCTCAATGCTTTATTTTGTCATCGAACCGCACACACGAATCGAGCATGATATCTCATATCCCTCTACAACTTTATATTTTAGACCCAAGCTTCTGCCCGGACAGAGATTCTCGACTGCATCATGTCCCGAATCGTCAGCAAATCTTCCAACACTGTTTACTTTCTGGACCTTCTTGAATCCATTACCAAGGACAGTCCCGATGCGTTGGAAGAGCACCTTTCTCGAGTCAAAGAGTCTCTTGATTACCTCTCCTTTCTCACTCCCTCGACCGCCGTGCGGCTCATGGCGGCGGTCAAGGATGTTGCCAAACAGAACCGCCCGTTCCGCGACAGCCTGATTCTCATTCTTCGAAAGTCCTTGTTCTCAAAGTATGGACTTGTGTTGTATTTCTTCTGCATTGATGGGATTTGTTGTTTTGACCTTGGACTAGGTAACTGACCGGCTTCTACTCTGTCTATGATCAATAGGAACTTGGAAAGTCGACAGGTTGCACTCTCAGGTTTTCTTCTCCTGTTGAAGCCATCATCAAAGCCTCGACTAAGTATGCGAGGTGGATCCAGCCGATCCAGTAACATCCAAGGGCAGGAACACGATCTGTTTGGCTACTCATTGGAGATTCTAGGTATTACTGCACGTCATTTCAGCTTAGACACCAAGACAACCTCTTCCCCTCTTGTTGACGAATTGACGATATACTTCATGTGGATTAGGAACACTTCGGCGATGCTTGGGCCAGCAGGGAGAGGTGCGGCTTTCCCTCTATCTCGGCTTGATGGAGATTGTAGAAGCTATGCCACAGCTAAACCCCGTCGTCTTTGAGATCCTCCAGGCACACGTACGTTTTCTTTGACAGGAAATGCTCGCGCTTCGTAACTCAAACACCAACGAGCTCTGACTCTGACCTTGCTCTCCTTTCTATGTTTAGTTTGCCCACTTTTACGACCCCACGTTCAATCGAATGGCGCCGCTGAAGCTGGAAGAGTGTGTTGGTCAGGCGAGAACTGGAGGAGAACCTACCTTCGTTGAGCCACTTCAGTATCTGATGAGCGGAGTTGTCCGCTCCCTCATCGGTTTAGAAAAGCTCAAGAGAAAGGCACCTCACACCCAAGGTTAATTATGTCAGGTTGATGTCACATCAAAATTCTTCGTGAAAAATTGACAGACTGAACAGTGAGTACTGACATTACATCCATATTATGCCAAGTAGCCATATCGGCGGATGACCAGCTGGTGGAGGAGTGTGTTCGAGATCTGGATAACATCCTCTTGGGTCTCGAACGCGCGGGATTGGAGGACTTTGCACTCGACAAGACGTCTGACTTTAGTATGGCAAGCAACATTGGCGCTCGTAACAACATGTATGCTACGCTGTTAAATGGCTGCTACGAGGCTGCGATCGAGTTTGTGGTGTTGAGGCAATCGTCTCAAGGCGAAACCTCTGCTTCAAACGGTAAAGGTATTGCTCACAGCCGCCAGAGCTCGTCAGACCGTCAGTTTCAATCCATGACCCTCAACGCTGGATGTTCCGATTTGATTCTGCACTTGTTTGGCAAGATGCGCAAGCTTCACGATATTGTCAAAGATAAGGTCGTTATGCAGCGAGGTAAACTACGACGATGGTTTTTTTATGCTCCGTATTGTATGACGACGTATCGGTACTAGTAGTGACTAATTGCAATGGGACATTGCCACCTGAATTTATACGCTGGTAGGCAAAAAGTTGGGTCCACTCGGCGAGTCATCGGCACTTGGAGTTGAGTGTGTGACAAAGCTGGTGGAGTGTATGTTCGCAGAGCCTACCGACGGTGAAGAACCAGATGCAGAAGCTCTCAGACTCAAATCAAACGACGAGTTTTTGGTTTATATCACGACAGTCATTCAAGCTTTGCTGACAAGGGTATGTGACACAAGAAGAAGTAGACCCATCGTTGGTGACAAATGGCATGCTGCTCCATCTTCCATTGCTAACAAAACATTTCTCTTTCTGTTGCTACTATGTTCTAGCTGCACACCTCTGCAGAGTCGCTGAGCGACAATGATTATGACTACTGCAGGAGACTCACGAGCGTACTGGTACGTGAGTTCATTGTCAGCGAGAGACCTGATGGACCCAAGGCCATGGCGGCAGGAGCGAAGGGCAAGGATAAGAACAAGTCCTGGTTGATGTCTGGAATCGAGGCGCTCACAGCTGGTCTGATGACCGTTCAACGATTCTACCCTGTTAATCCCTCGGTAATGGGTACCACATCCGAATCTCTTCACAACCGCAAGGTTGTTGCCGGGTTCTTGGCTGCAACACTGCCTCAAGCCAATGGTGGCCATGGACGTGATCAGCGAGCGTCGGATGTGGTTGCCTGGACCACTTCACGGACGATCCGTAACGATGTCGACAGTCTTGCGGCTGCCTACATTCAATACTTGCAGGAGCTGCTGGTTATGTTTGTGAACGAGACTATCCCTCTGTTGAAAGAGGCCGTCGGTGTTCTCCAAGTGATCCAAGTCCTCTCGCAATATCTCTCACGATCTAGCGATCTCGACAGCCAGGGTGGCCAACAAGGTGCCGGCAACTCAGGTCTCTCCCGCGCCAGCTCGACACTGAGTACGGACTCTACATCGTCCGGACCAAGTCAATTGGATATGCTAGTCCATTGGTTGGTGAAACTATGCAGGGATCAGGCAGTGGACGACACGACGTTGACGAAGGCATTGCTGTCGATGATGCTACAGTTGGAGCAAGAGTGCATGACCCCTCAAGCGAACGCGGACTTGTTGGCAGTTGATGATATTCCAAATGGTTCAGCGTCCAACGTCAAGCCCACCATGGGACCCGTCTCTCTCGGTTTTGGCAGTGTTACAGCATCATCCGTGGTTGCACAGTGCCCCGAGACTGCCACACGGTTGCGCCTGGCAGCAGATATCTTGCTCACTTATGGCATGAACCATGGCGGTCCCAATTTGCCCAGTCTCCGAGACTTGCCGGACGAGATCCCACAAGGAGAAGGTGTGGAGGAAGGCATCATGCGGCTGTTCAATTTGAAAAGGGAAATTGGTATCGAGGCTCGGTTTTCGGTCGTGACCATACGGACGTCCGGTGTTGTCGCGGATGTCCTGTTGCAGCAAGTCGAGCGTTCGCTCGAAGGCCTTGAATGGGCCTTGGGCAAACTCCGATTCTGCGGATTGGCTCAAGCAGGTAAGCATTTAACCCCTCAGTCTATTCTATTATGCCCATGGCTCTTTTGTCTTTTTTTGACGCAGTCTCAACCCCGACCTTTATCTATGTGTTCTCGGCCACTTCAATCCAATTCCCCCCCCCCCCCCCCCCCAGAAAAAAAAACGTGCCCGGTGCAGAGTAAGGCAAGAGGACAGGAGGGTGTATCAAAAGGGGTGTAATCAGTGTCGGAGCCAGAACCAGGACTTTGGTAGAGACATTATCGCTCAGCGGCACTCGACACTCCATAGAGCATCAGCGAGTTCGAGGAGCCAAGGTGAAAAGTGGGTAAACCGTTGAAGTTGAAATACAATAGTGATAAGAGGCGAAAAAAGAGAAAATGGAGCAAGGAGGAGTTCGATTGGCGAATATTTTGGAAATTGAGTTGCGGAGATTATTATTTTTTGGACCGTGGAATATTAGATCAAGCTGATAAGATCTTGGCGGTCTGGGTTCTCTCAATTGCGTCTTTTTTTGTTCTATTTATTGGCACAATTGCATTTTTCAATTACCATGGACTATTCATACGCACCAACAGACCTATATCAAAGGTGAAAGGGGTTGGTTGGTTGGAGATTGTTACTTGGGTTGGCAATTTTAGTTTTACGAGTACTTTTGTACCTGTGGGCATTGCCTTTTTGTTTTCCTTATCATGGTCGAGATGAAAAGAGAGGAGAGGGGAAGCGGACGCTGTGGACCTACTGAGTTTGTGTCTGTATCTGTGGGAGGGAATTGTTATTGGATGTTTATGAGGACAAATGGCAAGAGCACGGGCAAGAAACAAACATTGTTGTACAGAGGAAAAAAAGAAGAAATCACTTTGTTTGCACACGGAGTTGGCTATTCTTTATTTTGCATCATACTTTGTATTGTAGTTATGATTGTATCGAACGATTGAGTGGGTAGTTCACTGTGCAGATTAAATTGATTCTTTGGCCTTTTTTATCGGTTACAAACTGCTGGTCGATATGAGCCTTCCCATGAGCCGTTAGATTCATACCCCTTGCCCCTTACTCCTCGCTCGCTCGTGGCTGACCCATGATTATCAACATCTCTATGAATAACCCAATTTATAGGCTCTGACCTTCCATGCCCTAAGCATTCGACAAACGGCAGCCATGCACAGCTCCACGAGTCACCGTCACCGCACTCTGAGGCCCATGGGTTGTGCCTTTCTGGTGAATGCAAGGTTACGATGGGCAAGAAACCCTTCCAGGAGTTTGAGGGCGAGATCTGTTGGCGAGTTGAGGCTTGTCTCTGGGTCCTAGTCCGTATCTCACAGTCGTGTATCAATCAGGCAACCTCGGAGCACTTGATTCGGGTTCTGCAGCGATGCTATAAGGTTCTAACGGCCCTGACTAAGCATTACCTGAAACCAGCAACGGTGTCGCCTCTGAACCTGTTCCCTATGGTGTCGTCTGGTCCAGGGTTGTCTCTTTCCGCTACAAAGTTGAGGAGCAAGGGAGGACAGAACAAGGCCAGTGCGGGGGTGATTCAACTGCCACATGGTTTCCTTCGTGTTACGCAAGTTGCGGGAATGGAGCTCTCTGTCCATCTATACACGTTCCTAAGTTATTTCCAAATGTTGGACGAGGAGCGAAGGAGCCGAGATCACGAACGTCAAACAAGAGGCAAGAAGGGCAAAGGTGGTGCTAAGGAGGATGACAAGGGCAAGGACCCTATGAATGATGATGAGGGGGGCGTTCCCAAGAACAAGGTAGGAGGAGGAGCAACTGGCGGTCGAGGTGGTGGTGGTGTTGGGGGGAGTGCAAAGTCCCGTCAAAAGGCCAAGATTTTGCGGGAGTCCAAGTTGATTCCGACGTTGATTTATGGGGTGGAGCAGTACGAGCGGTTTGTGATCCAGCTTAGCAAGAAATCCAAGGTTCATCTGACGCAATTTATGAGACGCAGTACAGCGCGAGATTTCCGGATCCAGATTCAGCGGCTCGGAGACCTGGGTTTGGAGGACCAATACGACGAAGAGCGACAGCTTGAGCAGCTGCAGCTGCAGGAGCAGGAGCGAGAGCAAGAGCAATTGCAGATACTGCAGCAACAGGGACATCATCAGCACGAGGAAAGAGAAGGAGATGTCGATATGGAGGTGGATGATGACGACGGTTTGGTATGTACCTTTTTTTCTGTTATTGGATGCATGATATTGTATCTTATTGTTTTTGCGTGTGTGTACGTTTGAGCCAACCAGAAATGGACATACGATATCTGTCAGCTGAACATTTCCTCTTTCTGCTTATTTTTATTTTATCTCTAGGCTCAGGACGAAGATGAGGGAGAAGAAGAGCAAGACGAGGAAGAAGAAGAGACGCTCCACAATCGCAAGCGCGCTCGTCGTACTTGAACAACAATACAAGACAATTATTTCTAACCAAGCAAATAAGCAATAATACAAAAGTGGAAGACTTTTTGAAGTGTATGTGAGAAAAGAAGGAGAATATTGTACAGGTTTTATTACAGGTTGTTGGAAGATTGTTTTTCAGGAAACAAACGACTAGGTATGAGCAATTTTTGTTTTGTTTGGTAGTTGTGGTTGTTTGGTTGCTACCCAAGGGGACCCATTTTTGTTGCAGTTGATGATGATGATGGTGCTTTACATGGGAGCGTAAGCAGAGTATTGCTGCTGCTGTTGGTGCATGTAAGGCTGGGGAAGGATCATCGATGGTGCAGTAGAGGATGAGTAACCCGAGCTAGAGGGCGAGGCCGACCGGCTGTATGACTCGTATTGGGAAGGAGCAGAGTACTGGGAGTAGTACTTGGGCTGCTGCTGCTGCTGACTGTACTGCTGGGGCTGGGGCTGGGACTGGTAGCTGTATGGGCTTGAGGACTGGTAGTTGGCAAAGAGCGAGGGTAACTGGGGCGCAGGAGAAGAATGGACAGCCATGGTGGGGGGCGAGGCCGATGAAGAGCGGTACTGGTGCGAGTCTGGGCTCGAAGGCGAGAGTGGAGGCGACTGGAGCTGCTGCTGGGGGTGGTAGTAAGAGGCCATGGGAGGGACTTGGCTGGCGTATGCCTTGGGAGAAGAGGCGGGGGTGGAGTATTGGCTGCTTGGTACCGGGGCTGGCAACTGAACCTGTTCTTGCTTCTGCTGCATCTTGGTGTAAGAAGTCTGGGAGACAGGCGAGGAGGAGCGGGAGGCGTTGGGGGAGATGACGGCGAGGGATGCGGCGCAGGGAGGGGTGGTGGTCTCAAGACCAGCGCAGGATCGAAGGCGACGGATCTCGGTGATGGCGTTGCGGAGGGTGGTGATCGAGTTTGACTTGACTGGGGCCTTCTTTTCCGTACCGTCGGCGTTAAGCTGTTGTGATTGATACTGTTCCTGTTGTTGTTGTGTAGCAGCGACTTCAGCGGCGGATTCACGAACGAGGTTAGCGAGCTCGGCAAGGAGCTGGTTCATGGTGTCACGACGCTGACGCTCGTCGAGGATGTGGGTTGCACGACGCTTCTCAAGGGCGGTGAGACGCGAGATCGAGTCAACGTTTTTGCGGTTGAGAACGTTGACGCCGTGGAGGCGGAAAACGTTTTTGGTTGGTGGAACTGTTGGGGGGGCGGTTGTGGCGGTCATTGTGAATGTCGATTGTCGTTAAGTAAGAGTGGGTGAGAGAGAGTATGAGGGAATGAGGAGTGAATGAGGAAAAGAAATTAAGTCAATAAGAGAGATAGAGGCGGGTGGAGTGCAGGAGTAGGTGTAGAAGTAAGAAGATTTTTATGGCGTGAGGAGTTGAAGGGCAAGGGAAGAGGGGGGGGAAGAGTCGTTATTTATATGATGGGGAGGGTTGAGGTGAGTGAGTGGATCAAATGGACGAGAAGATTTTTTCAAAGTGAGAGAAGACTCGGACAAGAAGGAGAGGGAGAGATTTCATTGGACAGGGTAACGAATGAATAGGTATACAATAACTGATGACAACCTGAGGAACTGATAAAAAAACCAAGTGAGACAAAAATAACACCTGGACTGCAAGTCCAAACCTTATTCGGATAGACACAGACTGAATCGGATAGAATACTGATATCAAGACATTGTTATATTCTTGTAGACTAAAATAACCTTTCTGTTGATGTATCTTTCTTCTGTTCTCACACAGGAAAATCAACAGACCGAGAAAGGACAGACGACAGGTACACGTTCCTTTTCTTTCATTTCGTCGTTCTTCTTTCTCTTCCTCTTGTTTCTTTCTTTCTGCTTATTCTCTCTTCATTGTTTACTCCACAAACAAAATGAGAAATCCAAGATCAATATTCAATCTTCTATTCACTGTATTGGGACCCGCATTCCTCCTCTCTCTTTCTCTCTCCCCTCGCTCTTTCATAGGGATCCAGTTAGATAAATATTTTATCTCTTTCAACGTCCATGTACTCTCAACTGGATACCTTCACTATCCAACCACTCATCTATTCGCTCTCTTTCTCTGCTCCTTACCCCAACCACTCAGCAAGGAGAGTTTCCTTTATCAAACTGATATCTCCTCCACTCGCCTTGCCAAAACCAGACCAGGGGGATGCACAAATGGACAGGGGAGGACAGAAGGACCTAGCTGCAGTAGCACTGTAGTTAACCAATCCAATCAACCTGATAAACCAAGCCAAACCAACCCATGGATCGGCTTTGTTTCTTGCCTCTTGCCTTTCGCTTCTTTTTGCCTTTGACTCCTCATTTTTTTCCTTCCCAGACTCCGACAGTCGTTCACTCAGAGATAAGATGCCATGACACGAGGAGGATAAGGTAAGGACGGTGACGATGATGATGGATAGGAAAAGCAAAAAAAAAGTGAAGGCCGAAGGATTATTGAGAGTCAGGGCAGGGCACGCAATAATAATAACTCCAACCTTTGGCCTATTTCTCTATCTTCTGCTTTGTTACGAGTTTGAGATATGATAGACGACCATTGAGACAGATTGTTGACTCGCCCGCGGTAAGGTCTCCCACGCGAAAAGGTGGGGGGGGGGGGGGCAGAAAGAGAACTGAAAGGCTCTTTCTCATCCCTCGTTCATTTTCCAAAACAAAATATCATCGCAACAACTGACCCGGACATTGCGAGAAAGAAAGACAAGGTTATCTCAACCCTTTTTACATCTCTCACTCCTACCTCATTGCTCGTTTGCTCCTCGCTCATTCTGCTCATCCTAAAATCCTAAGACTCTTTCCTTGATGATCTACTGGACTTTGACTCTGCGAGGGCGTTACTCTAGGATCAATTGAGTGTGTGCGTGAGGGGTGGTATGGCCTCATTATGAGCCATCTTGTGTTGTGTTGTTGTTTGCTTTCCTTCTTTTTTCATGACAAGACCTCGCATAATCTCTCAACAACGCCTTGTCCTCTTGGGCTCGCTGTAAAGTCTTGCATTATCTTTTTCCCCATCCCTTCCTTCCTGCTTTGGGCGGGTAGGTTGATTGACACACACTCTCCAAGTTTTCCTCCCTTTTTTCACCTATCATTTTCATTTCTTGATCGTTCTGGGAAAGATTGTAGGGTATTTTTTGCGGGAGGGCCATACACGCTCGGACTTGTTTTCAGGTTTGTTTTCTTTTTTTCTCCCACCTAAAGCAACAAAAAGGAGAAGAGGTAACAGAAGGAACGGATGCGCCTACGCGTACTTCTCATCACATACAGGTGAGTCCTTTGGTCCTCGGTTCTCAATGCAAAGAGATCAACGGTCAGAAATTGATTGTCATACCAAGGGAAATAAATAGACCTTTGCTCGGATGGTGAGGAGATGCTGACACTGTATCTGTAGAAGTACCTTCTTTCCCCTTGATTGCTGCTGATGTTGTTGTGGGAGTTTGTGAACAGGGAAACCAAAAGAACAACAGCAACAGCACTACACAACAACACAAACCAAAACAGATAAAATAGAAAGGGTTGCGAACAAAGCGCACGCAATCTCGTTCGATTTTTTTTCTTTCGTTCAATCTCGACCTCATCTAAGGTATTTCTTTGGCCGTTTTTTTTTTACTTTCTGTTTATTTTCCTTTGATGTTGCGCATATGTACCCTTTGCTTTGTTTATGCAGGCTTCCGCTTCATCGGCCAGACCCTCTCCCTCTCTTCATCTCAATCCTTCCTTCATCTCATTCATTTTTGTTTTGTTTTGTTTATCTGTTTATTTGTTGATTCTTCTGTCGGCTGCATTCCTTCCAATATTTTCCCTCGGATGAATGACTTAGAATGTTGTTGTCCGGTGTGTACGTGTGTGGGGTACAGTCCAATGGACCATCACCCACCAAGAACAGGACCTCTTGTTCTATTTGGAGTCGCTCGTTTGACCTGAAGGCATACAGTGACACGATTGACCTAGACCATGAGGCAGGTCACCATTCTTTTTGACACAGGTTCATGTCGCGATGCTAAATGAAGCAATTGAGATGTTCCCTCGTAGCCCCTGAAAACGTGTGAGATTATTTGTTTAGGTCGGATGAGCGAGTGAAAACAGAGAGACGAAAAAGGGATGCAAATGCAAATAGGCAAAGGAGAGAATGAGATAAAAAAAACACGACGCGAGGCGGCTCACAATCTGTTGCTTCGCATATTCTTTTTTTCTTTTGCCCTTCGGCTGGTGCGGAAATGGGAATTGGACGAGCAAGAAGTGAGAGTCCTCAGTGGTCCCTGTTATCGAGATCATCATCGCAACCGGCATGGACCTGTTTTACAACAACAAGGGAGAGGCAAGGGGTTGTAGTCGTGTAGAGCATAAGCATCTCACCCAACATAGGGTGAGTTTAAAAATAAAAACAACAAAAAGAGGAGCTACCCGCTCTCAAGAAAGATAGAAAGTTGAGTACAATCGTTTATCGCATTATCTTTTGCATGAAAGAACATCTTTTGTTTTTGTTTTGTTTTTGTTTTGTTTTTTTTCCTCCCACACTTGTTCTATATCGCTTTGTGGCTTCACACCTTTTTCGTGAGGTCTTGTCTTTTCTATTGTGCTCTCCAACAAAATAACAACAACACGAGCCTTTTTTTACCTTCTCCTTCGTCCTCCCTCTGTTGCCTGAGGAAAAGCAAGAAATCAGATGCTGAGAGCACTTTTTTATCCTTTCTTTCTTCTCCTCTCTTCTGGCCCTTGTTGACATTTGCGATTACGTTTTTTCCCCATGTGGGACAAGGTCTTGATTGGACGATGGGATCCTTCATATCTGACTAGGCATCAGAGGAACTACAAGTACACGAATCCTTTTCGTCCACATACACCCTCTGACTCTTTTATCCCTCACGACACCCAGCAAAACAATGTATCTCCTTTGTTGATTGGCATTCGCGCTCGGTAGTTTTTTGTTCGTGGGGGGGTGGGGGTAAGAAAGGAAGGAGTCGGAAAAAAAGTTGTTGTTGATGTTTAATTGGCATTTTTTTTTGTGCCGTGATTGCAAATGGAAATCCGATCCCTTCCCCATAGCACAACGCACGAGGGATTTCACGCAACCCCTCAATTCACTTCCCTTCTGTCTATCTCTCTCTCTCACACAAACCCTACTGTGAGATCATTTTCTTTTTCCATGGACTCAAAACCATAAAAAAAGTAATTTACACCTCCGCTTGTCTGTCATAGTTGTTGTTGTTATCAGCAAGCCAAATACCTTATGCACAAAATAAAGGATGCTGCAGTTGGTGAGCTAGACTACGTGACCTCAGTTGCTTGTGACAAATTGCCCATCGATCAAAAAGTCAAATGCGTAGAAAGAACATATGCTTCTCTGAACGTTATGCATCAGCGCAGCGCGTGGAAAGGAAGGAAAAAAGGTTCATTCTGGTCACCATGAGAAAAGGCGAATGTAGGTAGCTCTTTCTTTCTTTGCCTGTTCTTTCTCACTCGAGAGGGCACAAGAATGAGATGGTCCGGGCCTCTGTTTTGTTTGTGGTAAGTTCTTGTTATTCTCCCACGCATCCCTTTTCAGTTTGTGTGGATAGGGGTTTACGTCTACCGCAAAAGTGGCTGAACCAAGATCTTTGATCTTTAAGTATGCAACAACAACAAGAAGGAGAAGCGCACTACCTTGTCTCTTCAGTTCTTCAGGACAAGGTTGCATTTCGTCAGCAACATACGCCCATCGATGACAACCATCAAGCTCTCGCTGCTGATGCCATTTCGATCTCGCACTGTGCAGCGCATCAAAAGTAGGTCCAACTCTCTCTCTCCCTTCTTTATCTTCTAAACAGACAACAAAGAGATATCACGATATCACATTCTAACCACAGATAAAATCTTGAACCTACTCTAAATTAATTGACTCGGCGATCCGTGGCACACATTTCAAAGCGAAAGCTACTCATTGACCATTTACAAGGCCAGCTTATCAGTGAGGACGGCCATGCTAACGATGGTGCCATAATGCCTTACTTTATTGCACACTCGTCCGAAAGTGTTGTGATTGATTGACCTGACCCTCGCTGTTGATCCCACACCCCACTAGGTCAAATCTAGCAAGTCCATTGGGTGTGTGAACCTTGCTTGCTATCGCATTGCTCGGCTCTGCTCTCACCAGCGTAAAACAAATCCAAACTCCTCCACAAAATAAAATAGAATAAACAGGTGGTGTAGTCTTGAAGGAAGGAAAAGAGGTACTTCGATTC